TTCCTTTTTTTGCTGTGTAATTTGTTGAACTTTTGACCCCTGAAGTCGACGTTGCCGGAGGGCGTATTGCACTGGACTACGCAGTTTTGTTTTATGTATATTGGGTATATTTAATGGTACAGAGACCTTTCCTGCTCTTCCCATCTCCCCATCCTCACTGGGTCCAGCTTCTTCAACTCGCCTAGCCATAACTTCAAATCTTGCAACTCATCTGTTGTTGGCTGGCGTTCGCATGTACGACATATTGCCAGTGTATACTCGTATAACCCATTGTAAATCCATTTACAGTCCTCGGCACCATCCAGCATCTCTTTTAAATCATCTATCTGGGAGTTGGCGTACTCGATACGTTGCTCCGTGGTGAAATTTGGTAAGATGGATACAGTACGATCCAGCAGGGTAACCATGAGGAATTGATGGTAGAACCAGAGAGATTGGTCACTAGCATCAGTCCAGAGGGCATTACGCATCGTATCAAATTCTGTAATGTGTCAGCGGCGAGTGTATACTCGACTGTATCCAACATACCTTCATCCAGAAACTCCTTGCGTGCTTCATCAATTGCATTTCGCTCATCGAGTAGCCGCGGTATAAGCTGGCTTCGATTGTGCCATGCCGAAAAGTTGGACAGATTGGTATTTACCATCTTGGTGGTGTACGCAAACTCCTCTTCCACCAAGCTCTTCCCGTTCAAAGCTGGGCTCTCAAGCTTCTCCACTACCATTCGACGATATCCCCAGCCATGGAAATTCCGGCTATCTCGTACCAGCATGTAATTGCAAAGGCCCAGCTCTTCTTCCCATAACCTCCGCGCAACCGGCACCTCTAATCTCAAAGTAGCTTGTTGGAGCAGCCATATCCGATGGTTCCATATCCAGTAGCATTTCGGCCATTGCTTCAGCAATGGCACGAGGAATGATAAATCGTCTTTAATAAGCTCAAGAGTTGTACCATTGCTCCCAGGATTCTGGGGGGTTGGGGACCGCGGGGTCTCGTTGGAGGCCGCGTTGGAAGTGGAGGTAGAAGAGGGTAACTTTTCGGAGGGCGAATTCGTAGTTTTGGCTTGTGAAGTAGAGGGCTGCTGAGTCGAGGGCAATGGCCCATCCGACGATTTGGAAAAGAGTCCAGAGGTTAACAAGCGTCTGCGCACGTTCCATATTGTGTAGTATTCGGGGTTCTTTGTGAGCAGTTTCGAGGTCAAGTCGAGGACTTCTGATGTATACTGGTGTTCATGTATCTGCGACTGTCAGTATTGAGCATGTAGACTAGGCAAATGCAATATACCTTCGTCTCAATCAAGTCAACTAAAGCCTGGTACTTTTCGATCTTGGCTACCTCGTCCTGACGTTGCTGTTCTGTCCGGACTGTTGCCGCTGCAATCCTTGGGACACCGTGCTGTATTTCGATCAGCCACAGGACAAGTAACTAGAATAAAAGAATGTCATACACTAGTCATTTCCCGTATGTATCAGCTTGACAGTGTTGTGTTTGTTCGTCTTGAAGCTCAGCTTGGATAACAGAGTAGGCAGTCGCGATTGCGATCCCGATAAGCGACGTTGTTTACGTTACCCCTCGGTGGGCCATGGAGCTATCCCGCTCATGTCCCCTCTCAACTCCTTTCCACCTCGAGCCTTTCGTACTATATCTGGTTACAAGTATACTTCACAACAATCACTATCTCTAACGGTAACGGCTTGAACAATTGACCTCCAAAGGGTCATTTGGTCCATGAGGACCTTCCATCACACCAGCTGGTGTGCTCTTTCATTGGGCTCCCCAGGGCCCGTTTGCAGCCATATCTGATCCCTGGGGCCATTTCAATCATTATTTTTCCCAGTCAATCGTTCGCTCATTAGTGATATTTCATACTGCATTCAGTTAATCCTCAGCAGCTGTCTCTTTTTCTTTTTTTCGTTACTTTCTTAGGATCTGAATTCGTCGTTCAGCAATGCAAGTCTCCCAGCTCAACGAAGCCTCTCTCCTTGATTTCTCCTCAACGTTCGAAGATTCCGGGTATGATACCTGTACCACCCACATAAACGACAATAATTCCATAGAAGGAGCAGGGTTATGGGCGGCTGAGCAACTTTCTGTCTTTGACTCGGAAGCTCCATCTCCATCCGCGAGTGAAGAACCTGAAGCCCTCGATGTCGAAGCTTCGATTCCAGCAGTCACTGAGCAGCCTGAAGTTTCTTATACTGAAGATCCCCTTTCGCCAGTTACTAACCTACCTGATGTTCCCATGGCAGAAGCTCCAATACAGTCAGTTGCCAGTTTTGAGGACGCATCGGAAGCAGACGACGAGCATGAGGTATTCCTGGAGAGACTAAGCGGTCGACGATGGCCTTTGGGCATTTGCACTATGCCGAGACTTAACTATAAGAATGGCACGTCAAGGCTGCATCCTCGACCATCCTTGTCATTCTCTGTCGGACCGAATGGAAAACGCTCCTCAGGCTCATTGAGATCCCCCGACCGGTTCTTGGCTTCAGTTGACTCTCAGGATTCTTCGGCCCAGAAGTTCCGAGTGAACAAAGACTCACAGCAGCTTTCACCTTCTGAAAAGCTTATCAGAAACGACAGTGCCAGCTTAGATGCTTTCAGCCCGCGCCGGAATTTCACAACTCCAAACCCTCCTGTTGTTGCAATGAACAGAGGGAACATTCCACCTGTTCGCCCTGGAGGCAAGGCTCCTGATCCCATTTTGAAACCACAACTAATTCATTCAGAGCCTAGCACTCTCATGTTTCGACGAGATTCTACTGCCAGCAATGGCGAACGTCAAGTATGTTATTTCATGGCCCGGCCTCAGTCAAGTTATACGATACTGACAATCAGAAGATCAGTCTTGGCTCTGTTTGGGCCGTTGGTGGGTTGGCACCACTCAGCGTCGGGGTTTCAGATGGTCGTGGTGGGTTGACGGGATCTGGTACAAATGCCCCCCTCTATACGACATCGTTTTCGAGTGCGACATCAAAAGAGGAAGATGACAGGGAGAAGCACGAAGGCCGTTTAGCCACAGCACTGGACCTTGATAGGGCGCAGAGAATACACGATTTCGTCGACCATTCTATCTCACCGCCGAGAGCAGATCCCCAAAGGCGAGAATATAGTGAAATTGGAACAAAGATCACCTGGAGAGGCACAGAATGGGTTAGCAGTGGCTCCCAAGCCAGTGAGGATCCCCGTCACTCAATATACACTGGTTTTATCTAACATTGTATAGAAGTCAAGAAAGCAACTGAGGCCCGAACATTGCCTACGGCTCCTTTTAAATAAGTAACCGCCACGTTACGCATGATTATTACTGACGTTGAGCACAGTTCTTGACGCGCCTAACTTACGCGATGATTTTTACTGCTCCGTCCTGGCCTACTCCCATACATCCCATACCTTAGCTGTTGGCCTTGGTTCTCTGCTCTACGCATGGTCCGAAATGCAAGGGGTTCATTTACTCAATTCTGGAAGCAATAACGGCACTTGGTTGACGTCTATTGCGTTTTCGTCCACGCAAGGTTGCAAGTGTATACTTGCGTACGGGAGATCAGATGGAACCCTGAACCTCATGTCTCTTTACGACCGCGCACTGCCTCGCTTTGAGGTTCAACAACCGTGTCCCATTGCGTGCCTCACTTGGCGACCCACGGTGACATTGAGACCTTCTCGGAGCCCTCATTCGCTAGGCCAGCTAGTTAAGACCGAAGATCTCGTTGTTGGAGACGAAGTTGGAAACGTTTATTATTATGCTGTCGAGTGGCCCGATGCCTGGGAAGTTGATCGCAATGGGTGGACGGGAGTCATGACCCTTCTTGCCCGTATTTCAGTTCACACTCAGCAGATATGCGGCCTGGCATGGTCGCACGACGGATCCTTGCTTGCCACAGGAGGGAATGACAACTTGTGCTGTCTTTTTGAAGCTTATAAGCTCTCAATACCTCAGGAGGGCGATCAACAAACTGACGAGCTCGTCACTGGCCTTGATAGCGTCCAGCGCACCATCTCTATTCCTGGCAACAATCGTATCAAGAGCGTCCTGCTGGGGGCTGAAAAGCATAGGTGGGTTCATGGCGCCGCCGTGAAAGCTATTGCTTTCTGTCCATGGAGGGATGGCCTCATCGCAACTGGTGGAGGAAGCAATGACAAGTGTATCCATTTTTTCCACGCCGTCTCCGGTGCTTGCTTGGCGACCATCAGCGTTGCCGCGCAGGTAACCTCGCTAATATGGTCAACGACACGCCGCGAAATATGTGCCACGTTTGGCTATGCACAGCCAGAGCATCCATACCGAATTGCAGTGTTTTCATGGCCGGAATGCAAGCAGGTGGCTGCGATTCCGTGGGAAGGAGAGCATAGAGCCCTTTATGCGATCCCTTATCCAGGCGGGCCGAATGATACTCATAATGCTAGTGAGGGTGGAAGCAGCCTGACTCGTACGGCACAAGAGGGCTGCATTGTGGTTGCTGCAAGCGATGAGAGCGTGAAGTTTCATGAGGTTTGGAGTGCGGGCCAAAAAGCAACTGCTGGAGGCGAGGGGTTACTTGGAGGCAGCGATATCTTAGAGGGGCTGGAGGGTATCGATAAGGAGGGTGAGGTTATTCGATGAGGGAGAGAGGTTATTCAATTGAGGGACGAGGTTATTCAACGAATGGTTTACGGTAACGACAATATGATTATGGGGAACAGTATCAATACTTGAGCACTTTCGGATGGTTTCAAATACTCAGCAACGGCTGCGGCGAATGGTGGCAATTGGCGTTAAAGGATCAGATTGGCAACCTGCACTTAGCTGGTAGGAGGAGGGCTACATTGATAAACCGAGAATGATTGAATGAAATTCTTCGTGTGCCTGGCTTTTGCTACTGATCATTGACGCCCAACGTGCTCAAATACAGTGCTGAAAAGAACAAGCAAAGTCGGCTATATTTGCCCTTCAAGTTCGTTCCTTTACACAGGTAGGAAAGCGTACAGGGTGGTCGCGACTGCATTTTTTAATGTCCCCAACACCCCAATGCCTGACAAGATTTGTTTTGGTGTTACTAGCTCCAAAGTCTAAATATCGGTGAAGCTTCGTGGCGCAGACTTCCGTCCGTTTACTAACACGCTCGGGCTGCTTCATATAGGGCAACGCGTCAATGAGGCTATGTGGATTCAGTGCCAAAACTCCACACACTACGTACGTAACCCCACCCCTGCTCGTATACGGCAAGCTGACCGCGGAACTTCTCCCTGGTACGGTTTCAGAGTTTTGAAGCTTTGGGAAGCTCGGCTTTTCTCTTCTTGGTATATCGGCTGCCATCTCAATATGCGACGTATCAATTCCGGTTGATGGCCTCTGTGTTTCCCGATCGTCGCCTGTAGTACATAAAGAAAATCAGGAGCTGACACTAAAATCGGCGATGGCTTGGCCCGTCGTTGGTCCCCGCGCAATAGGGCCTAGTTTGACCCGCTATTTGGACCCTGACATTGGTGACAGGGGAGATCCCCAAGCTTCCGCGGAACTATCGCTCTATATCCCCGTCCTGTCAATCCTAGGACAAACTCTGATATTTATTGTAAGTTATATGCAAAGCTATACGCAAAGCTATACGCAAAGTTATATGCTTCGACAGTGATTGACAAATGAGATTGACAACTAATAGCCAGATTTTTACACTAACCACGTCTTACCCCTTGAGTTTCTCCATGCTCGTATTCATGTGCGAGCACAAAAAATATGCGGGGAGCCGTCAGCGGCTACGAGTGACGGGTGCTACGCCACATTGGCAGGCAGGGACTGGGGACCCTGCGCCTGGAGGAGCGACGCTTGCCTCGGAGCACCATGCTTTACCCCGTATGGTTGTCACGGTTCCGTATTGGGGGTTGGATATGGAGCCGACGTGCCAGGGCTGATTCCTTCGGGCTGACTTTTATCTATACGACGTGTAGCTATATAGCTTACGTTTCCCCTCATCGTCATTATCCCCTCGTTTTTTTTTTGCTGCTGTCGCTGTTTCTCATTTGGTATAAACAATTTTACAGATTCCAAGCGCTTCCGAGCTTCATGGGGCCTGTGGTGAGCTACTCCGTATAGAGTGGGACACGAAGAATGAAGCTGGACGGAGCGCCCTCTATGAGGCGCTATGGAGTATCCAGATTCTATACGCGGCATCGACTGGCGGTTTTGTTGGTGACGCTCTTATGCTTAGGTCTCATTGCGAAGCTACGCCAGCCAGCACGGCCACGAAACTGCCAAGGAGGAATCCCTCTGCCGCAAATACTGGCGCAACAGCGAAAGAGTGGTGCCACAGCAAACTTTGCGGCCACGACCGCAGGATGGAGGCCCGGCGCACGATGCGCCAATTACCCTCAGGATGCGAGCTTGGTGATTGTGGTGAAGACGGGGGCGACAGAGGCCTTCTCGAAGCTGCCGACGTTGCTACTCACCTACCTCTCCTGCGTGCCACCCGAGAACGTCCTCTTCTTCAGCGACATGGCGGGGACGATTGGCAACTTCGCCATACACGATTCTCTCGATACAGCGACGGCGGACGCCACAAAGGACAACCCCGACTTCGACCTATACAATAACCAGAAGGAATTGCGCCAGCTAGGCCAGAATATGGACTCGCTGCGCAATGAGTGGAAGAGCGAGGCGGCGTGGCGGCTGGACAAATATAAGAATCTATACACGGCACAGAAAGCGTGGGATCTGGCGCCGGATCGCAATTGGTATCTTTATATCGACGCGGATACATATATCAGCTGGACGAACTTGTTTCTGTGGCTTGCGACCCTTGATGCGACTAAGCCGCTCTACTTGGGCAGCCAGGTCGATGTTGGGAGGCCGCCATTCGCGCACGGCGGTAGTGGATACTTGCTCAGCAAGCCTGCGATGCAGCTGCTTGTGGGAGACGACCGCAAGTCCTTAGCCAAGGAGTTTGATAAGAACGCCACGACGGCGTGTTGCGGCGATCAAGAGTTGGGCAGAACTCTGTTTAAGAAAGGCCTAAAGGTGCAGAACGTGCGGCCGGTGATAAACGGAAAGAACCCCAGGGAGTTTAACTTTGGGCCCGAGCTGTGGTGCACGCCGGTTGCGACGATGCATCATGTGGGAAGTGAAGAGGTCCAGGACATGTGGGACTTTGAGAACCAGAGGAACTCGACCAAAGTACCTCCACCCATGCGCCTTTCACACACATATTAGCAGACTAACAAACATCAGGAACCCCTACTAATGGAAGAACTCTACTATACCATGATTGCCTCCCTCATGACCACCCCTCGTCGCGATGACTGGGACAACCAATCCCCCTTCGACCAGCTCCGTCCCGACCCCATCCTCACCCCCAACCACGTCGGCGACTTCGACTTCTTCCACCACGACCCCACCAAGTCGTACAACCACTGCCGCAAGGCCTGCCAGAAGGACAAAGACTGCTTCCAGTTCGTGTACTCTAAAGACTCGTGTAAGTTCGATACGGCGTTCACGCTGGGGAAACCGCGGTATCCGAAGAAGGCGGAGGATGGGGGAGAGGAGATCAGGTTCCAGTCGGGGTGGTTGGTGGAGAGGATTCAGAAGTGGATTGCTCAGAACTCGCCGTGCCCCGGGCCGAACTGGGAGAAGGACCATTAAGGGGACGCTCGTTTTGGGGGAGTTTTGGTTTGGTTTGGATTTGGAGTGTATTGGGTGCGGTACGGTGTTTCGGGGAAGGGGTATTGTTACCATTTACATGCCATTTAAAGCCGAGGTAAGGGGCTGGCTGGAGCGATATTTTGATCACTTTTGGCCGGGGGGTAGTGCCAGTGTATTATTGTTACAATGAGGTATCTGTGGAACTTTGGTTGGGAGAGGGAAAAATACTATTAATATAGAATATAATATAATATCATTGTAACAACTACCAGCTTGGTATGGCGTTGATAGAGACACAAGTACGCAGGCGCAGAAGCTGAAAATTCAAAAGAGATATCAATGCCATCTCCCTTTCTCCTCTCGTACCCTGCTTTGTTGGCACACAGACAGCAAATAACAAAGATAAAAAAACCCCTCCCCAATGTCTTTGCGCAAGAGTAGATTCATGACGTATGAATATAAAAGTTCCAAAAAAAGACAAAAAATAATTTTTGGAGTGGCAGGGGATCGAACCCTGGGCTTTTCGCATATAAGTATCATGTTAATCCGAGGATTAGGTAATGCAAAGCGAACACTCTACCACTGAGTTACAACCCCATTTTTGATAACTGATGGAGTTTATTGTGCATGATAAGCCCTGTCCTCGCTAGTTCCCGCACCAAAATCAATCTTGAAGGGCCGTGTCGTCACGTCACCGTCTTGAGCTGTTCATGGGGACGACGGTGGAGGTTTCAAATGTAACAATTACAAACAAATGCTAGATATTATGTATTTCTCGTATAGCACCGCTAGAGTATTACTACAATAACTGAGCACTCCATTATCCACGTCAATTCCCACATCCAAAAATGTTCACTCATCCACATCACATCACAAGCATCAAAACCCAGAAAATACGCTCAAGTCTTTTTCGACCCAAACCTCTATCTATCTACTGTACAATCCGACATCCTCAGCCCAGCCTCGCGCGCACGTAGCCCCATATAAATCAAGCAACAGGTTCCGAATCGTAAGATCTCCACTTCTCACCATCCATCCCCCATCACCAACCGATACAGTTCCAAACTGCCCGCTCCAACCAAACCTCCGCCGAGCTCTCCATCCCATCCATTCAGAATGAGAAGAAAGAAGCCGCGATTCATAAATGTACCTAACTAACCCCCAAGCTCCCCCTTCCCAAGCCCACTCCGCTCCTTCGCTATATTCGTATCACACACAACGCGCGCACGCCCCCGATCCCCCTTTCCCATTCCCAACGAAGAAAACAGCCAGCAAAAACAATTCGTGCATTTCTTGTGCGCCTTTGTAAATGCGTCGAGTTAAACGAAAACCAGGTCTCATGCCAAATTATGAAATAAAATAAAAAAATGTTTCTCCCTTCTTCCCGTGTTTTGTGACTGAGCGAAACTAAAAGTGCAAAAACGGACTATCTGGCTTTTCTTATGCGAAACCAAAGTACTCGCTTCCCGTCGTGATGGCCGTGAGGACCTGTTGGCGGAGCATTTCGTAGCTCTCGTACTCTGGGAGATCAAGCTCTGCATAAACTGTTAGTGTCCATCTATAGAAGGAATCGGTGAGGGGTAGTGGGACTTACGGTTAAAGCAAGTATGCGAAGTTGGTAGACGATCTTTGTTTCCATAATCGCGATGGATGTTGAACCTGCTGAACCCATTCATGCCCTCAAGCTCCTTGAAGCCGTTGAGAGGAACCTTGGACGTGCCGGTAACGAACTGCAGCATCTTAGCTCGCTCTTCCTTGTCAAAGGAGCGGATGGCGCGCCAGAACCATTGGATCTGCGGCGAGGAAGCGGTGTAGTTGTGGTACTCGGTGGTTGCCTTCCAGTCGTCGACATCGATCTCTGGAAGACCAGAGATGAGCAACTCGAGCTCTTGCTCGTTGAAGATTGCGACCAGCTCAGCGGGGATGATCTCGTGGAAGCCCTTGAGGAAATTGTCCAACTGCTCCTGGACCGATCCAGTGAGCTTGAACTCCACCATCAAGCGAACGTACTCATGCTTGTTCTCCTCCGTGACGGGGACGTTGCGACCGTTCTCGATGAGATCGACAGTCTCGACAACACCAAACTTGTCATTGTCAACGGAGAAGGACTCGCTGATGATGTCGGTGATATCGTTCTCCAACATCCAGACAACGGACTTGTAGTAGTCGGGGTCGAGCGACTCCATATCCTTGACCGACACGGCCTTGCCGAGAATTCTCTTGTAGACTGCACGACTGAAATGGCAATCCAGGACTCGACCTTCGTAAAGGGCCTTTCCAATGACGCGACCGATGAACTTGAAGAACATAAGATGCTCGGGGTTGATGCTACTCGTCAAGTTGGGGTGGAACGTAGTCCTGTCGGAAGACACGGGGATAAACAGAGCGTACCCAGGGTCGAACATCTGTCTCGATAGCACCTGGAACCATTCACGAGTAACACCACCGGCATCCACTCCCTCCTCGCCATGGAATCGAATGCTCAGCTTGCCAAACTTCATCTCATCACCGCTCTTGAAGTACAGAGACTTGAAAGAGTCATGGAAAACCTGGTCACGACGGACCGAAAGCTGCAGCGACGGGTACGACTGGCGAGCCGGGTTGTTGCGGTTATGGATGCTCCTGTTGAAGTAGTTGCGCTTGTTGTCAAACTCCAACACCTTCGGGTTCTTCACCAGGAGCGAGAACGTCCCGCTCATGAGCTTGGGCGTGTTGCGAACAAGATCATTGAGAATCTTGCGGTGCTCCTCCGTAAAGGTGAAGAACAGGCTCTCCATGCGCGATTCCGGAACGGGGCTGGTAAGCATGTTATCCTTGCCACGAAGAGGCTGATCCTTCAGTGTCGTGTTCTTGCAAACCACCATCAGCGACTCGATCAATGGCAACAGAATAGTAGCCACATTGAGCATGTGATCGCGTTGTCTGATGGCGCTGAGGCAAGCGCTAAGCTTCTCCCACATAGGGCCAAAGGTAGAGTTCTCATAAAGCGTGGCTAGGAGATCTTGCTTCTCGGTATCGGCAGTCTCACTTCCTTCGGCTTCAGTCGTGGCGTCCTTTCTGGCATGCTTCGGATCAAAGAGATGGTCCAAAGCAGTGAGGACACGGAGCAACTTGTTCTGGTCTGATCCCGAAGGCGAGAACTTGGTAAGAGCTACACCCTGAAGTTCAGTGCTGTTTGAAGCCTTCTGAATCTGTGGGAAGAGCTCCTCGAGATCCAGGAGAATCACTTCACCAAGCTCTTGAGCTTTGGCGATGAGCTCCTTGCCAAAGACAGCCTTTGCACCTGGAAGGCACGAAAGGTTCTTGATGGTCGAAAGGGTCTCGCGGAAGGTCTTGGCGCTACACTCACGAGCAACGAAGATGTTGATCACGAGCTTGAGATTGGCATCCGGAACCACAGGTGGAACGAATGGTCGCACTTTCTTCTTCTCAGCCTCCTTAGTCTTGTCATCAGTCTTATCGCCATCGGCCTTTGGAGCGTCGGCGGTCGAAGAACCTGCCTCTGCTGGCGGATCTTCCGTAGTAGCCGGTTCTGGACAATCGGTATCCATGTTCTCTCCTTGTTGCTCGGCAGGTCCCGCCTCACCTTCACCTTCACCCTCAGCGGGCTTCTCCGCGGCCTTCTCCTCGGCCTTCTTGGCAGCCTCCTCGGCCTCCTTCTGTTTACGTTCAAACGTCTGGAGTGGCGCCGTGATGCGGCTCAGCAGATCCGAGAGTGACTCCATAACAGGCGAGCTCTCCATGATCAACTTGCGATCCAACAAGATCAGGAGGGAGTTCAACGGGAACTTCAGCGCCTTGGTATCCTTGCCCTTGCCCTTTCGGCTTGCGTTGCGCTTGAGACCACTAACTGCGGATTCATGCTCCGTCAAGAAAAAGGACGGCACATGGAGGTTGACCTTGCAGAGGTAGATGAGTGCTCCAAGACATTGCTGGACGACCATCAGTGGCGAGATATCCGAGTTAGGAACAGTTGTAAGAGCTGCCAATCCGGTCCCAGTGTTCTTCCTGCTAAGAGACAAAGGAGTCTTCGGGTCCTTATCTTTAGGTTGCTTGGCTCTCAAAGACAGATGCGCAAAGCTTCTCTCAACAGCCGTCATATCAGCGCTACCATCCTGCAGAATATGCAGAATCGTGCTAATAACCTCGCCTCTGTTATGGCGGTTCTCGGAGATATTCTGGAGGACCTGGTATAACGTGTTCCGCAAGCTGTCCTGCTGGAAGATAAACATCAGACGAAGTAAGGTAGCAACACCAGGCTTGTCGAGCATCTGAACAATGCTACGACGGACAGGCTTGACAATTTCGACCCCACTTGGAAGGCCTGGTCTCGCTCCTTCAAGCACGCGATTCAGACTGCGGAGCGGGTGACCGCCCATGGAAGCGCGTGCCTGTGCGATATACTCAGGAGGCAACTGAGCCAGCACATCCTCATCTTGCTCCGCAAGTACCTGGGCTCTCAAATCCGCAGGTAAGGTTGCCAGAATGCTCGCAGCATCCATTTCTTGCGGCACTGGAACCGGAGCTCCGTTAGCAGCAGCTTGACGACGGGCCTCATCGCGCTCGCGGCGGCGACGATCCTGTCTCTCTTGCTGGATAATCTCAGCGCGAATCTCATCTGGCAAGGCGTTGAGGAATTCTTGATCGATCTCCGATGGCGGTGCGCCAGTAGCAGCAGCGTCTGAGCGGCGCTGAGCAATAGCTCCTGTGATGACTTCCTCTCGAAGCTCCTCTGGGAGAGCATCAAGGTAATCGAGATCAATTCCCAAATCCGTAATATCAAGAGTACCATCGCGGAATGGAATCGTCACGCGCGGCCTATCTTCAGCAGGTGCGCCTTCTCCCTCTCCGGCAGCAGCAGCCTCGCCGGACTCCACACCTTCCATTGGCTGGGCGTTCTCAGCTTCTTGGGGTTGCTCCTCAGCTGGGGGAGCAGCCGCCGCAGCAGCAGCAGCTTCCTCAGCTCTGGCTCTCTCTTCCGCCTCACGTTCCTCTGCTTCTTTCTTTTCCTTGGCAGCCTTCTCTTCGGCTTCCTTCGCCGCCTGCGCGGCCTTCTCCTCATCCTCTTTCCTCTTCTTCTCCTCAGCCTCCTTCTTCTCTTGGATTGCCTTCTTCTCCGCCTCAAGGGCAGCCGGGACGACAACAGCCATGAGGCCCATAAGAACTCTCAAAGCCATATCCGGATGCCTAGGGCCAAACAGTAGTCTAGCCTCCTCGCTCCATCTAGTCGCCGTCAATTGCGTAGTGAAAGTCGTAGCAGCGCCAGGTTCAGCAGCCCCTGGGCCTCGCTCGTGGCCGCGAGCCATCCCCGGTCTCATCCCACCAAACATGGCCTGGAACTCTCGGGCATCGGCTCCACCAGGTCCGCCAGTAACATGGAAATGGAGGGCTCCGCCGTTTCGGCCGGCGGCTGGAATAGCGCCGCCTGGGAATGGTAGTTGAGTGAAGAGATCGTTGAGTATGGCGGCGGGTCCACCAGCCTCACCACCGAAAGGTCCGCGTCCCACGATGTTGAACAGGGCCTCGCGTCCGATGAATGGTGTCGATCCCACAAGACCGGCGTCGCCGCGGGCACGATCGCCGCGCTGGAGGAGTGGGTTGGTACCGTCGTTGTTGTCGCGGGGAGTTGGGCCGGGTCGGTGCGAACGATAGGAACCGCGGTAGTAGTCACGCACTGCTTGTGGATTAGTTCTGTCATATGGATCTCCTGGGGGGAGTAGAAGGGGTAAAATTCTATGGGACATGATTTGCCGTATCGTAGCTTGGAGGCTATCCCAGCTATGTTGCAAATCCTGATATTCTGAAATTAAAGTAGAGTCAAACATACCACCTAGTGGGTCGCGGTGAGAAGCGAAAAAGTAGGGCGATGGCTGCGGTGCCGCGTGCGCCCGATGGCCTCGGTGTGAGATAATCATCGGAGGTTCTTGCTCGTCGTTCCACTCAAAGGTAAATGGCATTCCTGGCTGGGCTACTGACAAAGTTAACATAATCTCGTAACAAATATCAGCGGTATACGTACGTTGGTACTCCTCGTACATATCCTCATCGTCATCCATCTCCTCTTCTTCCTCATCAACTTCATCTAGAATTAATTAGCATTGTGTCAATACTAGCTTTAGTCGGCCAGAATAGCATACCGTCTTCTTCATGGTCATCGTCCAGATACTCAATGTCCATATCTGGATCTCCACCACGCTCATCTTCAATGCGTTGCAGAAGATTATCGATTTCGCCATGGTGATGAGGATCCCCACCGAAAGCATGTACGAGACGACCCAACGGACCATGACCACCAGCATGCATTGCCTCTTCTTCCTCATCGGCAGCTATACCCTCGTAGCCCTCTTCCTCGTCTTCATCTTCGCTCTCCCAGTCCTCTTCATCGTCTAACTCGGCGAGTGGATGAGCGTTTCCTTCATTATCGATGATTTGGACGCGATCATCTTCGTCATCCTCGTCCATATCATCGTCTTCATCTTCGTCATCCTCATCAGAAGATCCGCTCTCGTCGTCATCTTCATCGTCATCCATAATGACTTCGACGTCCATGCCATGGTCGCCATCAAGGCCTTCAATCTCACCCATTCCCTCAAGCTCCTCATCCTCGTCGCTGATGTTATCTTCATCATCTTCAATGGGACCATCTTCATACCCCTCCATCTCCTCTTCATATCCATCCTCATCATACATCTCCTCGTCATCTATTAAAATTAGTACTGTAATGGTAATTCGCAAAACTAAGAAATCAAACTGACCATCTTCACCCTCAGACGACGACTCATGATCACGATCAGGCTCAAACATGCCCAGCGTAGAATTCCTAAACAAATCGGGGGTCTCCTCGCGATCGTCATCAGCGTCAGAAACGGACGACGCCGACTCGATTTCATCCTCATCATGCTGCCCAGGCGTCAAAGCCACCTTGCCAACCTCGCTCAATTCAATAGCCGTCTGAGTAAGCGCCTTCAATGGACGAAGAATATGCTTAACAGCACGCTTGGCGCCGGGGAAGTTAAGGTCGATATCAGCAATAGACGCGGTCAGGGCGCCAATGTAGCCCTTCTCGAACATAATACGCTTGAGCTGCTGCTGCGAGCGGATGGTAACATTTGGATCCGATCCGCCGCCAATATTGTCCTTCCCAGCCATGATGTGGCTCATAAGATCAGCCAGCGACAACATACGGGAGTACTTGATGTCCAGGGACTCAGTCGAGGTGCTGGCTTCCCTGTACGCCTTGATGATATTCTCCAGGACAAACTTGCGGACAAAGAGCAAGTCAGGCTCGTCATCAGAGTCGGTATTGTCACGGTCCCTATCCAGGATCTGCTCGCCAGTCTTGCTCAGAAGCGCGGTAATTGTCGAATCCGCCCACGATGAAGTAGAAACCTTCTTGCGCATTGTCAATGACTCGGCATGGTCAAGGCTACCCGATGGAATCAGGTCACAGAGCAGGTAATTGACGACATTTGATCGTGGCTTCGAAGGCGTCGCCGCGTGAGCTGGAGCATTTCTCTTGAAGTTGATGAACTCCACCTTGGTGCGGTTGTAGGAAGCCAACAGCTCGGTAAGACACTGAAGCAAGAAGCAGCGGTAGATGTAAATCGGATGCTCCTCTGCCTTGAATTCTGCCTTCTTCTTCGTCTCGGGCTTTGGGGGGGGGATTAGTGGTCTTATCTGAGGTGTATCAGAATTAGATGTCGATGATGAATCAGCGCCTGAAGAAGTGCTTGGCGTCGTGGTCTCAGGAGTGGTCTCTGCTGCCTTTTCTTTATCTTCTGCAGGTGCAGGAGGTGCAGCCTCCTTGTCTTCCACGTCTCTATAGTTCAAGAGCTCGCAGAGCAAGAAATAAATCACTCCATCGGGGTTCTCAACGATCGGCACCTTGTGCTCAACAGCCTTTGATCCCTCAGCAGCCTCTCCCTCGGCAGTCTCTGTGGACGGCTTGACATCTTCCATCGACAATTCCTCAGTAGGCTTCAATGTAGGCAAGACCGCATCCTCTGGCTTTCCCCTACGGGTACGCTTATATTTGTCTTGAAGCTCGATCTGTTGTCTACCTGGCTGGTCCGCCGTAGTCGTAGTCCACTTCACAAGCTTAACCATCTCATTGCTGACCTCCACAAACAGCTCTGGCTGCCTCACAACCAAGTTCGACATGCTGCGGAGATACAGCGTAATATCTGGGTGGCGCGAGCTTCTGCTCGAGTTGGGGTCAAGGAAGACCTTGATCTGCGATCGCATAATCTGCTTGATAGTGTCGTCATCCTCTACAATGTGACGGAGAATAAGCATCAACGGGCTTTGAATGCGTGGTGTCGCTGCACCGGCAAGTTGCTTAGCCATGACGAACAAACGTTGAATGTTCTTCTTCTCGCCCATGGCCACAGCAATATGCCTAGTGCGGGTCAAGATAACCAGGATACGCATAACGGCCAAGGCAAGCGACTCATCCTTTCCAATGCGGGGAAGCATGTCCAGGATAGCTTCGAACAGAGTAGATCTATCCTCAGTAGATACGACCAATTCGGGTGCCTTAAGCACAGGCTGCTCAAGAGACGCAGTCTCACTCGTCGGGATCTTCCACTCAGTCTCTCTCGGCTCCGCATCGTCGCTAAGGAGGATCTCAACAATGAGCAGAATATGAGCCACCCAAGGTGAAGATTCCTCGGACTTGTGGTCAGGCGACAGCTTGACAAACTCAAGCAGGTTCCCGAGATTGGATTTCAGCTCATCAAGCGAAGCCTTGTAGAACTGGGGGTCCTGGAGCATAAGCGCAAGGAGGTGAGCGTATGAAGCGATCTTCTTCCCCACCTCGCGAACATCGTCACTGAGGAACGAGGTCAAGGCAACCACCAGAGTACCACCCATAGTTGTGCGCATCTCTGCTTGCTCGGGCGACTTATCAATGACCGTGGTGATGAGATCGGCAATCTCAAAGGTGAACTCGCCATGTGCATTGATAACCTCGAGGCAGCGCTCGATAAGATTCGAGCGGATCTTCAATCGCTCGGCGTTCAGACGCTCGACCGTAGGGATCTCAGGCTGGCTCTCCAAGGTCTTGTCTGACGAAGACGATGATGGCTGCTGGTTGGGAACTCGCTCCGGCAGATTAGTTTGCTCGCCGCCTCCTGAGATGGCAGCGAATAGGTTGCCCGCCTCCGCATTCTCCAGTGTTCTATTCATATTCTCCAACAGCATCTGCTGTAAGTTAGGTGGTACTGATGCACGGGGTGCAAATTCTTCTGGGGACTGCGTGAACACCGGTGGCGGCACTCCATCATTGGGCGCTTCGCCTGCTCCGTTTCCTCCTTGTGCGGCACCCTGGTCTGGTGTGATAGAGCCTGTAGATGGTCTTGTCTCGTGGCCAGGAGCATCCTCGGGACCAATGTTTGGGTCGATATCGTCTTTTCCGAATCTATTACGGCCACCGGATCTCTCGCTGAGTTGCGCCTTGCAGTACTCCAGTGCCGAGGAATAGCTGTTGTTGCAGCGGAACAAGGCCTCTATCGCCAACTCTTCGTCATATTCGGCGGCTTCGAGCTTGAGGAGGTTCTCTCTGTTGACTCTCCATTTCTTCTTCCCCTGCTTGGATGGCACGATCGCCTTGTCACTGTTTCTAAACGCGCCCTCCTCCAAATCGGTCTCCATAACATTGCGAATGATGTCGATGAGCTTGTTTGGGATGATCTTTGAGCCCTTCTCGACAATATCTGACTCCCAGAGCTTTTGAACGGCTGGCAAGATCGCCATGCGCACTTCAAGCACGAATTGGCCAGCCGAGAAGTAGTTCGGGCTGTTTCGATCTCTGTCGGATCGCGAGTGCAGCGTCGTGCTCTGGAAAGATTCGCCAACATTCTTTCCGGTTACGAGCGGACCGTAAAGTTCGAGGATATGCTTGATGCCCAAAGTAGCCAGGTCGTTTCTCAGAAGAAGGTCGACATCGTTGAAATTGACGGTCTTATCCGCATTGTTCCTCACTTCCGCATCGAAGAGCCCAAGCATGTGGTTAATCGTGTTAAATCCACCAGCCTTCATGAATGCCTGAACGACAATGGTGATGCATTCCTGTGGCCTCTCAGCCGTCCTCGCATTATTGACAAGGATGTCCTTCACCGTCCGGAACATCAGGACCCAGAAGGTGTATGTTTCGCTTGAACTCTCGTCGCCCACCGATGTCAGCTCAGACAGAACGGTCTCAACAATTGCGTTTGCAATCGAAACGTTGCTCTGGCGTTGGAACGAGTCAGGGGTTCGCTTCGGAACAAGGCCCTTCCCAATAACTTGGAAGAAGATAGACATAGATATCGGCATCTTGCCAAGGAGGTAGTGTAGATTTTGGAAGTTCTTGAACTCGGGGCTATGCTTCTCTTCGGTGGTGAGTGTCTTAGTTTGGTTTACTTTGTGAATAGGGTTCTCAGCACCAGAAGAATCGGTCACCAAGGTGGCCATTGGGGCAGTTCCCTGTGCTTCCGGCAGCAAGGAATGCAGTGCCTCCTCGGTAGAATCAATCGTTGGGATGAGTGGCTCAGGCGCATCATTCATGAACATCTGGACTGATTGACGGCCAGCACGTCTCCAATGCCTCGGCGCAAGCCTCATCAACTTAAAATCCTCCTTGATACTAGCGGCGAGAATAGCGCCAAGGCTCTTGACCAATCTAACGTAGTAGTCCGCGAGGTTCATAGAGCTGAAGCTCGAGGCCTGGTTGCGGCTGAAAATAGGAGAAGAAATGCATTGGCGCAGCGCCATGCATAGATTCTGGGCCGTCACCATAGCCTCAACCAACGATGTCCCTCTCGCCAGTAGGATATTTTCAGTGCGATCATCAGATTGCTTGCAGCCATCGATGAACTTGCCAAAGTATGCCTCTCGACCTTGGTGCTGTGTGAAGGGCGCCAACGTATCTGCGGCAGCTTGCGCTCTCTTCATCAAGGAGGGTACAAGGATGTGTGCCTTCTGTTCCGCGAGGAGGGCAATAACTGTGTGCATATTTCTATGCGAACGCTCATCGGAAGGTGAGTTCGGCAGGACTGGCAGCTCGGCCAAATCCAGAATAGCCTCGACCCCACCATTCTCCATGAACAAGTTGCGTACGCCTGCGTTGTTGAACAGTTGAGTGAGGAAATTGGCAACAGCTGCAATGTATGGAGTCACACTGTTCTCGCGATCATCCTCGGCCAGGTTGACAGGCTTCGACACTTTCGATGGCTCAGCTGCCTCAGTAGAAACACCGGTCATCTCCACATCCGCGTCTGCGTCAATGGACTTGCCCTTTCCTTTGTCTTGGTCCGTCAAGAGGTTGCGATCAGCGACGACTACATCGCCATTTGCGTTGGTGACCAACAACTTCGCGCCAAGCTTCTCTGTCTCGGTCCTAGTCTTGCACAGGTAGCTCACTCTAGCAACCATATCCAGGACGGCATTTAAGATCGCGGTCTTGAGAGCTGGATGATGGCGGACCAGTTCGTCAAAGGTTGAGCCAAGGGAGGTAGCAAGATTGTTGGCGTCATTATCGAGCACCTTAACGTGAGCAGGGCTTTCAAAGATCTCAAAGAAGCTTTGAAGAGCGTTGGACTCCAAGAACATCTTCATGCCGGCATTATTCAAGCAGATGGCACCAAAGGCCTCCGGAACGATAATGATAGCTTCGGATGAAGGCATGATACCGCGGGCGAGAGGGCCAGGCCGAGGAGTCTCAAGCATCTCCTTGGTTGGCGGATGGGGAGTTTCATCAACGACAACTGAGAAAATACTATCGTCATCAGTGTGCGATGGAGAGCCTTCCTCGTTGGTCGACTCAGGTTGAGGCGCACCGTCCTTGGGCGCTGGAACAGTTATCTCGTGTCCCAAAACGGCCTCCAAGACGGCCTTGCTGAGACCAGCCTCGGCAATGATTGCAAAGCTAGTTGGTTCGTTGTTGATGAAATCATTCAGGATGCTGACCGCATTTGTCCACACAGAGCTTCCGAAGATTTTTGCTTGGCTTATGATCTGTCGAAGGCTCCCAAGTAGTTGCGGTGAGTCAATCAAATTCCTAAGAAGACGGTCAAAGTTGCCACCATAACCGCCAGCCTGGTTCATCATGTGGTGAATGAACTTAAACAGCCATTTGATAGACTGCTGCTGGTAATATGGGATCTCGTAATCGATTGAAGGCGATCGGTAGTCCGCAGGCATACCCTCGGCCTGGCTTGCCACTGCCGTAGAAGACTGGACCTCGTGGACAATCAGATTCGAAATAGCATCAAGTCCGTCGGCATTCGCCAAGACTTGGAAGGCGTCCTTGACGTTAAATACGATAGCGTCAAGGAAGTTGAGAACTCGCGGGTAGCTGCCCTCAGCAACTGAGGTGCGCAGCGTCAGGACCTCGACCAGAATGGGGACGAGGCCGGCGGTGACCAACTCGTTTCCAGCCCGAGGAAGCGTGGCTACGTGTGAGAGAAGCGCAAATAACGCACTGTGCCACTCGTCATTTTCAGTGTGCTTGTCGCCAGGCTCATCAGTTGCCATTTCTGCAACCGCCTTTCGGACAATGTAAAGGAGAACTCCATGGTTCACATTCGTGTTTAATGCCGTGCACACATCCTGGTACTTGTGTGCGTGCTGAGCAAGACCTTCAAGGGCATTGACAGCGATTGTTTGGAGAGACCTAGGGATTCCCAAGTCTCCTTGGGCAGGTGGGTGGATCAGCTCCGCCAGTTGGTAGATGAGCTGCAGGCGGCGTGGTTCGTCGCTATCCTGCTTTAAGACCTTCTCCAAAAAGCTAGGCTCGGGGTAGATATAAGCCAGGTTGGTAACGGCTAAAAGACGGACGGCAAGCATCTGTCTGCGAGTATCTAAGGAATGGGATAAGGCCTTCGCAACTCTTAATTTAGTGAGAAGCGTATATTTTGCTGCATCCGGTACACTTGGGAGGTACTCTTGGAGCAGCTCCTGGACAGAATGTTCGGAAACTTTGGACGCTGGGACGTCGATCACTTTAAGGTTAGAGGTCGCTTTCTCCTCAGCCTGCGCTGCGGCTGGCAACGTGGAAGACCGACTTGGAGTTGCCGGAGCTTCTTCGGAAGCTGGAGTTCTGGGGGCTCGATTCCCATGTTGGTTGCCGAGCATCGATGTGCGTCGTACCGGAGTAGGTGTGACTGGTGCAGCCGGCGCAGTATGAGCTGTCGATTGTGGTGCCTCTTCCCCGCGTGCCTGAGACTCGTAGTATGAAATGCGCACATCGCCCCATTCATTCCAGTCTACCTCCGCGGAAGTTTGTGACGATGTTGATGCAGCCTTCTTGCCCTTGGGGCTAGGATCAGGAAGCGTTCCGCTCCTCACAAGGGAAACCAGATCATTCGCGTAGCTCTTGCTCGTAGTGGTCTTGCTGCCTGCTACAGGAATGCTGAAGTATGCCTTATCCTTGCCCTTCGCGTTCGGGGTGACGGGTGTGTTCGGAACCGTGGGCGCAGTAGTCTCCGTTGAGGTAACCGTTCTCGAGAATGGCTGAGAGAGCTGCTGCACCTTATCTAGGTCTATATTGTAATGGTTTGCAAGGAGAGTCGCATTTGTCTGTCGATGGGAACTTGCGATTCTACGGAAAGTAGCCTGGTAGCGCTGCGCCAGCTGGGTGCCGATCTGGAGTGTCGCGGCCAGTAATGACAGAGATGTGCTGTTGAGAAGATCGCTCAAGTGAGTGCTGCTCGAATATATGCTTCTATTACCGCAATTCTCGAGTAATATCCTAGAGAAATGCAGGATTCGCTCTATGACTTCTCTATCGCCCTCCGGGCCAAACCCAGCCTCGGAAATCTGCTCATCTGTCGCGCCACCCTTTTGCAGGAGTTCGCATCCAAAATCTTTAACCTGAGGACCATTGTTGAGTGCATAGGTTGCGCAGAAGGTTTCGAGATCGCTGTCGAATCTATTAAGAAGAGGGATCCAGTGGTAGAGATCACCTCTGGGAAAAGGCCATCGGGTTGGGAAGTCGGCAAGGGCTTGTGGGAGGGTATGCCATGGTGCTGTCGATGCGTTCTGCACAAACGATTGGATATACGGCGACTAATGGAATGTCAGCTCATCTTGGGTTGGATTTCAATAGCATATAGAACGTACCAGCGTCTCCTTGTGCTTTGGTTGTATGGTCTTCAGTATCTTGACCATGGTGTTGACTGCTGCGGTAATACCGCAATTTGGGATATTGTTGTCCCCCTACACTGCCTCCACATTGGTCCAAGCTGGAGACAGCTTTGCTGATATTCGAGGAGCGTCCAGGTCGGACAGCTCCAAGGGACGAGTGAAGTGGCAAGGGTGTAACGTTCAAGTTGTCGAGTCGGATGGTATTCGACGGCGGCGTCGGGTATCTAGAAATTAGTATAGGAAGGGAATGTATTACCTGATCAAACTCAGGTGAATCTACAGCACCCTGCAGGTGCTCAGATCGGAGTGGTTTGGTGTTGATCGTGCTGTGGCTTCAGCAAACGGCAGTGTTGGTTTATCGTAAGTGGAAGCTGGTATCCTTGCCAGGTTGCGAAAGAGAGGTGGAGAACTCCTCTCGTAACTTGATCAAGGATCTTCGATGGATGAGGTTGTAGGTAAGGAGGGTAGATCAAGACAGAGAAGTCCGGAGCTGTAGTGAGAGAGGTGAGTTTGTAGAAATTCGATGTGAAGATATGAGGCAGGGCGGGTAGAAAGGTGAGGTATTCCAAGCTCACCCACCGGGAGCCGCTAGTTTTTTGGAGACGGCGGCAGCGCGCGTGTCGCTAGAGCAGTGAATTTGCAACCCCACGCTTATCGTAAATCGTATTTTCAGTTTATTTTGTTCTTTTACCTCTAGAGTCCGCCGATCTGCACGTCACTTTTTTCGTCTAGAAAATATGGTAGATGGCAAAATAAATTAATTCATATTACAGTGAATGCATTTGGTATTCTGGGTTACAGCTCGAAATGGGTAGTTTTTTTCCTTTTTTCATCCAACTCTGCCTGGATTATAGGTTCCGGTGCTACCCAATGCCGCTGTCTGTTTGACGGGTCATGCATCTGTAGGCCAAATCAAGGACCCTTCGGGTGACCACGTCATGCTGCCCTTCACGAGTTTGATGGGCAAGGTGTGGGATTGGGAGTTGGACAATATATTATTGCGATGGATGCCGTGTAGCATGTGCTTCTTGATGGTTCTATGGTTATCCAGACCAGTTGTCTTAAATTCAGGGTTCTCGGGATGTATATATATAAAAAATGGCCTGTTATATTATTTTATCACCTTCACGTATAAAAATGAAATAATAGAAAATAAAATAGTAAATGCGACCCAAAAAACCCAGCTATCATATTTAAAATAAAACAAATATTCACAAATCATAATATATCAAGAGGATATAATCCAATCCAATAAGACGATCTAAAGGGTATATATCACCTTTTTTGTTATCTCAGATACCATAGACCCTGACCTCAGGCGTGGTTTCAGCATCACAATCAGTACAATCAGCACAACAGATATCACGTGACACGGAGTGCTAACCAGCAGGTGGTAGTTGTAATTATCATATTTGATGCACCATATGAGTTATAACTGGACGTACTGCTTTATAACTTTCTTACAAATTACCTGTACCAGTACCATTCCCTCCTCGCTGAGTAAAAAGATATTCCCTTATGAGTCCGATGAATCTGACGAGTTCCATCCCATCCTCTCCCCGCTCAGGCCAGCTGAAACGCGAAACATCTGTGGACCACCAAGTGGCGCCCGCGTCAGTGTTTCGCGTTACAAGTTGATTAGCCAGAAATAACAACGCGCACGGCTGAAATACCACCGTGGCTTCCCGGGTATTACTTTAGTGGCTTAACCGTCGTCGAGTCTCAGACTTCCAGAGACGCATCATTGGAGATTGGATGTCGCCGTGCAGATGATTGTGTACAAACGGTATTCGGCGTACAGGGGCATTATCGAGGTACAAACAGTATTATGCTAATCATATAGAGAGATATTAATGGATTTTCTTCATGGATGGGGGCTGAAGGAGGGGTTCATTAGAGACGGTTACTCAGTACAGTCGTCTGTTCTGTTTGTACGTATGGTATATAGTACGAGAATAGTAGAGCGTTTATAGTCTCTCTATACTCACTCTCTCTGTTCTCATAAACCCTACGTATAATACTCACACCGCATGAATAATAACTGTGGCCTTATTCACTGCATTAATCGAATTGATTCAATTTCAATAGCCCTGCAAAACTGGAGAAACTCCCCAATCCGTCCCCTTGTTCTGCAGATCCAGAATTAAGATTGCCAAGATCGCGAGACCTCCATCAATTCGCTCCTGAACCAGACCACAGCTCCAAATATTTCGGCGACCATAATAGATACCAAAACGGAAACGGAGCCACAGCACAGGGCAAACGGCGGCAAATCGGGCCACATTATATAAAGAAAGATCGCCTTCCGAGGGGGAACCAGGAACCAAAAAACCCACTCGAGATCGACACTGGGAAACAGCGACCCAGGCACCCAGAAGCCACCGTTTCTCCGTCTCCCTACATACGCACCTCCAACTTTACTTGCTGTCGTGCACACCTGTGATAATCTGCAGCCAGCAACCGACAGACAGACGTCAGAGAGGGGCATTCTGCTGTTCACCATTGATGGCCGCGAATAGCACCTGAACTCTCCAGGATAACGACAAGGTCGGGCCAGAAGCACAGGAACAAACCATATACCACCCGACATCTACAATGTCAACACCAGAAGGAGACGGCGATACGCGCCCTGAGCCGGTGGTCAAGAATACACAGCCTGAATCTGACGACTCGGGCCACGAAACTGTAAGACACGAAAGACAAAGAATTGCTGATCTGGACAGTTGGCTAACTGTGATACTATCAGGACACTTTCGAAGACGCCGACACCACACCCATTGATCACAACCAGGCTCTGTCCCCAACAACTTCAACACGCTCTTTAACGAATTCCCACACGGCTCATCAAAATGGAGGCTCTGAGGCCCCAGTGGTACCTCCTCTAGAGGCGCACCCGGAAGACGACGTATCACCTACAAGCAGCCAACCAAGATCTCCCGCAGCTGTCACCGAACGCCTCTCAACCTTAAGCCTAGACAACGTGAGCTTGGACGGAGAGGAGATTGCCGCAGCAGCCGCATCGACCGACAAAGGTATGGCTTTCAGACTCGAGCCCCTAGTAGCTGTTAATTGGAGCTGTTGCTAATCATATTGGACGTACAGCAGAAACCACTAAGCCCGAATTACCCCCACGAACCTCCGCAAAGGCTGTCTTCGAGGGCCTCCAAGGCTCACTGCCATCAGTACCGTGGGGACCACCTCCGCCACCACCTCCAGCAAAGGACAAGCCACAAACTGTTGTTCCCCCACCACGAAAGCTCACAGGACCATTTTCCTGGTTGTCGAGAGGTTCGGCACCACCACCACCCACTGTGCCAAGAGTACCATCTCCTGGGAACGGCTCTGGAGGCCGCCGAAACACGACCTCTTCGATAGCTACGAATAATAGCAACCCAGACCTCATGCTCAATAAACTGGATGAGGGGAACGAGTCGCCAAATGGCATTAGGAACTCATCGAGGAATAGCCTACGGGATAGATTCAAGCTTCTGAGGATGAGAGAAGAGGCAGGCATTACTTCGTTGGGCGAGGAAGGCGAAGAGGGGACACCGATTGAGACTATGATTGGGCGTGTGAGCCTTGGTCAAGGACTCACCAGCCCAACGGGTTCGGAGGACAAAGCTCTACCAGCAACCCCGAATGCGGCGGCTTTCAACCCTTCATTAGCACCAGGAACTGCGGCGGGCGTTACATCTGGACCACCTGCCAACGAAGAAGTTGACTGGGATTTGTGGCAGTCAGTGGTCTACGAGGGCCCAGCAGCAGTAGCGAGGACAAGCCCCGAAGAGTTGAACCAGGCGATCGCCCTCGGTATCCCGTCTGCGATCCGAGGAGTTGTGTGGCAAGTCTTGGCCCAGAGCAAGAACGACGAACTGGAATCGGTGTATAGAGACCTGCTCTCGCGTGGAACGGACCAGGATAAGGATAGGGCGAGCATTTCTAGCGCAGGAGCGAGCAATACCTTCTCGAACGGTGGAAAAGACAAGGATACCGCGTCATCGGCGTCATCGGTGCACTCTGATCTGTCGGGAAGCGGATTGAAGTCACCATCGCCAACTGAGAGGGACCCAGAGAATATCGCAAAGGCGCAGGCTGCTGCTTTGGCCGAGAAGAAAAAGAAGGCCAAGGACGATGCGGCGTCGTTGCTGAAGCTGGAGAAGGCCATCAAGCGCGATCTGGGCGCGAGGACAAGCTTCTCAAAGTTCGCAGTCAGCGCAGGCCTACAAGACGGACTATTCGGAGTATGCAAAGCATACGCCCTCTTCGACGAAGGCGTCGGCTACGCCCAAGGCATGAACTTCCTCGCCATGCCCCTCCTCTTCAACCTCCCTGAAGAAGAAGCCTTCTGCCTCCTCGTGCGCCTCATGAACCAATACCGCCTCCGCGACCTCTTCATCCAAGACATGCCCGGCCTGCACAGCCACCTCTACCAGTTCGAGCGTCTCCTCGAAGACCTCGAGCCCGCGCTCTACTGCCACCTCCACCGCAAGGGCGTCACCCCGCACCTCTACGCTACGCAGTGGTTCCTCACTCTCTTCGCATACCGATTCCCCCTCCAGCTAGTCCTGCGCATCTACGATCTCATCCTCAGCGAGGGGCTGGCTGCGATTTTGAAATTCGGGATCGTACTCATGCAGAAGAACGCTGCTACCCTCCTGGGCATGAACGACATGGTCGCCCTAACCAACTTCCTCAAAGACCGCCTCTTCGACGTCTACATCGACGCCTCCCCCTCCCCCGGCTCGATCCTCGAATCGGGCTTCTTCGGCTCCTCCGGCGCCAGCATCGACAAAGAAGTCTATCGCGCCGATACCCTCGTCCTCGACGCCTGCGCCGTCAAAATCACCCCCGAGATGCTGAAGACCTACACCAGTGAATGGGAGGAGAAAACCCGCGCTGAAAAAGAGCGCGAAGCAGAGCTGGAACTCCTCCGCTCCACTAACGCCTCCTTATCCCTCAGTGTCCGCCGTCTCGAAGAGCGCGTTCAGAATCATGATCAAGAGCACGCTGCTCTCGCTACGGATCTCGTCCGCACGAAGGTCGAGAATGAGGAATTGCTGGACCAGAATGAGAGTCTGAAGGGGCAGGTGGAGGAGCTCAGGGGGGTGGTAGAGAGGCAGCCTGCTGAGGTGGAGGAGCGCCTGAAGATGGAGATGGACAGGTTGATGAAGAGGAATTTGGAGGTGCATGAGGAGAATACGAGACTCGAGGAGGAGATGGGGGAGATGGAGGGGACGTTGGTGGAGACGAAGATGGCGTTTGCTGAGGTGAGTTGTTTTTTCCCCTTTCCTGCCCCCTTACGCTGTTTTTCGAATGCTAATATACGGGACAGCTTAACGCACAACACGAGACCCTGCAGCGGCGCTGGACAGATCTCAGGAAGGCGCTGGATTAACCCCCTCCCTGCCTCTGATACTTTAAGAATGCGGGTTGGCCAGGCCACTTGATGTGATGCTCCTGCTTATGAAGAAAAATTATCACGCTGCGTTGCGTTGCATTGCGCTGCGCTGCATTTCGGATGGGGGGCGTTTTTTTTTGTTGTGTGTCTTCGTTGGACTTCTTCTTCTATGATGCATCCGAGGGGCGGGATTGCATTTTTTTTTGTATGAAGTACTATGCGTTTGTGTAGGAGTGATTGTATATAGGTTAGGGCTGGAGAGTGATATGAGGGAGTGGTGAGGGAGTGGAGGGGGCTGGAGAACAGCATGGTATATTCGGGGATGGATGGGTGGGTGGATGGATGGATTGACTGGGTGGGGATGGATGAGAGGGGGAGGGAGGAATAGCTGACTATACTATATGGATGTAGCTCCGATGCTTGGACTGGGCTTTGGGGTTTTGATAGCTTTGGTGGGGGTGGGGTGTGGTGGGGAAGGTAGCGGAGAGAGGAAAGTGGGGTAGGGGGGGTGGAGAGGAATGGAATGTGATATATGAGAATTATTGAGCGGGGGGTTTGGGTGATGCTGAGATGCTAAGGGGAAAGAATTAAAGTCAAATCAGACCCAGATTATATAAGAGCCCGGGCAGAGCATCCGCTGTGAGGATCATCATGTCAATCAGAACTACCCACGCACCTCCACTCACTTATAAATGTTGACGTTTGTCCATATACAAGTTTCCGAAACGTAGCTCTGCCCACCAAAGAAACGCCTACGACCAAAATTGATCGAGTCAGTCAATGCTCTCTTTCGAGGAAACGCCATGGATGCGTTCAGATACCCGCAGAATGTTTTTGAAAACGTGTCTGCTGTCACCAGCTATTCTTGTCACCATCTTGGTATTCCCAATACGCTATACTATTGCCACTGGTTATATTATTACTACCGCTCGCTGTCCTTGTTCTCACCTGTCTGCCGCTGCCGTCACTATAATAACATTTGTATGCTTGAGGCCAGCGAAAGCGCAGAGCGTGGAACGGGCGAAAGGGAGTTGATGCTGTAGCGGTTATCCCGCAAACTATTCTGACCGAATTGCTCTCTGTTTCTTTGACAAAATCTAAGCTTGTTATCCATTCTAAGTAATTAAGTTATTACTGTACTTGAATCTTAGATCTTAATTGAATCTCACATGAATCCCTGTGGTATAATTATCCCTGGCCAGCCTTGTGATTAGAGTTATGCCGAGGCGTCCAAGGCTGAGCCTTGGAATTCCACGTTGATTGGCTGTACTGTAACATCCAACAGTCTAGATTCCAAATTTGTACTTGGTACACACAAAACGGCCCGCCCCTTCTCTTCCTACCAAACCTCAACAAGACCACACAACAACTCCGAATTGGGAAGAGAGGAAGTCATAAAAGTGAAGTTTAGAGAAGAGAAACAGTCAAGATGGCGTCTTCCATGACTTTGAGGGTCACCACGCCCGGTACGTCCCCTCCCCCTTATGCTCTCATGCTCTTTGAGAACTACAATTTTGTTGAGGTGCATGTGAACTGAACTGACCTCATACGCAGCGGGCAAAAAGCCAATCCGCAAGCTCCCCTCCAACATTGAAATCGGCGCTGGCACGACCGTCGAGGAGGCCAAGAGGATCATCGCGCGCCACACTGGCATGCGCGACTACCACCGCATCGCCATCGTGGACACCACCACCAAGAGCATCATCAAGGACCGCCTGAGCATCCTGGCCCAGAACCCCGGCGTGCAAGCCACCGGCGACATCGCCGTCAAGGACCTTGGTATGCCCCTCCCCCTCCTTTCCCTTCTTCCCGTCCTATTGCCCACAGCGACTAACGACACCCAGGCCCCCAAGTCTCCTGGCGCACCGTCTACGTCGTCGAATACGCCGGTCCCATCTTCCTCTCCCTCCTCCTCGCCTACCCCCTCCGCGCCTATATCTACCCCACCGCCCTCTTCGGCCCCGCCACGCCCTTCTCAACCGTCCAGACCATCTCCCTCGCCCTAATCGTGCTTCACTTCATCAAGCGCGAGCTCGAGACCGTCTTCCTCCACCGCTTCTCCGCCGCCACCATGCCAGCCTCCTACATCCTCAGGAACTTGGCCTACTACTGGCTCTCCATGCTAAACATCGCGTACTGGGTTTTCGCCCCCAACGCCGCTGCTGCTGCACCACTGGAGGAGGGGAGGGATACCTACATCCTCGCTGCTGGACTGGCGGTATACCTCTTCGGCGAGCTGGCCAACTTCAACACCCACGTCATCCTAGCGAACCTGCGACCCAAGGGGACCACCAAGCGCGGCATCCCCAAGGGGTTCGGCTTCGGCATCGTCGCGTGCCCGAACTACCTCTTTGAGCTCGTCTCGTGGATCGGTGTGCTCCTTGTGACGCGCAGTTTCGCGACGGGTGGGTTCTGCGTCGTGGCGTGGTTGTGGATGCAGAGGTGGGCGGTAGGGAGGGAGAAGAGGTATCGGAAGGAGTTTGGGGCCGCGTATAAGCCGCATTTGTATCCGATGACGCCGGGGTGGGCGTTGCCGATTAGGAAGGCGAAGGAGTGAGTGTGTGAAGTGTTGGTGGGGTGGTGTGTATTAGTAGTGAGGGGTGGGTGGGTGGTTAGAAAGGAAAAATGGAATGAGGGCTGAGAGGGAGCTGGCTACTGGGGAAGGGAAGTGTGCGTGGGTGGTATATTGATAAGAAAATAATGAGGAGATGAGTTAGATGGGCTATAGGCTCTAGATTGCATGGGCATTGCAGGTTTATGGGAAAGGTTATTGCTTCGGTCATATGGCAACAAGATCATTGCATTGTTTTTGCTTAAAAGGAGTAGCGCAGAATTGAGTCTCGATTGAAAGTACAGATTTTTCTATACACCGATGCCACTCCACTGAACACCACACGAAAGGCCGTCGAAAGCCATAAAATGCAGTAATCTACTTTTGACGCCAAACTACTGTTGTTATAATCAGTTATCCCCCGCAGCAACAACCCCCATAACCTTATCCAGCACCGCAAACCCCTCCTCAATCTCCGCCTCCGAAATCGTCAACGGCGGCACAAACCTCAACGTATTCGTCCCCGCCGTAATAACCAACAACCCCCTCTCCCTCGCCGCCGCCACAATCGGCGTCGGATCGCGATCAAGCTGCAGCCCCAGGAGCAATCCCTTCCCCCTAATCTCCCCCACAAGCTTCGGGTACTTCTCCTGCAACTTCTTCATATGCCCCACAAACAGCGCCGACTTCGCCGCAACAGCGGACTGCAACTCCGGCTGGGAGAGTCGAGACACAATATGATGCGCCAACCTCGACGCCAACGGGTTTCCACCAAACGTCGTCCCATGATCCCCCACCGCGATCTTCTCCGCCACAGCCCCCGTAACCAGCGTCGCACCAACAGGGAACCCATTCCCAAGCGCCTTCGCCGTCGTCAGAATATCCGGGTGCGCCTCAGTTGGCAAATCGCTGTGAGCCCACAGCGTGCCCGTGCGGGAGAGTCCGCACTGGATCTCGTCGTAGATAAGCACCGCGCCAACCTCCTTACAACGCTTCGCAAGCGCGACCAGGAACTCGGGGGTGGCGACGTGCACACCGCCCTCGCCCTGGATCGGCTCCACGATCACACCAGCAGTGTTGGGCGTCACGAGCTCGGCAATACCAGCGACATCGTTGTATGTCCCGTAGCGGAAACCGGGCAGCATAGGCGCGAAGGGGGCTTGGTACTTTGGATTCGGGGTAGCGGAGAGGGAACCCATCGTCCTGCCGTGGAAGGAGTTATTGAACGACACAATCTCATGCTTCGCCCCGCTCGGATCCGCAACCTTCCCCGCCTTGCGCGCAAACTTAATAGCCGCCTCATTAGCCTCCGACCCAGAATTACAAACAAACACCGCCTCCACGCCCTCCATACTCCCCGACTCGCGCGTCTTCTGCACCAGCAGCGCCGACAGCGCGCCCGTCCAGGGGTTATGATACAAGTTCGACGTATGCATCAGCGTCTTGGCCTGCGAGTAGATGAGCTCGCTGATCTCCGGGTCGCAGTGGCCCAGGGCGTTGACGGCGATCCCGGCGGTGAAGTCGAGGTATTTCCTGTTCTCGAGGTCGTAGAGGTAGGATCCTTGGCCTTTGACGAACATGGGGCCGGGGCGCGCGTAGGTCTTCACCATGTACGGGGCTTGCTCGTTCACGACGGTTGTGGTGGCTGAGTCGGCGGCTGGGTCCGGGTTCGGGAGGTGCGCAGCTTTCTGGGGGTTTTTGTTAGAATGATAAAAGTAGAGACAGATAGAGGTCATAAGATGGGACATACGAAGATTTCATTCTTCAATTGCTCCGGCAAATTCGAACCAGAAGCCCCAGCCGCGGCTTGTGACGCACAGCGCCGAGCCGGGGCATTGCTCATTTTCAGGCTTGCGGCCGCCGCCCTCCTCGCCGATAAACGCAGAGACATTGACATTGGGACTATGGGCAATCGTGCTTAGGCAGAGCAATTGCAGGGAGATGTAAAGCTTGGTGGGGGGATTGAGAGTTTCGAGGCAGTCAACTTTGGGTTGTTGTGATGGGGATTGTGAAAGATGAGGTAATAAATGTTGCTCAAGGTCGACCCGAATATTTAACTTATCGAGAGATCCAATCGGTGACTCTTCGCAGACGCCAAGGACGAGGCTGAGTGAGTAACAACCCTGAGGGTGCGCTGTATTTCAGCCTTGTCATCGAATTTACAACGCGCTTTATTTAAAAGTACCAATAACCACATGCAATAAATAATACTCATGCCAATATGTACCAATATATATCAATCAAACAATATCTAATTCCATATTGAATAATCTGGTATTTGCTCAATCATCTCAATCACCCGCCTACGATCAATACGCATTCACAAAACCATACACTAAACCGTCTATCATATGCGCAACCCCTCTTATCCTACTAACAAAGAGACACACAACACAACACGCTAAAGACCGTCACGACACGCTCAAGCATCAATCAGGTTCTCCTCCTGCTGACCCGCCTTCGCTGCATCCTCCGTGTTATCCCTCGTATCCTTCTGCCCCTGCCTCTTCTTCGTCTTGCGCTCCGACCTCTGGTAGAACTCCGCCAGGATCTTGGACGGGATACGGTTCAGCAGCTCCTTGGGGTATATGCGAAGCAGACCCCACGCCTGGTCGAGGGACTCGTAGATAGTCCTCGATTCGTACGGCGACTGCGAGATGAAGGTGCGCTCGAACTTCTCCAGGAACTCGAGGGAGAGCTTGTCCTCGGACGACAGCGCCTCTTCACCAACGACGGCCTTCATGGCCATGGCGTCCTTGCCGATGGCGTACTTGGCGTACAGCTGGTTGGAGACATCGCCGTGATCCTTCCTTGTGTTGCCCTCGCCAATGGCAGACTTCATAAGACGGGAGAGAGATGGCAGGACGTTGATCGGAGGGAAGACACCACGGTTGTAGAGCTGGCGATCGATGAAGATCTGGCCCTCGGTAATGTAACCAGTTAAATCGGGGATAGGATGAGTGATATCATCGTTAGGCATGGTGAGGATAGGAATCTGAGTGATCGAGCCGTTACGGCCCTGGACACGTCCGGCGCGCTCGTAGATCGTCGACAAATCAGTGTACATGTAACCCGGGTAACCACGACGACCTGGAACTTCCTCACGAGCTGCGGAAACCTCACGAAGAGCGTCACAGTATGCAGTGAGATCCGTCATGATAACCAAGACGTGCTTCTCGAGCTGGTAGGCGTAGTATTCAGCAGTTGTCAGGGCAAGACGAGGCGTAATGATACGCTCAATGGTAGGATCGTTGGCCAAGTTAAGGAAGAGAGTGACACGCTCCAAGCTGCCGTTCTCCTCGAAATCGCGGGTGAAGAAACGGGCAGTTTCCAAGTTGACACCCATAGCTGCGAAGACGATAGAGAAGTTCTCCTCGTGGCCATCGTGCACGCCCTTGTTTGTGACACCCTGCTTCTGGACCAGGCCAGCTTGTCGACAAATTTGAGCTGCGACTTCGTTGTGTGGGAGACCGGAAGCAGAGAAGATGGGGATCTTTTGGCCACGAGCGATCGAGTTCATCGTGTCAATGGCGGAAATACCCGTCGAGATCATCTCTTCAGGGTAGACCTGCAGATAAAACCGTCAGAATGGGACTGCGAAGGGTCCATGGAAAAGGCCACTTACACGAGAGTATGGGTTAATAGGACTTCCGTTGATGTCCAGGTACTCCTCAGCCAACACCTTCGGTCCCTTGTCGATAGCCCTTCCGGATCCATCAAAGATGCGACCAAGCATGTCCTCAGAAACACCCAGCTTCAAGCTCTGCCCCGTAAACTCGACTGTAGTCTTTGTGAAGTCAGCAAAGTGTCTCGATTATAGATAGAGAAGGGGCTAACAAACCTTCTTCACATCGATTCCCGTTGTGCCTTCGAACACCTATATCTGGGTCAATACTTCAGCCGATCCAAGCTCCAGACCTCCTTACCTGCACAACAGCTCTAGTTCCTATAACCAGTTAGCTCCAACCCCATGAAATCCCTATTCTACATCGAAAATACGCACCTCTAGCCTCAAGGACCTGTCCCGACCTGACAGTCCCATCCGGAAGCCTCAAGTTGACAATCTCATTGTACTGCGGGAATTTGACCTAAAACACCACAACATCAGCCCCTCTATCCCCTCCACATCCAATTGATTGCAGCCCTACACTCTCGAGGATGACCAGAGGCCCGTTAACACCACCGATGGTATTGTACCTGATCCTGGGCGTAACGTTGTACGATGACGACTCGCGTGGATCGGTCGTCATGGTTGCGAAGTTTGGCGGAGATGGAGGAGGTGTGGGCTATATAGATGCTGTTCTTGCTGGAGGGGAGTTGTGTCGGGCTCCTGCACTACCAAGAGTGCGGCGTGGGTGAGGTGGTGGGAGGAGAGGGGAGTGAGAGCTTGGAAGTTGGAGCTCAACCCTTGGGGACGATAAGCTAGGTTGCTGGAACATGAGCGCCAAGAGTTACAGCCACGTCACGTGATTTGATCGACGTGGGAGGTCTGGCGCAAGACTTGAGTGAGAATAATATGGGGATTTTGGAAAATAGAAGGAAATAATGGGTATATGCGGTATATATGCGTAAAGGGTACACTGATGCTTAATCTTGAGCTGGTTCTTTAACTTGGCGCTGCACAATAGTGAGACTTGCATCCATACCACCCCCCAAACGCTTCAAAGACTTGACTGCTTTTTGATATTTATATTTACATCCAATGCCCAGCAGTACACCTCTCACGTAGCCAGCGTCCTCCTCCCCAGCACCGCCTTCCCCACACTACTCGAATTCGGCTTCTCAATCTCCTTCGTAATCCACGCCCCAATATCCGCCACCGCATCCAAATCCACCCCCGTATCCATCCCCAAGCTCTCAAGGAAATACACCATATCCTCCGTCGCCACATTCCCCGTCGCCCCCGGACTATACGGACACCCTCCCAACCCGCCCACACTGCTATCAAACGTCCTAATCCCGTGCTCCAGCGACACCGCCGTGTTAACAAGAGCTTGCCCAAATGTATCATGGAAATGCATCGCCATATCCTCATTCCTTATCCCCGCCGCCGTCATCGCGCGAAGCAGCTCTGCCGTCCGCGGCGCGGTACCCATTCCCGTCGTGTCGCCTAGGGCGATCTCATCAACACCCATCTCGAGGAGGTCCGTAGCCACCTCAGCGACTTTATGGGGATCGACATCGTACCCTTCGAATGGGCAGCCGAGGACCGTGGAGATGTATCCGCGCACGCGGTAGCCGGCGTCTTTGGCGCCCTGGATGACGGGCTTGAACCGCTCGAGGGAGGTGGCGATGTCGCAGTTGAGGTTCTTCTGCGTGAAGGACTCGGTGGCGGCGGCGAAGACGGAGAATTCGATTTTGGGGGCGTCGGGGCGCGCGGTGTGGCCTGCGGCTTTGAGGACTGCCATGGCGGCTTCGAAGCCCTTGATGTTGGGGGCGAGGAAGGAGTAGTTTATGGGGTATTTGGAGTCGGGGGTTTCTTTGATTATGCTTTCGAGGATCTCGTTTGATGTTGCCATCTAATGGTTCAGTTTGTTAGCTGGAGCTTGCGGTAGGAGTTGACGTAGATGTGTGAACGCACCTGCGGAACCCATTTGGGAGATACGAAGGAACCAGCCTCAATATCCCTCAACCCCGTCTTTGCTAATCGCGATATGAGATCCAATTTCGTATCTGTTGATATAGTCTTCTTCTCATTCTGCAGCCCATCTCTCGCTCCCACCTCCACAATCCTTACACGATTATTCCTCGGTGGCGGCGTCGGATCAGCCGTCGTAGCAAAGGCAAACCCTCTCATTTGGCGCGCATTGAGTCGCCTCACGCATCTCACAGTTGGTCGTAGTAACGCCATTGCTGTTCGAATGTCTCAATAATTCAAAATGACGACGTTTTCTTCTACGGTGTAAGGTTATGTCAGTGTCGTCGTCGGTTCAGAGCTGGCCGCGGGTTACATTGGGGTAGTTATGCGGGGAAAGCTCGGGCCAATTGTGCCGCAGCAAGCCGGCGGAGCGCAGCCTTGTCAAAAAGTCGTTAGCCTTGCGGAGGGGTTGATGACTTTTTGGCGACGATCGGAGGGTCGGATGAAATATAGTTACTACTTTTGATACGACAACCCCGCCTTTTGCGAATATAAATCGCTGAAATGGAGGAAGATAGAGCGGAAGGAAATCTAGGGATTGCGGCGGATCTCGAAGAAAACCAGGAGCCTGTCGTCCAGAGGCAGCCGAAGAAGAGGTTTGTGGGGAGACGGGCGGCTGCTGAGAATGCAGCGAAGGGTGCGGAGAGTGGGACGTCTATTGAGACTGCGGTGCAAGGTGAGTTTATATTATCAACTTTGAATATACAGAAACTAACTCCGCCCCAGTTGCAACCCCCCGGCGGACACCCCGGCAACTAAACCAAGTCCCGCCTGAGATCCTCAACGATCCCGACATCAACGCCGCCATCGCCCTCCTCCCCCCCAACTACTCCTTCGAACTCCACAAAACCATCCACCGCATCCGCACCAACGGCTCCACCAAAGTCGCCCTCCAAATGCCCGAAGGCCTCCTCCTCTTCGCCACCACCATCTCCGACATCCTCACCCAGTTCTGCCCGGGCATCGAAACCGTCATCATGGGCGACGTCACCTACGGCGCCTGCTGCATCGACGACTATACCGCCCGCGCCCTCGGCTGCGACCTACTCGTTCACTACGCCCATTCCTGCCTCATCCCCGTGGACGTCACGAAGATAAAGACCCTCTACGTCTTCGTCGACATCTCCATCGACACCGCGCATCTCCTCGCAACCATCACCCGCAACTTCGCCGCCGGAAAGACAATCGCAATGGTCGGCACGATCCAGTTCAACGCCACGCTGCACGGCGTCCGCGCCCCCCTCGAAGCAGCAGGCTTTAAAGTCCTGATCCCCCAGATCTCACCCCTCAGCAAAGGCGAGATCCTCGGCTGCACGTCGCCGAAGCTTGACGCGGATGGCGTGGATTACATCCTCTACCTTGGAGACGGCCGCTTCCACCTCGAGAGCGCCATGATCCACAACCCCTCCATCCACGCCTACCGCTACGACCCCTACTCCCGCCGCCTCACCCGCGAACTCTACGACCACGCCGAGATGCACGGTCTCCGGCGGTCGGCCATCCACGCCGCTAAATCAGCCAAAAAATGGGGTCTAATCCTCGGTTCCCTCGGACGCCAGGGAAACCCTCACACGATGTCTTTGATCGAGAAGAAACTCACCGAGCGAGGGATTCCCTACATCTACCTCCTCCTCTCGGAGATCTTTCCGGGGAAACTGGCGATGATGGAGGAGGTGGAGTGTTGGGTGCAGGTTGCGTGTCCGAGGTTGAGTATTGATTGGGGGTATGCGTTTCCGAGACCGCTTTTGACGCCGTATGAGGCGCTGATTGTGTTGGGGGAGAAAGAGGATTGGAAGGGGAGTGGGGATGTTTATCCGATGGATTATTATGGGAAGGAGGGGTTGGGGAGGGTTAAGGAGGCGGTTGTTACGGCGGCGTAGGGGGGGGGGGTATGCGCGGATAGGAAGAATATGGGATGAACTGGAGTTAGGTTGTGGTGAAGCTGGCATGCGCGGCTTGGAAGAAGAAGGAATGAACTGGAGACAGAATGGGGGTGGAGCTGGTATGCTCAGCTAGCAGGAAGAGGCAAGGAACTGGAGTCAGCGGGATATCGGCTCACACGGCGATGAGGGCAGGGAGTTACTATACAGCGACCTACTCATCAAGATGGCCACATCTGATCTGCGCTCTTCAAGGTGTGGTCGCCCACGATGCGAGTTAGTCTCACCCCTTCACCCCTCCCCGGAACAGACCGGCAGTCAACCCTCCCACCTGCCAATAGCGGCAAAGGAGCACGCGTACTCCCCACATCTCGTTGGAGAAGGGGAACGGCACGAGCCCATTCTTCTCATCCCATCCGGAGATGGAGGGCTGAAGAGGGGCACGACATGATGCTGGTTGTCCCAGATACGTGGTGGTGCTTCATGGGGCGTTGAAGGGGAGAGTTTCGGGTCAATAGATATAGGGATACAGATTTGCATATTGGTAGCACATAGCAGGCAGATTCCGGAAACTGCAGCCTTGATGGTTGAAACTGATGAAGCCGTTTCTGGAGCTCTGACTGATGCCTAGATGAAATGCCATGAGTGATGCGGGGTGTATTCGATCCATCACAATTGCATGTATTCTCAAGTCCAGACCATCCTCCAACAATCCTCCAACAATAAGCAAATATAAATATAGACGACTCGACGGCACCTGGACCTCTCACGAGACTCCCCACGTGCTGGAAAGAAGAGTTGGGATAGGGGGTTGGGGGTAGTGGTGGCGGCTGATTTATACCCTGGGCTGTGATGTGTGTGGGTGGTGGTGTGGTGGTGTGGTGGTGGCGGTTGTGGTGGCGGTGGCTGCAGCGGAATATGTGCATCTGCACCTGTAGGGCCATTTTAGAGTGACAACCACCACACCATCACCCACCGACCCCGCCCAGCCCCGCCCAGGCCACAATTGTGTACTGCAACCACTAACAATCACTAAAAACCACTAACATCCACTAACACCATCACTAAACCCACTAACTAACTCCCCATCACCAAATCCACCGAATCATAACACCCGTATCTCAAACCCCAGCCCACTCCTAGCCCGCAACCTCCCAAGGCACGACCAATGTCTGATTCGAGAAAGGAAACAGCAGCCAGTACAATTACACAATCCCGCACCTCTGACGCACTTATTTATTCCTCTCGACAAATCCTCAACTTCCCTCAAACCCACGCCAGCGCGCCCCCCAATTGCCGCCATTCCCCATACGATACACACTATAATCCCCGCCGATTCGTCGACTGGGAAAAAAGAGCAACATCCCGATTGCGGGAACACGAGATTCGAAGCCTAGATCCTCTCTTTCCTCCCCCAATACCGCGAAACTGGCGACAGGAGGGATAGTCCCTCCTCTATCAGCGCGCACCAACACCGAGAAACAAACACAGAGCAGCGAAAACAAGAACAGGAACGAGAAGAACGGACAGAGCAGCAAGGAGGGCCAATCTGATGCGTACGAGCTTACCGACTTCAATCATCCCCCAAAACACACCACCGCCGACGACGACTTCGAGGCCCGAGAGGCGAGACGGCTTGCTAAGAGGGTTGAGAAGCTCGCGAGGCGAGAGGAGGAGTTCGAGATGAAGTTCTCGCATAGTATACAGTTCAATGCGGTGCCGGATTGGAGTAGCCATTACATCGCATACAGCAATCTCAAGAAATTGTGAGTATAGCCTGTACGAGGATCTGGGCCTGGACCCGAGGGATAGCCCAGGTGTGTGAGAGAGAGACATTGCTAACACCACAAACACAGAATATACCAGCTCGAGAAAAACCAAAACCAACAAAATGCCCAAGCCACCGACGCCGAGGCCTCTCCCCTCCTCGCCGGCAACGTCGACCCCGACCAGATCTTCACGCGCGCCCTAGACGTCGAGCTCGAGAAGATCAGCAGCTTCTACCAGATCAAAGAGCTCGAGATCTTCAGCGAGATTTCCGAGCTGCTCTCCCAGCAGGAGGAATACGATGCCGAGATGCAGGAGAACGGCATGGAGGGTTCATCCGACGTGCATGACGGACACGCGAGACGGCTTAGCAGCTTCTACAGGGGGAATACGGTGAGGAATCCCAGGCCGTTGAGTGCGGCGACTAGGTCGATGACGGATGATGTCGATGATAGCGATGAGGATGATGATGAGGAGACGGCGCTGCATAGAAAGAAGCCGGAGGTTAGGAGGTCGATGACGGCGCCGTCTGATGTGGACGGGTCGCATGGGGCAGAGGATATGTGGAATTCCACCGCGGAATTGAACCGGCGCAGCAGCGTCGCCGCATACGACGACTACGCCAACGAGGCATTCACGCTGTACTACTCGTCCGGCATCTCGCTGAAGAAGAACACCGTCAGCCTGTACGTCCAACTATGCGAGCTCAAATCCTTCATCCAGCTCAACCAAACCGGCTTCCGCAAAGTCCTCAAGAAATACGACAAAATCCTCGACCGCAACCTCCGCGAGAAATACATGTCCCAAACCGTCGCCCCCTCCTACGTCTTCCGCCCCTCAACCATCAAGCACGTCGAAGAGAACATCGGCCGCATGGAAACCATCTACGCCGACGTCGTCACAGCGGGCGACCTCACCCTCGCCAAAAAAGAACTCCGTCTCCACCTCCGCGAACACGTCGTCTGGGAACGCAACACAGTCTGGCGCGAAATGATCGGCATAGAACGCAAAGCCCAAGCCGCAAACATGGGAATCCGCCGCACCCTCCTCGGCGCGGACCCTGACCCGAGCCACGCGCGCCTCCAGGGCGACGACGAGGGACTCGCGGATCTAAAGGGCATCAACACCCCCGTGGGACGCATGTACTACCCCGCCTGGCTCTTCAGCAGCACAATGCTCGTCCTCCTCCTCATCATCGGCATCTTCATCCTCCTCCTCATCGTCCCAATCATGGCCAACCCAGAGCAACAAAACTGCCTCGCAATGCTCGTCTTCGTCTCCCTCCTCTGGGCCACAGAAGTAATCCCCCTATTCGTCACATCCCTCCTCATCCCCTTCCTTTGCGTCACCCTCCGCGTCGTCCGCTCCGACGACGCTCCCCACCACCGTCTCGGCGCCAAACCAGCCGCGGCCTATATCTTCGCCGCTATGTGGACACCAGTCATCATGCTCCTCCTCGGCGGCTTCACCATCGCCGCCGCGTTGTCAAAATACGATATCGCGAAACGCATCGCTACCCTCGTGCTCTCCAAGGCTGGGACGCGCCCGCGCACAGTGCTGGTGACGAATATGTTCGTCGCCGCCTTCGCAAGCATGTGGATCTCCAACGTCGCCGCCCCAGTCCTGTGCTTCTCCATCATCCAGCCCATGCTGCGTAACCTTCCCTCCGACTCCAACATGTCCAAAGCGCTCATCCTGGGTATCGCCTTAGCCTCAAACGTAGGCGGCATGCTCTCCCCCATCGCCTCCCCGCAAAACATCATCGCACTCGCCATCATGTCCCCGCAGCCCTCGTGGGCGATATGGTTCTTCATCGCCATCCCCGTCGGCGTAATCTCCCTCCTACTCATCTGGGTCCTCCTCCTCGCGAGTTTCAAGCCGGGGAAGGGCACGACTATCGTAGCTGTTAGGCCGGTTAAGGACCCGTTCTCGGGGATTCAGTGGTTTATTTCGCTGGTTACGTTGGCGACTATTATTTTGTGGTGTGTGAGTCATCAGTTGGAGCATGTGTTGGGGGATATGGGCGTTGTTGCCATCATCCCCCTCGTCCTCTTCTTCGGCACCGGCATCCTCACAAAGGAAGACTTTAACAACTTCCTATGGACCATCATCATCCTCGCCGCCGGGGGTCTTGCCCTGGGTAAAGCGGTGAATTCATCAGGTCTCCTGCATACCATCGCTGCATCCATCACCGACGCCGTCGAAGGACTGAGCCTGTACTCTGTCCTCGTGGTATTCGCGACTCTGATCCTGGTGGTGGCGACGTTTATCAGTCACACGGTCGCGGCGCTGATTATCCTGCCCCTTGTGCATAGCGTGGGGATCGGGATGGAGAATCCGCATCCGAATTTGCTGGTTATGGGGGGGGCGTTGATGTGTAGTGCTGCTATGGGGTTGCCGACTAGTGGGTTTCCTAATATGAGTAAGTTTAATCCCCCCTATTGGTGTTGGTACCGCGTGGATGGATGATGGCTAACACACAGACAGCTGCCATCATGATGGAAGACTCCCAAACAGGCCAACGCTACCTACAAGTAAAACACTTCATCAGCCGCGGTGTCCCATCGTCTATCCTTACTCTGCTCGTCGTCATTACTGTCGGGTACGGGGCTATGCTCATCTCGAATATTTGAGTCTCTTTTACATATATATTAGTATTTGTACTATTGTGCCGACGTAGCATACCTTACTTTGCTCCTTTTTTTTCCTTTTTTTTGTTGGAACGCGGAGGAGCTGCAGGAGTGGAAAGTGTGTGTGAGCGGCATTTTGTGTTTTTTTTTTGGAGGCGTTAGGGGGGTTGTGTGGATAGACCGGGGAGTAGATATAGAGTAATGCATACAAGTGTATTTTCTTTTGTGCTACATTGATTCCGTATGCTGAGTGGATATCATTTTCCACAATGGATTTACGTGCTCGTACACCTACCTCACCCCATTTCCACCAGGAAATCATACGTTTCTTCATTTTTTGGCTATAAATTCTGAAGTTTTGAAGCCCGGGAACAATCCCACCATACGCAGATCGACCATCCATATGCCACAGCCATGGAGCGGTTGTTGGAGTTATCAGAGAAAGGATGGGATCTACTGACATTGGAATCAAGGAAGCTGGTGTGCGGTTGGGGGTGGTTACTCTCGTTGTGGTGTTGTCGTGATGAGGTGTTGTCGTTGGAGTCTTCGCACCGCCGCGGTTTTCTCACCGCCACCACCCATTTTTCTCACCATCGACCATTCTCCCCACCATCCGCTTTCTCAGTTGTCACTCCTATTTCGAATGATCTTCCGCGTCCCACCTGTATGGACAGTCGAAGAAAGGATTCGTTCATTCGCAGGTGAACGTGTAAGTGTTAGAGTTGCCATTGTCGCCGTCGCTGTCTTCCTCGGAAGATAGAGAACGAGAGAAAGAACGGGGGGGGGTAATATAACTGTAGACTTCACCCATAATAGAAAAGCTCGAGTATACGGAAGTATAAAAGATCCCTTGCCTATGGGTCTGAATTTAGCTCCCCCAAAAAATCAAAGATTCTGCAATGCAACCATTTTAAGTCTTTGGGTGTTTCCCGTATACCGGGTTGGAAAGGAATGGTCTCACGCAGTGGATCTTTCTCGTGGATGTGCTGCTTTACTTCTATGCTTTGAGGTTGCTGTTGTTGTCGGTGGGTTCTCGCCATCACCCCTTTTCTCACCCACGCCTATTCTTCCCAACCGGTCCCGTTTCTCAGTTGCCACTCGTATTTGAATTGATCTCCCGCGACCTATCAGCATGGATGATCTGTGGTTGCGACTCGGTCCTTTACAGACGACCATGTCTATGTTGTTGCCAGTGTTGCTTTTGCCATCGTCTTAAGAAGGAGACGAAAGCCGGGAGTTAAGGTGACTATAGAATTCAAAAGCAGTGCCGAACTCGAGCGTATTGAAGTATGGAAGTTGCCTTGAATCTGAATATGAGGCTGCCTCAAGAAAACAAAGAAATCGCCCGCGAAGAACGCACGTGCTTTCAACCTACTGGATTGGGAAAAAATGGCCTTACGCAATGAGTCCTTCTTACGGACGTGCTGCGCTGGGCCTCTGGTTTGTGGGTGCTGCTGCTGTTGCGGCTTTCTCACCGTCACCACCCATTTTATCATCGACGTCAATTCTCCCCACCGAGGCCCTTTCTCAGCCACTGCCTAAATTTCTGTTTAACCCCCCCCACCCCCCCAAAAAAAGATCCACACACGCATGGTTGATCTATGTCAAAGTTCCTGGGCATTTGCCATGAGTGTTGATGTTGTCAGTCGGCGTCGGCGTCGTTGTCGTCGTCATCGTCGTTGTTGTTTTCGTTATTGTTGTTGGGGAGCTTAATAGGGAGAGGGAAAGGGGTTAAATGCGGGATCGACTGTTAGAGTTGGGGGGAAGGGGTTACGGAAGTTGGTTGGTTGGTGAGTTGTGCTGAGAGGAGGAGTATGAGATGAGCTGGTGGTCGGAGGAGGGGGGTTGAACTAGAATGGGGTCAGCAGCGTTAGATGCGTTGAATGTGTGCTGCGGGATGGGTGGATGAAAAGTGAGAAATGAATATCTTCCAAAAGCAAGTTAACTTACTGTGGGAGAAACTGTATTTGCTTACTATATAACCACAATAGGTTGGCCTTACGACTAAGATTGACCAGTTAAGTCCACATGAATACAATGTATTGATATGGGGTTCTGCGTAATCCTTGGAGGGTTTAGATTTCGGGATTGGGGGTTTCAAGGATGGTGAGTTCTGGCTATGGTGAAAGCTTCTTGTTGGCGGGGCGTTATTTAACCGTCGTCGAGCTGTTCTCGTTTCTTTGGTGCTGCCACCGTCGGGTTTGTCACTGTCGTGGAGTTGCTGCTCAGGGGTAAGGGGTGACGTGCCTTGAGCTTAGCCACGTGGTGATTGGCATCTGCAAGCGTATGAGCTCTGGGGTTCGGCTTCTTAGTTCTGGCTCTCTCATGTCGCTGTAAGCTGCTGCCGAGACGTCGCCATGACGGGAAGGAAAGAACATTTTATAGGCGTTGCCAATATGAGTTACCCATGTGACAGTCGGGCCTCAAAAACTGTCCGCAGACATATTAATCTCGAACCCCTGGGGTTATTGTGAGACTTCACGATTCTGGCAAGTGCGATCTGGCGGGTGCACCTTCAATATTTGTGTCCAACGGTTCCAGGGTAGCTCTTTCCAAACATGAAGTTATCACACTCGCTCCTGCCGTCTAGGATCCTTCAAATTAACTCTCGTTTTCACTTGTTTGTCTTGGATATGATCCGTAATTATTCATCAACTATCCATACTCACCATCGACGGCTATTATATCAAATAAAACAGTGTTTGTTACTAGCCAGCCAACAGAAACCGATTATACTGTTACTACAAAAGTGAGAAGACTAAACAATTGCTCGTTCGAAGAAGCACCTCCTTTACAGCTTGAGACAATGGGTTATAAGGTAAATAAACATACTCCCACCGTCTGTCCCATACTCACCCGACCAACTCAGATTGAGAAACGCAGACGTCGCTCCAGCTCCCCAGAACACGTAGACCCCAAACAAAGCACCACTTCACGGAAGCGCACCCGCCATGGACACAACACTCGAAACACCCGAAGCCAAAGTCCAAACCAAGCAGACTCGCCCCATCCCAGAAGCGAATATACCCCCGCACCCCCAAGCAACCTCCCCGAAGTTGCCCAGGCGTCTCTCATCGTCAAAGATGAAACAGAATCTCTCGTCCTAGACGCGTTCCCCAATCTCGACATCAGCTCCCCCGTCCCCTCCCCGATGTCCGTCGACGTCGACTCCACCAACCCCATCGAAAGTTCCGACCCTGACTCCCCCATGCCCGCCAATGCCACAGAATCCGAATCCACCATGAAACTAGGCTCCGACGTCGAACTCGCCGCCTTCCAGTCCCCCGAAGTCCTCTGCGTCGGCTATAGCACTCTCCCGCTTGCCGGCATCGTCGAGCTCCTCACACCAATGGACGTTTCCCACATCGTCGACATTCGCTCCAAACCAGTCTCAAATGTTAACCCGGAGTTTGACATTGTGAAACTGAAGTCCAGCAGGTATCTCATGGAGAACAACATTGAGTATCTCTGGCTCGGGCTGTCGCTCGGGGGACGAAGGGATAATATGGAAAAGGACAATATGGCAGCCGTGATAAGACACAAGGAGATGCTCGTGCCGGACTTGAAGAACTACGCTGCGTATATGACTACCCGGGAATTCAAAGCGGGATTGACCCAGTTAAAGGATCTGGCGATAGAGCAGGCGAAGATAGGGAAGAGGGTCGTGATTATGTGCGATGAGGCCGTGCACTGGCGGTGTCATCGACGCATGATTGCAGATAGACTTGTGGCGGATAACTGGACCGTGAAGCATATGGGGTTGAAGGTGAAAGAGTGCGTGGATCATGTCATGTGGAATATTTCGAGGAAGGCTCCGGATGGGGAGGTGGTGTATGATAAGCCGCGGCCGCAGCTTGAAAACTGAGGAGGGGTATGTATCACCTCTCACTAAAAGGATTGATTTTATTATCGAAGGGGGGGCCGTCTCTAGTTGCTTGTAAGGTTAGGGGTTCAAGCATTTGTTATGGGCTTGTTGGGTAACTCGGTTGCAGGGTGGTAGTTGGATTGAAAAAGGGTGGCTTGGTTGTGTATCGTCGTTAATAAAAGATGTGATAACTCTCAAAATGGCAGACAGTTTGTAAACCGAACCCGGTGTATTGCAGTATATTAAAACATATCTAAACCCCATAAGTATCGCCATAAAAACCTCTAATTAATATTAGAAAAAATAATTATAACATTTCAAACCCAAATGATACCACCTCCAACGCCACCACTCAATTCTGCCCCTCTTCTACATTAACCCGATTCCACCAACGTAGTCTTTCCCGCCTTATCCTCAACTTTTACAGTCGACTTTCCATTCTTGCCCTTTAGCCTAATCTTTGTATTCCCGTCCTTCACCTTGACCTTATATTTCCCATTTTTCTGCTTCACCTTTACCTTGGCTGGCTTCCCCTTCTTCATCGCGCTAGGACGGTCGTAGTGGGACTTTCCGAGTTCAAGGGTTGGATGCTCCTGTTGCTGGGGCTTCGCGGGTTCCTTTGGCTTTTCGGCCGCTTTTGTGTTTTCGACTGTAGGCTTCTTGGCTGCGGGCTTCTCAGCTTTGGGTCTCTGGGCTGTGGGCCTCTTGGGTTTACAGTGCCTGGGCCTCTTAGGTTCCTCCTCGTCGTCGTCGCAGTCGTCGCAGTTGTCGCAGTCATCCTCCTCCTCCTGATCTTCATCCACCTTCTTCTCCCAACTCCTATACTCCTCCACCACCTCCCCCCAAATCTCCCCCTTCATCCTCTTCTCAAACTCCCTCTCAACCCCACCATCCACCTCCCTCCCCTCCTCCCTAACCTCAAAACTCTCCCTCCAAAATCTCTCCTCCCTCTCCACAATCGCCTTCTCCTTCCCCCCCTTCTCCGCCTTCCAACCCTCCATAACCCTAACCTCCTCCTCCTTCTCCTCCCACATCCGCCGAATCCTCGAATTAATCTCAAAGCCCTTCTCTGCCCTCTCCTTTAGAACTTCTGCCCTCACCTCCTGTCCGCGCTTAGCCCACTCACTGGACCCATCAAAACAACTATGCTGCCACGCCCCCCAATGCAGCGCATCAACCGCTACTCCAGTGCGTCCATCGCACTTAGGCGCCTCCTTCGCTTTCTTAAGCTGATAATCCCGAATCCGCTCCGGCGCTTTCATATCAACATCTGCCTTCACTTTCGATGCCGCAATCCTCCCCTCCCCGGATTTAGCGGCCTCCTTCACCTCCGCACCAGGCACAACAACCACATCCGTGAGCCCAATATCGTCATTGAAACAGGTGTACAGCCGTGACTCGAAGCCCTGGGAGGCGGGTGGATCGCACTCATAGATTGTCTTGGGCACGGTGGCGCGGTCTTTCGGCCAGAAGCCGGTGGAGAAGGCGATGCGGGCTGGGTCGGAGGGGGGGAGGGGGTAGAAGTAGGAGACTGTTGTGTTGGGGCCGGTGCCGAAGACGCCGCCGGTGCGGGGGGAGTTGATGGGGGGGGTGGCGGGATTGAGGAAGGGGAGGGCGAGGAGTTGGGCAAGGGGTGCCATTTTGGCGGGGTTGTGTGTGTGAAATGAGTAGTTTGTTGATCCCGGGATGGGAGATATTTAGGAGCGAAGGGGAAGAGGGGGACGAAAGTGCGGGACAAGGGGATGAAATAGGATGGGAGGGGGGTCATGGGACGCAATGAACAGTGGCATGTTGATTTAGAACAGGCCATTGTTGATGATGAGCCCTATGTTCTGTGGTCGAAGGGTCCAGATAGCTTCAAAATCACTCACCTCGCTGTCAACAAATCATCCCACACCAACACTAAGCTCCAAAACGCGCGGTCTTTGCAAGTAAATCATACAATCCCATAGGAAAGAGTGCAAATCGATTAATCGAACTATCGCATCGCACCAGGCTCCAAACTCTCAAACTCCAAATAACGCGACACCCCTCTAAAAAAAAGGGGGGGGATCATCACGCACGCACAATATCTAGGCCGTATATACATCCCAATCCCACGCTTCCCAATCTACCTAAACTTGCTAACGATGACTGCAAGAATGAGCAGCACAAGCACCGTGATAATCGCAATCGTAATAATCTTATTCGTCGCCATCCTACCACCAAAATCAGCTCGGGCGTCAATACTCCCCCTTCCGTATCTCCCCACATGCCTCCTGTAATAATAATTGTAAAAGAGAAAATGGAACTCACCTCCTCGCCATCCCCTTCAGGGTCTTAACACTGCGGTCCACGTATCCCTCACTCTGCAATAGCGTCTCATGCGTGTGATCAATCACATTCCTCTGACGATGCAGATCTGCCAGCGTGCTCGCACCAATATCCTCTGTCTCGTTCGCCAGCCTCTGGCTGTCCCGCAGCCGCTGCGTCGATCGGTCCAATCGCTCGGTCCCGCTTAGCAGCTGCTGTCGCTGCTCCAGCTGCACGTCCCCGCCACTTGGATCATCAGCGTAGCGCGCACCGAAAAGAGCTGCGCGGTCGTTGGAAAGGTTTGCCAGTCTCCTCTTGGCGGAGTCGGTGTCGGTCTCGTGGTTGCGGAAGCGCTGGTTTATCTTGGTGCGTGCTGCGGAGGGGATGTTGGATTTCTCGAGGCGCATTTGGTCGAGCTGGAGGGGGTTAGTTTGGGTTCATGGCTGCTAGTTTTTGGGGGCATGGGGCAGGATTGGGGGGGGAAGACGCACGAGTTCATTTGCCTCCTCCAATGCGCGCTCGGCCTGAGATATGGCGGCTTTGCGCGGCTCCCCGGAGAGCTCTGGGATCTGGTCGAGCTTCTGGTTTAAATCCGCCTGCACGAGCTTCAGCTCAGCCTCATAGCTACTGAAAAGCTCGGAGCCAGCGTCGGTATCGAGGGGGTTCGACATGGTGGTGGTTGTGATGTTGAGAGTTCGAGGTTGGGGGGGCTGGTTCTATTGAGAGCTGCCTTGATCGCGCTGTAGGTACTGTGGTTTGCCCAACTGCCCTCCTGTCGTGGTAGCGCTGGTTGTGAGGATAAGACTGCTCGATGAGACGAATAGGGTCGCGGGTATTTCAGGTATTAAATGCGATGGGATTGTAGAGGAGCGCGGGGAGTTGTGGTTCTTTGATGGTTACCTTCAGTTCTGGCCATGACGACGACTGACCTTGAGGCCCTGCGCTTAACTCCAACCCCGGTTCGGCTTCAAGATTATCCTTTAGCCGGTCAACAGACAAGTGCCAATACAGCGCTAAGCCTATTTGCGCGTCTGCGACTGTGCATATATGAATAACTTAATATTTTATCCTTTCTTCATTATTATCCAATATCAAGATGATCATTGAAACATGCCAGATGCCACAATTCTCTTGAGTTTTCTTTGTATGGGTTTATGTGATGGTGATTCTCATGCCGCAGTATGAATACATACAGTACTTCTGTTACTAGCATACACCCGCAGATATTCAAGTCACTGTGGCCAGGAACAAGCTGATCCCGCCTTTGAAGGCCCAGAAACTGTGTCTGGACCAGACCAGGATGGAAGAAGACTTGGCTCCTTCAGACAAGCATTTGCCTGTCTTGTTTAGCTGGTTATTACCCCAGATTCCGAGGTTTCGGGGAGTTGACACTGTACTCTATTAGAGCCATGTCCTGGGAGAATGTCGTGTGCGTGTGGGTTCCTTACTTTCTCCTGGAAACCAACCTATATGGCGCACTTGACTAATTGCAGTCGAGTTAGACATGGAATATTCATCTACAGGCCAATCTCCTACTCAGAATGCCATTTTAACTCTATAGAAGCATTACTGCCAAGATCAAAGTTTCATGGTTTCCACGTTCTAACAGTTGGTGATCGTACTCCCGAGTGGAATGTGGTTGGCGATCTCCGGCGGGAGTGTGGCTTAACCCCGCATATATCGGTGAACACCGACGTCTACCACAACCCCATATTTGTGGGGAAGATAGGGGAGAGCTGGCCGTCGCGGCATCATCTCCTGACGACACACTTGAAATGCTATGAGAGAGATAAAGTAGCCGAGGGAGATCCACATGATTTGCGGGATTTGGATGCGCCATGATGGAATTCGTTCAAGTGAACCACGATTGAACCACGATCTGCGAGGATGAATATGAAAGGCTACCGAAAAGCCAGCTCGTGGCAGTCGCTAGCCCAGATGGTGCACCCGAGTTGTTGAGTCGAGTTGTGGGTCGGAACCCGCCACTTACCGGCACTCTCATATTGTGGGATTGTGAGCATATTAAAGCAAGTCTAGATCCTCTGAACTTGGATGGTTCAAACTCGACTAGGGTACGACGTTTTGAGAACTGCATTGACTATGAACGGAACACTTGGAAAAGACCTCGAAAAGCAAGCCAGCGAAGACGAGCAACAAATTGAAGTGATGGATCAGATTGACTATGTGCCCACCGGGGCTATTCCTTCCGAAGATCTGGAAAAGGGCGACTCGATGTATGCGAAACTCGCAAGAATGGGGACGAAGATGAAAGTTGAAGTACGAGGCATTGAGCGAGTTCCCGAGGATGAGAGGACGGATACTTCGTACTGGAATATTGGATCCATGGTACACCCATTTTTACCTTCCCTCTCATGACTACTACTACGTTAAGTGTCTCTGATTTATCGTGCATCTATCATAGTGGCTGGCTGCCAACATGGTTGTCCCGTCCTTCACAATTGGGGTGTTGGGCCAGGCCGTGTTCGACTTGGGATTTGTGGATGCAACTTTGGTCATTATCTTCTTCAACCTGCTATCGGTCCTGACCGTCTGCTTCTTCTCTACATTCGGCGCGGCCTTTGGGTTGCGCCAGATGGTGCTCTCGAGGTTCTATTTTGGATGGTGGGGTGTAAAACTGAGTAAGTTCTTACCCCCTCTTGATTCATGGACACATCCCTTACCACTTATATTTTGCAGTTGCGCTATTCAACGTCTTGGCATGCATCGGCTGGGCCTCAGCAAATATCATAGTCGGAGCCCAGTTGATTAACGCAGTAAACAATGATGTGCCTGGGTTCGCCGGAATCCTCATCATCGCCTTTTGCACCTTGGTTATCGTCTTCTTCGGATACAGAGTAGTCCACGCATACGAACACTGGAGCTGGATCCCCACGTTCATAGTCTTCCTAATCCTCCTTGGCACCTTCGCAAAATCCGGTGACTTTGTCAACCTCCCCATGGGCTCTGGCAAAGAAGAACTAGGAAAGGTTCTCTCATACGGATCCACCGTCTTCGGCTTTGGGACTGGCTACACTGCCTTCGCAGCGGATTACACCGTATACCAACCAAGCAAACGCTCTCCCCGCAAGATCTTCCTCGCGACATGGCTTGGAATCCTGCCAACTCTGCTCTTTACAGAGCTACTAGGCGCCTACGTGGTGACAGCTACGGCTCTGAATGGTGGCAATAACATCTACCAAGAAGGGTACAAGCAATCCGGAATCGGAGGTCTTCTTGCTGCCGCCCTCTTCCCCCACCTCGGTGCCTTCGGCAAGTTCTGCCTCATCATCCTCGCCCTATCCGTCGTCGCCAACAACTGCCCCAACATCTACTCCGTCTCCTTGACACTCATGGTAATGGGCAGATGGACGCGCCACATCCCCCGCTTCGTCTGGACCGTCATCGCCACCGCGGCTTACATCGCTATCGCCATCCCAGGATACAGCAACTTCGAAGCAGTCCTCGAGAATTTCATGAATTTCATTGGGTATTGGCTAGCTATCTACGAGGGCGTGGCTCTTACAGAGCACTTCGTCTTCCGCCGCAGCTTCGCCGCATACAACGTCGAGGACTATGATAACCGCGACAAGCTACCCCCCGGAATTGCAGCCGTTCTCGCTTTCTTCTGCGGTGTCGTTGGTATGGTCACCGGTATGAGCCAGTCGTGGTGGGTTGGACCCATTGCGCTGCGCGCTGGCTCTGCGCCCTTCGGTGGCGATCTGGGATTCGAGCTGGGCTTTGCCTTTTCTTCTGCCTCGTACTGCCTGTTCCGCACTATTGAGTTGCGCGTCTTTAAGCGCTAGGCGTCGGCGCTGTGTAAGGGCTGATACATCACGCGAAAGAAAATACTGTAGAGCAGTATAGTGGATATGTTGAATTGATTACTATAAATGCCGGCTAATCGTCCATATGTGCACATGTATATTTGCCCATGAGCTGAACTGAGCTGGCTAGCCTGAAACCTTGGTTACTGCATAGCTAGGATGATATGCTTCTGTCGACAAGGGAAATATTGTAGTTGGTATGATATCATTTTCTCACATTGCAACAGTTGATGGGCTGCATTGGAACAGTGGCCTTGTTTCCTCCCCCACAACCAATATGTAGTCAATCTAACTATCTACAGAGAATCCACCTCCTCCACCTCCTCCACCACTCCACCACCCCCCCTCAACCCCAAACCACCACACCACAAGCTTATCCAGAGCAGTACCCAGCCTTAGCGGGCTCGCAGCCGTTGTTGCAACCAGTGAACATCTGGCACGAGTGCGCAGTATCGAAGCAACTGTTCTTGATCGTAGCGGTATCCCCGTAGTTGGAGTTGATACCCGCGAGCACGCCGCCGTTCTTGGCAATGACGCCCTCGATGTAGACGTTGCGCTTGCACTGGGAAGAGCACTGTGGGGTGTTAGTATATTCAACCGGTCCAACGACATGCACCAGGACATTGCCAGGGTAGGGGTGGAAGGGGGGAGGACTCACGTTTCCGCACGACCTGTAAAGCTTGCCGTAATCCTCAACATAGAAGTTGATGATGTTCACAGTACCGCAGCCGTTGTGCTGAACAACCTTATCACTGGCGTGGTACGCACCACCGCCAATAATCCAGGTCTCCTGGCCAGCCTTGTCGTTCTTAACGGTGATGGCGTCCTCGCAGACGTCCTCGAACCACACGAACTCAAGCGTACAAGGCCCATCGCAGTGCACGCCCTCAGCCTGGTTCTTGCCGATAATAACGTTCCTCAGAGTGGCACCAGAGCGGAGGAGGAAGACAGCATCAGCGTCACCTGGGGTTGTTAGCTAGGTGGTTTCTTCAATGCAAATTCAAAGTCGGCCGGGGGGGGGGAGTATCTCACCTCCCTCAGCCTGCTCATTACAAGCACCACTCCCGCGATCAAACCTCGCCCATCCACCATCATACACCTTCCCCGCAGCGACCTCAATGACCTTACTATTCGTCTTCGTCGACGTAGCAGTCGGCACACCGCCCGTATACGCATTACACGCCAGCGCGGCGGGAAGCAGAGCCGCGAGGCTGACGAGCTTGGATAGGTAGACCATGGTGAGCGGTTGATCGGATTTGCTTGCGGGTTGTGATTGACAAGGTGATCGACTGTGTCAGGCAAGGAGCAGAGTGACGATCTCGAGGGCGAGGGGAGCGGTTTATATAGCTCTATCTCCGGAATCGAATTTCTTCATGAAACCCATCGGTGGTCCTCGGAAGCCCGCCCAGAGCCTACCCAGCGGGTCATATAGTGGAATTTAATCAACCATATCTCGTGTGGCTGTAAAGGAAGGGCTGATAATCTCCGTCTAACATCAACCTACCTCGTCCCATATGGAGCAAGTTGTAATTTCTCATTGGAGGAATATAAGTAGACCTCGTACCGCAAGAACCACTATATAATCTGATCCCACTATACCTCGAGGCGAATTCAGTGCCGTTTCAACTACGCGCCTTGGCGGGTAATATAAACAACATTAAACATCAGAGGCTCGTCAATGCCGGTGGAGTGCTTTCCCCACACGCTTGGCGCGCGCTGCTGCTGCGTCCTCGGCTGCTTGGCGCCGGAGTGCCGGGATTCGGTGGTGGGCGGTGTCAGCGGCGAGTTGAAGTTGAAGCACCAGAGGAAGGAAATAAATTTTCCGTGCACGGTGAGGATATATTGGGCAAATTAAGAGGATTGGGCGGGATGGGTGTCACATGGCTTTTATGTGGGAGATATTTTTTCTGTCTTCTATGGATTCTTGGGATGTGCGGTCGTTGGTAGGTTTGACAGCTTGTTACCGCGGAGGGTTTTTTTGGCTAATTTATGCTTGTAGGGCTTTTTTGTTTCCTGATCGTCGACTTTAAACATGGGTTAGCTTTTGCGGGGTAACAAGATGAGGGACGATCTATTTGTTTTTAGAACATCCGGACGTCAGTCAGCGAACTTACCTTCAGCGAACTTTCTCTCTTCCCACTTCTCTCTCGCCTTCCCCCAAAAAAACCCCTTTCATCACTATCACCTCTCTCCTCCACCCTCACTCCCGCCACCCTCTCACCTCCCCAAAACCTCCTTCATCCCCCCAACCTCCTCCCCGCTCACCACCTCCCCCTCCCCCACAATCCCCGACGAATGAAACCACCTACACCTTGTCTCCCTCACCAGCACCTCCAGCACCTCCCTCCTCACTCCTCCCCCCGGCATAATCACCAGCTCCCCTTCCCCAAAATCAGGCAAATTCCCATAACCCCCCACCACATCCCCCTCGATCCCCCCAGACGTCAACACCGCCTTGAACCCACAGGCTGCTACCTCGCGGATCGCGGCGTGGTAATCAGACGTCGCGTCGACCGCGCGATGGAATGTACACGGCAGGGGCCTCGCCAACTCCACCAACTCCGAATTCCTCTGCTTGTCCACCACCGTCACCCCCTCTTCGTCTTTCAAGATCCCGAAGACAAATCCATCAGCCAACTCCCTAAACCTCCCTATATCCTCCTCCATCTGCGTAAACTCCTCGTTACTATAAATAAAATCCCCTCCGCGCGGGCGAATCATAACCATAACAGGAATCTTAACCTCCGCCTTGATCGCCTCTAGATCAGCGAGCAGCGGGGTCGTGCCCCCCACCGAACGGTCCGCACAGAGCTCAATTCGGTCTGCCCCCGCGCTGGCGGCGATGAGAGCGGAGGGGGCGTTGAAGCAGGCGATTTCGAGGTATTTCTTCATTTTTGGCGTAGTGGTGGTGGAGGTGGATGTTGGTGGTGGCGGGGTTGGCGTTTAGAGGCTGCTGGTGAGGTGGTGGTGATTGGTGTGGCGGGGTAGTGGGAACTAAAATGGTCGCTAGAGGAAGGGTCATCCCGCGATTTGAGGGGGATTTCAGGGACGGGTAAGGGGAAGGGGAAGGTTTTTTGCCTCTCGTCTTTTTTTGGAGGGGGGGGTTGTAGGATTAAGGTTAGTTTTTAAGGTTAGAGTTATAAAATATCATATGCAGAGCGGAAAATAATAATGTAGAGATCGTAACAAGCGTCTTGATTCATTAATCCATCTATCGATCGTGTAGCCTATTACTAATGCCACTCCTCATTAAGTTATTTCGACCTTTTTGACCTTTTCGACCTCATTAAGTTGTTTTTGAAGCCATGCAACTGTAGTGTGCATCATTACCTCCTCCTCCGTTCGCCTCTCTCTCTCTTCTCGAGTTTCGTAGCCACAATCCCATTAAACTGAAACCCGTGCAACTGTAGTGTGCACCATTACCTCCTCCGCCACTCATCGCAGCCACATCCCCAGGCGTCAAGCCAGTAGAGCTGTGCTGTATCATTACTCCCCATCCCCTCATGTCGTGGTGTCGTCCCCATCCCCGGTCTTAAACCATAGGAATCGCATTCGCATCGTCCTTAACATCCCCCCCCTTCGTCGCCCCCCCAAACCCACCCCCCGGCTTCACCATATCCACCGCCCTCCCCGAATTAACCTTCCTCCACACAATCACCGCATACACCAACCCCCAAAGCGAAATAAACACCAACACCGCCGGGAACGCAACAATAAGGTAATCGCTATACCCAAACTCATACCTCCGCTTCTCGTTCGTAATCCCAATAACCATCGAGATCAGACTCAACACCGTCACGGCCCCGTTCCCCAGCAGGAAGATCCACGCCGTCAACCGGAAGTGCGCGAAGAGCACGATGTGCCCGATCACGATGAAGGTGCTGACCACCCCGAAGCTGCCGATCGTCGCGTAAAGGGCCTCAGTGTAGGAGTTCGAGCCTGAGTCTGTGCCTTCGTAGATGGAGAATCTGGGGGGGGGGAGGTGTCAGTAGATGCTGGAGCTGTGGTGTTGTTGGGGGAGCTAGGACGGGGGGGAGAGCTTACCCGTAGTGCATGAGGTGCCAGATGCCGACGAAGGCAGCGAAGCCGAGCTGGATGGTGAAGAGCGGGATGATGAAGCTTTTGCGCCATGGCGCGTGGATGCTCGGCGGGCGGGAGACGCTGGCCATGTTTGACATGTTTGAGGTGGTGGTGAGGCAGAGGAATTAAGGTGTATTAGAGGAGCGTAGTTGAGGAGATGTGAGTGTGAAGTTTGTAACTTGGAGTCGGTCGTTGTCGTCGTGATGAGTGTGCCTTTGTTCGGGGGAGCAGAGATAATATATACTTCAATTTTGAGTTATCGAAGGATTCACAAAGTGTGCACCATGCCGTACGCCAAGTCCTTTGATAGACGGTCGGCAGACAAAAACTGATACCGTGCTATGTGTAAAATGAATCCTTCAGAATCGTATTTTTAGGGCAATTCTGATTGATCTTCCTCGGCGATGTCGCATGCTGTCCCATTCTGCCCCAGTGCTCCTCAGTGCTGCCTCAGCCCTGCCCCAGTATTTCGCACATACAGTAGAGATCAGTCGCCTTCCGTCAAATGCACCCGAGACCGTCCACACATTCACACCATCACAGACAATCAGGCATCACTCCCGCCGCCCCATGTCGTGAGCCAAGAGTCTCGGCGAAGGCTGAGCCCCCCGCTCCACCATCTGTCACCCAACCATCTCCCCGCCATCATCCAACCGAGCTCTTCACAACCACAGGCCGCGACAACAAAGCACCCCCAACCCGCTTCCATCTTCCCAACTCGGCATCATCCCCCGTCCATCACGCGCCTGATATTCCTTTGACAGCAGAATCCGACTAAGCGAGCAAGATAAACATCCGAGCTGGCGCTGAGCCTAGGGGGAAGGGGGGTTAGTGTGGGAGCTGCCCATAGCTTCTGGGGGCGCTATTGTGGGTTTGACATGTCGAGGAGGCTGGGAAAGAGGGTTGAGGGCTGTCGTATATCGTATACTTACGTATGACAGCCACGACGTGTCGTCTGAGCGGGGTGGCTTGCGATGGCTTGCGGTGAAAAAGCGCGGGAAAAGCTTGTGAGTTACTGTATGTGATGGGCTCGGCGACTTGTGATACAGCACGGTGATGCGGTGAGGGAATTCTATGCGATCGTATATCGTATACCCCATACCCATACCCGAGGGATGATGGCCTGTGGAAGAAGACGACGACCGGATCTATAACTCGAGTCAAGCCGAGGATTGGGGTCCAAAAGATATGAAAATGCATGGATTCGTCGTCTTGGCAGGACATTCCTGTCAGTCAGAAACGCCATGCCGGAGAGTTGGTATGCCGGTGGACGGGCGATTGGCTTGCACAGATTCGTCGTCATGATGGGAAAAGGTCTTCGGGGATTCATATCGGCGAAAGTGAGAATGCCGAGGAGGGGTGAATATGCCATTGATTCGCCGCCGCAATAGGAAATTTATCTTGTGGGATATGCATAAATCCCAAAGAAAGGATAATTATGTATGGCCACTAGCACCAACGACACATCCAAGCACCAGCACCAACACACCACAACACCTCACTCCATCTCCAAAACTGCATGTGTATAGTCCAAATATTTTAACCCCCCACCCCCTCCCAACCCATATTTCTTGATCATTACACCCCCACCAACTATTCCTACACACATCCCATCCATCTAAGCCCTTTCCCCGCGGTATCTGCAAGCAAGCAGCGCTATACAACGCCGACACAAAGATTTAGATTTCTGCAAAGCCCTCCCCCAACCGAGATGCCCGTCATGAACCCCTGCACCACCCCCAACCCCGGCTCTTCACGCCGTCGCGAGTCCAGCGGCTTTCCCAAGTGTTCCGCTCCCCCGGCTGCTGAAGATGGACATAATCCCGAAGCCTACGTAGAACAGAGCTACAGGGTACGCGACAAGGCCGCGCGCGCTCTTCATCCTCCCGATAACTATTTACACTCGTTAGCTTGACAGCCCCCAACGTCTCTCCACCCACCAGGAAACCGCCGCAAGAAATCCACTTGCGGAAGGGGGGGAAATATAGGTAAATAAAACAAGACAAAAAAAACTCACCACAAAACATCGCACTCGAACTCAACGTCGACCAACAAATCGCCAAACTCGTCACCGCATACCCCACCACACTATCCAACGGCATCGCAATCCCCAACAACGACGTCAGCACCAGCGGCAACAGACAATACCCCAGCACGCTCGCGCTCTGCGGGAACGTAAGGGTACTGCTCAGATGCCCCCCGCGATCGTCGCCGCCGCCGGAGTAGCCCGCGTTACCTGCTGCCATGTGTGCGGGTGATGCGCGGCCCGAGGGCGTGTCGGGTGTCATGAGGCTGAGGATTGTGTGGAGGGCTGTGGATCCCATGAGGGCGAGGCCGTAGATGTAGCCGAAGTGGACTTTGCCGCTGAAGAGGAGGAAGGTGCCGAATCTGAGGGGGGGTTGTTGTTAGCTTAGATCTTCCACTTGAAGCTTGCCGGGGAAAGGGGGGAGTGAAGCTTACAAGAAGAAAAACAGAATCGGACCCGCGAGATCAGAATCATCCATAATATGGCTATCAATATGCACAAACGGATTCAACACCGCCAGCGTCTATCACATCGTTAGCCCTTTTCCTCCTCTCCCCCCTCACAACAACCGCGCACACCCAGGGTCCAAAACAAACCTACCTTAACCTTAATATGCCCAAAATTAACCCCCAACTCCTCCTGCAGCGGCGGCTCCCCCTCATACCCCTCCGTCGAAAAAGCCGCCAACCACCCCGTCCTCAGTCCCCCCTGCTCCCCCATCCGTCCACTCACCCTCGCCTGCCCTGCGCCAACTCCCGGACTGCTGAACCCCCCCGAGCTTGCGCCGACGCCGTAGCCCCCCATGGAGCCGCTGGGGGCGCCGTAGCCGCCGTATCCGCCAGCTTGTCCGGAGGCGCCGGTGGGAGGGCTGGGGTAGGAGGAGGGGTAGAATTGCAGGTTTTGGGGGGAGGTGGTGGTGTATTGGTCTGGGGGGGCGCCATAATGTTGTGCCATCGTTGGGGAGGGTGCACGCCGGTGGGCGTGTGTGCGTTCGTCAGGTATTTGTAGATGTGTGATTGGTGCTCGTCAAGGTGTGTTTGAGACTGAGATTGAGAGAATGAGTGTCGTTAAACGTGTTCGTGGAGGGTTGGAGCTGGAAGTTGATGTTTCTGGATCTGGAAAGACAGTTTTGGGACAACGAGCGCATAGCTACAAGTTACGGTGTACGTAGTAAAGGAGGTCTGTGCCAGCCAGGCAGCGGGGTTTGGGGGTCACGTGGTGTTGTTTTCGGAGGGATGGATTTTCCGGCCGGGATGGGTTATAAGATTATATGAGATCGTCGAACCAGAGGGGGGGAGAGATGGTCTTAACAACTAAGTTTCAATTACTTTTCAAGTAAATACGACGTCTTAAAATATATGAACTTGACGGTTAAACAGAGATGATAGCTGATATATATCCTCCTGCGCACGCGGACGCCCCTTTAGCGGCATAGAGCTCTCTTCCAACGGGTCTACCCGCCGCCATTGCCGCCGCACCAATGATACGGAAGGCTTCTTTAGTCCTTACCGCCGTTTTATTCACTTGAACCGTTCCTGTCTACTTCTCATATCGGCCTGATCAAAGTACTATAACAGACCACTTTCCATATCCCTATATATACAACCCCTACCAGACCCCTCCTACCTCCCAATCCACCATCCATCACCCGTATCCTCAAAACACCCAACCCCTCCTTCCCCATTTTACTCAGTTAACCTCACATCACCCCTCCCTCCAAAATGGCCATCACAAAATCCAACCCCCGCCTCCCCCCCTCCGCCCCCCTCACCACCACTCACCCCCGCCGCCCCCACACCCGCAACTGCCCCACCTACGAGCACCCCCTCCTCGACCTCCCCTTCATCATAATCGACTACCTCATCATCCTCTTCCAAGAGCTAAACGAGCTCTTCACCATATCCCTCTCCTGTCTCTGGAACTGCACGCTCGCGTACTCGATGTTCGTGGCTGCAAGGATGTGTTGGGGGTATAACCAGGATGATTGTTTGTGCGTTTCCTCCCTGCCTCCCCTTCCCAAAGCCACACTATAGTGTATTGTATTGTACTAACGGGAGATGGGGTGGGATAGGAACCTAGTGTACGTGGTGCGAAAAATGCTAGATGTTATGGGGAATTTCTGCGTTGTGCGAGGGTAGATGTTGTGTGTGCGTGGGTAGACAGTTTTATTATCAGTTATAACAATGTAATGTCCTACTACACGCTTCCTTCCCAGATCCCAACATCCCATGTGTTGTGTTTATACCCCCTCCCATAATTCATAATTCATATACTCTGTGAGCTCATCGGCCTCTCCGGCGGATCAACCTCCATCTCTCCCCCTTGCACACTACCTCTCCCCTCTAACGGCGGCGCGACCATCACCATCGGCACCCTCGGCGGCGACGGAACATACGTACTCGGCCTCAACAACTCCAACCCCCCCTCCTCCCCCTCCTCCTCGCTTGCTTTCTCAACCCCCTCCTCCTCCTCCCCTTCCTCTCCAACCCCAATAGTCCAAACCCACGCCCTCTTCTTCTCCCTCTTCCTCTTCCTCCCCCCCACCTCCTCCCCCAATCCCGCCATCCTCCGCCTCATCTCCTCAAACGGCCCCGGCGTCTGCCCTCCATCCCTCGTCGCGCCATCATACGCTAGGACGGCTTCAATCCCCGTCTCCGCCTCCCCCGCTCCCTCTCCATCAGCCCCCGCGTCATCTTCCCCGAGTAGTTCGACGTGTGACCGCACATACAGCTCTGTTGTGATAGTCTGCGTAAGAGGGTTATTATACCCCACTCTCCTCCCACCTTTCTCCACCGTAGTCACAGCTGCACCCGCTGCACTAGCCGGGAGGGGCGAGTTGCGGAGGATAGACCGTAAACTCCGAGGGTGGGTGTAAGGCGGTTTATAAGGCGTTGAAGATCCCGTCGTCGCTCTTCGGCGGGGTGTGCGAGGTGAGGAGGGGAAGGGGGATGGGGCGAGGGTGGTGGGGATGGAGACATTGATGCGGCGGAGGCGGGAGGTCGTTGCTCCTGTTGTGGTGGCTACAGCGGCGGCGGTGGTTGTAGTGTTGGTGCCTATAGATGACGTAGATGAAGGCGAAGAAGGGTGCGCAGACTGCGGCGGCGTGAACGTAAATGGCGCCTTTAGCGATACATCCGGATGCGCCGTAACAGGCGTAGGCGCTTGCGTCGTCGGCGTATCAGGGTAAACAACCGTGAACGGCCCCGGTGTCTGAATGCGATGAGAGAGCGGGATCGCCGACTGAGGCGCCGCACTCGTAACAAGTCGTAGAGACTTCGGCCGTGCCGACGTGTTGGCAGAAAAGGGTAAGGCTGTTATGGGCGCCGCGGACATGGGGATCGGCGAGGCGAGCGAGATGGCTGCGGCGTAAGCGTTGGAGAGGGTGTTGAAGGCTGTGGGGGAGGAGGGGTCGATGTCGGCTTTGAGAGCTGTGGAGGATTTATTCAGCGTCATTGGTGCGCTTGGGGTTTTGATCTGGAGGGATAGTCGGGGTCGTTTGGGGGGGGAGGAGGTATGCGACATGTCGGCTTGGTGGCTCATGACTGCTAGCATTCTAGAGTCTGCTTCTCGTTTTAATGAGGAATTTCGTGAGGTTGTTGGCGTTGGTGTAAGTGCTGTACTGTACTGACGACTTCTACCTGTCGTAAATGGAGTGATCCGCTTTATATCTATTGTCCGTCGAGGTGTGAGGAGGAGGATCCGGCCTCTGGTGAGTGACTTGATATATACGCAAAAAACGAGCCGAGTCGATCGACTTTCTTTCTATATTCGAGATCCTTGTTAGCCGAGCACTGACTATCCTCCGTATCGAAACAAAACAAGATAAATAATGAAAACGGAAAACTGGAATGGAGGAGGTGGAGTCAAGCGCGGGCGGGAAGCATGTATATAACCAACACCAAGGCCATGCTTGATCGCCACCCCCCCCCCTCCACTCCCCCCTGGCCCAACCAGCACAACAAGGGTTCATGAGGGGTGGATTATATTCATAGCGCACTGCATCGGGCAGCCGCCGATAGCGAGTGTCCCCCCATATCTCCCCCTTCCATCCAACAGCAGCGCTACCGCTGTCTCTCCCCCCCCGGTGATTCGCAGGATCCCCCCGGGATGTCTCCAGCACCAGCAAGCACAGCACACAGCAGACGCGGTGTGACCACGTCCCCTCTCCCCGCCTCTACCCAACCAAACCCCCCTATCCCATACCCATACAGGGTCCCTCCGGACCACCATCCCAGAAATGTCGCAGCGCACCCCTCCCCTTCCGCAATCCACGGCCACGAATCCGAGCAGTGGCCACACCTAAGCGCCGGAGAGAGGATATTAATATCCCACCCCACCCGTCCCGAAGAGCCAATCAGGCGGGGCGGCGGGGGTCCGAAGGATGTGATGGGTCCGACTTGTAAGCGCCAAGCCTGCGGGTATTCCCTGTCGCTGAACGGGTCTCCTATTTGCTGGGGGAATGTTGGAATTTAACCGTGCGAGGATGGGGAGACGCGGCTGTCGGCTCGGGTTGGTTTAGCTTTGCGCGCGGAAGATGAGGCGGAGGGGGGATGACGGGGCGGATGGGCGGAGTTGGTGGGTAGTGTGAAGGATTGGGGGATTTAAGATTAGTCGCGCTGTGGAGACGGGGGGGATTCCGAGGGTTTGGAAATAGAAGGATGGAAGGAGTTGAAGGATTGAGGTGGAGATTAGTGAGTGAGTGAGCTATGGTGAATTGCTGCTTGGGGGGTGTATTTTTTTCTAATTACGGACATAAAAATAGATGATCCCCCTGAAGATCCTATGTGATCGTGTGTCCTTGGTGCGTGTTATGGAGTCATAAACGTCATCTTCGCCACTGGAGGAGCTTCGATTTTGGGGATTCGTATACTCTACTAGCATCTTCGCCACTGGTGAGCTTCGTGTTTTGAGGCTTCGTATGTATACCCCACTGGTGTCTTCGCCACCGATAACCTTCATTGCTGGGGCTTCATCTGCGCCACTCGTGTCCTCGTCACTCGGTAAGCTTCAGTTTTAGACTTTGGGTCTGTGCTGGGTTTCGTTTTTTGCACTATGAGCTTACGCTTTAATCTCAATATAGATCGACGCGTAATTTTATTATAGAAGCCACGAATAAATCCTGTCATCCGCCAAGATAAATATTTACTAGATGTAATTTTATATAGAAGCCAAGAGTGAATCCTGTCAGCCCTTGACAAGAAGAAGCTATTGCCAAGTCATGAATTTCACAAATAGTGGGTTGAATTTATGAATACTATTATGAATATCACCGGAATGTCATCGCAGGTAATTAAACTTACCCTCACTCAGCCACGATGAAAGCCTGTCCGTTCCTAAAAATGATCACCGTAATTAAACATCCCCATGTCTCTCTTGATGACGACTGAATCCTACCAAATCTAGACCTGGAAAGGTCGTTGTTATCCATGAACATCACCACAGATACCATCATCGAACTCACAGTAAAAAATACCCTTACGCTTACTCCCACACTCACATTCACCATCATCACCAAACTCACTTTCAGTAACTCATTTATTAGTGATCCTAAACTATTTAGAAGTATCCAGCCAGGCAAGAAAAACATCCATAGAACCCATAAAATCCCATGAAGCTCCCTTCCCCCGTCAACAAACCGTTCAGCCACTCAGATCATAAAGATCAAATCTCAGAAAAAATCGCAAAACAATCCTCCATGTATCATCATCCCCCAGTATAAACAAACGCCACCCGAAATCCTCGGTACGCCTCGCCATGCCAGTCCTAAACACCCGAAAACACATATCACACCGGTAAGAGCGCGTGCGGCTTGTTGAGAAAGAACAGAGGCCGAGAGACGCAAAGACTCTAGTTACCGCGCGCCATGTCGATGTACGACTGGTTGGGAGTCTCGTACTCGGCGACGAAGTACTTCTCCAGGTTTGGCTTCTTGACCATCCAGTTGGTCAGCTTGATGATCTCCTCGCGCAGGTGGCTGACGGACTGCTGGTCCATGTTGGTCTGGGCGATGAGCTCAGGGAGAGAGACTGGGGTTGGGTTGTTAGTGATTCTTGTGCTTGACGGGAGAAAAGGGGGGGGAGGGAAGGACTTACCCAAGAGGCGGCAGAGATGCTCCGCACCGTAGGTCTGGTTGGCGTTCTTGCCAGCCATGTCTCCAGTGGGGGCCTCCCAGAGCTGGATCATCTCGAGGTATTGAGCACGCTCGAAACTGTAGAACATTAGAATTATAAACCAGATCGAAATAATGATGGTGAACTTACCGGTACAAGAGGATTCTACCCAAGCACTTGTCAAAGTACTCGCGAAGACCAGCGAGCATCTCCTCGAGGATGCTGGCCTCAGGGCTGCCAGGGGCACGTTTGGGCATCTCATCGTCCTCATAGTCCTTGAGGATGCTCTCAACCGGGTGAGCAGCCGGAAGAGGAACCAGCTGCTGGTTCTTGGTCACATTCTCCCAGTCGTCGACGAGGATCGCCTTGATGCGATCTGGGATTGGCAAGCTGATAGCCGGGCGGTCGAGAAAGCCGTCCTCCTGTACATTGAATCGGGTTAGAAAATAATCAAGATGTCTGGTAGCAAAACAACGTGTGAAAGTAGCGCGGTGGCATGGGCGGTCCTCCTGGAATCCGATTGAACCGCTGTGGATGCGCTTGATGGCCTTGCGCATTCTGGAGATGCGTTCCTTTGGGTCCTCGGGTTCTTTGTCGCTGGATGATCCATCGGAATCGGTGGGATGAGTACGAGCTGGCTCGTTGGGGATGATGGGGTTCTTCTTCTTCTTGAGATCGGATTTGGTAGGGGGGTGGGGAAGAGTGATGCTTTGCTTGACTCTGCCAGACTTGGTGAGGTACTGGTAGTCTGGTGTGGGAGGTAGCTTGGAAAGGAAGTCCGTTGGATGTTGTGTCGTGTCCAGGAGGAATGCAATAAGTGCAGGATTCTTTGGCACATAATTGGCAATGTGTGCAGGCACCTCTGGGACCTTCTGGATGGGCAAGGTAAGAGCAGCCAGGCGCTTAGCAACTGGGTCATTGGGAGGTAGAGCTTTCTCCACACCCTCAGCAAATGGGTTGGATCTCTTCTTGCTAGATCGGGTGGTCATATTCGGTGGATTGTTTTGCTTGGCTGGCGACATGATGGAGCTTTGCCTGGGGTTGTTGTGGTGAAGCTCCAATTTTGTCTCGTTGGAAATTTTGAGGTTTGTGGGCGTTGGGGTTGCGTGGTAAACACAACAACCCCCTTTCCGCCACGTTCCGCGAGGTTGGCGGAAATGCGTACTTGGGTACAAGCGTACATCCCGAAGGTATCCAACAGTGAAATCCAGGTCCAGAGAGGTGAATTGGTCCACAGAGGCTTCCAGGAGGACAAAGGCTCACAGCACAACCGTGGTGTTGTCTCTGTAAATAAAGCAAAAGTAAGAAAATTCACATACCTGTTCGAGATCGTAATCTCTAAGGCGCCTCGGGGCGCGTCCTCCACCTTGAGCAGCCATGCTGCCACGCTCCTCACTGCCGCGGGCAGAGCTGAAATCGGATCCGTTGGCGCGGCCCTTGGTCTTCGCAGACTTGGAGGCAGATGGTGCAGGCTTGCCCTGGAGAGCCTTCATCTGCTCGTGAAGTTGGGCGGCAAGCTGCTTGTTTTCCTCCGTAAATTTGCGGACGCGATCCTGAGGAACCCAGTCGTCCCAGCTGTAGAACAGAAGTTGTGTTAGTTGGATTTCTTGTTGCCACCCCTTATTTTGTAGGTTGTGGCGCACGGACTGTAGGATCAAGAGGGAAGAGATTCTCGATCTGGAAAAACAAAAGTCCACACGTTTATGAACCACCAATTAAGGAAATAATGATTCACAACAACGGCAACAGATGTGTACACGACGACAAAACACAACTCCCAAAAAGATAAAAAGACAAAAATACACCACAATATAATACCACAACGAACACCACAAGCACAAAAATCACAATTGACAGAACAGAAATCTCCCCATAAGTACTTACGTGTTCTTCCATCCCTTATAATGGATCTTGTATTGCCATGATCCCCCATCAGTAGCGCGCGAGTCCAACACCTTGGCTTCATAGAGCATCTCATGATGGAAGCACAAGACACGCTCGTCCTTGGCGAAAGGAGCCACCGCTTTAGCTGGAGCCATGACCCAGAGTGCCCTATTAGGTGGGAGGCCGGAGTTCTTCTTTCTACCCCTGTGGTGATGTTAGAACGTGAAGAAGGCGGAGAAATAAAGATCCCCAAGATTGTGAAGATGTGAGGATGTGTCTTGAAAGGATAGTATGATTGTTTGGAGGGGAAGAAAAAAGGGTGATGTTGTGTGTTGTGTTTGGATGCTTGGAGATGCGGAAAGGAGGCCTTTCAAGACTTCGTTTTCCCGTGACTTTTGGGGTCGACGCGTGCAAGGAACACGGGAGGAAGAAACAGAGAAGAGACAGGTGATAGGCACACAGAAGAAACAAGGCTCGGGGTAACTTACATGCTGGCGGATCGGAATATCCTTGCTTCCGAAGAGCTTATCGATTGTAAGAAATCAGGTCCGTGCGTTGATACTGAGGGTACGCTATAAAGCCTACCTCAGCCTTGTCGAGGGGTAAACAAATGAAGAAGAAGAAAGTTGAGATCGATGAAAGATTGATGAAACAACAGCCACCAACGTCGCTGATGAAGAGAAGTTGAAGGTTGAAAAAAACAAGAAGGAAGGAAAAGAGAGAAGAAGAAGGTGCAAAAGGGTGGTAAACAAAGAACACACCTCGCCTCGCCCGCTACGCACGCTTCGCGTTTGAACTGGCCCCGACTGCTTTAGGACGTACTCTTTCCGCCAGATTCCGGCGTGGGTCCGTTTGGTGGTCACACGCACGCCGAGAAGAGGGTATATCGGAGTCTCAGGCCGAGGAGGCGGACAGAGCGGCAACTAAGGCGGCAGCTGACCTATCCACGGAACTATTTGGAAGAATTCCCCCACGCCGCATACACACGCCCTCCTATCTATCCACGGATTTATTTGGACGAAACCTCTCACGCCGTCCTATCTATCCACGGGACAATTTGGACGAATTCTCCCACGCCGAGTTCACACACACAGAACAATTTGGACAACACCCCCCAGGCCTCACATTCGCACACACACCCACGCACCACCACCATGCCACCACCCACCGAATCCACCATCCTAACCTCCTTCCTCCTCCCCCCCTCCCCCCTCCCCATCATCCTCCCGCCCAGCGCCTTCACCGCCCTCTTCCCCCCCTCCACCCCCGCATCATCCATATCACACCTCTACCGTCTCCTCAGCCACCAGCGCGCTCTGCTTTCCGATGCGGTGAGGGCGGATATCGAGGATGAGGTCAGGAGGGGGGTGGTGCAACGGAGGGCGGTGGTGAGGAGTAGGAGGGAGGGGGAGAGGGCGGGGGGGGAGGAGGAGGAGGTCGGGATTGAAAGGGCTGTAAGTCTTATATTCGCTATCTGCCACTACCACTACCACTATCACCATCACCATCCTATTCCACCCACCTTTCACCCCCCACCACTCCCCTCTCCGTTGAAGAAGAAACAAACTAACCCCCCCCCCAGCTCTCCTCAACAAACCCCTCCCCCCTCCACCACCCCCGCCACCACACTCTTCGCACCATCCTCCCCACTCTCGACACCGCAACCGAGGACATCGAGACCGAAGTCGCCCTACTCGAGCTCGAAGCCGAGACGCTGCTGGCGGAGATCAGGAATACAGTTGGTGGATTGAGCGATCTCAGGTATGGGAAGTTTAGGAATCAGGAGGTGGGGGAGGGTGTTAGGGGGGCGTTGGAGGGGGGGAGTTAGATGAGGGGGATGTAGTTGTGTTGTGTTTGTGGGAATGGGAAAGGGGGGTTGGTGTTGGATGGTATGGAGACGGAGGATATGGCTGTGATGAACTGCAGGGAGTAATTGGGTGTATAGGCGTGGATCAATACCTGGCAGGTCGTGCTTACTGGTATGGGGAAATGGGAATATTTACAAGATCAATTTGAAGCTGTTGTGGAATAACTAACGAGAGAATCAATAGCTCAGACCAGAACGCGGTAGACTGAATTGACAGGAACGGGAAATAATAGCCAACTCGTCTAGTTATACCAAGGAAGTTGCGACGGAGTTTGCTTCGTAATCGTTCTTGCCATTTATAAAAAAAACGCTTCTTCCAAGGAACCTGCGACGGGGTTTTGCTTATGAAATCGTTGTTTCCTTCCCGCATATAAAGGTTGAAAATCTTCAAGGGAAGGTACGACTGAGCTTCCTTAGAAATCGTTCTTTCCATATACATATATATGGCCGAGGAGTTCCCAAGGGAAGCTGCGACTGAGTCTGCTTGGTTGGTAATCGTTCTTTCCATGTTGGCTGTGATGAAGACAGCGAGCTTGCATGTCGCCGAGACGAATTCTGGTCTTAAGTAGTAGCAATGAATGTATCACGATTGACAGACCCCACAGACGCAGAGAGTTCAGCAAGCTACATCACATAACACCGTCACACAAACGTCCTCGACCACCACAGTATATCTTCATCTGAAACAACACACACGCCCAAAACTCTGAAATTAAAAAGTATGATGATAACTACCACGCGAACTACACCCTTTACATGCCCGCCCCCCACCCCACCCTAATACAGTGGCTACCTGTGCCCGTGAAGTCGCGTCCCTGACCCTAATACCGCGTCTGTATAAAAGAGTTTTTAAAAAAATCGAAAAGAGCGAAGAAGGAAGGATCTGTCGAGTCGTTCGTCTCTGGATAGAGAGCATTTATCTGGCTGGTGCTGGTCCTGCGCGGGCTTGTTCGCGGCGGCTCCTGGGATTGGGTTAGTAACGAGAAGAAATTGGACAAACTTGCTGGGGTGGTAAAATAGAAGGGGACATACATCATAGTGCGCGAAGCGAAAGAGATCAAGATCATGAAAGCCCAGTTTGGCAGAATGTTGAAAGCCCAAATAACCCATCCGGTGGCGAGATCCAGACCGTACTGCTGGGCAGTGCCGTGGAATGGGTGAAAGTGTCCCTCATACGCCGGCCTCTCCTTCCAGCTCTTAGTAGCATGAAGCTTCACCATATCCGCCGCCGTAACAGTCGTAGTATTGAAGCCATGAATATGCACCTCCGTCCTCGCCGGCGGCTTATTAACCTCAAAGATATACATCAGCGGCGCCCCAGCCGTCCACGAATGACACAAAACAGGCTGGTGATCACAGTTAATCAACCCAAGATGCGGCGCCGTAGGATCCGCCTTGAACAACAACGCGCTCTCATTGAACGCCCGAGTCAGTCTCTCGCAGTTGCCCCAGCACGTCTTGTTGCCTGCCGTGAGGAGGACCCACCATTCCTCTGGCCCGGTGGAGGAGGGCGTCACGCTGTTGAGGAGGGTGGAGCGCCAGTTGTCGAGGGAGAGGATGTCGATGTTTGATCCGCCTGCCTTTGCGAGGGCGGCTTCGGCGGCGGAGAAGGTGTTGGTGTGCGGAATAAAGGAGTAGGCTTTGTTGAAGTAGTGGAGGGCGGTGTCCTGGAGTTGTTGGAGGGGGTCTTGGGTCTCGGCCACGGCGAGGAGGGGGAGGGCGAGGAGGGTGACGGCGGAGAATCGCATGGTTGCGGGTTGGTTGGTAGGTATTAAATGAAGGAAGCTGTTGGTGGAGGATTGATGTCAGTTATATGTTTACTCGGCCGGCGGCTGTGACGGGAATGGATGGAGATGGGGATAGATAGATAGCTTGTCAGGCGCGTCTGATCTGAGACATGTTGACGTATTGACATACCTTGAGGGTAGATTAGAAAAGTAATACAAACAACAACAACAACCTCTCACAATTAGATAAATAAAATAAAAAGGGGGTTGAAGGTTGAATGAAGCTGGAGAGAAATATAGAAATTCTCTAGTTAAGTTAAGATGAGAAGAAGCTCCTCCTTCGGGTCTCACTGGGGGGGACGTGCTTTTTGGGTCTTTAGGGGAGGCGGATAGGCCAAAGTGGATGAGGTGGAAGAGCACAGAAGGACTGGAAGAACCGCGTTTCTTACCCGTTCTCTGTCCTTTCCTCATTTCAGGCGATTGAGGGGAGCTGATTGGCTGGGAGAGCTGTTCCCCCACAAATTCGCTAATTTACCCGGAATGCGACTAGTGGCTATAAGTGGAGTATGGGGAGATAGATGGAGATAAGGTGGGTTGGATGACAGAACACGTGGAAGTTGACGTATAGAGCACGTGTTTTTAGAGGAGATTTTTGTTTTTACGGTGATATATAGGGTGATGTATACACTTTAATACTCTAGTACTATGACATTTAGGTGAGAATTAGAATCGTTATATTAGATTATATAAGATGTTTATAAGTTTATGGAAGATTGTGGTGTCGGAGCTGCTGTTTTCAGGTGACATTAGTTGCTGCTTTACCCAGCCCTATACACCTAAAAGTTTGTCACGTGCCTAAGATTCCACTTGCTAATTGTTTGAGCGAAGACGCCGTACCTAAATTTTAAAATCCAAGACCCGCTGTCTGGTCTCTACCTAGAGCCTCAAACATCCCCTTAGGCAACCCGACCCGAGCAGGTAGTCGATCTAATAGGTGCTTACCATCGACGGCATTGATACTGTGGGACTACCATGCAGCCAGGTCCCTGCAGCTATTCGCAACTTTGGAAACATATTGCGCCTCTTCTAGTCACTTTCAACCAAACAGCTTCCCCAGGGTAGTTTTAATACGGTCGCGCTCATGCGTTCTTTAAACATTCACTGCCGGCCTCAGGACTTCGAACATTAATGTTATGCTAGTCCCCGCTAGCGTTCCTCGCTCTTCCATCTGCTGATTATCCTTCAGTTGTTCCCTGTTTTCTCATGTCTATGATAATTATTTTCGAGCATCAAGTCGAGGTTCATGCGACAGCGCATTGACGATCTCCTCTAGAGGATCTAATACCTCTTGCAGGAACTCGGCATCCGTAACAATGTGATCGCCCTTCAAATTAAGACACCAGGCAACCAGGTCCTGGTATCTCTCTCCAGTTCTTGCACCTAATAGTGGAACAGTCTCTGACAGTTCGTTAGCCCAGCCAGACGGGTCGGCAAGTGTTATATCCCTAGCTATCTCTCTAAGCGGTTCCCAGAAGCCCACTTCAAGAAGTACCACGCCAAGACTATATATATCATACGTTCTGATATATCTCGGGCTGCTCTTTCCTTGAAGCCTCTCGGGGTGCTGGAAAACATCGAAATCCCAAACAGATCTTACTTCCGTATTTTCTTTGATTGCACCTTCCTTGGTCGTTAATGCTTCGCTCCCGCGTATCAGGTCAAAGCCCATGAGGTACGTGTCGTCAAAATCGGGCATGACTTCCCCATGGGGCAGAGTCGACCGTCGGAGAGCCACGACGCTAGAGGATGTGATGTTCTTGTGGAGGAAACCTGCGGTATGGAGGAAGAAGACTGCTTCAGCAATTTTATGGGCAAGTTTGAGGCGATCGTCGAGAGGAGAATCGACCTCTGGGAACGGGTCTCCGCTGATCATCGCTTCTAGGGTCATCATCGACATAGTAGGGTATGGCGGTTTTTGGGCAAAGAGGAACTGATTGCTGTCTGCATGATAGAAGTAAAATTCAACCTTGAGCAACCTGATGTCCGCAGCTGGGTCCAGGCAGTTAAGTGCGGCGGCCAGTTCACCCATCTCATAGGCCATGCTGTGGAAATTAGGCGTCCCTGGAATCCTTCCTGGAGGAACCCTCCGGCTAGCAAAGATGATCTGCTCAGTGCCGTACTGGAGAGGCTGCAAGGAGACATCGCCCCTGCGCGTGACCAAAGAGGCAAGTTCGACTGAGTCCTCCAGCAACATATCCCTAACCCGCGTCTGCTTGGCATTTGAAGCAAGATAAAGGAATTCCTTCAGCCGGTTGTTGGATCTTACTACTGCAGGGAGTCTGGCCTCGTCTCCAGCAGAGGCAGCGGGGATGATATTTCTAAGCTCTTTGGGGAGACCTAGCAACCGCACGTCGAAGCGCCTAGTCCATTCGAACATCTCCTTCTCCATCTCTTTCAAATCTGACCGTCTCGCAATCCACGCCGCGTGTCTGATGCTGTCGTGCAGCCACCCCTTCCGCTCAATCTTCCATAGAGTCTTTTGTACCTTGCCTACAAACCCGTCGAGGTAAATCGCGGTCTGCTCGAGTAGCGCTGCATCTTCAGGCGCCAGTTGTTGGCTTGCTTTCACAGCCCCCCTCTGGGCGAAGTAGTCGCTGAGTACTTGTAATACCCGGATGTCCCAGTCGAAACGAGTCTTCAGGGATTTCGCCTCATCTGAGTAGGCACTACATGCGTCAAGAAACCGGAGAATAAGGCCACCTGATGTAATGACAGTTGTGAACACTTCCATGATATAAATACCTTTTAGTCCGGTCTTGATTTTTAGGCGTGAATCCGTAGTAGGTGACTTGCCCATAAGTGCGGAGATGGCTGTATTTCAATCATCCACAGCATGGACTAATTATGCAGCTCATCCTCGTAGGTGATCCTCCATAGCCACTTCCTCTATATTTTTAGCCTTTATAACCAATCACTGGTTTACGCGCCAGGATTGTATGCTGGGCGGCCTGTAAAAGAGTTATAGCGGCAGTTGAATCTCCGCTTTTCATGTAGCTAGGCGGAGCCTGTGACGAAATCCGGATTCAGGAAGGGCATCGCACCTCTTAGTAAAAGCGTCGCTGGGTCTTCCCTTCGGATTTCTCTTCGTCGCAATCTTAGTCCTATGGAAAGAAAGCAATATTGCTTTGAAGAATTGTGGCTGCAGCCAGGCTGCAGGAACCAGGCTCTGCCAGTTGTGTCATGGTACCACCGTAAACGCTGGGTATGCTCCCATTCCGGGCAATTGAGAGCCAGACATTGAGCAACCTGGAGAGCGTCTAGCCCAGCTACGTGGCAACGAAAACAAGTAGATCCTGATCCTCACAAGGCCTCACCCGCCGTGATCTAGTCGTTCCTGCTTATGCTGTACCACTCTGGCAGCTAAGCGAGGCTAAGGAAACCTGTCAGCCGACTGCCCGCTTCAGAAGCTGCTGGGTATTACCCTGTCCCACAGAATTTCAACTTCACCTAACTGAACAGGTCACAACTTCATTAATGTTTGCCACGACGACCAGTTTCCCCAAAGACCTTGTGCACCATGTTTACACAAGAGACGAAGACCTTCCATTTACACATGATGGCAACGATGCATTCATTGCCAACAGCCGCAACGTCGACAGGGTCAAAAGAACCTCTGGCTCTGACGGGGGTCTACTGTATGCCCGGAAAACCCTTACAATCGATGAGCGAGGTAAAGAAGGCCCAGTGGCTAAACGAAAACTCCTCGAGGAAGCAAAAACTCTCCTCCAAGCTCGCCATGGCCACGTCGTGAAACTTATCGAGACGTACTTTTTTGTGTCCGAGCATTATACCCGTTTCGCAATCGTCATGGAGCGTGCAGATGCGAATCTGGACGTTTATCTTACTCACAGGACGAGTCTCAAGAAAATTAGTCAATTAGCGGGATGGTTTGGATGCCTAGTAGGCGTCACTTCCCATATACATGGGTTGGGCATACGACACAGGGACATTAAGCCCTCGAATATCCTAATCAAGGGTAAACGAGTCCTCTTGGCAGATTTTGGCATATCAAAAATGGGCCTTGGTAAAACGATGCCAACGACGATACCTGCGTTTGCTCGTGAGAGGACAAAGGATTATTGCGCTCCCGAGGTAGAAGATGGAAGCACCCGCGGTCGGTCAGCGGACATCTTCTCCTTAGGGGCAGTGTTTCTCGAAATGCTTATAGCTCATTCCTATTATCCAGAGCGTCAAAGTCTTGATGACAAATTAACGTCAGACGGCCATCGTTCTTACGCCAGATCTGTTGATCAGGTGCACCAGTTTATGGACAGAATAGAGCGAGAGTTGCGACCGGACAAGTGGTTCCTCAAAGTTATCTCACACTGTCGGGCGATGTTACACGTGGAGCGAGATCAACGGCCGTTAGCCGATGAGTTAAATTTGGCTTGGCTGAGCCTGCAGCCCTCAGATCTCCCGCTGGCTCCTTGCACATGTTTTAGGGGTGTAGACGTATCGGACGACAACAAGCTAGTTGAGCTATGTAGGACTGGTTCACTAGAACAAGTGGAAGCCTACCTCGCTAGTGGACGAGACCCGAATACCTTAGGAGCGATACATCAAGCCTCTGCCCGTGGCTGTGGGAAAATTGTGCAGAGTTTGCTACTGCATAAGGCTGATGTCAACCTAAGGGACTGTAGCGGGCAGACGGCACTTCATTGTGCCGCTGGATATGGGCACACGGAGGTGGTTGGAATGTTACTAGAGAAGGGGGCCGATGTTCAGCTAAAGGATGACGAGGGACAGACAGTGCTTCATTGTGCGGCTGGACAGGGGCATCGGAGCGTGGTTGAATTATTACTAAGCAAGAATGTTGATAATCAGGCAACGGACGCAGAGGGACGGACTGCACTTCACTTTGCGGCTAGAAGGGGACACGGCGACGTGGTTAGAATGCTGTTAAGCGGAGGCGCCCACACTGAAGTAATGGATGCTAAAGGGCGGACAGCACTTCATTTCGCGGCTGGATATGGGTCTGAAAAAGTGGTCGAAATGCTTCTGAAGGCTGTAGACAAATATGTCATTGACGCACAAGATGTAGACGGACAAACGGCGCTTCACTTTGCGGCTAGAGGAAAGCAAGCTAGAGGGAAGTACGACGCAGTAAGAAAAATGCTAATAGAAAAGGGGGCCGATCCACGCTAAAGGATTGCAGTGGACGGACAGCGTGTTGGCATGGAGAGTGATGACAGCACACTGATGTCCCAGGGAAGGTACGCGGGAGAGAACCGCACTATGCGCTTAACGTACCTGATGAGTTGCATTTGATAACGGCATGCGGACTGTAAAAACGCCCGCTTATGGAAGTCCTCGCTCGATTGACCTTCTAGGGCTTTTTCCTAATCGCGGAATGTAGTATTTTAGATGCATTCCATCTCTGATTCTGGTATATCAAGTGGAACTCTTGTGAAATCGTTACTTAGTTTCTATTGCATCGTTTGGCTTGGTTCTAGTCGCTCTAATTTGCTACTTAGGCGATAAATAAGACTGACTTCATTACGTCTCTATCTGTGAGTAGGAAACAATGACCACCTCGATATCTTTTCTAATGAATCCAACAGATAGATAATGAAGTGGCCCTTGTGTAGACAGTATAGATGTTTCCTTTGCAATATATTGCATTAAAGAAGGCTTAACAATTGAAACCTTTATCTCTGGCTTCATCCGCGGAAAGCGAATCGGTTTTTAATGACCCTATGCTGATTTAATGAATGCGCTACGTTTCCCTCAATGCTGTGCGTCCGGCGTAGTGATTTTCTATGCATAAAATTCTAGTCGAGTAGGTTGAGAATAATAGTAACAGAGTTAAAATAAAAACGAGGTAAATAGCTGTAAAATATTCCACTACTTTGCGTAGTATATAAGGTTGATTCCGTGAATTCGCCCTATGCCTATTTCCCTACCCTGGTGATCTTGTAGTGCTAAGACGACGGTCTCACAACCTATAAGTTTTCCTTTGTTCGTTTCCGTGGCTAAATAAACATGACATACACAGTGAAAAGCGAGTGTGCTTGCTCGCACACTTGCTGAATAATATTTTCCAACTCAAATTTGGAAATATAGCCCCACGATCTACTAGTCGTCTTGCACAGTGGGTTACATTGGGAAGGCCTCATTCCGGGCGACTATGGCCCTCTCGATACCCTGGTGTATTTGATCCTGATCCGTTCTCTCAGCCAGCTCAGAGCAATTTGGAGAAGGTGGTCGAGCTTGAACAGGGAATGTCAAAAATTAGTTATATCAGGCTGTTCATGACCTCTTACCTTTTAAGATCGAATGAGTGCCTCAAAACGAAGGTGATCGGCAACAACCTGCAACACAAGGATGGTCGCGGCCGAGATGGCCTTCGGGAGAAATCTCCGCTTCGATCTCAAATCGGCCTTGCTCTTGAAGAATCTAGACTAAGGCAGACGTCGCTGCTAGTACCTGTAACTCGCAACGTTGCAAAATGTGCTGCGCAGAGTCTACGAAGGGCCGGCCACTGCAAGGCATTTTTGCGATAGGCTAGGTCGTGTGCAAGGCACTGTCAAGGCAGACTACATATGCTGCAGTCGCAAGAGAGGGACAGTCAGGGGGGGGAGTGGCCCTTTTATAGAACTCGAAAGCGGCGACAGGCACTTCCACGCGCGTTCCCCAATTAAGCGGGCGCCAAAACCTAGGAGGTTGAACACCACGATCTAGATTATAGGAGATAAGAGAGAGTACGTGTTAAAGTAGTTAGGAAATTATTTGGCTAAGTAGTCTATAGTGTTAGGGTTAGAATACTTATATATATAAAGAGGTATTATATTTAATTATTATAGATAGTTAAAGTATTTTTACGCAATGTGCGGCACGGATACCAATATACCCGTGGTATCCGGGTATATCCTCGAGTATATACCTACCCGGCGATATTTTGGGAGTATCTAGAGTATCTGGATACTCTCGAGTATATATCTAGATACTTGCTAAGAGTTGCTAAGCCTAGCTAAGGCTTCATTTTACAGACGTCATCTCAACGTTATGCTTAAACTATAGCCTTATAAGCATACTAATACCCTTAATATCTAGTTGTTACTTAGGCTATTTAGTAATTCTAGTAAACACTATAGCTTTAGAATAACGTATTTCACGGGCGAGCTGGTCACACGGGCGAGCTGGTCACCAAAACACCAAAATTTGACTATTACTACTACTACTACACCACTACCCTACATAATAACCCTTATTCGATCGTAATTAATTCCTGGCGCCTCTCGCACGTACGGGTATTATGTCCTATTTTCTCACATCGGCCACAGCGCTTCTGTCGGCCTATAGAACCCATCTGCCGAGTAGTCTCACTTGCTACCTCCGTACGGACTTGAGCTTCAACCTCAGCACTTTGAAGTATATCCTCTGCGTCTCGAACGGAAAGGCTTCCCCCTTGCATTATACGTCTCTTACGCTTCCTATCCCTCCTCTTTTTCTGTTCATTTGCAGCTTATAGAGCCTTAACTTCTGCCTTAAGTAGAACAGCAGAATGCATCATCATTTCTGCCCCTTTAACAAGGCAGCTAATAGCATCATTAATTGAGGTAGGAGAGCTATTCTGATGTCGTACGATGCAGTTCTTAATGTGCTCTGTCTGAAAGTTTAGCTCCCGTATAGTTTAGGGAGTCTTTGAAGTCCAATTGTTACTCTTAACTATAGGAGGAGTTGGAGTTCTTAAGTGTAGATTCAAGTAAGAGAGGACAATCTGTAGCTCGTACGGAACTAGCCCTATAGCTCGGAATCCGCTCTTAATGTTCTGCTCTGTAAATGTAGCTTTAAATGCTTCTTTAAATGTAGAGAGAAACTCAAGCTTCGTGATATGATTTAGCCTGTTCCGTATGAAGGTTTTAATCTAACGTCCGTACGAAAGCTTTAGTGGAGTAAAGCAGCTAACGTTAAGTGGTTGAAGAATGTGCGATGAGTGTAGTGGCATATAGAGGGTAATTATCTTCCGTTCTATGCAGTAGTGTTGAAATTGAGCTAAGAGGTAGCTCTTATGTCCGTCGAGAATAAGAAGGCGATAGGTTCTGATCGAACGACTATTTGTATGTCGATTGAAGTGTTGAATCTACTTATACCTAATTAAATTTAAAGTCCACCCATTCTCACTTAGTGTAATCACCTAATCGTCTAGTAATCCCAACTCCTTATACTAAGCTGAGAGGTAATTCTGTGCCTTAAAAATGATAAACGGCAGGAGTGCCCATCCGTACGAATTAACACCTTAGATAATTGACACCCACTCTCTATTCCCTAGCTGTATAGTCTTTAGACGGCTCTTTGCTTCTAAGCTTGTGACTACCTTTACAGTAGCAATAACTCCCATTGCAAAACCTGCTTCATCAAAGTTGTAGATATCCTGCTCTAATATGCTATATTTTGTAACTGTGTTTCGTACGAGAGAGAACCACTCTTGAATTATCTTAGGATCTTCGCATTTTGCTCGCTTGTAGTCGTACCTCCGACTAAACTTTGATTTGATTTCCGTACGACGCTTTATAAAGCTAGTAGCCTAGTTTATCCTAACAGGGCTCTCGCCTCGTTCGGAGAGTAGAAGGTCTGCCATTTCTTGCACAGCTTGTAGCTAGGGTGGAAATCCGCGTGAATCTAGGTCGAGGATATACTGAACAAGAGCTGACTCTTCGTACAGAGTTAATTTTCGTGAGTTAGGGGTAGAGTTGCGTCGACAAGTAACACCGTTAAGTCGCGTCCGTAGCGACTCAAATGGGACGTCGTACGACATTGCAGCAGCTCGAATACTCTTAATATTGCCTTCTTTAAGTGCTTTAATAGCAAGAATAATTCTACCCTCTTAATTAGAGGATTGGGCTTGTGTTGGTTGTGGCATGTTAACTCTTGTTAAGTTGACGCGTTTTGGTGTTTTGGTGACTAGCTCGCCCGTGTGACCAGCTCGCCCGTGAAATACGTTAAGGATTTAGTAATATTATAATATTATTATAAAAAAGTAAAATAGGTTATTACTACCTGTAACATTTACTTTACTTTACTTATAGAATTATATATAAGAGGCTAATAGTAATAGTAATAATGTTAATAATAAAGTAAATAAATAGGTATAGGGAGTATTGGGAGTATAGGGAGTATAGGGAGTATAGGGAGTATATAGGGTATAGGGTTAGGTCAGTTAAGGTATCTTAAAAGCTTCATTTGTATATGCTTCTATTTAGCCTCATGTATCCGGATATATACCCTACTCTACCCGTGAGATCTTGGCCGGATACATACCCTACCCGTCGACATTACGGATACTACCTGGATATGTATCCGCCGAACACTGTTTTTACGTGTTATTATTATAACTATAATCCTCGAGTTCCTCTTTTACTTTAACTCTTTTACTATAACTCTTTTACTATAACTCTTTTACTATAACTCTTTTACTATAACTCTTTTACTAGGAATTATACTAGATAGGGGTGGCTTTACTTAATTACTAACTTATAATTTTACTCTTTTATTAAAAAAGGACCCTTATAAAAGTAGTAGTATGCTAGATAGGGGTAGCTTCACCTAATTAGCAACTTGTAATTTTACTCTTTTACTGAAAAAGGTGCCTTATATAAATAAGTAGTAGAATTAAATAACTATATCTTGCGTCTACGTCAAACCACCTCTGATAACTAAACCCCCCTCTTCCCTCCCTATAATCCTCGCACTCTTAGCTTCCCGCCCAACGACTCCCCACCTACTTATTACGATGAGTCGCAATCTAAACATGGTTCTTCTCCGGATGCCCAGCTGGCAGCACATCCTCGATCGTCTCGCCCGTGTCGGCGAGATCGTGGTCCATGACGACGTGCTCCTTGATAGCATACAGAATGACGGGCGACGCAATGAGTAGCGACCCAGCCAGTAGCGCCCAGTTGCTGATCAGCTCGTTCATGTACGACGTCTTGTGCGAGTCCAGCGACCACATCACTGCCGCGCCCGCGGACTGGATGCCCTTGTAGAAGCCCACGAAGTTGGCCTGCTTGCGGCCCGAGTTCGAAAGCGCACCCATGTACCTAGGATAAGACTGTTAGTTGGCTGAATGCGGGCCTGCGGGGGGAGGAGGATGGGGGCAAGAACTCACCAGTACACGCAACACTGCCATGCGGCATCGTAGAAGCCGTAGAAGAAGTACAGGAACATGGGGCCTACGTAACCCGGTGTCGTCCAGTCCGTTGGCACGAAGCTATCCAACTTTACAGACGCGCGCGTGTAGTCTTTCTGGTACGCATAACCGCCGCCCCAGATGGCCATGGTGAGGGTGAGGAGCACGGCCAACGATGCCTTGGCGCGGGTCGGGCGGCTGAAGCGCTCGAGGTCAAGGGCGTAGCCGAAGATGAGCGCGCCGACGATCTGCGCCAGCCAGAACAGAAGGCCGTTGAGCGCCTTGGTGCGCGTGGAGAAGTGGGCGCCGTTGACCGAGTTCTGCTGGTACGTGGTGAACCAGTTGCTCGACCAGAACATGGGGAAGAGGAGCAGGATGTGCGGGTCCGACCGGATCGTCTCGTACAGGCCGATGAACTCGGACTGCCACGACGGGTTCTTCTTCAGCACTACCTTGGAGCCGTCATCGCGGATGATGTCGGTCGCGTTGCAGAGGAACATGCCAACCACGGCGCCCACAAACATGAGGACGATGAAGGCGATGTAGGTGCCGTCAGTGACGGTGACGTTGCCCTTCACATGGATGTTTTCGCCGAGGGGGATCTGAAAGACGTAGGCGGTTAGCTGGGATATGACCTGAGGGTTGGAGTTTTCTCGCAAATGACAGGAAAGGCACACGTACCAAGCTTCCAATCACACCGCCAAGGTTAAAGATCATCCAGAATATGGCAAACGATCGACCCTTCTCGGACTCCTTGGGATATGACAACATGATGGTTCCCTGAGCCGTCCATAGCAGGCCAGCACAGACACCCAGCAACGCACCGGCAAAGATGTTGAAGCCGCCAACGTTGGCATGCACCGAGGCCAGAAGACTGATGGAGTAGATACAGTATCCCAAGCCGCCAAAGGCCAATGTGAGCTTCACACCCAGCTTATTAACGAAGGAGCCGGCGAAGAAGCCGACGACGGCGAAAGTGCTGTAGAGCGCGATGAGCTAATATTGCGCAGCGCGTTAGATCAAGGCCCGTCACGTAGCATGGCTTGGAAAGGCATCGAGGTGGGGAGCACGTACCATATTATCCGCCAGCGTGGGGTCCTGCTTCCCTCCGCCACCCAAGCCGCCGAGCGCGTTGAACATGCCCGGGCAAAGAAAGCACACAAACGAGACGAGCAGCAGCTGGGCCCTAGGCGAGGCATACCACGGGATCACCAAGCCGCCGATTCGACGCTCCCTGTATTTCCAGCCGTCAGGTCGCGGTCCGGGTTGATCAACGGCAAGTTCAAAGCTGTCGACCGGATCGTGGTTTGACAGACGGCCACCCTCCCTCTCCTCGGTGGAGGCGCCCTTGGTTTCGGCGTCGGCCATTGTGATTGCGTTGAGCTGACTATGGTGAGTTGTAGAGTTGGAGCGGAGGTGGAGTGGTTGGAGAAAGAAGCTGGAGTAGAGATGAGAGAGCGCACCATGACTATCATATAGTCTCTATGCACCCCAGTAGCAAGGATGAAGACTAGGGGGTCCAGAAGAGGAAAGGCTTAAGATGGGGTGATGTGACAATGGTGGCAGTCTCACTAATGGTAGTATCACCTAGACTCCGCACACAACAGGATACCATCTAGGTTACTGTGGCATGGCTATGGAAAGGCTGTCAACAGTCCGATGGCTGTCAGCCGTTGGTCCGGCCGCAATCCGCCATGCCATCGCTTCGCAGATCCCCGGCTTTCCCGCGTCAGGGGGCACTAGCGGTGGGTAAGGATAGGGGGATGGGAGAATAGATAGTAGAGGTTATTTCGGTAGAGCGGGTTGCATTATCGTGTTACTCGCGTACAGATGGGGGGTGTGTTAGAGAGCAAATCATCGCGTGTTTACCATGTGATAAAGTATACTCTCACTCTCGTACTTTAGTATACCTCATATCTCCGTACAGAGAGTATGGTGATATTAGAAAGTGTAGGCGTTAAGACACGTTAAGACACATAATGGCCACGCTTCGCTTCGTATCTACAGTATAGAAGAGTTGTGTTTCTAGATCTAGAGTACCATCCATACATGCATGCATCGATCCCCTAAACTAGAAACTCTGGGGTTTGGGGTTGGGAAGCTATGGCCACGCTAGCAAGGTACAATACTGTAGCAATAGCTCTGTGCACGGCAAGGGAGTAACGTGTGATGAGCCGCCACTACGCTATCCTTGTCGCCCTTTCCTCCCCATCACCCTATTAATCGACCCTATTAATCGTAGGGAGAGGAGCAAAGCTGAAGAAGTCAAGATCGACGTAACGTTAGTTAGGGTGGCGCGTGTGTGGAAACTCTACTCTAGAGTAGAAAGTCCACAATAGAAGGCCCACAGTGCAGTGCAGTCCACAGTGTAAGTTCCACACACAGCGTAAGTTCATTTCTATTGGCTTGTATCAGTAGTTGCAGGCAACATAGTGGCGCAAAGTGGCGTAGGAGGGCGCGTCTAACTAGGGCGGAGGAAAGTAGGGCCGTGAGTTAGGGGGGGCAGTTAGATATGGTCGCGCGAGTAGCTTGAGGGAGGGCGGGGACAGACAGGACAGACAGGATAGACAGGATAATAGATAATAGACAGGATAGACAGGAGGATAATAGACAGGATAGACAGGATAATAGACAGGATAGACAGGATAGACAGGATAGTTACGGACATAGGAGTGGAGAATAGATATTGTACGGACCACCAGCCACCCAGCTCCAGCTACAGGGAGGGACCTCTGCCAGCTCGACCCAGCTACAAGCGTCACGTGGTCGTAACCAATTAGGCGCGGGGGCGATGCGGTACTAATACGGAGTAGGAGGTAGGCAAGTAAGAGGATTAACAAAGTCAGAGCCATTTCGGGTATTTAAGGAGACCGACCTAGAGAGTCACCCCTCTATTCTTTTTGTATCTTTCGTAAGACCTATAGGATAGAATCCAGCATCCCCTTAGACTCGTACTCCCATATGCAACTACTATGAGCTGGGTCCCTAAGTCCTTACACCCTTAGACGTACACTCCTATATACAACTACTATACCTCTAAATTACTTCCTTTTATTTCTTTTACATTTTTTAGTTATATAACTGTTTTCAGTTTACAACACTAGGTTATAGTCCTTTGCATATAACTACTATATTAATTTATATGTCATGTGACCTACTCGCTATGGCGCCAGGTTATGGTCGTTTCGCCGCATCACGTGCATCTTATCACCCTTATCGCCCACACTAGCTACGGCGGGGCCGGGAAAACTGCACAGCTTTTGTAGATTCTCACAAATTTCTTGAGACGCAGATAACGAGGGACCATCGATAATTCTCGATTTAGACAAAAAAGAGAGCAAGCATGGCTCAACCCACCGCCACGCCTCTCAATATGTCTCTCGAGGAGAAACTCGACAAGATTCGCATGCCCAAGCTGCAGAATCAGCAACAGGTATGTTTGGACCAAAGAACTGTACACCCTAGACAGCACACAGGCACTGACCGCAAATCTCTAGACCGGCGTTGTGCTCAAGGCAGTCGAGGACACCCTCAGAGACCAGAAAACCGATTTCACACCAACCGGCTACTTCGCCGCTCTCCTAGCCCTCCTACCCCAGGCCATCACCTCCAGCGGCGTCGTCAACAAGGAATTGGCCACCTCCGTCGTCTATCTTCTCGATGTCGTAACGCCCTTCGCGCCAGAGCCTCTCCTGCGCTCAAAATTCTTGCAAATCCTCACAAACATTGCGCCAGCCCTCTCATTACCCGAAGCCGATGCGCCGCTCCTCAGACCCTCGATTGGATGCCTCGAGTCCCTTCTCCTGGCCCAGGATGCCTCGGCGTGGGAGCTTTCTCAGACACAAATCGGACCCCGCCGCGCTATCGCTGGTCTCTTACAATTAGCCGTTGACCACCGCCCAAAGATCAGAAAGAAGGCCCAGGATGCGATTACGAAGGTGCTGAGGAACCCGCCACCAAGCCCTTCCAGCGATCACCCCGCAGCGGATATGTGCGCTGAGACGGCGCTGAAGAGCATGTCTGATTTGGCAGCGAAAGCTAGCCAAGCAAAGAAGCAGAGGAAGGGACAAGCCGACGCTGAACATGAGCCGGCTCTTATCCATTCGCTGCATTTGGTCAAGACAGTCGCAGCGGCTTCTGGAGGATGGCCTAGCAAGAAGATTGAGGCGCTTTGCGAAGTCCTCCTCAATATCTCCAAGTCTAGCAACGAGTACATGACCATGGCTGCGTTTGAGGTTTTCGAGATTATCTTCCAGGGAATGGCCGAGGACGAGGTTGCCTCTGCGAAACTCCCAAGACTCTTAGAGGTCATTTCCGAGCTGCGACCATCGCAGAACGACTCCCAGCTTCTCCCACCATGGATTGCTGTTATTTCCAGAGGATACGACGTCAGCGCTCAAATTAACCCCGACGAGACCTTTCAGCAGCTGCCTGAGTTATTCACCATGATTTCGGGCTTCATGGCTTCCGCATCACACAATATCCGGATTTCCGCATCGGAGTGCTTAATGTCCTTCATGGCGAACTGCGTACCCGATACCATTCTCCTTGAGCCGTCCATTTACGACGAGAAAGTCCTGGAGAAGCTGTCAAAGGCAGCAATCGACTTACTCAGCCTTAAATACCAAACAGCATGGATGGAGTCTTTCAACGTCTTTGGCGCCATGTTTGACAGCTTGAGATGGCGCTCTGACCCCATCCTGAGAGAGGTGGTCAAGACTGTTGGCGATCTTCGTGGCAACAACTCCTTCTCCGGAAAGAAGGAAGCCGACGAGGTTCTTGGCAAGGCGATCCGTGCTATGGGCCCCGAGGCCGTTCTGTCCATCTTGCCGCTCAACCTGGCAAAGCCAGTCCCTGGCCAGCCCGGAAGAGCTTGGATGTTCCCTATCCTCAGAGACTTTGTTAGCAACACCAAGCTCCAGCACTTCAGAGATGAGCTCTTGCCATTGAGCGAGGTCATGTTCCAGAGGGTGTTGGATAACGGTGATGCCGAGAGGACTATGGAGATTAAGATTTTCGATACCTTGGTGAAGCAGATCTGGGCTACCCTGCCTGGCTACTGTGACCTGCCATTGGATCTGACCGAGGCCATGGATCAAAAGTTCGCTGAGATCCTGTCTACTCTTCTTTACACTCAAGTGGACCTCCGATCTGATGTCTGCAAAGCACTGCAGACATTGGTCGAGTCGAACCAGGTTATTGCCGCAATTGAGGAGGAAGATGACTTGGTTCTCCAGTCCCGAGTCTCCAAGGCCGTGGCACAGAAGAACCTTGAGCACCTGTCTGGCTTTGCCGGCAACATGCTCGCTGTTCTCTTCAACGTCTACAGTCAGACGCTGCCACAGTTCAGAGGATACATCCTCAAGTGTATCAATGCCTATCTTAGCATTACCCCACCTGCCGAGCTGATGGAGACATTCCAGCGTGTTACCACTGCGCTCGAAGGTTCCCTCGCCGAGAGTGTTGCAAAGACCCAAGCTGAGAAGCAGAAGCAAAAGCAGCAAAACAACGAAGACAAGATGCCCCAGACAAGCCACACTCTTATGGATCTTGTTATCACCATCTCTGTATACCTTCCTCGCGAGAGCTTCATCACCCTTTTCAACATTTCCTCCCTCATTATCGTTAAGGACGATGACCCGCAACTCCAAAAGAAGGCATACAAGCTCATCCCAAGGCTCGCCGAGTCGGAAACCGGCAAGGCCGCCCTCCAAGAGCGCAGCGCTGAGCTGCAACAGCTCCTACTAAGCAGCTCCGAGAAGGTTTCCCCACCAGCGAAACGTGACCGCCTCACAGCCATCACAACACTCATCCCCTTCCTCCCCACCGACTCCCTCCACTTCATCCCCTCCATCCTCTCCGAAGTCGTCATCTCCTGCAAAGAGACCAACGAGCGCGCGCGCACTGCCGCCTTTGACCTCCTAATCCTCATGGGCGAGAAGATCGTCTCCTCCTCCGGCGCCACCATCCACAACAGCAAAGTCGCGCACATGCCCGACGACGCCCCCTCTGCCACCGCCAACCTCGAAGAGTACTTCACCATGGTCAGCGCCGGCCTCGCGGGTAGCACACCACACATGGTCTCCGCCTCCATCACCGCGCTCACCCGCATCCTGTACCACTTCCGCGAGCAGCTCAGCGCAGAGACCCTCACCGATCTCGTCCAGACAATGGACCTCTTCCTCACCTCCAACAACCGCGAGATTGTGCGCAGCGTCCTCGGTTTCGTAAAGGTCTGCGTCATCAGCTTGCCGCTCGCGCTCATGACGCCCCGCCTCGAGACTCTGATCCCCAACCTCATGGTCTGGAGCCACGAGCACAAGGCCCAGTTCAAAGCCAAGGTGAAGCACATCCTCGAGCGCATGATGCGCCGCTTCGGCGTCGACGTCGTCACCAAGTTCTGTCCCGAGGAGGACCGCAAGCTCATCGCCAACATCCGCAAGACGAAGGAGCGGAACAAGAGGCATAAGGATGCTGCTAAGGCGGCTGGCGAGGACGATGACGAGGATAAGCAGCAGCGCAAGGGCAGGTTCGAGAGCGAGTACGATGAGGCGCTGCAGGATAGCGATAGTGAGGGCTCGGATGTCTCGGATAATGAGGTGCTTGGTAAGAGCAGCAAGAAGCGTCGTGCTGAGGAGAAGGGCGGGAAGAGCTATATCGTTGAGGATGAGGAGGAGCCGCTTGATCTGCTGGATCGTAGGGCGCTGGCGAATATCTCTAGCACGAAGCCTTTGAGGCAGCGCGCTGCGGCTGGGAGGAAGGCTGCGAAGACGGATTTGGATGGGAAGTTGGTCTTTGGAGAGGATAGTGATGAGGATGATAAGATGGTCATTGATACTGGTGATAAGGATGAGGAGGGTGGAGTTGGAGCGTATGTCAACGCTCTTAAGGGCAGAGATGCCGCGCAGAGGGGTAGAGGTGGAAAGCTGAAGTTCAGCAATAAGAGGGATAAGAATGACGATGAAATGGACGTTGACGATGAAGATATCCAGCAGGTGAAGAAGCAGATTGGCGGTGACCGCAGGGATTCAAGGGGAGGTGGCCGAGGCCGCGGCGGAGACCGTGGTGGACGTGGTAGTGGACGCGGAGGATTCCCACAGAGGAGAGGCCTTGGAGAGGAGAAGAGGAGCGGGCCTTCTGGTGATGGTGGACGGGTTATGAAGAGCCCCAGGGGAAGGGGCGGCCGTGGTGGTGGCAGAGGTGGAAGGAGATAGGTGTAGATGATGACGGTGCTTTTAGTTATGCTGGGAAAAATATCAAGGGTTCTTATGATGCTTATATGTAGAAATTATCTATATTTTAAATTGATCGAACTCAATGGCACAGAGTGCTTCATGAATATGTTTTCCGTATGGTGATGTGACGCCCCTAATGATGAATGATGTTTGCTACCCACAGGAATGCATGGTTTGTGATGATATGGAGTTCAGATCCATTTCAAGGTCGTCTTGTTATGTTACAGTCTATACATATACAGTACAAGTTCCCAAACGCCGTTGCTGTGCTCTGCAATATGTGTACACGAGACTTTTCCTCCCTGTTGTCCCCCAAGGTTGACATCCCTCCACTCTGCCAATTCGACTGTCGTCCATCTTCCTGCCCCGGCGCTCATCACAGTGACTTCAAACAATACTGTTCTCCGCATGCACCGTCCTTCCCATTATATTCCCCCTTCATCCCCCTTTCACCTCGGCACCGCCCTCTCGATAAAGAACCCAGGATCCGGCCGCCTCTCCGCACTCAGCTCATCCTTCGTCTTCGCCTCCGCAACCTCCTCCACCTTCACCAACTCCTTAACTTTCATAATTTGACCAGCGACATCGTGCGAAACGGGGTAGAAGACCGTCTTCATGCGTCTTCGGAGACCGAGGGCCTTAAGGACGCCCTGTGTGCGCTTTGGCAGCCCGATGGCAGAGCGCATGAGCGTAATGCGGAAGAACGACATCGTGTTGATCTGTAACAATGAAGTCAGTCTAAGCCGATTGGCAGGGTTGGAGAGGGCTGCGGCGTACTGTGGGATTCGTTGCGATATTTGGCTTGAGGCTTCAAAAGTCGAGATGTCGCGAAATACACTTTTTGGTCCTCCGTCCCGTGGTCACGTGCACAGTGGGACCCGAAACTGGCACCCCTGTAGGTACATGCCCCACGACAGCTATGGTGGACAACAAGTACGACTTCAACGATCGCAGCGCATGGGCAACGCAAATTGACGGCAAAGAAAAGCCATGATAAGACGTTAGAATCGCCACCATGGATACAATTGACAGCACGGCGGTGAAGCTCACCGAGCTCCTCCGGCACCCCGAAGACCTCGACAAGATCCCCGCCCTCAAATCCGAGTTCACGCGCAAGAAGGCCGCCTTCGACTCCCAGCTGCGGATTGGCCTCAAGGAGCAATTGGAGGTCACGCAGGCGGGGATGAATAATATCACGGATGGCCAGCGTACGGTTCAGGCGATCAAGGAGGAGATGATGAAGATTGACAAGCTGTGCGCGGAGGCGCAGGATATGATCCATGATTTCCCCAACATCAATCTCGTCTCGCAAACACATCGGAACTTTAGTGCGGTGGAGGAGATGATGCAGAATCTGGAGGGGTTTAAGGAGAGGTTGGATCGTGTGGGGTACATGTTGCAGCAGGACGAGGAGGACGAGGAGAATATGCCGAATCTGCTGAATGTTCATTATGAGCTGACTAGGCTAAGGAATATTCGCGATGATGCTATGGAGCAGATTCAGAGGGCCGAGGATGCGAGTTTTCAGGGAGACTTGGAGACGCTATTTGGGGACTTGGATGATATCATTGAGATGTTTGATGAGCATATTGGCAAGATTGCGCTGAATCTTATCAATATCCTGATCAGTGGGAATAACGCTATGGTGGTGCGGCTTGCGGTTATTATCGAGGCGGAAGAGAAGAGCGATAAGATGGTGATTGCTTTACAAGAGGCGCTGAAGGACCACAAGGAGATTGCCGCCAGGTTTCAGGGCATTACGGATGGAGCGAAACAGACCAGAGGGTACAAGGACAAGTTCTTGCAGGCAATCCGGATACACGCCGAGCAGAATATGTCAGAGAGCCAAGAGACATTCCTCGACGATTCGACAAAGATTGAGAAGAGCATGCGTTGGTTCTTCAATGACCTAAATGCCGTCAAACAGGGCATGGTTCCCCTAATGCCGAAGAAATGGAAGATCTTCCAGACATACGGCAAGATCTACCACAGCGTAATGCACGACTTCCTCATCGGAATGGTGGACGACCCCGAGACCAGCTCCTCCCATATGCTCGCCATCCTCAACTGGCCAGAGAAGTACTACGTCAAGATGCAAAAGCTCGGCTTCCGCGCCGACGAGCTGAGCCCTCACGTCATCGACTCTCGTGAAACGGAACTTGTGAAGGACTTCCGCCAGCTCATCATCCGCTTCCTCGATGAGTGGATCAGCCGCATCGCGCAGTCCGAGAAGCGCGACTTTGCTGACCGCAGCACTGATGGCGCAAACCTCGATACCGATGAGTTTGGCTACTTCCGTACTCGCAATCTTGTCGATCTGTGGCGCATGCTGCGCGAGCAGACTGATGCCGCAGGTAACAGCGAGCGCACCGACGTCGTAGAAGGTGTTATCGACACCATGTTCCAGCGCCTCAAGACGCGCCAGGTCGCATGGCAGAAGATGCTCGATGACGAAGCGGACAAATACACTGGCGCAAATCCCGACATGGAAGGTTTCCAAGCTCTACAAGATTGGCTCGTAGCAACCGCCAACGACCAAATCGCCTGTATAGACGACAACGAAGAAGCCGGCCGCTTCGGCTACCTCACCTCCTTTCGCGAGAAGCTCGCCCCCCTCGTCTCCTCCGCCTACCTCTCCCACGCCGACGCCGAAATCGCCTCCCTCCGCGACGGCTACGTCGACCTCTCCACACACTGCATCTCCACCTTCGCGCAACTAATCCTCCGCGTCGACTTCCGCACCGTGATGCCCGAATTCTTCACGCCGAAATGGTACACCACAACCGCTATGAAGCAAATCGTCGTCACATTCGAAGAATACGTCGGGGACTACAAACTCGTCCTCCACCACTCCCTCCTCGACATCCTCATCGAAGAAATGTCCGACGCCCTCCTCGTCGCCTACCTCGGCTGCGTCCGCAACCGCGGCGCCAAGTTCCGCCGCCAGGAGCCCTTCCAAGATAAGCTCTTCGAGGACGTCAGCACGGTGTTCGAGTTCTTCACTAGCTTCCCCAGCCCGGACGTCGCGGATATCATTAAGACGAAGTGGCGCGTTACTGAGCCGTTCAGCCAGCTCCTCCTTGCGGATAAGGCGTCCGTGCCGGATGTGTTTGAGGGGTTTAAAACGGATTACTGGGATTTGCAGCTTAGTTGGGTGGAGGCGGTGTTGCGATCGAGAGATGATTTCGATAGGGCGTTGCTGAATAGCGTTAAGGCGCGCGCGGCGCAGATGGAGATCAACAGGGGACAGGAAACGATTATGAGTAAAGTGAAATAGAGGGAAGAGTAGTGTTATTTTGACGGCAGCGAGGCGTTGGGGTTGGTTGGGTAGCCACGGCAGTGGCTTCGCATTATAGGAGTCTTGAGATTTTGTATACGGAGAAGTGCTTGATCACAAAAAGCAGATTTATAAGTGGTTAAATAAATTTCTTGACAAAGCAAACTATTTTTGACTATCTGAACATATGTTTCCAAAAATCAACACAACCCCGTGACTATAATATTGCCAATTGCCACCCCACCCGCCGTGCCCCTGAGCTCTCCTGGCTCCCTTTCCCCCACCATAACCGTCCCAACATTCTAATACTCAGACTCCACCCCCGGCTCCCTCCCCTCAAGCTTCCACTTCCCAATCGTCTTCTTCACCGCAAACTTCGTCTCATCCTTCGCGAACTGCAAATTCCTCATCGGCTTCCACTGCATCAACCCCCTCTGTTTCCGATGCAAATCCTTCACATCAGCCTTCGTCTGCACCTCCCCACCATCCGCCGGCCCCTCCAACTCCCTCGACGTCGTCGTCGCATCCTGAAGCCCTAAATCGCTATCATCGCTATCCTCATCATCGTACGTATACTCGCTACTGCGACCCCCGCCCGTACTAGGCCGTCCACTCTGCCCCGTACTAGGCCGCCCGTCATAGCTGTCTCCCTGCGCGCTCCTCGCGCCACGATAATCAACGAACTTCGACGGGTCCTCGCCGAATGCACCGCTCCAGTCCGTCCCGTCTTTCGAGAGCCACTTCTTCTTGTCGTCCTCGTCGGCCTGTGATAGCACATCTCGGCCCTGAGTTAGGCTCTGATCATGCAGCTGCTGCACCGCGGGTGGCATCTCCTTGGAAACATGTGTCGTGCGCACACCCTCCGCATGGCACGCCTCCCACGTCTCCTGCGTCTCGCGGGTATCATTATCACACACGAAGTGCGCGTGGTCCTCATCCGTACCAGCCTTAAAGCAGCAGCGGAACTGCAGACGCCCAACCTCCTCAATCTTGATGTCAGGGATACTATTAAAGTTCTCCTCCGTGATATAATTCTGCGTCAACCGCATCCCCTTATCTGTCTTCCAGATCGGGATATTGATCGCCTCCTCGCGGTTATCCTCAAGATGATGCAACCAAATCACCGCATACGCGTCCACCGAGCGGCTGCCCGATTTGCGAAACTCGAAGACGATGGGGGAGCGGTAGCGGTACTTGACTGGGAGACGCACATTGCTCTTGCCACCCTTCCTGGCGAGGTCCCAGAACACGCCGTCGCCCTCGGCGAGCTTCTGGCAGTGCGAGCGCCCGATTCGGCCGGTGCTGCCGCCGGTGCGCATCTTTAGCTTCGCGCTGGATTGGTAGCCGATTGCGATTATCTTGGGCGAGCGAAACTCGAAGGTGCCGACGTCCCAGCCTAGTTGGTTGATTGGGAGTTTTGTCTCGACGCTCCGGAAGAGGAGGGAGATGCGAATACGGCCGAATCCGATGCCGCCATCCAGAGGATACCATCTTGTGACCTGGGAGCTTGTTTGGAGAATGTCCGACAACTTCAGTGGTACGACGCCCAGAATAGGGTCGTGCTGCCTCATCCGTTGATCTCTAACAGTAACAGTGATGATTCCGGATCTCCAGTCCCTCATGAAGCGCTCAGTACCAGCGTTGAAGATGGGCTTGCTGCTAACGACCTTTGCACGCGTACGGTAGACCTATAACTGGTTAGTAATCTGCTACAACCATATTGAAAGGTCTCACTTACGAGTTCATCGTTATACAAGATCGTACAGTAACTGCTTGGAAGCCTCTTGCCCTCCTCCTCTTTCGTTTCTCCACTCTCAACAGCGGGTTCGAATTCTCGTCCCTTCCTGTTGCCATTGCTGCCCTGGGTATTCTCCAACTCGAGATTGACAATTTGGTGGATAATAACACTGCAAACACCACTTGGCCACAATGGGTCAGGAGGAGTGTGAACAACAGCATCTTCCTCTGGGTTATCCAAGGATCCCTTCTCGTCTTGCAATGCTGGGTTGTCTTTCAGACTATCAGGAAGGTTAATATCCTTCCCATGAGTTCTGAGAGCAGGACGCATTTGAGGCTTGGAAAAGTACCCAACCTCCCACATCAGTTCACCGGGCATCGAACTCTCGGCCTTTGTACCGCGGAGTTTGGATACCTGTGGGTACATCTTGCCAGGGTGCTGGATCATCTTCTGCATGGAAATTTCGACCTTTCCAACGACATCATCGGCGGTGGATCGATCCGAGTCCCACAGTTCCATTGACAGCTGCTCATCAGCCTTGATGAGGTCAGGGGTAACCAGAAGAGCGCATGTCTCCTCCCAGACAGGGTTAAGGTCGTCTTGGATAACGCGGGTGCAGTACATTGGCTTGCCGTACTTGGAGAAGCTGACAGTAATGTAAGGATCACTTCCGCCGCCTTCACTGCCTCGGCGGTCCTGTTTGCTAAGACCAGTTGCCTTGTGGATCCTAATCCAGAGGATGCCGAGTGCTTCGACATCTTTCTGGATGTCGTCGCCCTGGAGCATCTTGGCCATATCGAGCGTCATAGACTTTGGAGCAACATACTCAGCTGCCGCCGCTCCAATAGCGTAGTTGACAAATTTCGAGATGAGAGGCAGATTTAAAATATTAACGTTCGACTCGAGCATTGGCATACAACCGGCTTGGACCTTTGGAAGGCCCATAAGCGTAAATGTGAGAGCCTTGAGGAATGGTGGCTCGGGAGACATTTGAAGGCGCAGGCGAACAGTGCCAACAAGACCTTGAAGTTCGACCCAAATCGGCAGAGGAACACCGAACAAGCCTTTAATTCCGAGGTAGAAGACGAGCTCCATATGCATGTTTTTCGCCTTTGATGAGACTCCCTTTCCGGTTGGCTTGGCATGGTACGCAAAGGAGCATTCGATATTGTAGTAGTCTCCGCCCTCTTCATCCGCCGCAACTTCCTGGGGATCCTTTTTCTCGGCGTTTTGTCTGTGGATGTCATCCTTCAACTCCTCTACGTGATGATCAGGTAGAGCTCTAAGACTCAGGATTCGGATTGGGTTGCTGCCCTGGTTGATTTCGGCGACTCGGACATTCTCGATGATGCCGGGAACAGAGGCTTGCATGACATCCTCGAGAGTATCAGCCACACTGGCAAACATCTCTGGGTCAATCAGGCCCCAAACGACGCCGAGTAAAGTATTCATCCACTCGACTGACTCTGGGATTAGATTTGCGACGGCTGTCTCGCCCCGCTCTTGCTCGCTCGCCCACTCTTGGTCCCTCCCAGCCCGTAGCACAGCCTTCATCCACAGGAAGATGCCTGAAGAGACACACATGCCCAGCGGGATAAGACCATAAAGTGCTCCCCCAAACATCTTTCCCAGTATCACAATGCCTACAAGCACGCCAATACATAGTATTTCAGTCCGTTTCTCCAGCGCCTCAAACATTGGCTCGTAACTGATCGAAGGCGTTGGATGGAAGAGGATGTTCGTCATTTCACCTTTGATGGGCACATCAGAGGTGCTGCCTGGGTGGATAGGATCTGGCGGCGCCGTAACATCTTGGGCGTGTTTGTATTCTTCGCCAGATTGAGTGTGGTGGCTTTGCATCGTCGTCGGTTTCCCAAGATTCGCATTGGGCACGGAGAGCTTCGGATTGAGCGCTGCGTCCATGAAGTTGTCATCGACGTCCTCAATCTGCACCTGCCGGCCAGTTGTCGGATCCGTCACTCTCTTCCTGGAGCTTGTAGGCTCTGAAGTTCGCTTGTTCTTGTGTGCCTGGACCTCGCCTGATTGCGCTTGCTGCTGTGCTATCATTTGTGCATCGCGAGCCTTCTTATCCTTGTCCATGTTCTCAACGAACCTCTGGATGTTGGGCACTGGGTTGCGACCAGAGTAATGCCCCCCAGGCCCGAACTTCGCGTCGCCGGACGACATGGTGAAGGTGGCGATATCCTATCAGTATAGGATAGTTTCAATGGAGCTACTTTTCGGGATTGAAGCAGCTCCCAATTGCAAAGGTGGTTCCGTCACTCTTTTGACCTGAGTTTCTCATATGATGGCCCGCCAGCAGTTTAAAGAACGCGTCTATACTGTGATAAATGGAAAGAAAGAATAGAGAAACAGAAGAGCAGGAATTGAAGGCCACTAAATGCCCTAACTGCGGTTCCTTAACAATACAGGCTTCTTGTAAGGGATCCTGCTGCTGCCATAGGTGAATTGCCAAGTTGCTTCACTGGTTCGCTGCGTGGGGTTGGATCAGGGCCTTGTGACGTCATACCCACTCCTCCAAGCTTCAGAATATTTTGAGCCACAGCACGATAACAGTCTTTCAAGCGATAAAGCCAGGATAAACTAGGGATAAAGCCACCGGTCTGTGGCTTATGTCTCACTAAAAGTCACAATAGTCTCGTTAAATATGGAGAATTGATCCAGAAAATGATCCAGAACGGACCAAAAAGAGTAACTTTGGTTTCGGCTTTGCGAGGTTGGAAAATTTCCGCATTGAGTAATCCAAAATGGAGCGCTTGTGATGAACCAGGCATTGGATCGCCGATCTTTTCCCCAGTTCCTGGTGTATTTGCGTCATTGCAACAACGACAACAAACCAAGCAAAGCCTCAAAACTACACGAGTGAGGGACATGAGTAAGGTAAGTTAAGGGTATCAGTAGTTTACAATTCTCTATGCTCTACCGCCCTTTTCCTAACACTGTTATATAGTTCATATATATATACAAGGTCGAATTGAGATTTGAGATTACCACGAGACGCCGCCCAATGTAAAACCGCTGCGAAGCCCATCAATGCCGCTCTATATCATACACTTAGTTGCATAGTGAAACAGCTCCTGCTCATGTCACAGCCAGTGGCGACAGCTGGCCGTTCTTGCCATATCTAGCTTCTACACAGAATATTAGCCTCGTCCACATCAAATATAACCCCCCTCATCCCAAAGGAAGACTCACTGAAGAACGTATAACTCAGCGTCACCTGCTCAATCCCCTTCATGTTCGGGTCATTCACAAACTCCGGATCAATATAGAAGAACACCGGCATATCGACCGTCTCGCCAGCATTCAACCGCTGCTCCTCGAAGCAGAAACACTGGATCTTGCTGAAATGCGGCGCCACCTGCCCAGGCGTCACACTGTACGTCGCTACCCCAATGATATCCTCCGACGACTTGTTCGTCGCAGTGTAGAACGCCAGAGCCGTCTCGCCGGGAAGAACTCGCACCTCGCGCTGCTGCGGTGTGAAGCTCCATGGCAACACATCGGAGACCGAGCCGTTGAAGGTAACCCGGATACGCTTGGCGCCCACGACGGGCCGGAGCGATTTCGAGGGGTCGTCCGTATTATGCGCAGCAGATTTAATGGGCTGTCCACCAAAGCCAGTCGTTGCGCAGATCTAAAACGAGGAGGTCAGCCTATACCCCGTGTCAATCCCTCGGGAGTAAAGTAAACCCACCATCTTATACAACGGCACAGAGCCGTACGAAAGCGCGACCGTCCCCAAAATAATACTCAGCGTATAAAACCTGCACCCACACAGTCAGTAAACCGCCCAACCCACCCAGCAACAGGTAACCACATACATAGTCGAGGTATTCTTCTTCGCAAACGGCGCCCTCATCTGCTCCATCGTCGGCGCCGAATTGCTGGCCCCCCGCGGCTTCGACTCCCCAGAGATCCCTCTCACGGGCCGCCGGATCGGCGTCCGCGTGCACGATCGCAGCGCGCTGGCGGCATTCCGAAGCCCGAGTCTTGGGGCGTTCATTGTTGGGCGGGTGAGGTGGTGGTGGGGGTTTCGTTCTGGTTCAATTTCGTTCAAGTAACCGTCTCCATCGCGCACCTTGGTTGGTCGTTTTTGGAGCTTCGGAAATATTGTCAATGCCAATCCGAGGACCAAGCAAGCGGATAATTGATGATCCGGTTGAAGCTGGGATTTCACGGTGTATCACGTGATGTATATCGTCCGGGTTCAATTTGAGAAGGAGCGATCAATGACGAGGCTGATAGTTGGGAAGGAGCAGACGACATGTCCGGAGCTAATTCTAGTTGACTTCTAAGAGAAGAGTGTGATCGTGAGACTTGGAGTTTTAATCGTTCATATTGTGGGACTTGGTGACCGACCATTTGTGAGGGAGGGGAAATTGTAACCCCCCCAACTCCCAACTTCCAACAATAAATGATAAGGTCTCTCTCACTGACAAAAAATACAAGTGTTTATCCAACTAAATGAATTCACATTGTTAAAACTCAAGGCGGAGGTCTCACAATATGGCACCTACCACAACACCATCATCCCCAGCAATGCCTCCAACCCCAACGCCCCCAGAGCCCATCTCATCCGCCCCTCCCCCCGGACAAACCATCCTATACAACGTCTACCGAATCTATATAACCCAAGGAACCGGCCCTCTCCACCAAGGAATTGCCCTCGTCCCCGCTCAACTTCCATCCCAAACTGCAGGCCGCTTCTACCACGTCACAGGCACCGTCGGGCTAGGCATGGATTACCAATGTCGGCCCGCCGAAAAGTTCGGTCTCAACCCAGCGTTTAAAAGCGCCGTTCTGATGTTCCAGATGCCGAAGTCCCTGCTGGCGGAGTTCGAGGCTATCGCGACTAGCGTGCCGCCACCGCATGATCCGAGGGTGCTTTTGGAGAGGAACCCGGAGCCGCCAGCTAGGGACTGTGGTGCGTGGGTCACAGAAGTTTTGGATAGGGCGGGAACACTTTTGAGGGATAAGGGGGTGGATTTATAAGATTTGGAGCTTGGTCTTGACTAGCGTTTTACTATGGTTAGTTTTGTTATATTTCTTATATTGGGGGCTCATATGTCACGCTATATTTGCTGAATCGCCTCATTTTAGACTTTTAGGACCGCGCGAGTGGGCTTAGTCGCTGTTCTATAATAGTCAGGCACGAATTTTGGCCTTTAATTAACATAAGTAGCTGCATCTTTCCTGCATCTTCAGGTTTCCTTGCTTCTGGTACGTCGACATCTCCGTTGAGAACTCTTCCCGTTTGAACGGCACATCAGTCCTCACGCTTACCAACACCACGACAGAAATCAAGCTTCACACAAGAAACGCCAGTAACCAACCTCTCTGGAAAAAGTTTCAGCGTCTGAGCCACGATGTGCACCCCACGGACGCGAGAACTTGACTTTGAAGAGTTCTCATACGTTAATGAACAAGGGAACTTGAGCACCGAGGGGACCGGATGGTTGGCACCATTATCAAATTATATTTTCGAGAACTTCGGAGTCGTCTCAGTTTCGGAAACATACCCATATTTAATTATGTTTTGTGAAGATAAAGTGCCACCACACTCTGAGCGGCCTTTAAAATTGCAGGCTTGGTCGCAGTTTGGGTTGTGAATGGAGAAATTTCGTTTCCACGGGTAAGAATTAACTATCATACTGTCTCTTCATGTGTCCTAGAACGCTCTGTACTAACTTTACTGGCAGGATATAGAAATGGGAGAATTTTATGGAGCCATGTATATGAAGAATCCGTGGATATGGCTCGACCAGAACCTCCTTGCCGAGCTCGACGTTTTAGTTATCCCCAAGGCCAAAACATTGTCGACCATCATGAATGAGCATTTCCCGGACGCGCTCGCCATCTCGTTCATCAGTCATCAGATTCTCATAGAGCTGATCGAGGTTACTTTCGAGGAGCATCGTAGGCGTCTGGAGTACTTACCTGGGGGGGTTTGGGATACAAACTTTGGCCTGAGATATTACAATGGCCCAATCCACGGACCTGGAGTCAAGCGCCCGGAGCCAAACATGGATAGGTTCCATGACGAATACGACGACACTGACTATTTGAAGTCCCAGGGGTATTTTAATCCAGGTTCCATGATGTCTTTTGGAGAAGATAGGATATTCACTGCAGGAATTAAAGTTAAAAAGAAACATGATATCAGAATAACAGTACCCATCTCCTGCTGGGACAAGAAACTTGAACCCGCACTCCGGCGCGGAGGAAGCCACACCATCAAGCAAGGAGACTGGGAAAATGGAACGGCTTTTGGAATGCAAACCAAACGGATACTACAAAGCGGCACCCGAGTTGCAAAGACGAATAAGTCATTTAATAATCGATTCCTCAACCTTAAAGGCTCTGCCACCAGTCTTTTACACAGTGACGACATTAGGAAAGTCAATGAATTATTCTGGACCGATAACTTCATGACCGGACCGCAACAACTCGCAAGTGTCGGTAAAAGAGTCTGCAAAGTTGACACACAAGGCAACGACTTCTTCAGTGACCCGAACGCACTACTCACGCACGGAGAATATACCGAGCTTGTTCAGTGCATATATGCGACTACGATGCCGCCCATCAACAGCCAGCAGAAAATACAGAACGGCGTTTGCGGTGCCCATTATCCGCGCTCGAATGGAAGAGAATTGCCCCCCGGCGGTAGCAAAATATACGGCTCCTAAGACAAGAAGCTCGTATAAAAGAGGCCCTTCTTTTAACACCCCGCTTACAGTACTTGGAAAGCGGTTGCCGCAAGAAGAAACCACGGGGGAAGTGGCGGGGTTCATGGACATTCAGTATGGTGGTGATCGTTTGCTGTGCTTTGCTGATGTGGTTGACGGATTAGTTGATGATGGGTGGTCGGTTGTGCCAGTGGATGCGAAACGAAAAGTTGACGGGAGTGAGTTTGATGGCGATGCAGGGCCTTCTGCTGCTAAATGTTCTCGTGATGAATGATCCTACTATGGGATTGAGAGGCGGGTTTTGCACCGTGCACTATCCTGGGATTATGATAAGAGAGAGGATTTATAAACTCGCGGGTTTGTTACTCTCTAGAATTTGAAATGCTATTTTTGCTATCAGCATTAATGGGGGCTATAACTTGCCAAAGATGACTCTAGACACACACACACTAAAATCTGTCTTCTTCTTACATGTTTTGCATCACCTCCAACAGTCCCGTTCTCAATTAGTATAGCATTAGACGATATAACAGTAGCTGCCAAGGTGTAGATAACTGAGACCTCGATGAACTACCAAACGATGGGATGAGTATCCGTCCCCCTGAGGGTCATCCCCAAAACTAAAGAAATCGTACTTACTTGTTATAGCGGCTCGGATCGTTTTTGGCGGGGTAAAAGTGCGGGGTGCGGGGAAGCCTAAGGATTTGTGGATGTACAGTACGTGCCTCGGTAATCTAACCAGGGGTTAGGTAGCACAGAAGGTTTCCGATATTGAACTTCATGTGTTCCATAGTCCATACAATACTACAGCTACAGCAGCCCTGCAATATCATTGTAGCCTACGAACCTTACGATTTACGTTTATCTAGATAAAATGGGCGACGACGACCTTACATTCTTTCAGACAATCCCATGGTGTGCGTCCCTCATCAACGACCCCAGCTACGTGACAATTCCTACAATCTCCCGCGTGAGCAAGGAAGACACCGAGGATGCACTCTTTGGAGACATATTAAGGACGGACAAGACAATTGCAGCATGTCTATCGTTATATAAGAAGCCAGCTGTTTCGACCGCGCCGATAGGAGAAGTCACAACTCTTCTTTCCCTTGAATACGGACTTAACGGCTACCGGCATGTCTGTCACGGAGGAATCGTCGCCACAATACTCGACGAGGTCATGGGAATTCTGCTTGCTGTGAATAAAGACCGAGAAGCGGAAATCGCTAGAGATACCGGGAGATCAGTCGAAACGATGGCGGAGGTTACGGCAGAATTAACCGTCAAATATTTAAAGCCTGTCACAACGCCTCAGACTGTCCGTGTTAAGGCCTGGTTATCAAGGACGGAGGGACGCAAATTTTGGGTCGAGGGGACTATAGAAGATAAATCGGGTACGGTGTTAGCTAGAGGTGAAGCTTTATTTGTCCAAATAAGAAAGAGTGTACTGTAGTATCTAGCTAGTATAGTATGCCCTCACAGATCATCTTCCTGCTTTCTTGTACTTGTGTAATCGTCTTATCCAACTTCTCGCAAATAGAGCTGAACGGATTAACTTTCCGCCCAAGTGCGGATGACACCAATCCAAAGTTGCGGGGGAGTATTTACTAACCTAACTTTCTGTTTCTACCCAAGTAGAAACTTCCGGGATGGTGATGTGCCCGGCTGGAACGGCTCTTCGACGCCTCGCCCACTCCTGACATCAACCATAAGCACATTTAGTATGGACACCAGTGAATATAGGCATGGTATAGCAATATAATACTAAAAGCCTTCAACTATTACGGCATAGGCCGGACTACTCTAACTATGCCCTACCGGGGTAATCAAGTGCGGCTCCAATCCACCAGACATCTGGCCACTGTCGAGAAAGCTGCATCTGAATTTAACAACACTAGCTGTTCCATTATTTCTTTGCTACCAAGGGGTCTAGAAGCTCGCTAAGGAAATACTATTGGCATAGTACAGGTTCGCATCAGTTAGTTACCTAAAGTCCCCAGCCTCACATATATTCTCCGTATATGGTGAGCTTGCCCTGCAGATGAAGACCAAGCTAGAGGCTCATTCCAACAGTGACCGGACCATAAGCTTATTTGGGGTTGCCACCGAAGTTTCTATGGAATCCAACATGCCATGGCCAGAATGGAGCATGAGAATGAGCTAGGATGCGGAGGCCGAGAAAAATGATAGTGGAGATTGATGGGAGGTCTTGGTCATACCGCAGGCCGTTGCCTAATATGGACGAGATAAATATAGCTGACATGGCTCACAGCTCCTGTTCTAACAGCTCTGCCCACGCTATAACGCATGAGGCGCAATAAGTCCTATGACTTTACGGAGATACGTATTTGGCTATGGTAGCAGCGGGATTACTCTGCTCGAGTGGTATTAGATAAATAAAAATACAACGACGTTAAAACTTGTATAGAATGTAATACATTTTTAAGCCCAGAAGCTTTAGAAAGAAGCCCAGCCCCATGACCAATGTGACCCCAAGTTACAAACCCGTTACTAATCGATGGGCCAACTAAACCAATACAAAAACGCACGAATAGACTTACAGCACCTATTTACTCGCCCTCGGCGTCATGGCCATCCACTGCACCCTCCCTTGCCTTTCGCCACTCCCGCCGCCGCACGCCTGTCGAAGAGCCTTGATAGACCCCGAGCGGGTGCTGTGCAGCGAGTGCGCCGAAATCGGCTGCAGTTAGAGTGGGATAGTAGGCACCGAGAGCATATACGTCCGTGTAGAGAAGTCGAGGCGGGATCTTGAAGGTGGTTGGGCCGGGTGGAGGCGTCGTAGGAGCGTCGTCCGTGCTGTGAGGGGTAGCGTTGGCAGAGGCTTTTTTAACGGGGGGAGGTGGTGTAGCTGTAGAGGCGGAAACTGCGATGAGATAGGGTTGCGAATCGCCTGTACCCTTAGCTGTAGGTGGAAGCAGGAATCTGGATACTGCGTCTGGGGTTGCCACAATGCAGAGCTGGTTTGAAACCGTCGGGGATGATGGTATGTTGGCATTGAAGTGTCTGCATCTGTTAGCCTCATCGACTCGTATAATAAAACCGCAAACATACCGTTGCACGCCCTCCAAATCGCCTTCAGCAATAAATGCTGCCTGCCCATCGACCCAGTGCAGCGTTGCTTTCTTCTTCATACCCTCTGCACCAACAACACCCTCCCAACCGAGCTCCACACCCTTCTCTACCTTTCCCAGAAACTCCGCCCACTTATCATCACTCTCCTCATACGACACCCTATACGCCACAAACCCAAACCCCTCCACCTCATCCCTCCCCAACTCCCTAACCCACCCCTCCGCCTCCAACACCAACGGCGCCTCAAACTGCGGCTGCAAATGCTTATGCCCAAACTCCCGATGCGTGATCGTCATCGGCGCCTTCATAAAGCCCGGCACTTTCGTCTCTGCCTCATACGCCCTCTTGTGCTCCTTCACCGCCGCCTTCAAAACAGATCGCATATCAGCCACGCGTTTCCTCTCTATGCCTGCATAAATACCATTGAGCCGTTTCGGCGAGGTCTCGGGTTTGTCACCGTTAACTAGGCGTCTGTCAACGCCGTGGGCGAAAACGAAGCCGTCGGTGCGGCCGTGGATGGCGATGTCGGCGTCGATGTAAAGGTCGAGGAGGGTGTTAAGGATGAGCATGGCGTGGTGGTCGATGCGGACTGTGGTCTGTGTCTCGTTGATAGAGTGTCCCGACTGCAACACTTCCAGGAAGTGCGTCTTCCATAAAGTGTGGAGCTTTAGGAGTCGTCCAAATACCCAGGCGCGAGCTTGACTCTCCATAAACTCAAAGTGGTTACTGCATCTCCTTAGCTCTGCTCGACTTCATACATCAGCGCGGGGAACTTACTGCATATACTCCCTCCACAGCTTGCTCAAACTCCATTCCGGTCCGCTTTCCCCCTTCTCCTCACACATCGCATTAACAGCATCTTGAAATACGTCCCACTCAGCCCAAATCCGATTATACCCATCCCTCAGCCTCCCCTGCACATCCGGGCCCCTTAAATAATCAAAAACATCAACAACCTGTCTGATAATCGCAATTGCCTCCTCAATATTCTCCCTATCATCCAGGTTCCTCTCCCGCCACTCCACATCCGTCACAGGCGCAATGCCAAACCAGACCTATATCCATCAATCAGCTCCCACCCCACCACCCACGCCACACCACCCCATTCCAAAAAAAAAACAGCAATCTCAGAAACAACTCACCTTCGCCTTAACAACCCTAAAACTCCTCTCCACCTCCCTCCCCACCACCCCCCTCACAATATCATCCATCCCACTCATCACGTGCGCAACCCTAATCATAACCGGCGGTGACACTCCCACTCCCGGAAACCCAGGCACCAGCGCCGGCGCAGGCAGCTCCGAAAACGGTTTCGGCGCCCACTCCGCATACGGCCTTGCGAGTCTCGCGAGCTCGGGTGCTGGGAAGAGAGGGAGGGTGGAGTGGGCGCCGTGGGGGAGGCGCCCGGAGCTGGCGAAGCGGAGGAAGAGGTTGAGGGTTGGGAGCTCGAGGTCGGTTGGTATTACTGGGGGGTGTTAAAAAAAGGGGGGGGGGGGGATTGGACGTACAAACGCGGTCTTCGGCGTCTTCGGGGCTGATGACTGGGAGGGAGGGTTGGGCGGGGCCTGCCCAGAGGCCTATGAGGATGAGGGTGGAGAAGATGACGACGATGGTGGTAGCCAGGATGGCTAGTATTTTGAGGAACATTGTGGATTGAGGGGGGGGGTTTGAGGTTTCTCACATTTGCAAAAAATATAAATAGTTGGTGACCTTAGCGTCGTCGTTCCTTGTAAATGAAGATCTTGGAAACAAGCGCGCGTTTTTCGACGAGTCGGCTGGGCTGCCATGATTGGTTCACGTTCCCCCTTGATAATATGGGCGAGACGACAGGCCAAGTTTAGAAAAAATGCAGATTACGGAATTACAAAAACGTAGAAAGCAAAATAAAAACTTGGAAATGTCGTTGAATTTTATAAAATTCAACAAAAAAAATATATATAACAAAAAACATACAACAGTGGGTATTCGCTGGTGGTCACCCACCTAACTACTAATCCACCGACCTCAAGCTTGTGTATGGCAGAGCGGACGGGATGCCCAATTCTCTGTGAGCTGCCATCGCTTTTGCGCCAAGACCACCACCAAAACCGTTCCCTGTTGTCAGCCTTCCGCTCCTGACCTGACGCCATTGCTGCTTTTACCTGCACGCACTGCCTCACGACCCGCACTTCTCTAATTATAGCAGCCATTGCATCGTCCTGAGAGCGCTTACGAAATGCAAAATCGTTGGCAGCCTACAAACATTTGGCAAACACCTTCCAGCTCAACACATCTCTTAGTAAAAGGCAGCCTCCAACACCTTTTCAGTTCCGAAGAGTCGTCTACACTACTATATAGCGATTTAACTGCAGAATGCGTCTTGTTCATACTACAACTCTCAAACTCCACGAATTCCCACCCAAAGGTATCCCACCTTACGCTATCCTTTCTCACACATGGGGCTGCGACGAAGTGACTTTCCAGGACATGATGAATTCTTGCCCCCCTTCTACGAAACTAGGCTATAACAAAATTATCTGTTGCTCTGAGCAAGCGAGAGGGGCTGGACTAGAATATGTATGGATCGATACTTGTTGTATTGACAAGAAGAGCAGCGTCGAGTTGTCCGAAGCGATCAACTCAATGTTTCAGTGGTATCGACAAGCGGCTGTCTGTTACGTTTACCTGAATGATATGCACATAACAACCCCGGCATTTGAAGTGTATTCACAGCTACTGGGAAGTAGGTGGTTTAAAAGGGGATGGACACTCCAGGAGCTTATTGCCTCGGATCTAAGAGTGGTCTTCAGTTCAACGTGGGTTAAGATCGGGTTATCGTCAAAAGAACGACTTGAATTACCCAAATTTCGCATAAAAGAGAGCTTTTATGCTCAAATCCCCGATATTACCCAGCACCTATGTCATATAACAGGAATTCCTATCGACATACTCCAGGGCGATAGTTTGGAACAAACTAGCATTGCCCAAAGAATGTCTTGGGCCGCATATAGGGAGACAACCAGAGTAGAGGATGAGGCTTACTGCCTTCTAGGCATCTTCGATGTAAATATGCCGTTGCTCTACGGAGAAGGAAGGAGGGCGTTCCTAAGATTACAAGAGGAGATCCTGAAAAGTAGTGATGATCAGTCGATTCTTGCACACATATCGCCTACTCTAGAAGCTCCGGTTGGATTGCTAGCACAGTCACCCGCGTTTTTTGCGCTGGCTGGGGATATCGGAAAGTCCGATAGAAGCTGGACAACTTCGGAAGATGCTGTAGCTCTGACAAAACAAGGGCTGAAGATTTATTCAACAATTTGTCCCCTTTCTAGCGGCTCTGCGTGCCTTGCTATTCTGGACTGTACAGTTGGTAGATCATCAGTCGCGAGGCCTGCAATCTATTTAGAGCGCCAGGAAGGTTCCAAAGACTGCTACCAGCGCTATAGTCACCGATTCTTACTAATATTATCTCCTCAACGCCCCGGGTTAGGGTGTCACATGATATGGCGACCAACGATGCTTGATATATCAATTAATGCGTTGCTTGGTAAGTTGTCTGCATTTCAAAATCATTTTTCCTTTAGTAAGACTAATGGTTATACCTAGAGCAAATAAACTTCGATCAGGCATACAAAAAGACGATACATATTCCATTTAAGTGTGCGGATAACACTTTAATCAGATTACCAACAGTTCGTGTAGAAGAAATCGATAAACGCCTGGTACTTCTTTCTGTGGAACCGAAAAATAGTTGGGATCACGATACTAAAACGGTTCAATTGTCTTCTGGTGTTAGGACTTCTGAGGGTACCCAGGCTGTATTTCACATTCAAGACAAAGGATCTGGCCTTAATTTAGATCTTTTGGTCGGATTCGACCCTAAAGAATTTGATGAGGAAAAATCTCGTATTTGGGCTGCATGGTGTCTCTTGATTCCATTAGGAGCTGACAGAATTTCTCACAGACAGCCAAAATCTACAAATACGCTGTCTGAGGCACGAAAGAATAACATATGCAGTGATAGTCTTAGTCTTAGACAGACGAAGGCACAGCAGAGTGTTGTCGACTTAGGTTGCAGTTTTCAATATCTAGTCCAAGCTTCTATTGAAGCGATTAAGTTTCTTGGACGTCAAGAGGTTATTTTGCAGGTGCGGCTATTATCAAAACCCAAACCTCAAGAGACTTGTTAAAGGAAGAAAGTCAGGCAAAGGCGAAATTTATATTTAAACGAAATATTAATTGATTAACAACCAAAGATAGAGTTCGATAATTAAGATTTCTACGGGCCTAGTTGATAATTATTTGTTCATTGAAATGTCTACCAATAGTGAAATCCCTGCCTTCTCGAACGTTTCGTCATTTGGATATAACGCAAAATCGTACAATGTGAAAATTGAAAGGAGAATGTTAGACTTGAAAGATTTCAATAGACAATTGTTGATACGGCCATTACTCTTTGCATGTTTCGCGTGGCCTCGTCAACCCTATCTTGTGAAACTCGAATTGATGATCCACATACCCAGCTTCATCTTGAAACGCAGGTTTACCAGTACATTCGGCTGCTTCACATACAAGGTTGCGCTTACGATGTAGTAGATCAGGGTGCCTAGCAAACAAATGAAGCATAGTTTCCATGAAATTTCCTGTTGGCTCTGAGCAATATGAACAATTTTCACCGTCTTGACTAAGAAGCCTGTAGATAATGGTGAGTTGTAATTTATACGAATGGTGAGGCATAAACGTACGTATCGTAAGGTAGTTCCCACACCGTTCCTGGCTCGAAATGGGATTTTAAAATCTCAGTCATTTTGCTACTCGACCTGTCTATATGTTAATGGCAACGAAATAGAGTCTTTTGATAATATCAAAACTTACAGCGACAATTGGCATTGTTCGTCGTCTTTCCCTTGCCAAGGCAAAAGGCATTGGCACTCGTCTAATTTAGGCATCCTTTTAGAGACTTTCTCATCTAGGTCATATATACTTCTTGCTATTGTAAACGCTGATGGGCGCAAACAAGGATCAGGTTGGACCATAGCCTGACAAGAAGGAATGAATTGTTGGAGAAATGCTGACTGCAAGCACTCCTGATGTTCGGTGAGCTGCTCGATAGCCCTAGTGAAATTAGGGGCTTGTAGCCGTTGGGATACCCCGTTGAGACTCTGTCTGAGAGTGTCCAAAGATAAGCCCGCTGCAACTGTCATTATCTCAAGATATACACATCCGAGAGAGAATACATCTGTTTTGACACTTGAAATTTGCCCTAAAATGATTTCAGGAGCCAGGTAGATATAAGGTTTGACCTCTCCTCCATCCGAGGTTTCTTGTACTAGCATACTTGACTCTTTAAAGTAGTTTGAAATGGCGAATTCTGTGAAGAAAACATCACCATTCTTGACTCCAATACTTGCAGACCTGATATCCTTGTGTAATAGACCTTTCGCGTGGATATAGCTCAGCCCACTTGCAAGGCAGCCGAGCCATTTTTGCGCAATAGGAAGTGGCTCGAAAGGGGTCGGTTTTGTGCTATTAACTCGCTCAAGGAAGACCTGAAGTGTGCAATTTGCGATCGGGCTCATTATAATTCCATAGCGTAGGTTTTGAAGGTTAAAACTCTCCTCTTCATATGTCATAATTGCTGTTATAACATGGGGATGATGAAGGGATTTTGCGGAATCAAGGCGCTCAAGTTCGGCAGATGATGTGCCCCTGGTTGGTTGACGGGCTAAGGTGAATACCTTTCGCGCGTAACTTCTGCCTGGAAGAATCTTTCCACCAGATGGTTCCACCTTGTCGACTATTGAGAAATTTCCCAACCCCAGATCTTCCATGTGATTAAACCGAACACGTCCACACGGAAAGAATTCATGAGTACAGACCACTGCTAATGTCTGATCATTGACTTTTTGGGCGTACGACTCCTCTGTATGCTGAGGGAATACAAGTTTTAGGCCGAATCTTTCCCCCTCACTTTCGTTCAGATATTGATAAGTTCGATGATCTTTAATATCGTGGGGAGCCTCTTTAGAGGTGGCTAAAGTGCTAGAGCTAGCCTGATCGTCAGACGTGATCTGCGTTGTACGTGGGCGTTTACGGGAACCCCGCTCTGGCATATCGCTCTGGTGATGCAGTTTAGGAGGTTGAGAGGACGGCTTGCAAGCGCTTGAATGTGCATTATCATGGTCCATGTCTGTAGCAAAGCGGTAAATAAAGCAAATAAAGCTCGTGGTTGAGACTCGATGTTGAGGCAAGGCTTTAGGCAGCCACGGATCATGTAGTGGGCATTTAACCTTATATATCAGGCACACATTTAGATACATATCTATCCCTTTTACGCCTGCATATTGTGCTACAGTACTTGTATGTATTGCAAAGCGCAAGCTTATACATCTTCCTGTTTTGCGACAGCCGTGTACGTTTGGCCGTTTTGCGTAGTAATGTTGTTAGATAAAAGCAGCATTGGCCTTAGAACAACTCACGCGATACTGCAACTCATTATCATGTTTCCATCAACAGAAACCTCAAAGTCGTCGCATTCAGCGACCAGCGCCGACAGAGATGCCCAATTCTCTTGAGTCTATGGTCATATGTGATTGTTATGTGCATGTCGGGAACTAAATACTAATGTTCTGTGTGTGGAAGTAGATGGTTTGAGGGCGGCGGTAACATCCCCCTTAAATCGAGATAAAAAACGGCTTGTCCCCCCTCCCCTTGCTTCACCCTCGCGCGTTGAATTGTATAAAATACATAACTAAAACACCACAATAGGTTAAGATTTTGCACTTAAACATACACACACATATAATTCTCACCCCCGAAACAAATCAAATCCAAAATTCATAATCCATAAAATTTTATATACAAAAAACCCCCCTCAACGATTCCACCATTTACATCCCTCTTAAATCGAGATAAAGAACGGCTTATCCCCCTCCCCTTGCTTGACCCTCGCGCGCTGCACAATAGGATCCACACATGCGTTCCTGATCCGCTCCGTTGTCGCGGGGCTGTCAAGGTATAACATGCCATCTTCCATCTCTGCCGATGCTTCTTGTCCTTGTGGTTGTAATGCATCGGCGGCAGGAACGTCCTCTGGGGTGGTGGTCGTCGTATCATCCGAAACGCTACTTGGCTCACTAGTCACCGGCGACTCATCGCTCTCTCTGCTCGTGGTGTCGCCATTGCTTGCCTCACCATTCGTCGCCTCTCCATTCTCGGCATGACCGTTAGTCGCTTCACCATTCGTCGTCTCCCCAACCTCCCCATTCCCCAACCCCTTTGCCACAAACCTCCTCGCCTCAACCCCCCACTGCCTCCTCCCCGCCCGAATCGCATCCCTAATCGCAAAGAACACCACACTGCCCAAAAACAGCGGCGGCTCCCCAACCCCCCTACTCCTCCCAATAGTCCTCAACTCCTTCCACTCCACCCCCTTCAGCAAACTAACATTAAACGTCTGCGGCACGTCCCTAAAGCCCGGGATCTTGTAATTCCCCGGCCCGCGGGTGGCGAGCTGCCCTGCCATGGGGCCGCCGCCGAACCACAGCGACTCTTCCATCGTGAACAAGCCGACACCTTGGACGAAGGCTCCCTCAACCTGCCCGTAATCAACAGAGGGATTAATACTACGTCCAACATCCATCAGCACATCTGCACGAATACACGTCCACGAGCCGGTAAGCGTATCGACCTCAACCTCAGCAGCAGCAACACCCTGCGTGAAGTAGAAGAACATCTTCCCCTCGTTCTTGCCCCACGTATACCCTATCTCAGGAGTACGGTAGTACCCCTGCGCGGACAGGTTGACGCGGGAGAAGTACGCGGCATGTGCGAGCTGAGCCATAGTGGCCTCGGGACCGAGCTGGGTCTTGAAAGGGGCGAGACGCTCGTTGAGCTGCGCACAGGCGTTGTAGATGGCGTAGCCGTTGAGATCGCTGGATGCGCTGGCGGCTGTGGAGGAGGTGTTGGCGACGGTGTTGGTGCCGGTTTCCGAGATATGCACGGAATCCAAGGGGACGCCGAGGGTCTCAGCAGCGACCATGCACATCTTGGTGTGCAGCCCCTGACCCATCTCAGTACCACCGTGGGCAAGCAGCACGGAACCATCGTGGTAGATGTGCACAAGCGCACCAGCCTGGTTAAGGAACAGCGCGGTGAAGGAGATACCGAACTTAGTCGGCACGATAGCAAGACCACGCTTACGCCACTTGTGAGTTTTGTTGAACTCATCGACAGCCAGACGGCGCTCCTCGTACTTGGAGTTCTTGCGAACCTGGTCATACATAAGGGGTACATGCCAGTCCTGCAGCGCCTGGTTGAAGTGCGTGATCTCCATAGGCTTGTACATGTTGATCTCCCGCAGCCTCTCAGCTGGGATACCGAGCCTGTCTGCTGCCTCTTCAATGTACGTCTCTGCAACGAAAAGACCCTGGGGTCCACCAAAGCCACGGAAAGCGGAGTTGGACATAGTGTTAGTGCGCGCGATACGGCCACGTACGTGTACATTCGGGATGGCATAGCAACCATCAATATGGGAGAGAGCGCGTTCACAGACAGCTCCACTGAGATCCTGCGTCCAGCCACCGTTGCAGACAACCTCCGCGTCGAGGGCCTGAAGCTTGCCATCGCTGTTGATGGCGATCTTCCACTTCGTGAGGAAGGGATGGCGCTGGCCACTGGTCATCATGTCTTCGTCGCGGTTAAGCATGCAGCGCACAGGCCGTCCCGTCTTCTTCGCAGCGAGCGCCATGATAGAACTCAGTTGCACCGAACGGGTTTCCTTGCCCCCAAAGCCGCCACCAAGACGCTTGACTCGGCAGACGACCTTGTTGTTGGCGACATTGCAGACCTGTGCGACATATGCTTGCCTGTTCTCGTTAGTACTGAGATATATCTCATAAAAATGGATTACTTACGTCTCTGTCGGGTTCTGCGTACAAGCAAAAACCTCCATCTCGCCATCTTCCGGCTTCGGTATAGCGACACAGGCATTAGTCTCAAGGTAGAAATGCTCCTGACCTCCCATCCTCGTCGTGCCAGAGATGACATGATCCGCCTCCGCAAACGCCTTCTCCGTGTCCCCAGTCTTGATGAACCTGAACTGCTCGAAGTAGCTCTCCTTCTCAATAGCCTCTTCGATAGTATAGATAGCAGGCAGCTCTTCATACTGTATCTTGACTGCCCTCGCACCAGCAGCAGCCTCGTTTGCCGTACTGGCGAGGATAACACCAATAGGCTGACCACAGGTAAAGACCTCATTTACAGCGAAGAACACCTCATCTCTCACCGGTGCACCCCACCAGTTCGCCTCGGGGCTGGGCATATCCGTATGATCCAGATAGTCCACCACACCAGGCAACTCCAAAGCCGCCGACGTATCAACAGATATGAGTTTCGCCCGCGCCTTCGTCGAAAGGACCAGACACCCGTACAACTCATTCCTCTGGACCGGGATATCATCAGTATACTGCGCCTGCCCCGTACACTGCTTCAGCGCAGCAACATGCGGCTGCGCGCGACCCATAATCATCTTCTCATACGCAGCCGTAGCATCGTGATCCTGCTCACCACGCGAAATCTCACGCTCAATCTCACCAACGGCCTCAAGATCCGCACCATCGTTGCCGAGCTTGATGAGCACCTCGTGGTAGAAGCGGTAGAAGAAGCTCATTGCGAGGGTCTTGCGGTAGGTCGCCATTCCACCTGGAACGCCGAACTTGAGATCAAAGTCCTGCTCGAGGGCGCCCATGACGCCTTCAAGCGTTGCCGGATCTGTCCACTTCTTGCCAATGAGGAAAGTGTCCGCCTTCTTCGCTGAGATGGTGAGAGGCGCCATTCCGCCGTAGACGAGGTTGGCGCTCTCAACTTCGTGGGTCTCGCTGAGTTTGACTCGGAGGGCAGCAGTGACGATAGCAATATCATCATCCTTCCTCTTCGCCTGCTTATACGCACTGGTATACTCGTTCGTCGCCGTGACAGGAATCCGAAGACTAGCGATGATCGCGCCCGCCGGGAGCGCAGTGGTACGATATGACTTGAAGAACTCCGTCATCGGGATCTCCGTATCCTCTTCTAGAGTTTTCGCAACCAAGGTAGCATTCGCAGCAACAAGCACAGGGTTCAGATCACTGATCGGACTCGCCGTCGCCAGATTACCCGCCGGCGTCCCAACATTCCTAATCTGCCTTCCGGCGAAGAACTGCAGCTGCCTGTGCATATTCGTAAACACCTGTCCCTTCTCAGGTCCATAATGCTCAACAGCCTTCAGCGCAATGGCTTCCAGGTCCGTCAGCGTGATGTTGCCGCCAATCTCTAGATGATCGTCATGGAACTCAAACTTTCGCAGTTCCGGGATATCTCCAACGAACACCGAGGCCGAGTACTGCATAGCCTTGAACTTAATCTCAATCTGCGTCTCACTGCTACCTCCAATAATCTTGGCGGACGGCAGCGCATGCTTGATGCGCAGGAGTTGGTCCACAGTGACGGGGCGGTACCAGCGCTTCCGCTTATTACCGAACGTCAACGGCTTGAACTCGTACTTGGTGAGGGCGGGCGGGAAGATGAGTTGGGTGTCGGGGTTATACTCGATGAACCCAGGCGGCGTGAAGCGCTTGATCGGCTGGTCGTCGTCGGCGGGCTTGCTCTGACAGCATCCACCACCTCCCTCCTTCTCCATGCAGCATCCGCCACCGCCGTTGGTCTTGGCCTTTGCACATCCAGTCTCGGCGCTGAATGTACGCGCCGCTTCCAGGATAGGCCTGTACCCCGTGCAGCGGCACAGGTTGCCGTCAAATGCTTCCTCGATGGAATGCTCAGTAGGTTGATCTTCATTCCGTAGCAGCGCATATAGACTCATCACAATACCAGGAGTACAGAACTGTGATACCGTTAGCAACGCCCCCATATATCTCTCACACCAGGAAAGGAGAAACTTACCCCGCATTGACTCCCATTCCCCTTCGCAATGCGCTCTTGCACAGCATGCGGCCTCTCAACATTTCCAATCCCCTCCACCGTAATAACATGCTTGCCATCCACACTCACAAGCGGCGCCAGACACGCATTAACGCTGGCATGGTATATCTTCTTCGTCGTAGGATTCCACTGACTAACAACGACAGTGCACGCGCCACATCCGCCCTCCGAACATCCCAGCTTGGTGCCGGTGAGTCCAATGCCACGGAGATACTCGAGCAGGGTGATTTCAGGGTCGATGTTGTCGAGATTGACGCGGGTGCCGTTCAGGAAGAAGCGGAGGGTTGTGTCGTAGAAAGCGGTCACGTCGGCGAGGTTTGTGGATGCCTCGGCGGGGGCGGCGGGGGTGGGAGAGACGGCACTGGGCGCCATGGCTGATAAGAGTTTGGGATAGTAGTTGGCGTTGGTGTTTGTTTATACCCGCGTGAGGCGTCGAGGGTCGCTGTCTCACTCACTCGACTGACAAAGCAAGGGTTGGAGTAAGAGTGAGACACGGGGGTATCACGAACGAACAACGAAGGGCTGGGTATATATATATAGATACAAGTGCATCAGAACAGGTGATATGAGAGGGTGAGGAGCATGGCTGGACGCGCAATTGATATATGTATAAAATGGGGGAAATAAGAAGAATGAGGGGAACGGAAATATTAGGAAAGAGAGGAGAGAATAGTTTTTAGTCAGTGTGTTGATAATGAGGGGTGGAGAGAAGAGGAGTAGTTTCTTTTTGATGGCATTGCCACTTTCGGTGTGGGGAGAGCTCCGATAAGATATGCGCGGCGATAAAGTACAAGGCGGCGACCTCCGACTTTGTGCCTTACCTGAAGTTGTCTAGCGTGGGTGGCACGTGATGTATAGTATATTGAGTCACGTGTAGGTAGCTCCCCAACACCGACGAGGTGAGAAATGAAGAAGTAGGAAAGAAGAAAACGAAAAATGAGAGAGAGACTCAAAATTCAAGGTCGATACTGATGTTAAAGCCCTCTTTCCCGCATAATCAGTCCCCAGTCTCACGCATTTTGTTCGTAACCTTTTCCAGCACCATACGGCCGAGGCTGACGTGAGCTGTCTGTTCCCCCCAAGGGATATCTCGCTGCTCTTCATCCCTGAACGTTGTATTCGCGAACCATGCATCTCGGAGATATTCTTCCCGCTCCTGCGGATCCTTGCCGATATCTGCCACTTTCCCCGCATACTTAATAGTCATAGCGTTGAGGAGCAGACGACACACTCGGCCGTTGCCATCCTCGAAGGGATGGATACACACAAACGCCGTGGAAAGCCGGCAAGCAAAGTCGATAGCGTTGATTTCCCCGGTCTTCTCCGCTGTCTTTATTCGCTCGTTGTGTTCCCCAACGAGGTTTCTCATAAAGAGCTTCACGGATTTGCCGCGGACGAATTTCGAGGAGAAGAGCGGGACTTGCTTCCTCTGGGGGACAGGTCGGTTCGGTTTTAGCCGCTTGCAGTCTTGGACTCGTTTTTTGTATTCTTCGTCTGTTTCAAGGCGGAGTCCATGGCTTGCTCCCTCGTCCGACTCTCTGTAGGTGCCTCCTGACGCTTGGTGTTCCGAAAAGCGCATGAGGATCCGATGTGTCTCCTTTATGATATCTTCGTCGAGAGGGACATCTTGTAGCACGATCGTGTCAAAGAGGTGCTTTGCAGCTAGTGCATGCTGGACAATCTCGTGTCTTGAGCGCATGACAGATTGTAAGTCCGTTGCCCGACCGCTTGAAGAAAGGTGATCAAGCTCGAGTGTGTATTCGTCAGATCCCTCGTCAATGTCTTCGATGTTTGGTATCTTGCCGCTGAAAACTTGGCGACAAAACCGATCTGTAACTCCGATGGCCCCTCCTACCACCTCGATTGCATTGCTCCCAAATATTACATCGCTGAGTCTGGAGATAATAGTGTCTGACAGTTTCCTGGGTGCTGTTGGGCCGCTTTCTTGGCTCAGTTTCTGGCAGGGTCGTGTCTGCCTGTTCGCTGCCGATGCCATCTTTTCAGCTTTACAGTAACTGTTTATAAAACCGGGAATGTATCCTGTTGGTGTTACATGGAAAGATGGGTGACTGTAAAACTTATAATAATCTCTGGTTATTGTGAGTTTATTGGAAGTTCAGTAAACGCTAGTAACTGTTCATTCGACAAGAAGTACGAAATAAGGTACTAATAATCCCCTGATTTTTAACTTACGATAAGCTAAATTCCATACTATAATTCATCCCATACTAAATTACACACTAAATATATAAAAATATAAAACTGGAAGGAGCGAGTTGTATATATATACTATGACCTATACTATGACCATTATGAAGCAAGGGAAGGAGCCATCCTAGAGTCAATGCACCTGCCAAGTCTCTCATCAATTACAACGCCTTGGCCAAACTTGGTCGCTAGCGTAAATGTTTTCGAGATCGATTCCCCTCCCGAGCCTACTGTCGGAGAGTAACTCTTCTCATCGCTTTGAGTCTTACTTACCGGGAGAACTTACCGGGAGAACTTACCGGGAGATCATCGTCTGCTGGGATCATAGCATCTACACGTGATTTGTCGTATTTGAGATACTCGTATCACGTGATTCACCGCCCCACAAATCGGGCATCCATCCCGCATCCCACACCTGTCCCACTTCCACCACCCACTTTTGTGCCCACATAACACGCCTGCGATTGTCAGCAATTCTGCCACTACGCACATGCTAAATGCAGACACACTCGTGGTCCTAGCCGTGGATGCTATCTTATCTTCACAGATAGCTAGAGAGTAGGGAAGATAGAGTCCGTATGCGTATATACGCATGCAGTGGGTAGTATTTATATAGTATTTATTCTCTTCCGGTTAAGATGCTCCCGGATTACTCTGTAGAAATGAAGATGAAGATATACTCTGTATATATTCTATGGTGCAATCGGCGTGAAAAAATACGATTGTGGCAAACTGAAACTGGACGCACGCGACCACTATCCACTTGCGGTGCTCGTGGGGTGCTGGTGGGGTGCTGGTTGCGCCGTAGCTAAGGTTAGGACGGTTAGTTCCGGTGAGCAAGGTAAGGTTAGTACGGGTAAGTAAAGTCTTCCATGTATAGTAGTATAGTAGTGAAAAGCCGATGTGAAAAGCCAATGTTTTGTTGGAACTACTGTAAACTATAGTAGTATGCTGTAGTATGTTGTAGTATGGTTATAGTACGGAGTAGTTGACTATAGTAGCATAGCAGTTACGCACAGGGCGCGCGTTTATCTGCCCACGTTGTTGCATACGGCACTCTCGTAGGGCAATAGATCGGCCTCGGCCACAGACTGCATGTCAGTCCTGCCTTACAATGGTACTAGTAGCGAGTCTAGCAGGGAATCTAGTAGGGAATCTAGTAGGGAATCTAGTAGATTCAGTCTAGTAGTGAGTCTAGTAGTACGCTACAGCAGTGACGCCTTACTTATGTGGAGTTATGGAGACAACAGGCAGGAACAGGGAGGGAAAACGGGAGACAATATGGAGACGGTTTACGAGTCCGACGCTACGCTACTGCCATACTCTACTACGGAGTACACTCTGTCTCCCCGACTCTATGTTACCTCCATACTCTACTCTACCGATAAGCGGAGGAGGCAGAATGGTTATGCGGGCGGGTGATGGCGATAGTGGCCCGTCCTCCGCCGGAAGAATATGGTGGGCGCCGACGGCCAAAAAACGTGACAGGCCGTGCACGTGAATTTACCCAGGGTGTATTTCGTCTTGTGTCGTCATCATGATTCTACAGCACGCTACACCACAGCACAGCCACCAATATAAACAAATCCGGTCTCTCTACAGTACCTATAGCATCTAAAACACACACATAAAATTAAATCCAGCTATCCAACTACTACCTACCCCTCCTTGCAAAGCCGAAAATGAAAACATAAAAAACTAAAATCCGATATTGTTCGTTGGGTTGGTTCCTTATCGTCCAACAGCCACGCCGAGATTCTCCCACCCCACTACCCAAAACATCTTAGCCTTGTTTGGCGTAGATTAGCCGATCAAGGGTCAAGGGCGCAAGGATCAACTAACAAGGGTCTCCACCCCCAGCCGCCGACGCAAGTCCTCCACCCGCAGTATCTCTCCCCGACGCCGGCAAACTCCCAATCGAATAACTTCAGCATCCTCTATTTCTCTCTCCTTTTACCTTCTTCTTCCTCCTCCGTCCTAATTTTACTGCTCGACCACCACCACAACCACTGCTGCTTCTACTACAGCTGCATCAATGAAGTATGGCCAAGCTCTTTACGAGCGCAGCGTCCCTCAATGGGCGCCTTGTATGTTCCCCGCCTTCCAATCCCCATCCAAACAGTCATAGTAACCACGACGACCGATAAAAAAACCGCCAAACTAACAATTCCTCTCAAATCACCAGATAACATCGACTACAACGAGCTAAAGTCTCTCATCCGCACGCACACCACCCCGCCCCCAGGCTCGTCGCACTCCAACACCAGCCAGCCCGTCGCGATACCCGGCCAGGCCGACGAGGCACTGTCATGCTTCGAGGCACGCTTTGCGAGGGAGCTGGGGGCGCAGCATGCGAGGGTTGATTTGTTCGTGAGGAGCAAGGCGGATGAGTTTCACAGGCGATTGAGTAAGTGCTTTTTATTTTCGTTGGGTGTACGTCGTCGTCATGGATTGCTGGGTTCGGGTATACCGAGGGTAGAGGTAGATAGTGGAATTGAGAGGGCAGATAAGGGATTGGAGACTAGAAATTGGGAATTGGGTAATTGAACTAGGCTGACAGTACGAAATAGGTGACTACGAACAGAAACTGATCCGACTTATTGCTCGTGGAGACCCGGAGAGTGGAGGGATAATGACGGCGAGGAGGAGGGAAAGACTCGCGAGATTGGAGACGAGAGTTTTACGGTTAGTCTTCCCCCCTGGTTCTATATGGTGATGGGCAGTGGCTATGGACAGTTGAGATGTCCAAGAGCATTGTTCAATTGCCAATGGAAACGAACAAAAACACTGGGCGGCACTTGGCAATTGGCAAAGAACTGGACACTGCCCATAGCCGACACACAACACAACACCCATCCACGAACCAACACTAACAACCACCCAGCTGCACAGACGACATCCGCAACCTCGACCGCTTCATCCAAGCCCAACGCATCGGCTTCCAAAAGATCCTCAAAAAATACCGCAAATGGACCGGCTCCCCCACCCTCCCCCGCCTCACCGACCCCTTCCTCTCCCCCACAACATCCTTCACCCACCTCTCCCTCCTCCCCCTCCTAACCGCCTTCACCGACCTCAGCACCCGCATCGCCGCCTTCTCCCCTCCCCCATCCTCGACAAGCACGCCCCTCACCCTCTCCCGCCGCTCCTCGCAACCCCTCCCCCACTCCCCCGTCGCAGCGCGCAATAAAGCCGTCCAAACAGCCGCATACTGGAACGAATACGACTACCCCAGCGACGGCGGCGGCGCCGAAGAACCATACACCATCGCCTTCGACGCCACCGCCGACGACAGCGCTTTCCCAGGCCAACAACGCATGGCCAAGGCTCTTGCCTACATCGGCGAAAAAACAGCCGTGCTGGGGTGGTTCCGTCCCACCTCCTCGGGGGGGGAATCTTCTTCCAAGGGAGAACGCCGCGCTTTACTCGGTAGCAGCGGCCGTACCTCTGATCTGGAGACGGGAGAAGAGGAGGACTTCGAAGATTACGACGCTGAGGGTTTTCCACTCGGTTATGAGACGCATTACGCTACGTTCCCGTCGATCGCTACGCAGCGACTTACTGCGCAGAGGAGTAGACTGCTCTTGCTCGCGCTGGTGGCGTGTTATACTTCTTCCTCGCTGCTGATGGGGATTAGCGGCATCTTGGTTGCGACTGGACGCAACAGGTTGAGAGCTGAAGTCGACGCAGGGGTGATTGCTGGTGTGGTGGCTGCCCTCGGGTTCGTGGGCGTGGGTGTTAGAGTCGGTGCTTTGAGATGGGAGGAAGCAGGTGTGTGGGAGAAAGTCGGAGTTGTCGTCGGGTTCGTGGCCGGGTGTATGGTGGGAGGCGGGTTGTTGGTAGGTGTTATGGGCGGCTGATGATACCTGCCGTACCAGAGACGATTTTGATATCTTGGAGTTTTGCGAGGGGGGTTTGTTTTTTTGGGTAGCGGACAGCGTCAGGATGTGGGAAAGGGGGGGGAGGGAATTTTTGGTGTCTTTTTTAGAGGACGTACAAGATGGGAGGGATGTACATACGCCACGATACGATGATGATATATATAGGGAAGCCACACCGCTACTGGGCGTTTTTTTTTGTTGGATATTTGAGTTTTTTTAGCGCTGCGAGGAGGAGGAGGGTGGTGGGGGGACTGGGCTGGCTGGCTGGGGATGAGAGGGGTGTGTAGAATACCGAGCAGGGGAGATGATATATGGGTTTGAGCGATCTGATGGTGACGGGTGGGGGGTGTATATCATGAATTGAGATGTTAAGATATTTACTGGATGACTTACTGGCGGTGGTGAGGGGGATGTGTGTGTGGTGTGGGATTGTGATGTTGTGAAGTTTATGAGATGGGGGTTGGTGGGGTGGAGATGAAAAAGAGGTGTTATGGGATTCGACTTTCGAGAGGCTTGAGGGGTGAGGTGAGAGGTGCTTTTCCCACTTTGATTTACTGTATTAGTCTTTGCCCTTTCTCTCGACTTCACTTCCATGCCTACTTCACCTCCCGACACACCAACGGTGGCACCACACAAAAGTTTTGTGCTGCGGAGTTTTCTCATCAACTCTCTCTCCTTCTGAAGAAGATTGGAAGACTCGAGGTCATTTTGATCTCAGCTTCACATCTCAACTCGCTCACTTCACTGCATTGCTGCTTTGGTTAACCTTCTCGATCACTGGCAACGAGATATTCTCGCGCTGGCGGTTTGAGAGAGACATTATCGATCTTGGATCTGTGAGTCGGTGGCGGAGAGTTTTGGCATCTACTGCCTGCTCTCTGAACCGGGTTTCTGCTTCTTTCCTTCTCCAGGCTCCGTTGGATACTCGAGGTTGTTATCTTCCTCCAACTCTATCACGAACTTGAGCTTCTACCTTCCTTCAGCTTGATCACAGACTTGTTGCTACTTTCCTCCCGCAAGTCTACTACAGACTTGTGCTGCTGTCTTCCTTCAACTCCTTCAACCCCATCACACATTTCCTAATACTCCATTGCGGACCTGAGCTGCCTTCCTCCTCCTACCTCAACACAAACCTGGGCTGCTTTCTTTCGTCAACTCCATTGAAGGCTGAGCTGCTTTCTTCTTACTTCCCTATTGCAGACCTGAGCTGCTTTCCTGCTTGAACTCCATCACAGACTTCGAGCTGCTTTCCTTCTTCAACTCCATCAGACTTCAAGCTGTCTTCCTCCTTCAACCCCATCAAAGACGTGGAGGCTACCGACTACCGTCTGTCTCGCCGCTGTTGGTGGGAGAGACCTTTCAAATCAAGGTGTGGACAAACTCAGTCCAGTAGGTTCACTCAATTTTTACTCTCATATATCGGAAAGCCAACAGGTATGTAGCAAGTTTGAGTTCATTTACATCTGGATTTCACCCTCATTGTGTCATTTTCACTCCTCATATCTCATTTGCTTTAACAAAGCTCTGTTAACACTGCTCAAGTAGTTCACAGTTGGTTCAGCTCACTCCATAACGGGAGAAAGACGACTTCACAAGACCAGTTCGTTTGCAAAGCTCGAAGTTCCATCTACAGACAGCTCCGTCTTCACACATATCTCAACCAAGAAACAACATCACAGACAACTCGCTCGACATTCGCACACACCTACCATCGCACTTCCAATCATCCACTCCACAGATCTACCAGAAGCTTTCTCGGCGTCAACTCATCCAAAGTCACCTCAATCAACATCTATCAGCCACCCAGCCACCAACTATGTCTACTATGACTACCATGGCTACCATCGCCACACCTTCATCGAATTCTATCAATCCATTCCGCTTCCTCGACCTCAGCCCAGAATTGCGCAACAAGATCTATGAGCTTGTCCTCAGCTTCGATCGTCCTGTTAACCTCACCTGTACAACCGAGGTATACCGGGAGTACACAAACTACCACATCAACAAATGCCCATCCGACAAGCACCACGAGCTCCCCAACCTCAACCGTGGCGCCGCAGACAGAGACGAGGCTACCTGGTGCGTGGACCCGTACACAAACGTGCAGCGAAAACTCGACTTCCCGCGCTCCGTGCTGGGCCTACGCCATGTATGCAAGCAGATTGACGAGGAGATGCGGTACATTTTCTTCGCGATCAACGAGTTCCATTTCCGCAACGCGGCGCTCGCGCAGCGAGCTTTCGACCAAATGACAGATACGAAGGCGATGGAGGCGATCCAAGTGATGGGTTTCCGATTCTACGGGGACAATGCCCCCAAGCTATATCCGGCGCTGGCGAAGGCGTGTCCAAATTTGCGTGTGCTGAAGGTGTCGATGGATGCGAATAAACAAGTGACCATTCCAGGCCAGCATAAAACATTGAGGCGTGCTCGTGGCGTGCATGCCTTTGCGTCGTATGTCGCTGGGTTGGAGAAGCTGGAGAAGTTCGAGATAGTTGGAACGGACTATGTGAATGAGATTGTGCATGGAGTCGAGAAGTCGGTGGAAGTTGACATAAACCACCCTCTGGCGATTGGACCGTGGTTTAGGACAAAGATCCAGATGGGGAAGATGGAGCGAGAGATAATCGGGAAAGAGGTCATTGAGAGAGAGAGGAGGGAGAAGGAGAAGAGAGAGAAAGAAATGAAGGAGAAAAGGAAGGAACAGAGGACGAGGAGCCTGGCAAAAAGGGCGGAGAGGGAAAGGGATAGGGTGAGGCTGGAGGCTGAGAGATTGGAGAGGGTGAAGCAAGAGACACTGAGATTGGATAGGGAGAGAAGGGTTCGAGAGAGACAAGACAGAGAGAGACGTGAAAGAGAGAGGGCGAGGGTGGGGCAGAGGTTTCGTATCATATTCCCATAACCGGAGGGTTTCTTCCTGAAGGCAACGACGATGCTTCCGAGATGGGAGGAGGTCGACAGGCAAAAACAAATGTTTTATTTGCGTTGCCAGCGCGCCGATATAAGGTTTCCGGTGTCTATTACGCTTGGGCGGGCAGTTGGGAAACGCATTGCGCGGAATCTAGAGGTAATTCTTAATATGATTTGCGAGCTGGTGGATTCTCAATGCGGTTTTACCGTTATTATTTTCTCAGAGGAGTTATTTTAATCAGGAGAGGCTTTCAAAGTGTTGAGATTTTCAGAGAACTCGCTCTCACCGAGCATCATTATTAGTTATCAAATGCATATTTATAAAACCACGAGAAGCTTTAAAACTGTCTAACCCTTGATTGTGACCTTGGTGGCACTATCGCGCTAACCGCATTCCTCCCCACATGAGCGGTGTCCAGTGGCAGTAAGCCATAAACAACAGAATCAATCACCTTCAGCTTCCACCATCCCAGTTCCACGACATCTGTGCATTGGTTGCCCTAACAAAGCTATATTGATACTGGTGGTAGCTGGAAGTTCAATTGAATTACCAGTGTTAGCTGAAAGCAGTGTCTGCGCAACTGTCAACAACCACGAGTCGCGAATCCTTGTCTGCAATTACGAACGCGTCTGGCGGGCCGTCAAACATGGTGAATTACAATCTTCCATATCTGGTATGAACCACAACTAACTTTACAGGCTCCTGGGGCAGCTAAAATCCCGAAGAAGAGAGGACGACCTTCAAATGCGAGTTTACTGGAAGAGCGCGAGGAGCAGCCAGAAGCTCCCCCACCCAAACGGAAACGCGGCAGACCATCAAATGCAAGTAAAGCGCCTCAAGAGAGCGAGGAGACGCCGGAATCATCGCAACCTCGACGACGACGCGACAAGGCGCAGCAAGAAGCCGAAGAAAGGCCCGAACCATCCCCACCCCGGCGAAAGCGCGGGCGGCCTTCGAATGCGAGCCGAGTACTACAAGAAATCGAGAACGAACCGGAAGTAGCTGCACCCCCACGAAAACGCGGGAGACCATCGAATGCGAGCAGAATAGCGGAGGAAGTTGAGAACAGATCCGAGCAAATACGAGACAAACCAGCAAAGAAGAAGGCACGAGTGTCAACAGGAGGCGAATCTTCCCAGCGATCAGAAGCCGGCCCGAACAAGCGCGCAAGAGAGCCAGGGACGCGCCAATCACCACGGACACGTCAATCGCCACGAGCCGCCTCGCCCCCCTCACCCCTCCCATTCCAGCACCTCGAGCCCGTGGAATGCGGCATCTCCCACAACACCATCGACGCCACATGGGAGCCCCTCCCCGCCACCGCCCACGACCGCGCCATGCAGCTCCTCGGCGACATCGAGAAGTCAGTCGTGCAGCGCCTCCGCGACGAGCGTAAGCGGACTCAGGCGAGCACGGCGATCCAGATGGTGACGCGGCGGCTGGGGCGCAAGATTGGGCGGGGGTTGCCGTTTCCGCCTGGGTCGCGGCCGCAGCGGGAGGAGGATTTTGATTTCGAGCGGATACTGGATGCGACGAGGAAGCACGAGGGGCTGTTGACGCCGGCACTGCATGCGAGGGAGTTATTGAAGTCGGAGATTAGGAGGGAGGAGGCGATGTTGGAGAGGGAGCAGGAGGCACTGGAGAAGCTGGAGAAGAATGCGGCTGCGGAGCGGGGGAGGAGGAAGGCGGAAGCGAAGAAATTACATCCTTCTCTTGCGAAGAGGGGGGCAGAAGTGGTGGAGTGGGGTGATCGCGATCAACTCAACCTTGCAGATGAGCAGACTACGGCGGATGTGCTAGATGTGAGTCTACTAATTGTTTCTCGATAGGATGCGGCTAATTTGCGTAGGACGCGAAAATCGATGACGACCTGAGGCTGATTGTGGAGGAGCTACAGAATCACCTGGAGAGCATGGAGAATAACTTCAAGCAAGTCGAAGGCGTCATCCCTGCGATAGAGAAGAGCGAGGCAAATATCCGGGCTGCTCTGTTGACGCAGATCGATGAGCAGCGCTACGAGCAAATCATTATGGGATGAACGGTCGACTTTGTTCGGTCGGATCGATGCACAGCGCCACGAGGAAGTCATTGCGGGTTGAAGCATCTGCTCTGTTGGATCCGATAGATGAACAGCGCCACGAAGAAGCCATTATGGGTTGAAGGGTCTCCTTATGGGATGAAGGGTCAGCTCTGTTTGGTCGGATTGATGCTCCGCGCCATGAGCAAGCCATGGGTTGAAGCGTATACTCAGTTGGATCAGATCAATGGACGGCGCCATCAGCATGTGACTATAGTATGCATGCCCGGCCAGCTCTGTCGATCATGTCAATGCGCAAGGATATTGACATGCTACTACGGGATGAACTGGTGGGATCTGTTGAACTAAACCGATGCACAGTGCCATGAGGATGTTATAATGGGCACATTATTATGATATGAAGCGTCGAGGAAGTGGTTTAATGCCAGGAAATGATATACCCCCCTGCAGAGTTCTACTGCAGAATTCTAGAACGAATTATGATCCGTATAAATTATGAATATGATGAGTGAAACCACCTCGTATTTGCTGCATTCGTGTCTCATGAAAGATATACTCTTTCCTGTATTGTGCATATTGTAACTCCATAATTACTTCTCCTTGGTTGCTGGATCAGCAGCGTCGACAGCTTGGCCCACTCCGTTCCCATGTGCTCGGTGAATCAGATGTTCGGCATTGCTCACCCACTCCACTACTGCAAGGCGGGCGCGGGGCGCGGGCTAATTTTTAGCATCATAGAAACTTGGAGAGGGGAACGGGACATGACCCGAACCCTGCGAATCGCCTCTTTACCTCCAATCCCTCCCATCTTACTCGATTCTGGCCCAAAATAAATGCCACAAGCCTGCGCGCATACCCATTTCCACCATTCTCGAGCCTTCATACACGTCGCCGCCGCCGTGCGACTTGTTCTTCTGCGTGCGCCGCTGGTCCTGCAGCGTGCCGGGTATCGCGATCCTGCCTGACCCGAGGTACAAGCCGAAAAAGGCGCTCACACACAACCTGAGCAACAGACGTTAAATGGAAGCCGTCGTGCTCCAGATCCGATGTCATGGAACACAATGGCGACAGGAATAGGCCGCGCAAGACGTCGCAGACCCCTCCTGCTGCTCCTGCGCCTGCAGCAGCGACGAGCGCCACCAAGAATCCAAAGAAGAGGCGCAAGGTGAATCATGGTGAGCACACGACCTGACTGCTGCTTGGGCAGCAAAATCCCTTCACGTCCGCCCTGTTCCATTTTTCCGTGCTTTTTTTTTCCTGCGCTGTCGCTAATCCTGGAACGCGTGCCTACAGCTTGTGTATATTGCCGTCGTTCTGTAAGTCATCGATTGGTCCAGCTCACTTCAATGCTAGTTGTGTCGCATGTGAGTTTGTGCAGATTGCTTGTGCTGACCTGATACCTTTGAAATAGCATATGACATGCGACTTGGTACGACCCTCTTGTCTTCTTGCGACCCTCCCCCCCTCCCTCTTCACCGTCTCAGCCACGGCCGAACATCTCAGGCACTAGCAAGGCTAACTCTGCTTCGTCGCACAGGAAAGACCTTGCGCCCGTTGTATAAAGCGAAACATCGGCCACCTCTGCCACGACGAGCGACGCGAATCAGACTCGTCCACGAAGAAAGTGAAGGCGCGACAAAGCACCGCTGGCGAAGATGAAGACGGCGCAACTGCAGAGCCCACCCAGCCAGCAGAAAGCGGTATGAGCAGCTCGCTCGACCAGCGCGTCGACCAGGCACGCGAGGACGCCTTGGTGGGAGTCGGCACCGCGTCGATGCCACCACAACAAGCGCCGCTCCAGATCGTGCAACCGTCGCCCGTTTCGGGCGCACAGGCAAACGCGTTGAGTAGAACGAGTGGGCGCTGTATGTGGATCTCGTGGGGCCCCTTTTCTGGTGGCGATGGCTAACCGTCTTACAGTCATTGGAGACCGACCGAGCGATTGGCCTGGGGCGCAGAGCCAATACCAAGACATGCATAACTACCATCCCTCCTATATGTTTAACACTTCGGAATTCACGAACGAGTTTAACCTGCTCAATGATTTTTTGAATAACAGCCTTCTCGACGACGGCGGACTGCTCGAGGGCGACGCTGCCCACTTCTACAACGATCAATCCCTTCTCATGTCCAGCGGTATGAATAACAACGGGATACCCGCCAACTTCCAGCAGAACGCCGTGCAGGCGAGCAATCAGAATGGGAAGGCCATCTCGAGGCCTGCAAGCGCCATGCCCACTGACAAGGCCAAAGAATACTACCTCCAGGCTGCAGATCCGACCGGTAACGACACACCCGAAGAGCGAATGAACCGTCTGCTACAAGCGAAGTACGACGCAGGCATGCTGAAGCCGTTTAACTACGTGAGAGGCTACGCACAGCTCTCGTCCTACATGGACGTTCACATCAACGCCGCGTCGAAGCAGAAGATCCTGCGCCAGCTCGACCGATTCCGACCCAAGTTCAGAGAGAAGGTGCAGAAGCTGACGGATATCGAGCTGATCTACGTCGAGATGTGGTTCGAGAAGACGCTGATGGAATACGATCGCGTTTTTGCCAGTATGGCGATACCGGCGTGCTGCTGGCGAAGAACGGGCGAGATTTTTAGAGGGAACAAGGAGATGGCTGAGCTCATCCATGTGCCGATCGAGCAGATGCGGGATGTGAGTTGTCTTCTACCTCTTCTCCTGCAAAAAATGCTAATCGCGCGTCGTCGTAGGGCAAAATTGGGATCCACGAGATACTGACGGAAGACTCCCTGGTCAACTACTGGGAGAAATTCGGTGCCATCGCCTTCGACCAGAATCAGAAGGCTCTCTTGACGAGTTGTTCACTGAAGAATCCGGTCGAGGGCTCTACAGACAAGCCCATAAAATGCTGTTTTTCATTCACGATACGGAGAGACGAGAACAAGATGTGAGGCTCCTCCCTTTCCTCCAACTCTTTGCATTACTTATACTGATCCATCTCATCCACAGACCCACCCTTATTGTTGGAAACTTCCTACCACAATAGAGCATCAGGTAGGAAAGGCGTAATGATAAAATTAAAAAGCGCGATCAAAAAAATAGAAGTTTCTAGGAGTAGGGAAAGGCAACATTCTGGATTTTATACGCATGGCTCGTTTCCTTGGTATATCTGAGGCATAATCGTCGGCGGGGAGCCACTAAGACGTTTTGGGTTGAGGCCTGTTCTGAGGGGAGTGTGTTGATGACCCTCGTGGGTTTTGTACTTCTTCTGTAGGTAGAGCTCGGTTTATATCTGCGCATTCTTTCTCCGCGAAATAGAATATGTGATCTTCCGTACTATACTATACTTGTTCCATCTGTGAGGTTTCTATATGACGTTCATTTGTACTTGTGGCATCCTTTTCCTGCTTCTCAGTCCCCGTTGAAGCAGCCAGTCGGTTTTATCTCAGTTCAGTGTCAATATTTTACTTTGAACAGTTATTATTCCCTTCCTTCGCGCTTCCAAATGACAAATCTACCTCCTGGGAAGCGGCAGGCTAAAGAGAAGCGTGTTGCTGCTCTTCTTTGTTAGTATTGACCTCTTTCTTCAAAGCTGGCACAACTGACAAACCCCACTCACCAGCCTTCTCTGCAACTACCCGAAGCAAACTTGCACCACTTCCGTCCGGACCAGCCTCACTGAACCTTCAAACACAACTCCACGAACAGATCAACGGATTCCCCAGTAGCCTCACATCTCTCGCCGTTTCGAAGCATCAAGATCTCGATACAGAAGGCTTGACACTATGGAACCTCGCCACACGGCTCATGCGGTCCAAGGACTTCCCAATCTCACCGGAGCAACGGGCGACACTGCTTGCGGCGCGGGTGTTTGCCTTTCTGCTGTTGGATGGTGGGCTAGGCAAGGGCAACACTTCACCCGTCTTTGTTTCACGCCTTATGAAGATTGCGCTCAAGGCTGCGAAGGGTTGCATTGGTAGGCCCCCATACTGGATTCACGGTAATGTAGACTGACAGCTGAGATGCAGATGCCAAGAGGCTTGATTTTGCACTCAAGGTGTTGGAGAAGGCGGCCGTGTACGAAGGCCAACTTTCCATGCATGATGGCACTGTAAAGTCATCACTCGAGAAATCAGAGACGTACTCTCAGTTACAATCGGAATACTATGTGGTCAGAACAACTTTGGTGAGAAGATTTTCCCCCTGACAACCGCCTTTTCTCTCCTCATGACTACCATTGCTGACTTCCCCCCAGGCCTGGCGCCAGGACAAAGTTGAAGTCGCAGAACACATGTATAAGAAAGCAGCGCTATCCGACAACACCCTCGATCCCGATACCGCTGAAAGCCTGGGAGACCTCCTCTATGAAATGGGGAGAGATTTCTTCAAAAAGAAACAACATGAGTTGGCGGATAAGTGGTTGGAGCGAGCTTCTAGAATCATCACAGGACAGGAGATAGATAGGCTGAGTACTGACGCGACGAATCTTCAGACCAGCATCATACAAGCCCGTGTCCAGGCCCTTCTTGCCATTGAGAGAGAGGATGCTCTCGATATGGCAAATAGTTTGATTAACAACCTCGAGAGCGAGGTTGGGGACAGGTTAATCGTTCTCCTGCTAAAACTTGAGGTGCTGTCAGCACCTGTCAGCCGGACTTTCGACTGTAGTGCATACGGCGATGTGATATACAGGATGATACGAACAGTCATGTTGACAGAAGGAAATTTCAAGCTGATAATGCACCATATTCGGAAGCTGAACGACAAGGGGCCAAGTCTCGCTTGTAGTATGCTTGACTCGTTTCTGCAGAGTCGTCTTTTCGAAGCCGGAAATGAGGAATGGATCGAGAAGGCTCTCGTCAATAGGATATGGATATCTACGAATACAAGGGATTGCCCAGAGGTGTTGAAATCCGTGGGGGAGGTCTTAGAAGCCGTTGGCTCAAATATTAGCAAACCTTTGAGCGCGTCAGCCACTCATGCGGCCCAGACAGTGAGTCTATGCCCCGATTCAAAGATATGGAGACTAATTGAAGAAGCTGTTGTGGAAGCGCATTGAGTCAAATTACAGCGATGGGAATTACGAAGCTGCTGAAGATTGGTGCAGGTTGGCTATGCAGAAAGTTTTCGAGCAAGCCGGAGATATGAACAAAGCTAAGATTGTCAGGTAATTAAGCAGTGTAATCACATATTGGAGGCACGCTGACCTATTCGTAGAAAGCTCTTACTTTGCGCTCTCAGTCGGGGCGATGTATCTGATGCTCGCGGAATTATTGGTCAGATTCCAGGGTCATCCAAAGATGATCCGATGACTCGGTTTTTGATGTTCAAAATCGCAATCCGTTCCAATGAACTTGAATTAGCTTCGGCGTGCCTCGGAAAGGTCTACGAGGCAGCAACGGATGACTATACCATGATATATGCATGCGTTATTGATGCGCAGCAAGTTGGTGACAGGACGCTTGCCCTTGCAGGCCTCCAATTAGTCCTGCAAAAATACGAGTACAATGCACCTTCAGCCGTCAATTTTCCCGCTCTGCTCAGATGCATGATACGATTTATATTGTCACAGCTAGAGTCGGGGGAACCAGAGAAAGACATCGACGTACCTTCAGCAGTCGATCAGTTATGCAGGCTATTTGATGGTGGTACGGCCATGATCCGCGCTGCCGTTCTCACGAAATTCAGCTAATATATTGTAGGCTCCACGCACGCTCAGAGATCGATCAAGCAGGAGGATAAGAACAACGGAACTAAACTGTGGACAATACAAGAGCTGGATTGGTTCTCTAAGAATGCGTACAATCTATCGTTAAAGTATAGCTCCGAGTGGCACCCCGAACAGGTTCTACAAATCATCCAGAGCTGCATCAAATTCGCCAGCCTATATCCAAAAGATATCGACAATGCAACCTCAAACGATGTGACACACCGTCACATCTTCTGTGACTTTCTTTCCGTGATATTACTAGTCTCAGTAGCTCGAGCAGAAGACAACATTGAAGCTCAACTGCAGGATTATCTCGAGCTTAGGAAACACGTCGATAGTTTTGATGCTCGCCTTCAATCTATTATTGATGTTCTTGAAGAAGGCCCACAGCAAGACCTTCTAAAGAAACTGGCAACTCTTCTCGTGTTTGACTTTGAAGCCGCAATCCGCCTCAAAGCCTGGGACGATCTCACCGAAATAATCCTAAAGGCTGATTGCTGCAAAAGTATGAAAATCTATGAGAAGATGTCAGATATGCTTCTGTCGGAACCCAGTATTCCCGTCGCAGGTATATGTCTTTTCTATACTCTCTCTAGACCCCCTTCGCTCATGACCATATGTGCCGTGCGCTGACGAGTATAGTTCTCATTCCAACACTCAAACGCGTTGTCAATGAAGCTTGGTCCCTCGAGTCCTTCGATATTGCCAAGCTTTCGCGGTATATGCGTTGCCTCTTCCGCCTTGGGCTTTCCTCTGGCGATGGGCCGCTGGCGGAGAGCCTTCTCGACCAGGTTTCGGAGTTGGCCAGCTCGGCAGAAAACAGCGAGACGTCGTATCCGTTGGAGGAGCTGGAGTATGTGGCCACAACTGCATTCAACCGCGCGGTGGACTATTATTGTACTGGCGAGGATGATGCGTGCAGGAGGTGGGCGGAAAAGGCAATTGGTGTAGCAGGGTTCTGTGCGGATGGAGGAGGCTTGAGAAACCTGTTGCAAGAGAAGCTGGTTGGGCTACAATTTGCTAAGGAGGGGGCGTGAGGAACAAAAATATGTTCAGTAGCTTGAAGTATGCCCAGTGCCTTCTTTTTGGGGTTGGCGATTTATTATTTAGCTATTTACTGTTGCATACCCTCTATAGATATGGCAATACATATATGCTTCCCTAGTTCACGGGTTAATCAGTAATCTCTTGCTAATCTTATGCACTCGTATTATTGCTACGGCTAAAGTTCTCAGATATTAATGGTAAAGATGTGTACAACCAACTCCCCCCCACAAACAGACCTTCTAACTTCCAACTTGGAACCCCCAACATTCACCCCCCTAGCCCACCCCTCCAACTTCTCACTTAGAAACCACAGCCATCGCCACCCTAGTCCACTCCTCTAACCTCTCCGCAAGCTGCTCATCCTTCGCCGCACCACTCTGGCACCTCAGCTCTCCAAAACGCTTAAAGATCTCCATATACGCCCCGCTCTGCTCCGCCGTCATATCCTGACTAGCCGCACAAAACACACTATTCCACGACCCCTTATCCGCAGGCCATATCAATCCGACCATGCGCATGATTGAGAGAAGACTCGAAATGCCTGTCCCGGACTCCTCCACCGATGTGGCAAGGTTCGTATCAACCACGCCGGGATGCACAGACGAAACCCAGATCTCGCCCCCCCCGTTCTGCGCACTGGGAGAACCGGGGCCGTACGAATTTTGCAGAGTCTTGGTGTGCAGAATATTGGCCAGCTTGCTCTGTCCGTATCGTGACCATGGGCCGCTGTCCTTGAGTGATAGATCATCGAAATTGATACCGCCCTTGGGTGCGCTCAAGTGACCCGATGAAGTTAGATTGACGATGCGGACGCTGCCAGGAGAAAGCGTCTTGGAAGTCTGCAACATGAGAGGGAGAAGATGCTCCGTCAAAACCCAGTGGGAGAGGTAGTTGGTCTGCCACTGGGCCTCGTAACCATCCTTCGTCATTTCAAAAGGCGTAGCCATGATGCCTGCATTGTTGACCAGGCCATGCAGGGTTGTTTCGAGGGTGATGAATAACTTGGCGGCTGCGACGACGCTGGTGAGGTCCATGAGGTCCATTTGCAGGAGGTCGATATTGGCTGAGGGGTGCATTTTCTTGATGTTTCTGATGGCTTCTGTGCCCTTCTTTGGGGATCGGGCGCACATGTAGACGTGGGCGCCATGTTCTGCTAGGTGGGATACGGTATAGTAGCCTCTGTGCTTTGGTCAGATTGGTGATTCAGGTTTGTAGTGAAAGGAAAACTTACATGCCGGAGTTCCCACCGGTGACTATGAATACTTTGCCCTTGAGGACGGGTAGAGTGTCGGGATGGAAAGTCATGTTTAAGACGAGTACTTGAGTTGATGTGTGAAGGTGTAATAGTAAGGAATAGATAATTCAATGTCTGATACCGAGTTCTATTTTTGATGATACAAAAAGATCGGTTTAAATAAAGGATTTGCCATCATATTTATATTGGGTTCATTGAACAATGTCCGAGACTCTTCCACGTACATGTTATTCCAATTATCATATGTGGTGAGCAGGCTGCATAACCTTGGACCAATCGCCCAACATCAAACTTAGATCGAGTTTGTGAGCCACCTGCATGAACTTTAGGGCTCACTGCCGTATCAGTAGCTGCTCTTTAAACTAGCCACCTTGTAAAAATCATAATGTTGCGCGTCTGCCAATTAACCAGTGTATCCGTGCCATGATGCTAGGATCGTGATCCTAGTCTACAATGTGAGCAGACTGCATGACGCTAGACCTCCTTAAGTTGGACCCTATAGTAGTAGCTAATAATATCGCGTCAATTCACTAACCCTAACTCCTAGCTCCTAACCCCTGTCTGTCTACGCGTTAGCTTATTAGTTGGGGCTCCGCCCCGCAGGCTGACTGTTGACTGTCTGTCAGATTCGTCATGGTGATTGTGAGCAGGCTACATAAAACTCCCTTGGCTGATTTGAAGCAACTTCCATCGTCCATCATTAGATTCATTATCACCGTAATTGCTATGTCCGAGAGCATCATGACTAGTACGTACCAGCCTGTAAATCCGGTAGCACCGCGTTACCAACTCACGTCGATGCCACAGTTGGCCGAAGTACGTATTAGGCCGCGTTGAATCACCGAGACGACGTGACTTGCTCACTGCATACAGGCAATAAGCAAGGAAGACGACTGGACTGGGACCAAGGATGCTGCAGCGCGCAGAAGGGCACAGACTAGGCTTAACACAAGGGCATACCGTTAGTAATTCCCTTTTGTTTAAGTTTGGAGTCAGGAGGCAGGAGATGGGAGATAGGACTAGTCCGATCGAGGTGTATCCCATTCCCGAAACTGATAGTTAAGTAGGAAAACGCAAAGCCTTGGCTGCAAATAAGACACCGGTTAAATCAGAAGAGCTGGTAGAGTGCTGGGACATTAAGCAGCAATCCTTCTCCGTCGTCCCAGCATCCCGTATTAAGGAATTATACAATGGCAGAAGTGCCTTGCTGCCGGATAAACAAAGAAAAGCCCAGTTTAACATTGTCTTCCCTCTCTGCCCAGACCACCTCATTACACTCCTCCAATACAACGCCCTCCGCGCTCTGGCTGTCAACCGCACTCTAATCTCAGGCATCCTTGTTACGCCGCTCGACTGTGGCGAAGAAATTATCCACGTCATCCCTTACCCCTCCAAGCCCGAACTGCTCCCTTTATCACTTTTGCCCACCGTCCTTCAACAAACGGTGCCGCACGGGGACTGGATTGACATGTTCCCGTGTCCCGAGGGGCGAGACCGACTAATTCGAGCCGCCGGCACCTTCGACGAGGACGAGCTCTGGGCCGACTGCATCGGCGGGCTGTTCGAAGGCTTTCCCGACGACGAGGTCGAGCGACGCGGCATTATTGCGTGGTCGCCGCCTTGGGATATCACCGGGTGGGAGATGTCGGAAGGGTTTATGAGGAAATGGGGATGGCTGTTCAAAGGGTTGCCGGGGCCGTTGGCGGCGACGAATCGGTGGCGGATGCAGAGAGGCGAAGAACCGTTTACTCATGATGACTGCATGTCACATGCAACCGTGTTACCTTTGTGTTGTCCAGATACTTCTTCGTCATCGGATGAGCTGGGTGTTTAAGACTTTAGGTAGTATTACTACACTAGGAATAGTCCACCAGTCCTTTCGGCCCTATATGTGGCACTGAGAGAGTGCAGTAAATGTCCATAATGCGAAGAGCCAGCAAGGAGGCGCTCCAAATTGGGGTTTTATCAATTGACTAGGCTGTTCTATCTGTTGGTATTTGGGTTCATATGGGTCGTGGCGGTCAGGTTTCTTTCAAGAACCCCTTTATCTGTTTATAATTTGGGTCCATATTGGCCGTAGCGGCGAGCTTTCTTTCAAGAACTCTTTTATCTGTTCGTAGTTTGGGTTCGTATTGCTCGTGGCGCTGCACCTCGAACAATCTTTGGGGCCGTATAGACTGTTCCAAGGTTCCGCGGATTCCCGGCCACAGCCTGTTATAGTTGCCAAACTAGGAATTATACATGTCCTTCAAAAGTACTGTGTAGTTTCGCCGAGTAGGAAAAGGCTTATTTATTCGGACACCCCGATGATATTTATGAGTCAGATTATCAACTCGGGGTTATCATCCCCGAAAATATCGTCATCCGCTCGGTGTAGCTTGCTGAGCCACCGACCGACCTGTCCCTTATGAAATCAGCATGTTGCTCTTAACCAGTAGAGGGTGATTACTTGCAAGAGACCATTTGTTGCAAGTCCAGATTTCGGTTACAGAGTGAAGTGTGACCTACCAGTTAACTATTATGATCAATCTATTTTCTATACACAAAATGCTGGCATAGACTTATTCTTCGGCCAGGAATATCTGGCGTCAGTTTAGACTCGATTTCAGACAAAGAACTACAGATACTTAACACAACGGTGAAATGATGTCGTGCGACCCCCATCTACAGCTCATGCGCCGATAAGGTATTCCACGCGAGTTGAATGCTGCCATCTTCTGACTGAGTTAAACCTAGCGTGAGTGTAACTAGCCATGCACCATGCATTGTGACACGGAACGTTGCTCAGCTGAAGGCTCAGCTGAGTATCTATCCTAAGACACTGAGTCTATGTTTCCAGTCCGGATCTCACACGTGGGGCATAACACCGTTGGAATTCTTCAGCTCGGAAGCGACCGTAAGACATTTTTGCACCTCCTTTCGCCGTTGAACTATGTAAGATCTAGCTTGCAAATATGCACATCGTATAAGTTACAAGCTCGAGCTCAGGTCATTGTTGAATCCATTTCAACCCAACTCGTAACCTAGTTGCCTCCCTAGCTGAGATAGTCGTCTTGTCAGAACTTTGAATTGTCTATGGTAGGACACTGCGCAGTGTCGACTGTGTGCTGTCTGTATAACTATACGGGGCTCCGCCCTCGGTGCGATCCAACGAAACGCAATGTTGGACTTAGAATCCGACACCCAAGTTGATCAGACGCGTAAGCAGGTATCGTCGCGGTCAAAGCTTCGCGACAGCTGCCATGCCTGTGCCATTTCCAAGGTTAAATGTCCCAAAGAAAAACCATCATGTTCAAAATGCGAATGCCGTGGCATCACATGCCAGTACTTCTTGGCTAAACGTCCTGGTCGCAGGCGTGAGAACAACACAGTCAACGGCACAGGGAGCAACACAAGTCGATGCCAGTCCAGCAAAAGTCTTGCAACAAGCTCCAACTCCAGCTCCAGCTCCAATTCCAACTCTAACCCCAATACCAAATCCAATACCGACAGCAGCCGGTCTATGGAGTGGGAGGCACCTCTAGATATGCAACCCACTCCCGGAACCGGCTTGCTATCAAAAGGAGGCACAATAATTCCAACCAATTCGTATGGCACCGATGGCTACCTTATGACACCTTTAAGCCTAAGCGTCCCGGCATCTCCAAGACAAGACAATATGTTTTCAACAAATGCAGCACAATTTTCTGTACCTGGCGAGGTCGGCATGTTCTCTGGTCTAGTAGATTTTGGATCTGAGGTCAACGACATGGATTTCATCATGTCGGCCATGGATTCTCCGTTTGACCTGCTTGGAATGGAGTGCGGTGGCATCACTGGTAGCATCACGCAAACACCAAATGATATTGAGTCGCTCCTCATGCCAACCGAGAGAGTCGATTTTGACCATGCTTCATTGGATACGCCATCCTCACTTGATTTATTGAGCACATCGAGCGCGGCGTCATCAACCGCCTCCAATATCCATTCGCTGCCGACTGGGATGACGAGTATATCGGATATCATCGAAACCTCACCGTGTGGATGTCTGATGCAAGCACTAGATCTCTTGAAGAAGCTTTCCACTAGCTCAACCTCTTCCCGCACGGCATTTCCCAGTCTGGATGCCACGGACATGCCAAGAACTGTTAATGCTAGTTCAGCGCAGACTGTCGTCTTCGAAAATAAGCAAGGCATGGAAGCTGTCAGTAGCAAGCTTGCATGCTCGTCGTGCGTTGACGATGGCTTCTTGCTAACAGTCATCTCCATGATCGTGCTGAAAATATTAGAACGATATGCCACTGTGGCGCAGGCACAGCCGCGCAAGACTGGAAAAAGCGAGCCGGAAACTGACAATCCAGTGAGGCTATCGATCAGCACTACTTCTGGTAGCGATGACTGGATGAGAGCGCCAAATCATGTCCTTAATGGATCGTATGACGACGGAGGAAGCGAGCGCGTGGCCGCTCAGCTTGTTCTCAGCGAGCTGCATCGCGTGCAGAGGTTAGTGAACCAGCTGTCACCGAAACTCAAAGGGCCAAAGGAGAGAGAAGGTCAAAATATAGCCCCGAAGATGAGGTACTGGGGCCGTCCTAGGGCTGCAGGAGATGGTGACAGAATGACGTTGACTTCTATCTTGGCTGGCACCTTGGACCAAATGGAGAGGGATGTTCGCAAAAGCTTGAGTACTCTGTCAGCAGAGATAATCAACGGGCTACGGCAAGTTTAAATTAGTACGTGCCGGACATATGATGGTTATTTGGATTGAAACCCCGTACATTCTCCACCTAAGGGGTGAGTCAATAGACAGACTCAAGGTGGAGCTACAGAAACGGGCATAGTATATAGCTTAATAGACATTTGGCATTATAATTCTAAACTATAGGTCTACAGCCAAAACTCCCCTATACGCATTCTATCTATCAATATGCTATTCCAAGTTATTATACCCGCCAAACAAATTATATGCCTGAAGTTCACGTGGACGTAAGCACGACATACTTCACAGGCATATGATTCCATTTAAGAGGATATGCTCATAATGTGGCTTGGTGGCTTGGCGGGAACTGCCATGGCTCCAACCCGACCTTCTATAAAATGGAGTGCCATACGAGCATGGCAATCTTACCGCTGGTCACAAGAAACGGGCCAGTAGTAAGTGGTCAGGTGGCTATGTGCTATCTGTATTGAGTCTTGACAAGGTAGCATCAGCCAAATGCTTCTGCCATGCCATCGTCGGCGATCACTTCTACATCCGGGATACGACTGTTGAATACGCTATATTTGTGGAGCTATACGAGGCGATGGATGAGGTGGGTAAGACACAGTGTTCTAGTTCGTTGGTGGATATTTATTATTCTAGAACGGCCTTCCTTATCAGTGTACCATTTTAAAGGAGGGTGTCACAGCAGTTGCTGAAATTCAATCGCTGTTGTACAACAGTGGCAAACTTTCGGTATTCAGAGGCACACTCGCACCTGCTTACGTAGATTACGTGTCTCGTAACAAACTTCCCAGGGATTTTCTTATTTAAAGATAATAAGTATAATTCAATTTGATTCTCACGGTTGAAATCAGCGTGCTCGGCGCTAATTAGGACATCTAGCAACCCCTTGAAGCTGACGACTACCTCACCGACCCTGACGAATTCCCCAACCCAGCATATCGTCATCCTAGCCCAAATTAACACAATCCATTCGGACCATCGGAAAACAGATAACTAACATGCTTCAACTCGTGTCAGCAAAATTCTTGCCCCCACCGACTAAATGTTCCTTGTACCACGGGCCATGTTTCATACGGTTGAAATCTTCAATACTTTGGAATGCCGCCTAGCTGAAATAGTCAAAGTCTGCAGTATCGGCCATCTGATGATCAAATAGTTGGTTCATCAAATTACGAGTGTTGCTTTAATTACCAATCTAAATACTATACTAACTAAAAGGCAAGAGTAGGTGTGCTACTTGGGAAGAAAACAATGAGTGGTTGCATGCTAGGAAAAACTCGCTGAACTGGGTCTAAGTCTTTACACCATACTTTACCATAAAGCCCCGAAGGGCAATTAGCACCCAAGCCGCATGTAATACGTCAGGAGCCCAGAAGCATTATATGTTAACAATTTTGAACTTACGATATATATGGCGTCAATTCGCGGTAGAAGAAAAGTTCTCGGCTGGTGTTTTAAACCTCCAATAAAACACCATGCGCACCTAACTTGATACTAAACCATTACCAGTAAGGGTCGACGTGCCAGCCATAGCTGTTATTTTGGGGTCCTTTCTATCAGGTTATGTCAATCTCCTCTATACGCAATCTGGACCTTGTCTAACTATTAGACTCAGGCGCTATGACGAGCCTTTCGGCATTTGCCGTCCCTGTATTTATAGATACTAACACCGAATAATTGCTCCGGCAATGGATTCAGCCCTACCGTTACGGCCACATGTACATACCCACATTTCGTATTGTGACGTTGGGGCTATGCGTATGCATCCTTAAGCGGAAGAGGCTCGAGCCACAAGCAATGGTACCAATATGGCGTGGCAGCCACATTGTCAATTTCTATGGTGCCATTCACCTAGCTTGCCGTGGCGGAAACGAATCATACCTTATTCCAGATGGGGTCGAGAAATTTGGCGACAGAGCTAACCTTTGCGAAAGCTCTAGTTTTGAAGTGAGCGTGGTTGCATGTTATGCAGTCTCTGTTTCCCATATTCGGAGCAATCACAGGCTTCGTCAGCCTTCTGCAGGAAATACGGTAGCAACGTGACAATTATACCGTCGAGTCTTCGTATATTCAATAGCCCGTATAGTTAGCATAGTGGCAATTCAGTATGTTTCGTTATCATTTGGGGCCCGTAAATCAATCCACCTCCACTAGCTCCGACTATCCAAGTGCTGTAAAACTCGCCGGAAGAATCTTACATGTAAACAGAGCAGGTAATCACAACTAATGTGTATATTGGCGTAATATATTCCAATACGATAAGACGGATTCGGCGTAAAAAGGCTGACCTGCTGGAACGGGGGATTGGAAGTTGCCGTGGTGGTATTGATTATTGACCCGGCATTACACCGTTAATTCCCCACTATTTAAAGTGTCACGAAGGCGCCGCTAGCTCCGGGAGATCGTACCGCTAAGCCTTTAAAAAGCCTTCGGTTGTACTGTACTAGTTAAGCTACGGTAGGGTACTACGCGGTTGAAAGCAATAAGTGGCACGGGTCTTGGCACATTTCTGGTATATTTCTGGCAGTAAACCGTGCCACTTTTTTCTTCACCCGCGTAGGTACGTACTAGACCTGTTGAAGAACGAAGATGAGACCTTTCTTGTTGTTTGGCGCGATGATCCCCCGTAGACCACAGCCACCGCCACTGCCTTATCTAGCTCGGAAGGTAACCCCAGTTGATGGGCGATAAAATATTGGTATGATACGTTATTTAGCCAAGCCGCCAGGTAACAACGGGAAATATCCGTTATTGTGCGTCCCGGGGCGTTCTGCAACCCCACCGGTCATTCCAGTTTTCCAAGATTCGTACAATTTGAGGGAATGTAGTCCCTATCTCTACCGTGGCCCTCGGACGCAGGATTTTGTCTCCTTTGATTTATACAAAACAATTCTAGCTTTATTATGGATAGATTGACGGAACTCAATGGTCATAGCGATCAGCTCGCCCAAGCTATCAGGAGCCTCGTCGATAGCCGTCGAGGAGCCGATTCTTCTGACCAGCTGGGGCCAAGTGCTGACACTGATGTAGACAGAGATCAATCTTTATTCACAAGAGCCAAGTCAAATATTCTGGCCAGTATTGCAGCAATCAAGTCCATAGTTGGTGAACCAGCAGACTTCCTCCAGGATTTTTCTCGCCAGGTAAGCGGAACTTCTCATCATTTGCTCCCCTGCCCTTTCTATTTTTCTCATCTCAACTTACATAATCCAGATCGAAATCCTTGCTTGTCTTCGGTGGCTAGCGGAATTCCAAGTTTTTGCGTGCATCCCGTTTGACGAAAGCTTGCCTATCAAGGATTTGGCGGACCTAGTAGGAGTTCCCGAGAGCCAGTTGGTTCGTGTCATCCGTCTGACTGCCACATGCGGATTTCTGCGGGAACCGATACTAGGCTTTGTGTCCCACAGCCCCCTCTCGGCGCAATTCATATCCAACCAGTCATTAGTTGACGCTATGGTGTTTATTGCCGAGTTGGCTACTCCCACAGCATTGCAGATGCCGCAAGCAACGCAGCGATTTGGAGCCTCGTCGAGTGCCACCGAGAGCGCATACAACTTAGCTCTCAATACGGTGCGGCCGTTTCATGTGGCTATCCAAGAACGCTCTAAGCTGCGTCGTCAATGGTCAGCTTACCTTTGCCATGCAGCAGGGTTGCACCAGGAGGAAGAAATCATCGAAGTGTTATCGCGGCTCAACTGGTCTAACCTTGGTAATGCGTGCATAGTCGAGGTAAGCTAAATGTAATCTATTCGTGTATCGTACCAAACTAACATTGGGCGGCAGGTAGGGGCAAAGTCGACCTCGATGGCAAGCTCTCTTTCCAAAATGTTTCCAAGCTTGCGGTTGGTCGTGCAAATCGACAATACACAATCTTCTTTGCTAGATCGAGACTACATGTGGCAAAATGCAGTTCTGGCAAGCTCAATCCGGGACAGCTCTAGCTCTGGATCTAGCCCTTCTCCCACAAACCCTTTTATCACGGTTACCTATCATGCCATGGGCATGCCGCAGTCTGTGACAGATGCTGCCGTTTATATTATTCACGTGCCTGCCACATCCTCAGGATTGACGATTAAAGCAGAACTGGATGATTACTTAGGTGTGCTTCGTACCAGCGGGGGCATCATGCTTATCTTGACGACACGACTGCTTCCCGAGCCAGGCACTCTTCCCAACCCAGAGATCGAGGCCGTGGCGCGCGCACGGGATCTGAGCATGCTCCAACTGGCCAACGAGAGCGAGATGGAGATGTCCGAGCTTCTGAGTATAATAAAGACGGTGGGGGACAACGCTGGGAAACTCGTTGTCACTAATCACCTTCGCTCAAACAATGGCGTCATCCTAGCTTTAACTATCAAGTACCAAGCATATTAATTTCGGGCTATTTGAGTGCATAGTTACTTAGATGGGCATAAAATGACATGGAGCACAGGGAACCGCAGTGGTAGCTTATTAAGATTCGTTTTAATTCAAGTGACAATTAATCCAATATGAGAACTACATGCACCTCTAGATCTAACCTGTAGTGCGGGCGGCTGTTATCTTTGAAAACTATGCAAATCATCGTAATAATAGAGTAGTTCACTAGGCTAGTTCCCAAGTCCACATTTAACTTAGTTCATCTTAACTAGAAAATAAAAATGGACCGCAAGCAGTTGTTGCCATTGGTCCACAAACCACTCGAGTGAGTAATCCGCGAGGTGCGCGTTCTCCCCGAAGGCAACGTCCCATTGTCCCATTGTTCCATTGTTCCGAACTTGCTATAGTTTAGAACCTACTATGGGTTGGTAGGGGCTACGTATTGTGCGAGTGATAATGTGAAGTTAAGTAAAGAGGCTCCATTTAACTCTATTGCTTCTCGTAATATTATTTTCTATCGATTCTGCCATGCTATAAATTATCATATGAGTGCTTTAGAATATTGATTTCCATGATTTAAACTTGAATAGTTACGGCCAGTGGATTTTTCAGAGCCATAAACCGCTGCGTGGTTGTCTCCTCCATTTCCTCCACAGAGAACCACTTCTTCTTGCCTCTCCTCATTTCGAATGCAACCTTACAGTCATTCGCTAGTTTCCGTAGCACTTCGTCGATAAATGGCTCCAATGCGAGTATCCTCGTATCTTCGTCAAGCGACTCGCCGTAGATCTCTGTTACCAAGTCTTTGGTGGTGACGCTCTTCTCGCCGCGGCTACGGACTCTGCCAAGCGCATTCATAACTTGCTTCTCGCGCCGCAACTTGTTATCTAATTCCCCGGTAATTTTGGCTGGCAAGTCGGTGACTGTGGCGCCATGAGCAGAATAACCGATATGGCAATCCTGGGCAGCCATCTTCTGTAGGCTGGCCATGAACGTGCCGAGGTCTTCTACAGCACTGGTACCGTGGCCAAGGATATTGTCACCGGTAAACATTGCCTGCTCCTCTTCTAAGATAAAACACATGTGATCTTCTGAATGTCCAGGCACATGAATAGCACGGATTGTTGCGCCGTCAACAGAAAATATCTGTCCGTGGGTGATGTTCTGTTGGCTTTGGTCCGGTTCGTTCTTGTAGATGGAATTCGTGAGATGTGGGTATAGGCGCAGAAGAGCTGGAACTCCGCCGGTATGGTCACCGTGCCAATGGGTCAGCAGAACATATGAGAGGCTGATGTTCATTGATATAAATGTTGAGTCAATCAGTTTGGCCCATGCTGGCTCGCCCCCACCGGTATCAATGATGAGGCGTCGTTGGCCAGTGCCGACGATGTATGTGTTTGTCCCTTGATGCGTAAACTGCACGAAAGTATTAGCTGCCAATAATATATTAGAGATAGGGGCCAGATCCGGGGATGACCATTTACCTTTCCAGGGTTCTGGCCAAGAACGCGAAGCACTCTTGGAGTAAGCTGTTCAATACTCTCGATATGCGGCAGTCGTGCGGTCTGACCTTTAAGATACTCATCAAAGGCACAGATGTTCAACGACTTATTGATCTGCCTATATCCGCCCTTGTCGTTCTCCATGGCGAAAGTATAAATGCTTTCTAAGAATATATTATGAATGTGAAAACAGCTTTAGGTTGACATTAAGAGTGATACATATATTGTTTTCCCTTCATAACGGATCATGACTTCATAAAATGCCAAGAATAGCTCGGAGGCACTAGGGTGCTTGTTCTGATAAGGGGACAATGGGCATTGTGCCGAGGGGACCTTTCAGGCTCGGAGCCCGATCATGCATCGCATTATGACTCCATATCAATTTTGAGACGTAATAGACGTTTCTAGCCCTTCACATGCAAGAAAAATTATAAATATAGCATATCTAGGATTCTCGGACAGTAATTGTCGGGATGAACTACGGGCATTTCTTTTCGACGGGTGAATAACGGAGTGTGGCTGGTTTGGTTTGACTCGAGGCCAAGCAATAAATGTGGCGAAAGGTAGGTACGTATGAGACCTCATTCAACCAATCCGGTAGTAACACCGCCAACAACAACGACGACGACAGCGGCAACAGCAACAGCAACGTTGCCATGTGAGGTAATAATAGCGAAGTGGAGATGACCCGGTGCGATGTAGGTAGTAAGTAGTTCCTATGTTGGATCAATCGTCCGATCCGGCTGCGGGACTGTGGTGCGGCCTAGAACCACGTTTTATACAAAATGGTTGGACGCGCTATGGCAGAGCGATTGTTTCGATGTTTTCAGTATTGTCAGTTATATCTGTTATAATAGGCTCTCGATCTCCAGAAGACACTCTTGGTTATATCTGGACATCGACAGAGTGTCTCCTATTATCCATTTTTACCCCTCTCCTTCCACCCGCCGTTCACTACCCATCCATCCACCTTAATGTCCGTACATACCCCAACCACGGATTCGGAATCCTACGAGGGTTTTCGCAAGATGGAGATTGTCTATTTTAGCAACGACTTCCCTAAAGATGACTTGGTTGACGTTTTTCGCCGCCTACACAACCATAGCAAGGACAAGCATTTCCCTGTCTTGGCCCAATTCATACGTGAGGCCACCTGGGCTATCAAGGACGAAGTTCGCCAACTACCAACTGAGCTCAAACAACTGATTCCGCCATTCAATACTCTATTGGCTTGGGCGGAAAACAGCCAGCTTCGGGAAGGCCTAATCTGTGGGGCTGTGGATGGAGTGTTGCTCGTCGTCGCTCAGCTAGCAACTTACATTGGGTGAGTGATTTCATATGTTGAATGCACTAGAATTAAATAGTTAACCCTCGTTGTTAGATATGTCGAGAGTCGCTCTGGAGATTTGTTTGACTTTTCAATTACATCTCTTGCTGGCCTAGGCACTGGCCTACTATCGTCGAGTGCCGTCTCATTGTCGCAAACATTGGCCGACTTGCCACTGGCAGGCGCAGATGCAGCCCGTCTCGCCTTCCGCCTGGGCATTCATGTCTTAGACATGTCGGAGAACCTGGAAGCTCGTGATTTATCAGAAAGCCCAGATTCGTGGGCGTACGTGGTTCACAATGTTGACCCGACTACGGCCTACAAGGAGCTAGATGACATGCATTCTCGAATGGAGATACCCAATACTGGCAAAATATTTATCAGCGCTGTTAGCCGGACATCAGTCACAGTTAGCGGACCACCATCGAGGTTAAAAGCGTTGTTTAATAAGTCAGAGTTATTCCGCGAGTCGAAGGTCGTTGAGCTGCCAGTGTACGGCGGCCTCTGCCACGCGCCGCATATCTTCGGTCTGGACCATGTACATAGTATCGTTCACGGCTGTTCATTAAACGCCGCTATCACAAATTCTCCGCCAGTTATTCCAGTTTTATCGACCAGCAGCGGTTTGCCATATCTGGCCAAGAGTTCCATGGAGATGTTTGAATGCGTCGTCTCAGAGCTGCTCACGCAAACAATCTATTGGGATAATGTTGTCAGTGGCATAGTCGAACGAGCCAAGTCTAACGTTACCGCGGAAGCAGTGCTTCACTGCTTCGGCAACTCCACTCCCCTTAACGACCTCAATATGACCCTGAAGAGCAATGTTCCAGATCTCGACGTCTCGATCAACAGTCTTATGTCATGGATCTCTCAGGTTTCACCAAGAGATACTACACCCCACGGCACTGCACAGTCTAAGCTGGCCATTGTCGGTATGGCCTGCAGATTTCCAGGAGGTGCCACAAATACTGAGAAGTTTTGGGAGATCCTAGAGCAAGGCCTTGATGTCTCACGTCGAGTTCCAGCTGACCGCTTTGACATCGACACACACTACGACCCAACCGGCAAGCAGCAGAATAAGACCATGACACAGTTTGGCTGCTTTATTGATGAGCCTGGTTTGTTTGATGCGCCTTTCTTCAACATGTCTCCTCGTGAATCTCAGGCCGTCGATCCGCAGATGCGTTTGGCTCTTGTAACGGCATACGAGGCACTGGAGCAAGCTGGGTACGTCGGTAATCGCACAGCTGCTACACAGTTGCAACGCATTGGAACATATTATGGACAAGCCGCCGACGACTACCGTGAGGTTAACCAAGGCCAGGATGTAGGCACATACTATATTCCAGGCGGTTGCCGTGCGTTCGGCCCCGGTCGTATCAATTACTTTTTTAAATTTGCGGGTCCAAGCTACAGCATTGATACTGCTTGCTCTTCCGGACTTGCAGCGATCGAGGTCGCTTGTCAGGCTCTTTGGAACGGCGATGTAGATATGGCTGTCACGGGCGGTGTTAATGTGCTAACTAACCCGGATGTTTTCGCTGGCCTTTGCAAGAGCCATTTCCTAACTAAAGGTCACAACGCATGCAAGACCTGGGATTCTACCGCTGACGGGTACTGTCGTGCAGACGGCGTTGGGTCTGTTGTTATTAAAAAACTCGAAGATGCTGAAGCAGACAACGACAACATCTTGGGCGTCATTCTCGGTGCGGGAACCAACCATTCTGCCGAGGCCGTCTCTATTACTCACCCTCATGCCGGCCATCAGGCGTATCTGTCTCGTCAGGTGCTTCGCCAGGCCGGCGTGGATCCATTGGATGTTTCCTATATTGAGCTCCATGGCACTGGTACTCAAGCTGGTGACCACGAGGAGATGCAAGGCATAATGGAAGTGTATGCTCCGCTCATCAAGCGACGTAGGAAGGACCAGCCCCTACACATTGGTGCTGTAAAAGCAAACGTTGGCCATGGTGAATCTGTTGCTGGCACAACGGCATTGATCAAGGTGCTTATCATGCTCCAAAAAAAATCTATCCCGCCACATATCGGAATCAAAACGGAGATGAACCCCAGATTCCCCCGAGACTTCGACAAACGCAACCTCCACATCGACTTGGAAATGACACCCTGGCCGCAAACATCGTCTAAGAAGCGACTTGCAGTTGTTAATAACTTTGGTGCCGCTGGCGGGAACACGACTATGGTTTTAGAGGAGGCACCAACTCGAGACATATCCGAGGCCGATCCACGCAATACTCATATCATCGCCATATCCGCCAAGACTAAAGGGTCATTAACAGGAAATATTGAGCGCCTGATCGCCCACCTTGATGCGAATCCAGATATCAACCTTGCCGACCTTTCCTACACAACGACTGCACGTCGCTCCCATCACAGCCATCGTGTAGCAATTGCCACTTCTGATATAGGCCACCTAAAGAAGCAGCTTACTTCCCGCCTAGAAAATATCGATTCAATGAAGCCTATTGGAAATTCTGGTAGTCCACCAGTAGCTTTCGCCTTTACTGGCCAGGGCTCTTCTTATAAATCGATGAACCTTGAGTTGTACCACGATGTACCAACATTCAGAGAGCATATTCAGCATCTTGATTCTCTCGCTCGACGCCAAGGCTTTCCATCTATTATTCCCGCTCTAGATGGCTCTCATCCTAAGGACCACTTGCACTCTCCGGTAGTCACCCAGCTTGCCCTGGTATGCACCGAGATTGCTTTGGCAAAATACTGGGTTTCTCTTGGAATCAAGCCAGACGTGGTCATGGGTCACAGTCTGGGCGAATATGCTGCGATGCACATAGCTGGTGTGGTTACTGCAAGCGACACCATATTCATGGTTGGGCGTCGTGCTCAAATGCTAGAAGAAAAGTGCACGATTAGCAGTCATAGTATGATGGCGGTCCGGGCTACTCTTCAGCAAATAGAGGAATGCTTAGGAACAAAGCCGTATACGATTGCTTGTGTCAATGGACCTTCCGATACTGTCCTCAGCGGTACTAAGGAGAGTACAGATGATGTCGCTGTGGTGCTCGAGGCGGCCGGTTACCGTTGCTTCAAGTTGGACGTCGCGTTTGCTTTCCACTCAGAGCAGACCGATCCTATTTTGGATGACTTCGAGGAGATATCAAAGACTGGAGTTGTTTTTCAGGAACCTAAACTTCCTTTCATCTCGCCATTGCTCGGAAAGGTTATTTTTGACAGTAAGACGCTGAACGCAAACTACGTTCGCCGAGCCACCAGGGAGCCTGTTGACTTCTTGTCTGCTTTGAGAAATGCTCAAAAGATTTCTACCATTAGCGATGAAACTGTCTGGATCGAAATTGGACCACATCCTGTCTGCACTAACTTTGTCAAGACTACCATCCCGTCCACGAAGCTTACCATCCCATCGATCCGTCGTGGAGATAACAACTGGAAAACCATGGCTGAAAGCATGGCTGCTCTGCATCTTGCTGGGTTTGGGGTCAGTTGGAACGAATTCCACCGCCCATTTGAGCAAAGGCTGCGCCTTTTAGACTTGCCAACATACGCCTGGAATGACAAGAACTACTGGTTGCAGTATAATGGTGACTGGTGTCTGACTAAGGGCAATACTTTCTACGATGCCGAGAAGGAGGCTGCCAGAGCAAAATCTGTACTAAGATCGCTGCCTGCGAGCGGGTTTCTGACAACGACCGTGCAGCAGATCATCGACGAGTCTTTTAGCGATTTTGCTGGCACGGTGGTGATGCAGTCTGATCTTATGCAAGCGGATATGCTCGCCGCTGCTCATGGGCACAGCATGAACAATTGCGGTGTTGTTACATCTGTAAGTCTACAGTTTGCGAGATTCTTCAGTCACAGTGCTTACCAATTCTGCAGTCCATCCACGCTGACCTCGCCTACACCCTCGGCGACTATATATACCGCAAGTTCTATCCCAAAGCCAAGGAAGTCAATGTTAACTTTGCCAACTTGGTTGTCGCAAAAGGCCTTGTTGCCCAAAACAGCAACAAGACTCCCCAATTGTTCCGTGTAACTGCTGTCACTGCCGACGTCCGCTCAGGCGTGGTCGACTTAACGTGGCAGAATGTTGACAATGATGGCTATGCCCACGAGCCATTTGCAACCGCCAACATAATCTATGGGGATTCATCTGAATGGATTTCATCTTGGGCCTCATTAGGTCACCTCATCCACGGCCGCATCGAAGCGCTTGAGCGCCTAGCTACAGAGGGAAAAGCCAACCGTTTCTCTCGCAAAATGGCATACACGATCTTTGCCAGTAACCTAGTCAACTACGCTGAGAAATACCGTGGCATGCAATCTGTGGTGATGCATGAACTAGAAGGGTTTGCTGACGTGCAACTGACCACAAAGGAGAGTGGAGTCTGGACAGTTCCACCATACTTTATCGACAGTGTGGTGCACTTGGCTGGCTTTATCATGAACTGCTCGGATGCCATTGATACAAAGAATAACTACTGTGTTACTCCTGGTTGGAACTCGATGCGATTCGCGAAGCCTCTGCTTCCAGGAGCCAAGTATCGGTCGTATGTCAAGATGATTCCTACAGTCGAGGATCCGACTATTTACAATGGCGACGTGTACATCATGCAAGATGATACCATCATGGGTGTGGTTGGTAGCATACAGTTCCGCAGATATCCGCGCATCCTTCTTAGCCGCTTTTTCTCGCCGCCAGACAAGATGGCCACCTTCGATGTCAAGCCAAAGGGGCAGGTGGCTGCCCCCAAAACTGCGGTCCCAGCACAAGATGCAACAAAATTTGATGCAAAAGTGTCACTCCCGATACTTGCTCGCGGTGCATCCGAACCTGACAGTGACGACAAGCAGGGCAACCCTCCTGCCCCTGCACTGCCTGCCCCCGATGCCGCCGCCCCATCTATCGTTGAATCCGCGGCCGCTTCCGGCACTACAACTGCAAAGGCAATCATGCTCATTGCCAACGAGGCAGGCCTAGAACTTTCTGAGATGTCAGACGACGCCCTTTTCGTTAATTTGGGAATTGACAGCTTGATGTCTCTAGTTATCGCAGAAAAGCTCAGATCAGAGCTAGAAGTCAAGGTCAGCGGCAGCCTCTTCTTGGACTACGAGACTATTGGTGATTTACGGCAGTGGTTGGATGAGTATTATAGCTAGAATGGAGAGAATGACTATGGAGAAGATGGGATAACGACGCATAGTGTGTTTTTTTTATTGCGGTTTTTGTAAATTTTAATAAGGCCAGACTCTGCAATAAAGTTCAATTCAGCATAGTTCTAAACATCTACTCTTCTATTCATGTTTATCCAGTCTCGTCACCGGACTCTATTTTAGCGCCATGTCCCACCCCTGTATGAACTGGGCCTCCTCCTGCGTTAATGTAATCCCAAAATACTCCTGGAGTGCCAGCAACCGTCCATCCTCGGAATTAAACTCATGTACAACCCTTGTCTTCCCCCCTACATTAACCTTAACCAGGTTATTTACTAGCATTACCTTGCCGACAATGCTTATCTCTTGGTCATCTCCTTTCCTCCAGGCACCATCTCTAGAGAATTTAATGGGCTCACCCTCCCTTAGAAATCGAACCACTAACACAGTCCACCGATGGAGTGTCTTAGCGCTAGTCCACCAATTCTGAACCTCAAAATCCTCCTGAAAGAACTCGATCTCAGAAAAGCTGTAGAATGAGTTCCACTCCTTATCAGAACTGTTGCGATACTGGTACACCCACAACTTCGGCTCCCGAAGGCGCTGCTTAGGAATGTTTTCCTGTATGAGGCGTACCTCTTGGGTTCCTAGATTGCGAAGCGCAGATGCCATGCCATCCATAGGAAGAGGAGACGTCGGCCCGTCACCACCAAACGCGACGTCGGCGCTAAACTTGGAGCCGCAAGGGAGGTGGACGATGTTGTTAATGTGCGTCCTATTTCATTAACGCCATTCATACCCTCCTCTAGGAAACTTACCACCCCTGATATTCGCCCTGCGGCTTCCCGTCAGTCCGCGTCCGGTTGCGCACGCCCGTCATGTAGACGTGGAACCCAAGCCCGCGCAGCATGTGGTGGAAGAAGATGCTAAGTTCCATGCAGTAGCCGCCCCTGCCGTTATGATCCGGGCCCATCATTTTCGTAAACAGCACATCTGGCTGGATGTTGACCTGGTGGCTCTGGGAGTAGTGCACTGAGAGATTCTCGTAAGGAAAGGTTGTGATCTGGCATCGGAACAGCGACTGGAGGGATGTGGCTGTCTTAGGAAAGGCTGACGGAGAATCCACGTATTGGGTTAGGGATGAGGGGAGGGAGATGCGACCGAGCCAGGCGGCAACCTGAGGGGCGGAATAGGCAGATTCCTGAGGAGTAGAGTCTCTGAAGGCGTCCATGATAGTGTTGAAGAAGAGTTCGACGACTTGACAGCACTCATACTCACAGGCCTGACACACATGACTAACCTCTCCTTCTATCTTAGGGTGTTGGCTATCAAGACCATGTCGTGCTTAGATATGTCGTGCTTGGCCCGCGCATACCTACTTTACCGAATACCGAATGGTGGGGAGTATTTTCTGTAAGTGACCGCCTGCCAAATCGAGATTAATCTTATATATTATTGGCTTTTTTGTGGATGCGCTCGCTTGTAAAAGTATATTTCCCCGGGTTTTTCTACTGTGCCGGACTTTCGCAACCGTGCCGGACTTCCTGCACCATGAACCATGATATTGGATATGTCCGGAATCCCTGTACCACCGTGATTGGGCTATGATATTCTCAAAATGCCGGAATCCCTGTGCCGCCGCTGTCAGATTATGCTGCATTATTTATCGATTTTAGACTTTGCACCCGTATTCCGATTGGAATCCATCATTGGTGAATATAGGAAACGGATGTATGTGATGTGGACTTGATGGAGTATTTAAAGAGGGTGGTTCCCCCAGCCTATGCCTCGATATCCAACTCAATTTCGCATCATCCATCATTACAAGTCTAAGCAGTGCATTTAAACTGCAGATCTAAACAAAATCAATACTTCATCATGCTTGTTCTTATTGCCGGAATTACTGGAAGCCTTGGCAAGCGCCTTGCTGAAATTGCCATTGCACGAGGGCTGTCTGTCCGCGGTTTAGGCCGCAACCCCGACAGCCTTGGTCCTGAAATATCAGAACATCTGGAATCCTTTGTCAAAAGCGACTCATACTATGACATCCCAGCTCATGAGAAAGCCGTCGCCGGAGTCGATGCGGTGATCAATGCCTATTCTCCAATCCCTATGCTAGATCTCGACGGCCACCTTCTTCTCATTCGCGCCGCAGAGCGGGCCCAAATTAAGGTGTTCGTCGCTTCCTCCTGGAGCCGTGACTGGACCAATATCAAGTTCAATGATTTCGAGCATTACAACAACCATCTTGCTTTCGAGCATCAGATCGCGACGACCAGCACCATCCGCCCAGTCTACATACTTACTGGTATCTTCACAGACCTTCTATTCACGCCTTACGGGCCTGGAGGATTTGATACGAGCGGCGACAGGCCGCGCATGCGCTACTGGGGCAACGAGAACACCAAGAGCAAATGGCCTTGGAGCACCCAAGACGATGCCGCATCGCGCACAATTGATATTTTGCTCTATGGCGACGGCGTCCAAGCTGGGAAGGGCGGCTTTTTCAAAATTCGCTCTGGAGTGACGACCATCGAGGAGCTCGCGGTGGTATACGAGAAAGTCTTTGGGGTTAAAGTCGACGTTACTCGCGCGGGTAGCGTGGATGATCTCGAGAAGGAACTTGCTCGGCTGAGAGAGGAGAAGGGCAGGACTGGGTATGGTGAGTACATGGCTGAAGCTGCAGCATTGATTGCAAGCAAGGGATTGTGGGAAAACAGGGACCTCACTGTCCTGGACCAGTTTAAAAAATCCCCAACGCTCGAGGAACACTTCACGGAAGTGAAAAACAAGGCCTAATACGCCAGGGGGGTTATACTAGTTGGGAGTTAGGAGCAGACTAGATGCGGAACGTTCATGTTACTAGCCTACAGAATTAGAACTTGTTTACAATTATTTTTCCTATATTACATTCGTACTCAAATTATGGTACAGAGATATGTATTGTACATTCCATAGTGCACATAAATTACGGTAGAGTAGTCCGCAACTGCACCGTGATGTTATCTGGGAAGGCGAGGTATTGACCTCAATACTCACATGTTTCATCAGAAGGTCACCTCATATACTAACTGTTGCTACTATGACGTCTTAGGTCACAATATAGCTGGTGTGGTAGGATTAGATTCACGCCATTTCTGGAGCCCGATGAGACTATTTTCTAATTACAGAATAACCTCGAGCTTCGTATAGATTTTCCAGATAGATCTAGGGGCTCTTTGACGCTCAAGTTGCTATTTTGGCAGCACAATTATTTACTTTACTCTCATATATGAAACAATGTACTTCATTATTTTAGATCTTCATTATTTTAGATAGGCGCTCAAAATTATGTAGGCCAATCTACGTAAGTTAATTCCAAGCCTAGGTGGATCCCTAGTTTAGCCCCCGCTGTCATGATCTGACTTTCGGCCCAGACTTAATTTTGGCGCCGAATATGAATACTAGGCAGATAGATAGTCGATTTATGATAATAAATGGCGTGGTCTAGAACCCTAGCCTCTCATTAAGCAGTGCCAACAAGACACTAACATGGTTGAAACTAAGTTAAAGGCGTGCTTATGATAAATGCTGGTCTTATGGTTCGTTCTGGCTTTCTCAGGCACGCGCTATTGGAAAACATTCGACGGTGGTACGCGCGACCGCTCCTTCAACACGCACAATAGAGGGAGTATTTACGCTTGGGACCAAAAATCAAAAATCTGCCTTTTTCATCAATAACTACATATCACTATCAGGCAAATTTATCAACGGACTTGGATAAGACCGTGGGATACCTACCAGAGCCCGTCCGCATACGGTGTTGAGACATGAGCACCAACAGCATCAAGAAGGCAAGTAGCCGCAGCAACAGAGGCCCAAAATGGGACGATGTTAAAAAATGCGAAAGACTAGTTCCTGAAACGTCAAAAAAGCCAGAATCAGGATCTCTTCCCACATCGCAGAATGTGACCATCGATACCACGAACTCCCCTGGTTCTGAACATCCTGGTGTGGCCTCATCTGCCGTATCACCTCAAGCAAAACCGATTGTTACACCTTCTGCAGAAGACAGGGCAGTTTCAGAGGCAATAGACGCAATAGAGGACCTCACAACCGACTTTGACGCGACCAGCACTGAGGCAGGTCCCAGTAAGCGGACCCAAAAAGCCACCGAAAAGCGAAATAGGAAAACTCTTAAGTCAGACACTACTGCTGCAATTTCTCAAAAGAAAGTGTCTCAAACTCGATCTGTTAACGACAGTCCCAATAACAACTACCAAGGCTCGTTCCCAACCGATGATGCTTATGAGAATAGTCCTGCATCATCCGAGTCATCTCTATGGGGGGACGACCAGTCATGGAATACCCCAAACTACCTCAGCTTTGATCCAGCAAGGCTCTTGGTATATCAAATGAAACCACAGCGTAAAACAATGCGCCAGCGGCTTTCTTCCATAAAGCAGAAAGCCGTTGAGATTGCAACTGACGTGGATTGGGTGAAAGACGCCATGGCCAGCATGCGTATCAAAACCGGCGCGGAAAGTCCCAGAAATAAAGAGAAGAGTGCCAAAAACTCACGCAAGGATTCAAAGGACACATTTGATGTGATCTTAAGAGGTGGGTTCGGCGATATTTTGGGCTTGAACGGCGGAGGAAATGATATTTCTGGCTTTGGTGAAGGGAGCGATACCTGTGTGAGTATTCATGTCCATCTATTTACTCAACGCAGCGTTCATCTAACGATACAGTTATAGTGTGCTCAGCTTTCAGCCGGTTTGGGATCCTCAGTGGTTTTCAATTCAAGCAGCGCGTATGCCAAATCACAGAGTTCGTATTGGGCGTTGCAACAGTCAGAACTCATCCCAAGCTGCATTGTTGTGCCATCGACAGCCTCCGAGGTGTCAGACGCCATCTCCATCATTTCAACCATCGAATCATGCCACTTTGCAGTTAAAGGTGCAGGGCATGGAACTGTTGTTGGAGCTGCAAATATTGATGGAGGAGTCAAGTTTGATATGAGCCAGCTCAACGAAATCGAGACCAACTCAGAGGGAACTGTCGCCAGAATTGGAGCTGGAAGTCAATGGGGAGAGGTCTATGAGTATCTTGACAACAGAAGCCTTTCCGTTGCCGGCGGCCGGAACGGCGATGTTGGCGTAGCTGGTGTGCTCCTCGGAGGTTTGTAACGAATGAATTTAAAAATCTGCTGTTGCCGTGAATCCTTATCTGACTGTGAAAAGGTGGCATATCATTTTATGGCCCGCGAGTAGGCTGGGCAACCGATAATATCTTAAATGTCGAAGTAAGTTGGTATTTTTAAGTGATTCCTGTATCAAAGCTGATAGTTTCAGGTCGTGCTTGCCTCGGGAGAGATCGTCAACGCCAACGCCACTTCCAACCAAGACCTTCTGAAAGCTTTGAAGGGAGGAAACAGCAATTTTGGCATCGCAACATCATTTGATCTGCGCACATTTCCTCAGGGGGAAATGTGGATTGGTTATCTCGGCCAATCCATCAATAGTCGCGAGGAAGTTTTCCAAGCTATCAGCGATATTGCGTCGAATGCAAATGAGGACCCTTTTGCTGCCTTGGTGGGCGATTTCAAGTTTAATTCCGCCACCAAATCTTGGGTCATGAACCATACTGTGGCATACACAAAGCCAGTTGCCAATCCGCCAATCTTTCAGCCGTTGGTCAATATTAAGCCCCAATTGAGCAACAATATTGCAATCACAAACATCAGCTCTATTGCTCTGGGGCAGAAGATGGGCGCCAAAGTTGCGTACAATAAGTAAGTGAAAAGCAATTGAAGTAGATAACCCAAACTAACAAAAAACAGGAATCACCTGTCTTACACAGGCACATACGGCAACGATGCAGCACTTCTCTCCAAGATTTTTGACATTAGCAACGCCACCGTCCACAAGATTATGCCGCAGATCAATGGTGGCATCAAGTGGGTTACAATGATGGAGCCATTTCCAGCGCTTGTAGACAGTTTCGGAGAAAAGAATGGCGGAAACTCACTCGGACTAAGCGCTGACACTGGAGACCGTATTGGTAAGTCATCTATTGTGAGATATCAGCACATTGCTCACACCAACCAACCACAGTCATCCTACAATTGGCGCAATTCGAAGGCCACGGCGCGAACGACTTGGTCGACACGGAACTCCACAACATGTTCGATGAGATCGCGAGCGTGGCGTCGGAGATGGGACTCTTGCGCCGGTTCCGGTACTTAAATTATGCCGACAAGCAACAGAACCCTATCGCTTCATACGGGCCGGAGAATGTGGCGCAATTGCAAGCCACGAGCAAGAAATACGATCCACACGGGCTGTTCCAACGACAAGCGCCTGGCGGGTTTAAGCTTGGAATGCAGTAGTGATTTATTTATTGTAAGTTGATGGAATCAGGTTTGATAAATGGAGTTATTTACGGCGACGACTCGATTTCATCAAGGAGGCAGATAGTAAAGGGAAGTGATCGACGACAATCATGTTCCAAATACCACTCTACCTTTCCTCTCGGCCTGTCATAATTGTGTGAGGGACGGCTGCGTCACGATATACATCGGGATAATGGGGAAACATAAAGACGAGGGCCGTTTGACAGGAAATCTGGGGAATGGAAGAAAAGAAGCTTGGCTAGAAATCGCTGAGTGGAGGAATAATCCGATCCCGTTTCCCCGCCATTCACCGCCGTCATTCCTGCTGTTGGTTCGATATTTATTGGTGGATGGAACATCTTCAATCCGACCCCTGGATGATCTACTATATTTTGTTAACTTAAATATGTTTGCGCTGTTTGCTATGTTAATTTCAGACACTTCTTCACGACTCGACTCCTCCTGTGATCTACTAACCAACTCCCGGTCTTGGTTTTGATAGTGTGACATAAATTCATGGTGGAGAGCCAAGCATAGCTTTAAAGGACCCCGCAAGATGGAGAGGCTATGTCAAGAATGCGGGGATTTAGAGAGGAATGCTAAGACGGATAAATATATCAGGACAACAGAGCACTCTTGGAATAATAGAGATTCGTGATCAACGACGGCCGATCTGCTTGAAGGGTTCCGCCTCATCTTTATAAAGAGGGAACATGTCCAGCCTTTCTCTTCTCTCGTCGCTCGTTGCATCTCATCCCATTCCATATTTTGCCGTCCACCGCCGCAGACCTCGTCTCGCCTCATTTACTGATTAAAGCTTGGCGTATCTTCGAAAACATGAAGTTCACACTTGCCCTCGCGGCTAACTTTCTGGTCGGTGCGGCCGTTGCGGCCCCTGGTCCTGCCAAAGACTGTAAGGAGTCGTTTGGCCTTGAGGGATTCGCCAAGGAGAACCCGCTCGGCGTGACGACTGGTGGAAAGGGTGGGCCAACAACCACTGTCACAGCAGCTGCTGCGCTCGCAACCGCTGTCCTGGTAAGAAACATCTTCGACCAGCGTTCAATCCGTCTGGCAAGTATATCTGACTCGAGCAGGGCAAGAATCCTCTCACCGTTGTCATTAAGGGTGACTTTGACCTTCCTGCGCGCCTCCTGGTCGGCTCCAACAAGAGCCTTATTGGCCATGGCAAAGGTGCAACTATCACTGGCAAAGGTGTCACTATCAAAGCCGCGGATAATGTGATAATTCAGAACTTACACATCCACGATATCCTCGACGATGACTGCATTACGATTCACAGTTCAACCAGAGTCTGGATTGACCACAACGAGTTTTCCTCTGACATCGATGGCGGACCTGATAAATTTGTATGCTGAACTTCTTTGCCGTGTTATACCGCATTCCAATTGTCGATGGACAGGAAATTCGGTGGTTTGACGTTCTGAGCAAGGCTAACTGTTGCTTTACAGGATGGTCAGCTTGATATTATACACGCGTCAGACTTCATCACCGTGTCCTGGAACTACTTCCATGACCACTGGAAGGTAACTGCCCCTCTGAAAACTGACATTCGTTCTGTACCAACACTTTCTAGTCATCTCTCGTCGGCAACAGCGATGCCTACGGCGACGAGGACAGTGGACATCTCCGCGTGACATATCACCACAACCACTGGAACAACATGGGCACCCGCGGCAATGGTGTGTAGCCTGTTTCCTTTCCACCCTCCCGGTTTAGTGTTGACTAAAAATATCCGCAGCGGGTCGATTCGGACACCAGCATCTGTACAACAACTTCTACAATGACTTCCATTACCAGGCCATCCACTCCCGCTCCAACAACCAGGTCCTTGTCGAGGGCAACGTCTTCCGTGGCGACACCCCCGAGGCACTGAGCACCTACGGTCTTGTCATCCCAATGGACTCCCCGAACACCTCGCCTGATGGCGATTATGAGATTGATGGATTTGCCAACCTTGGCGCCAGTAAGACTTGCTCTCATCTTATCTGCTGTAAACTCAGGCTAATACCAAAAATAGAGAACGACTTCGGCAGATCGGGCGTGAATATTACTCAGAAGGGAAACTTCACTAAGGCTCCGTATAAGTACAAGCTGACACCGCTGAAATCTGTCGAGGGATTGGTTAAACAGGGTGCTGGGCGTGGAAAGATTTGAGTGTTTGCCGTTTCCCACAGTTGCAATGCAAGTACGTAGGTGAGAAGATGGCTAGGAAGTTAGCTAGCAATACATAGCAAATAATGAAAAAGATACTTAATACCAATACTTGTGCCAGCCTCCAGCAGCCAAGACGGGACTCGGCGACTTTCTGCAGACTCTATAGGTCCCTCCTCCTTTACCCCTCCCTTGCTACAAGGCCCTTGACTATATGGTTAATGATCCATAACCGACAAAAAAGGAAGGACAGTAGATCAGCAAAACATGAAGTACAGCACCCTTCTTCTTTACTCTAACTTTACTATAAGGCCCCTTGACTATATGGTTAATGATATCCATAACTGACAAAAAGGAAGGACGATAGAGCAACAAGATATGAAGAACAGCGCACTATCCCACTTCCATCACTAGCTTCGGACATCGTACCTCGTTCCTCGCACCTGCATCGTACCTGCCTTTCCCGTCCATCCGGAACAACAAGCGTCCCGGATGATCTTGGCAAATCGCGTTAGAGTGTTCGATAGCCCCACGTGTCACGCCGACCCGCCCTTTACCGTGCTTAGAGCAAGTAAGCCCGCCATAATCCATCGCAGCTCATCTTAAATAATTCTCACTTTGGCGTCTTCGACGCCTTAGACGGCGAGAACCACACAGAAACTCCTTCTAGAGCAACTTTAGCTGGAATAGCCTCCAACTATCGACTGAATACCAAGCAAAACTAAGCAAAATTATACAAAATGTGACAGCAGACATCACAATTCGGCATAGTGCCGCCATTACGCCCCATGATGTCTTGTTTTCGCCGAGTAAGAACCCGCATTAGCTTGTTCCCTGTGGTTATCAAGATCGACACGTGGGGTACTTTCAACATCTTCCACGGCTTCGACGGCTTCGATAATTTGCGCCTCGATCTGAAGCCTGCTTCTTCGAATTCCATAAGTATGCCCGATATGCCCGCTATGTCTCCTTTGGCTTTTCTCTCCGCTGCAAGAGCGCCCATCCTTCCTTGCTTTTGCTCCCTCGTTCGGCGCATTTCCCAATCACAAGATGGTTCCTTCGACCGTGTTCCTACTGGCCTCGCTCGTGCCGATCGCAGCTGCGGTTAAGCACGTCGAGAAGCCAACCGTCTTTGTTTATGTCTGCGGGGATGAAACATCGACTAGCTTCCCCGGCGATCATGCCTCAACGAGAAGACCTGCGTTATCTTCCAGCGGCGTTGCCAGTGGTGTCGATAGCACCACCGCGCCCGGCTCGTTCCTGACCAGCACCACGATCGGCGATGCGACCAGCACATCTATAAGTATAGAGCTGTCGACTGAATCAGCTTCGCCAACTGATTCGGCTTCGTCGACTGATTCGGATTCGTCAACTGATTCGGCTTCGTCAACTGATTCGGACTCGTCAACTATTGTCGAGACTCCCACCAGCAGTGTTATCACCACTACCGGCAGCACCGTCTCCTCCACGTCCGAAGCACCAACGAGCTCCGCGACCACCCTCCCTCCCACTCCAATGAGTTGCGCCAACGCGCAGCTGAGCTGCCACAACACGACCGCTGTTGCCGACCTCTGCTGCTTCAATGCTCCCGGAGGACAGCTGCTCCTGACCCAGTTCTGGGACACTGCCCCCAGCACCGGTAATTATTAGCCTGGTCTCCTGTCCTCAGTAACGCCTGCTGACACCCCCAGGTCCTGCTGATGCGTGGACCATCCACGGCCTCTGGCCTGATCGTTGCGACGGCACCTACGATGCCAACTGTGATGCGTCGCGCGAATACACAAACATCACTGCTATCCTGAACTCGTTCGGCAAGACGGACCTGCTCACTTACATGGACACCAACTGGAAGGATTACCAGGGCAATGACGAGAGTTTCTGGGAGCACGAGTGGGGCAAGCACGGAACTTGCATCAGCACTCTCGATACGACGTGCTATGACAACTACAAGCCCCAAACCGAGGTTGTGGATTACTTTGAGAAGGCCGTCGAGCTTAACAAGGGATTGAACAGCTACAAGGTAAGCAGAACTCAGAAAAACGCAATACGCTTGTTCTAAATACCGTTACAGATTCTCGCCGACGCTGGCATTACTCCATCTCAAACTGCCACCTACACGCTTATCCAGATCCAGAACGCACTCAAGGCTGCCCACGGATTCGTCCCAACACTGGGATGCAAGAGCGGCGTTCTGCAGGAGATCTGGTACCACTACAACGTTCTCGGCAGTGTTCAAACCGGCCAATTCGTCCCAACTGAGCCAGGTACTGCCCCATCTTCCAACAACCCCCGATCCTTTTCCATTCGCGGACACTAACAAGACACCAGATGGAACCAAGTCCACCTGCCCCGCCACCGGCGTCAAGTACCTCGTCAAGTACGCCACTGGCACCCCTTCTGGCACCGCGACCGCACCAGCCCCAACTGGAACTGGTGCTCCTTTCTCTGGCAAGGGTTTCCTCCAGGCCTACACCAGCGGATCTAACAAGGGCTGCCTGATCGGCGCTGGCACCTGGTACACCACTGGCACATGTGCTGGATACACCGCCACTGAATCTGGCGCCGGATTTACGCTCAAGTCCAGCAAGGGAGACTGCGGTATTGTTGACAGCGTGTTCACATGCGCGGCTGGCGTTACACCGTCGGTTTTCACTGTATGTTATCACTCTTGTTGGCCTATTGATCTCTAGCGATACTCTGTACTGACATATTCATAGGATTCTGCTGGTCTTTTGGCCTACGAGGGATCTTCTAACTTCTACACCACTGCTGTCCCATCTGGGTCCGTGCAAGGAAAGGTTACCACCGCCCAGCAAGCTGTTCTTGTGACTTTCAAGTGGCAGAGCACTTAAGCACTGTAGCAGTGTCTGTACGCAAAAACCATGGGGTGGGGGGATAGTGGATAGTTAATAATTGATATATTGTACAAGTTATCCTATTGTTTCGATTGCCATAAAACTTTCGAGAAGATAGTTCTGTATTTATCTCCCATATTGGTATCTTCTGTTTGTCAATGTCGATTCACATAATCCATGTGTAAACCCGCGATACCCTCTTCATCTGAGCTTCATGCTCAACTGCGAATCCTCGAAATCGATGGGATTCACGAGGTTATGCAACCCTAGAAGATTCATCCAACTCGATCTAGAGTACAGCCTCGTTGAATTGGTAACATGAAGTCCACAAGGCTGGGGATGGTAGTTAACTTACAGTGAGATTCCACTAAAAACGGTTAGGCTCGTGGCTAGGATGCATGTGCACAGCCTCTTCAAACAACAAGGCTGTAATCTACGAACTTCACAGGCAGGCATTTTAAATAAGCCGCACAGAGGCTACCAGAAAATATGTTCGAGATGTTTGCGCTGCCGACCAAGGTATCTTAGTCTTTCCCAGGGTTATCAGGCCTCTTCTGCAACTAACATTCCGGTTCTTTTTGGTAGATACTATGCTCTTATAATGACTTGTATTTTTTACCGCAAGGTCATGTGGTTGAATAACGCCTGTATGGCTGCTGTATGGCTTTTCCCGGCTGTTACTGCTCTGCATGCAATTATCATAGCTTCTGTACATGTAAATGGTAAGTCTTTATACAAAACGGATATCTCTCCTAAGCTGACATGTATATCCGATAGGTGCTGTAGATATGGACATCTACGGATCTTTCCAAATATGTTTAACGGGAGTCTTGAGCGCCCCGGTAACGTTCAGGCTGTCCCGGATATTCTATAATCGTAGTCCTGGTCGGAATACCATCTTGTTATGGACTGCTCTTGTTCTTGGCGGTAAGTGTCGCCCTTTAAAAGTTGAGAATAGCAAAATAACAAAACCCTTCTCTACAGGAATTCTAAGCCTACTAGTTGAATTCCTCCGCGCCCAATTCTCCCCCTGCGCACAAACCGACTCCGAACCCCCCATTTCCCCAGACCCCTCAAAATTCCCCTACAACACCACCTGCAACCTCACCTGCTCCGTACAAGACGGCCCATTCTCCCCCCTACGAGAAGGCTCCGGAAACAACATCTATGTCATCCCTGCTCCCAACAAACTTACTTTCGGCACAGCCACGCTCTTTGCAGCTGCTGGCTGCGTCCAGGTCATCTTATCGCTTATGTCTATGTGGAGAAGCACGCTGGAGTTGAATTGGCAGGAACGCTTTGGTGGGAAAGAGGAGGAGGTTGAGGGCGCGCGTGTGGATGAGAGTACGGGGGAGATCGATAAATACACTAAGATATTTCTAAGGGCGATTTCTCTGCCGCTTTTTATTGCGGCGCTGCTGGCGGTTATCGAGAAATTGCAGCCACAACGAAGTGGAAGAAGTTCCACCTTCACCGGCCTAGATATCTCAATAGCATACCACACACAGCATCGGAGATAAAATACATCATATCATATAATACGTATCCTATCTACAACAATCTCCACAGAATTGCCACCACCACATCTCCATCGAAATGTTACAAACTGTCTCCTCCCCACACCTTCTCTCCATTGCGGAAAATATCCCCTGCATTGATTACATGTATATCCCTCCCAAAGCGCCATATCTAGACCCGGTAAATCGCCTCGGTTTCCCTGGAATGTAAAAAAAGAACCCATCCCATATTTACACGTCCGCAGCCGGTTGATCTACATCCTGCAGCACCTGGTCCACGCCATCTGGGATACTAGCTTCTTCAGCCTCCTTCGCTGCCGCTTTCTTCACTGCTGCATCCTTCACATCGTCCCTCACAACATCTTGCACGCCGTCCTGCACAGTGTCCTTCACGACATCGCCATCCTCCCCAACCTTCTCATCAACATCCATCTCCCCCTCCGGCTCCACACGCCGAATCTCCTCAACCCTCTTCAGCGGCTCCTTCCACCAACTCCCCATCCCCAACCCCACAATCCCCTGCGCAGGCGTAGGATCCCCACGCACAAAGCTCTCAGCAATCCCATCCTTATTCCTCGCAACCTCATCATGGTGCCCATTTCCCACCTGCAGCAGCGCCGCCCACGCTGACTCCCGCTCCAGGTCGTCCTCGCGCAGCTGACTATCAATCCGCAGCCTGCGCGCGCTACCTCGAGTCTCCTTCGCCGTGTCCACCCCGCTCACGAACTTGACGCTCATGATTTGGAAGGAGAGCCCATCATGCGTGTTCGCCCAGGCACGTGATCGGATGCCCCAGCGCGTGGTGCTGGAGTACTTCTCGAGTGCAGGCAGGACGAGGATGGTGACGTGGAGGTCCTTGGATGGTGGTGGGAGCATAGGGCCTCGGGCGGGGGGCGCGGTAAGCGTTATGTCCCCGTTCTTCGAAGTTGCCGTGGAATTGTCCTCGGCGGAATCGTCGATGACAAGATCAAGGACAGAGATGTCCACGTCGTCGGACCACTCGCCTCGGATCCACCCGCCGTGAATGCACGCAGCGACAACGTCGGTGTCGTCGGTGTAGATGTCGGTTCCCCAAACGCTTCTTCGTGCTGTTATCTCCTCGCGGCTTGCCGGTTCGAGGTATACGCGTGGAACCCTGACGGTGAGGGTGCAGTTTTCGCTTCCCTCCATCTTGGGCAATGGCTCTGGGTTGCTATTGAATGCGCGACGACGTTGGTGGTTGTGTATCACTGACGGCGGATCTCCGGGCTGCAGGACTGTCGAGTACGTGAAATGTCCAAGGTGCTTCCTCGGCAAATGCGCCACAGAGTCGAGCACGGCATTGGATTTGACAACCGTCTTGGGCTTTGGCATGATGATTTGGGGGGCGGGTTTCGGGTGCGGGCTACCGTGGTGGTGGTGATGATGGTGGCGGTTAATGTGATGATGATGAGGAACAATTTTCGGCGGAGGCGATGGTGCTGCTCCGTGACCAGGATGGCCGAATGTCGGGGTCAAACTTGGGCCCGTAGGCGACGAAAGTTGGGCGACAGGTTCCGGTCGTTGATTTTCGGAGCTGTATACCATATTAGCATTTGTTAAAAAAAAGGATACGGAGAAGGGTAGGTTGACTTACTGTCGATGTGGAGCACCTGCGGAATGTTGGTGTTTCGGTCGCTTCGTGCCACGACCACTTGGAGTATGTCTTCCGGTGCTGCTATCATCGCCATCTTTGCCCTCGCCCGTTTGAAGCTTGCGCCTCCTTCCTCCTCGTGACGAAGACCGAGCAATCTTATGGCCGTTTTCAGTTGGCGAGTCTTGCGCAGCAACCCCATCCAAATCGTCTCGTCTGAGCTGGGCAGGTTGTGAAAACGGAGTCTGCGAGCCGCCACTGGCGTTGCTTGTGCTTCCCAGGCCACCAACACCGCTCCCGATCCCCGAGAACATTTTCCCAAACTCGCTCTTGATGCCAGGCTCGCCAGCTGGACCATTTACCAGCCCCTGCACACCTTGAACGGCCTGGGGGAATGGAGAGTTCCGGCCCTTCCTATTAATCTCTTGCTGAATGCCCAGGTATACACCGCGCTGCATTTGCTGGGATTCTTCGTTTGATCTTGACCGGGGTGATTCATTCGATCGAAATGGTCCAGGTGGTTGTCCGGAATATTGCTGATGGGGTCCTACAGGTCCTCCGATTCTCTCGCGCTCTTGTACCGGGCTGCCGTATTGTTGCCCCGGCTGTGGCTGTTGGCTTGGCTGATTCTGTGGCTGGGTGTCCCTGTAATCCCTTGATGAATACCTTTGGTCTTGCCTTTGGTCTTGTCTTTGGTCTTGGGGTCCGTATCCAGAAGTTCCGCCGTAAGGTTGCGACGTATTTCTTGGGAATTCATACCCCATGCCACCAGAAGCTTGCTGGGGGGCTGGTTCGCGAGGTTGTTCCTCTGGTCTTCCTCTCGCCCAGGGACCTTGCTCGGTCTCTGGACGTCCAACGAATGCGCCCTGTTGAGCAGGTCCATACTGGCGGCCATACTGAGGGCCTTCTTGCCTTCCAAATTGTGCCGATTCTCTGTTATGATTCATGCGCTCTCTTTCGCGATCTCGCATTATGTCCCTCTCCCTATCCATGCGCTCCCGTTCGCGCGCGAGCTCTCGCTCTCGGTCCTTCTCCCTGTCGCGCTCACGTTCTCGCTCACGATACTCTCGGTCGCGCACATCTCTTTCGCGTTCTCGTTCACGTTCGCGGTCACGCTCGCGCTCACGCTCACGCTCTCTGATGTCACGCTGCTCCCGTTCCCGTTCCATGTCCCTCATCATTATAGCTTCCTCTATCCTGGCTTGTTCGCGGAAGGCGGGTATATCCTCCCTGCTGCCATAACCGATACCTCTAGGCGCATACCCAGCCTGCGGCCTCCCGTTTTCCGACCGTACAGATTCCGGCATAGATGCCTCGCGTTCCCTGACGGGTTGGTTGTATAGTGCTGGCTGGCTGGTTGGTCGGGGGGGAGGCGCATTCGGATTTGGCACGCGGACAGGATATTGCTCGCGTCTTTCTTCGGTCGGACCAGGCTGGTTTGGCATGTTTCGCTGGGGGGCGGCTTGAGGTGTGTTATAGCGATTCGATTCGGGGCTTGGGATGTTCGGGACCCTCTGGGGGCTGCCGGCAGAAACAGCCCGATGGCCATGGTGCAACTGTGATTCGGGCAAGTGATGGTGTTCGGGCGTCTCTGGGCGTCGGAATCTGCCATAGTCGGGACCTGCTGTCGATTGTCTGGGCGAAGGATGTGTGGGAGGCGCGTATGGTGTACTTGGACCTGACGGCGCCCCTGACGGCATCATCGCTTGTGGAGCTGGGTATTGAGACGGAGGAGGGCCCGATTCGCGGCCAGCAGCTGAAGGACCACCTAGCATTGATGATATAGACATGCTGCTGCTATTGACACTGTTCGGTCGATGTATTGACGACAGCGCCGGCAGATCCCGATTCGTGGGGAAGGCCGCAGGAGGCCCAATAGCTGGCGCTGGCTGCCTCGACGGCGGCGGCGGTGGCGGTGGGTATGCTTGTGGATGTGGTCCCTGGGGATGAGGTGCTTGTTGACTCTGTTGTTGTGGTGAGGAGGGTGGTGGCATATTCCGAATCAGCGGTGTCCCGTGGCCGATGGATGACGCGCTCGCGGTTCGGGAGTGCGTCGAGGTATTCGGGATGGGAGCAGCGTCGCGAGGATAGGTCGGCGGCGCGTGTTGGAAGTATGTGTTCTCCGAAGTCCTTCGCTGGTGCTCTGGTCGGAAAGGAGGCGCGTTTCGAGGATCGGCACCCGGTGAGTAGGGCGGTGCCTGGGTGGAGGGTGGTGGCTGCTGAAAGGTGGTATGGGGAGTGTATGGCGAGGCAGCATTCCGCGAGAACGGATGCTGAGGAAGTCGAGGGTCCATTGTCGAGTGGTGATGACCGGACTGTTAGGAGGAAAATAGTGTGAAATGGGGAGATGCTGTTCTGTCTTGTTGGTTAAGGTTTCGGCCGGTCTTTGAGCGGCGGGCCCTTGCTCAAGACAAATCGAGTCAAGCTCCAGAAACTAGTCGGACATGGACATGGACATGGACATGGACATATTTACGCTGGAGTTGTTTGAGATCGCTTGGAGCAGAAGACGCACGATGCGCAAGAAGAGAAGAAGAAAGCGACAGCGACGATGACGATGACGACGATAATAGCGACGGCGACGACGTGGTCATGAAGTGTGTAGTGTGTCTGGGTTGAGGTTGTCGATCTGAAGAGAGAGAGAGAGAGAGAGAGAGGAAGTGAAGGGAAGGGAAGCTTCTGTTTGGCTGGTGTTTAGTTGGGGCGGAAGGTGTGGCTACGACAGAAAGAGGGTGGGAAGGGAAAGGTGGACAAGCTACTGGGGAAGTACGTCGGGGTTATGGAAGAATACTTTGTGAGCAGTGCAGAATTAGCTGTGACGAATAAGTACTCTAGCACGGCTGCAAAGTACCAAGGTCGCTACTGACACGCGCTTTTGCGCTTTTTCCATCGCCGCTAGCGCCGTTTCTGCGCCAAATCGGCTAAATCTGACCAAAACGGCCTAAGTCAGCTAAATAAGCCAAGTAAGACACGCTAAACCGTGTTTGGCATTCCCCAATCCCTGGTGATGCCTGCATTAGCGTGTCGGGTCGGAGATACATATTCCCCGTATTCCCTGTTTCCCCGTCTCTCCGCTCTCTCTCCAAACAAGGTACGTACCTCTCAGTGTGAACCCCATGCTCTCTCTCTCTCTCTTATCTATCTTCACTATCTATCTTCACTATCACCACACAAGACAACTCTTGGGATTCTTGACTCTTGACCTATCTCAACCTCATAGTCTCCTCTGTACCGCCTCATTTTGACAGCTGTGTCTGTGTCAGCTATGGGTATAGGCGCAGCGTAGCAGTATACAATACATGGCTTGAATCCTACCCTCGCAACACCTACGCAAACACACCATCCAGGTACCAGGCTCATGGCCGTTTCATCCCCTCGTCATCGGCATCATCGTGCGAAGTCATCTCTCCACTGGAACAGTTGAAAGCGAAAACAGGATTGGACCCTCATCTCATACTCTTGCAATGACCACGTTGTCACGGTCGTCCTCCCAGATGAGGCTTCCCATGCCTGGCTCGGCCGGCGCATCTTGGGCAGCCTATCGCGCCCGCTTCAAGGCAGTCTTCAACGGCGCTGATCCGGCAGTGCTGGTTGCCTTCTGGCTATTTGGTACAGCCCTTTCCCAAAATCCCCGAGGCAACTATACCAGTCACTAACATTCTCCCCAGGACTCATAAATAATGTCATATATGTCATCATCCTCTCCGCCGCCCTCGACCTCGTCGGCCCCAACATCCCCAAGGGCGTCGTCCTCCTCGCCGATGTCATGCCCTCCTTCCTCACGAAACTCGTCGCTCCATACTTCATCCACAGGGTGCCGTACAGCGTGCGCATACTCAGCTTCGTGTTGTTATCATCGAGCGGCATGCTTCTTATCGCCCTGACACCACCAACCGCAGACGGTGGGTCTGTCACGATCAAGATGATCGGGGTCATAATATCAAGTCTCAGCAGCGGCGGCGGAGAACTGAGCTTCTTGGGTCTCACTCACTACTACGGACCCTTCAGCTTGGCTGCCTGGGGTAGTGGGACTGGAGGGGCTGGCCTAGTCGGTGCTGGCCTCTATGTGCTCCTCACCACTACGATAGGGTTCACTGTGCAGAACAGCCTGCTCGCCTCTGCCTTCCTACCCCTCATCATGGCCATCAGCTTCTTCCTCATTTTGCCCCAAGGACCACTCAAGTTCGCGAGGCAAAAGAAGGAATACCGAACTGTCCCGGGCGACGAGGGAGCTGACGACGAAGACTTGCCAACAGAGAGTCTTCTTCGGGATACCACCGGGAGTACTGGCCTCCTTGACAGCACACCTGTCAGCGCCCCAACATTCCGCCAGAACCTCCGACGAGCGAAGTCGTTGTTCTTCCCATACATGCTTCCTCTCCTCCTCGTATACATCGCCGAATACTCCATCAACCAGGGCGTAGCACCCACCCTGCTCTTCCCGCTCCCGTCCACTCCCTTCACAGACTTCCGATCCTTCTACCCGTTTTATAATTTCCTCTACCAAATCGGCGTCTTCATCGCCCGCTCCTCAACACCATTCATTCGCATCCGTGCGCTCTACCTCCCGTCCATGCTCCAGGTCGTCAACCTGATGGTTCTCATCTCGCACGCCATGTATAACTGGATCCCGAGCGTTTATCTCGTCTTCATGATTATATTCTGGGAAGGGCTACTTGGTGGGGCAGTATATGTCAATACCTTCGCAGATATATTAGAAGAAGTCCCAGAAGAGGACAGAGAGTTCAGCCTGGGGGCTACCAGTGTCAGCGACTCGGGTGGTATCTGTATAGCTGGGTTTATTGGAATGGCACTGGAAGTGTCTTTGTGCAACTGGCAGGTTAACAGAGGGCGGACATTCTGTAAACAGTTATAATTTAGCTACGTAGACGTATTATGAAATCTATAGACTTGAATCCCAGTCTTTTCCTCAACTTTTCCAACTTATCCAACTTCCCCATCTTCTGGTACGCCACACCTGTGGCGCTCCATCACAGATTCATGCCAAACTGTGGCTTAACACCACCATCCCCAGACAAAGAGCACTTTGTCGTCACGTGAAGTTGCCGTGCCATTTATGATGCCTAATATTTCCGGTAGAAATACCTCCATGTACCACCGCGTCTCCTATTATTGACGCGACGACCCTGAATATAAGACCCTCAAAGAAACTCCACGCCAACAAGCCAACGACGCCAACAACGCCAACAACCCCAAATTTTGATGCGGCCCCAGTAATCTCCAGCCCTTGGGCTTCCAACCTACCAAAAAAATGGCCACCCACGACCTCGCCATCGGCCAGACCGTCGAGCTCGCAGACGGCAGAATCGGCATCATCCGCTACGTAGGCTTCCCGCACTTCGCAGCCGGCGAATGGGTCGGCGTCGAGCTCGAAGATGATACGGGGAAGAACGATGGCAGTGTGCAGGGGGAACGCTACTTCGACTGCGATATGGGGAGGGGCATGTTCGTGAGGCCGCAGGCTGCGAATGTTTTGGAGCAGGCCCCCCCTCCGCCGCCGCCGAAATCTGCTCCGGTGCCGAAGAGGACGAGTAGGCCGTCGAGTGTGGTGGTGCCGCCGGCGAGGAGGGTGGGGAGCGTGAGTGACCCGGCGGCGGGGAAACGGATGAGCATGAATGCGTCGAGCCCAAGTCCGGCTGCGAGGTTGGGCAGGCCGAACAGTATACTGAGGGTTTGTTGGTCTTTGTCATTCTCCTTGATCATGCCGCTTACAAGAGTATTATAGTCTCCGACTAAATCACCGACAAAACAGCTCGCTTCAGGTGCCACATCTGGAGCGTCAACGCCGAGAACTACAACCCCATCCATAGGCTCCAGGCCAACACCGGGATCCGTGAAACCACGACAGAGCTTAGCAGGCCCAGGGAATCGAACATCTATGGGCCCGCCGCCTATACCAACACCGAGAACCTCGAGACAGTCTATATCCGCAGCACCAGGATCAAGACTAGCATCTGGCGCTGGTCGGGTAGCTGCTGGTCGGCCGCCCTCGCTCGCTGTTCCTGATAGGCATCAGAGCATCTCCCAGAGATTAGGCTCTGGAGGCAGCCAAGTGAGCAGCGGGCAGGGAAGCGACAGTGGTCGGCAGGGAGAGGATAATGATTATTCATCAGGATCTGATGCTCGATCGCAAGCGCTCTCGCCAACATCCACATCATCGAAAGCAATAAGTCCCGTGCTGACACGGACCTCTGCTGCTTCGAAGCCAGCCGCCGCAAGCCCTACTACCACTGTTCGGAGCAATGCTTCACAGGTCACCTCGCGAAGCACGGCTGGAAACTCGGCAGCTACGAACCGCGAAATCGAGGATCTAAAGACGAAGTTACGATTGATGGAGAAGAAGCGCATGGAGGATCGAGATAAGATCAAAGCGCTCGACAAGATCCAAGCTGAGCGTGACAAATTCGAAGGCATCATTCAGAAATTACAGTCCAAGTACCAGCCACAGCAGCAAGAACTTACCGACCTACGAAAGGAATTGAAAGAGGCGGCTGCCAAGTTCGAGGACATCGAGAATTCACAGGCTGATCACGATGTCGTCCTCGAAATGGCTACTCTTGATAGGGAAATGGCTGAGGAGACTGCTGAGGTCCTAAAGCACGAGCTAGAGGCTCTGAAGATGAAGGCCGAGGAGCTTGAGCTTGAAGTCGAGGTGCTGAAGGAGGAGAACGCAGAGTTAGGAGGGGAGATGAGTGAGGAAGATAAAGCGAGTCAGGGCTGGATTGCCATGGAGAGGAATAACGAGCGATTGAGGGAAGCTCTGCTCAGGCTCAGAGATATAACTCAGGAGCAGGAGGCTGAGCTGAAGGACCAGATTAAACTGCTAGAGGAGGATGTACGAGACCTTTCGGGCGTCAAGGAACATTACGAATCGGCCAAGGCGAAATTGGCACAGTCTGAGGCTACGGTTGAGGACTTAAGGCAGCAGCTCGACAACGCGCTCGGGGCGGAAGATATGATTGAAGATCTCACTGAGCGGAATATGAGTATGAGCGAACAGATTGAGGAGATGAAGGTCACCATCGAAGATCTGGAGAGCCTGAAGGAGCTGAACGACGAGCTGGAGGTCAACCATGTAGAGACCGAAAAGGAGCTTCAGGAAGATCTCGACTTCAAGGATACGGTTATCAACGAGCAAGCGAGGAGAGCTGCAGAGCAGCAAGACGCGCTTGGGGATATGGAATACACTCTCTCCAGGTTCCGAGAGCTTGTCACCAGCCTTCAGAGCGATTTGGACGATATGAAGGCTTCTCATGCCCTTACTGAGACCGAATCAGAGCAGCTGAACAGTCGCTCGAGGGCGATGATGGATCTTAACTTGAAGCTCCAGGTCTCGGCTTCAAAGACTCAAATGAAGACCATCGAACTTGAACTTAGACGCCTCGATGCGCAAGAAGCATCGGATCATCTCGCAATTGTTCAGCTATTCCTTCCAGATGGATACCAGACAGAGAAGGACTCGGTCTTGGCTCTGCTTCGCTTCAAGCGTGTCGGCTACAAGGCGAACCTCCTCCATGGATTCGTCAAGGAAAGAATCGGCAGCCATCACCGTGGCCACGAAGACGATATCTTCGCTGCCTGCGATGTCCTTGACAAGCTTGTCTGGGTTACGGCTATGTGCGAACGCTTCGTCAATGCGATCAGCCACTGCTCAACTGAGCAATTCGCAAAGTACGAAGGAGCTCTGTACGAGTTGGAGCCTGTTGAGCGCGCACTGAACGCCTGGATCGATGGCCTGAGACGCGACGAGCTCAAGGAGAGGCAGTGCGCCAGCGACCTCCAGCGTACTATTGCATTGATGTCTCATCTGGCTGAAATCCACATCTCGGATGGGCTGGAAAGCTACGCTCACGATGTGCACATGCGCGCACTCGTCATTCAGAGCCACCTCGATAACACAGCTACTGCCCTGTCGAGCGCTAGAGCCCTGGTGCAATCTCACATCACAGCAACTGGCGAGGAAGATGAACTCGCACAACACTTTACGCGCAAGACGGATGCGATTATCAACAGCACGCGAAGCGCCAAGGTCATTGTCAGCAAAGCCGTACGGTCGCTTGAGGACCTCAAATCACGTTCCCTGTCCCTCACACCAGACACTATCCAGAACTTCGAGCAATGCGAGACCGCAACGGAGGAGCTTGCACTCTTCTCTCGCCACATCGGCATGGACCTCTTCACGCTACTTTCCGAAGAAGGCCGCGCCGAGCCATTCACCTACACCGAGGTACAAAGCTCCATCCACCGCACCACCACAGCTATTTTCCAATCCAGCGAAAGCGACATATTCTCCACCTACGCCAACAAAATCCGCGCCGCAACAACTCACATCACCGACCTCGCAGCCCTCGCCAGCGACCTCGAGATGACGCAGGAATTCGAAAGCGCCCCCGCGCCATGGATAATCCGCAGCAAGGAGCTCAGCTCCAGCGGCACCATCCCCGTCGACGCGGAAGAAGAGCTCCGCCGCCTTCGCGAAGACAACCACGAGCGCGCGCGCACCGTCGCCCTGCGCGATCAGACACTCGAGGAATCAAGCGTTAAGATCGAGCTTCTCGAGTCGCGCATGCGTGACGCCACGAAGAAGAACGAACGTATCACCCAACTAGAGACTAAGATCGAAGAAGCTAAGAAGCGCGAGACGGAGCTGGCTGAGAGCCTCGAGGCTCAATCCAAGGAACTCGTGGCTATGGAGCAGGATCGCGAGAGGTGGCGCAAGGTGGCGGGTGAGAACAAGATCGTGGAAGAGGCAGATCCGGCGACGAAGGCGGGTAAGGAACGCGCGGTCGCGACGGCGAGGGAGATGGACGCGCTGAAGGGCGAGATCGAGGCGCTGCAGGCTGCTGTGCGCTACCTCCGTGAGGACGCGAGGAGGGTCAAGCTATCGACCGTGCAGCCTGGGAACCTGGACTGGCTGAACGAGCCACTCGTCAAGCCCAAGACCGCAGAGGCGCACAGGAAGGAGCTCGTCCAGACAGAAGGCGCGGACGTGCTGTTCGAGCTCGTCAACCTAGCAGCGGAGAGTAAAGTCTTCGACCTCTCCACGCTCCCAGAGAACAGACTCGCATGGCGCTCAGCGAGAAGCACGCCACAATGGCACGTCGCCCGACAGCGCGAGGAATGGGAATCCTGGAAGGGGTGGAACGAGAGCACGACCAAGAAAGCTAAGGCGCTGGAGCCGAGGAGGATCGTGCGGAGTAAGAGGGGCCTTCAGATCGCGAGGGTTGATCTGAGGCTGCCGACGCTGGAGGCGAAGGGCGTTTACGGAGGGGAGGTGGAGATTGTGGATCCGGGGCTGTTTGAGGGGTTCAAGGAGAACTGGGGGATTGTATGATGGGGAGGGGGAGCTAGGATGTGCGAGTTGAGCGTTTATACCCACTGGCATGGTTGTAGGATGTAGCATGAATGGAAGACTTTACCTTTACGTGTGTGTGCAGTGAGCAGGTCTTGTTGTTTTACTTCGTCTCAGTATACTTCTGAGGGGATTCTCGTGTGAAGTTTAGTTCAGCCTTACTGTTTCGTTGCTTACGGGTTGGTTGATATGTGCGGCGAGATGCACCCATGGCGGATTTATGTGGTTCTAGACCAATGGAACGGTCAGAATTGGAGATTGTTAGAAAAGCATTATAAATATTTAGATAATGTGGATTTGGCCTTTCCAATGAGAGTTTTGCCCGAAGCGCATACGGAAATGTCTGAGCGTTTGTTTATTTGGAGTAGGTAGCTACTCGGCGCCGAAAGCGATGATATCGTCCGTGAAGCAATCAAGGATATTTGGAAGGGCGTAAGTTAATTAAAAAATATAATATTCTGACCAACTGCTCTGCATTGTCCTAATGATGATGATCTGAGCTTGTATGAGGTCTTCCATAGTAACTACATCGTCGCCAAAAGTGTTTATGCCGTCCGTGAAGCCATTAAGGATGTTTCGTATATGCGTAATTTAATTAAAAATATAATATTATGACTAACCTAACTGCTCTGCACGCACAGTCCCAACGATGAGTCGGAACCTATATGAGGTCTTTTGTAGCAACTGCGTCGTCGCCTATAGTGTTTATGCCATCCGTGAAGCCATCCAGAATATTTGAAAATACGCAATTTAATCAAAAAAATATAATATTGTGACTAACTGCTATGCATTGTCCCAACAATGACTCCAAGATGTTAATATGAGGGATATTATGATACTTTTTAAAAATAACCATCATTTATCAAATATGGAATCCCGTATTCTTCCCTCTTTGCATTGAACCGTGGACTGCCGTGCTTACTCTCGATTGTTGCCGTTGGGCATGAAGAGGGTGGCGCGTCGTCGCGGAAATATTCCCTGTCCGATACGCTAGTCAATTCTAGTCTAGTCTTCTATAATCTAGTCTCTCATTGGCTGACGTTCCCGTTCTTCGATCTCCCTCCCTTCCTTCCCTTCCCGGTCTTACCTAATAAAGCTTAGATGCATCGCTGACTAAGGCAGATCTGCCAGTGGCTGCTACAACCCGTTGCGCTAATTCTTCGGAGGCTTCGGCAATGGTCCTCACCGCCTTGGAAAAACGGAAAAACCGTTGAACGCGGAATCGTTGAGTGGCAGAATGGACGGAAAGGGTCATTCGTGATGTCATTAGTGATGTTCTGTAAGGATCAGTTAAGCCGCACGCAGAGTTTTTACAACGTCGTTCTCACCTGATGGTTGGCGGTTTTTGTTATGAGTAAACAAGGCTGGATTAATGAAAGACATGCGGGAAGGGGATATGATAGAAATGGCTGTGCTGCATTGGATTCATGAGAGACATTTTTTTCTGCATGGACACATAATACGGCGAAACGAGGAATCGGCGAGACAGTGATAAAATTGTGGAGAGACATAAATGTGGAAACCTTTAGGCCCATTTTGTGCATCTTCCCCGAGATGCAATTAGCATACGATCCTGATCCTAGGATCCTAGGTGACGAACATAGCCTTATCGCGGGGTTTCAGTGCCAAGATGACCGGTTCGTCGTTCGTTCAGCTCACATCTGGGGAAATTATTGGGGAATTGTTGGGGATAGTTGCCTTCCCCGCAGCGAAGAGGGTATTAGGATCGCATTAGAAGAGTTAGAACCCCCTATAGAAGGAATGAGTTTGCGGGGGAACATGTTCCAAGTACGTAAAAGACGTAACATACGTATCATTTACAGCGGGCCTCAACACGGGAAAGAGGAGCTCGGAGTTGAAACAGGACGAGTGCGACGAATTATCATTAGAGAGTGGGACTGAGAAACGTAATAGAGCATCATCAAAACGCACCACGGACGCCCCGGAGTGAGGCAATTTCCTTCCATGCTATTAACTAAACAACTAAACAAGTAGGTGGCCACTGGTAGGTCGCCGGTAGTCCCTCCTAATGTATGCTCTAACGTTGCTCTAATGCGATTTTAGTTGTGTTCTAATCTGATTTTACGGCCGTCTACGGCGTTCTACGGCGGTAAGGGGGCTTCGCCGTGGTGGCGATGTGGGTCGGCGAGATATCCCATCCCCACAACCTCCAGCGAGTCAAGATTGTCTAGAAGGTTTAGGGCCCACAACTCTCAACTAAACCGATTAAAAGAGACCGGTTTCGCACACGTATTCATGCGTATTGTATTCATACATTACTATCTTCTCTCTTTGACAATCCGTCAAAAAAGCGGTTGCAAGATCAGGCACCGCCACCCTTCCTCTCTTCCTCCTTCACAATAGAAATCAACTTTCACAATGGACTCTGCACAAATGATGGAGAAAGGCAAGGCCGAGTCGCCGACGCCGACGCCCAGTCCCCCCAGCGGGGTGGTCTCCGACAAGGACAAGAGCCTGTATGGCAATGCCAGCGAGAGCGAGAGGGAGAGAGACATCTATGAGGAGGGTATGCAGAAGTACAACCGTCTGGGCTGGAAACGCCTGACCGTCGTGCTCATCGTCGAGGCCATCGCGCTGGGAAGTCTGTCCATCCCAGCCGCCTTTGCCTCGCTGGGAATGTTCGCCGGTGTCATCTGCTCTGTCGGAATTGGATTGATCGCCATCTATACCGCCTACATCGTCGGACAGGTCAAGGTCAACTTCCCCCAGGTCGCCAACTACCCTGATGCCGGAAGGCTGATGGGTGGTCGTTGGGGCTACGAGGTTATCAACGCCATGCTTATCCTGCAACTGCTCTTCCTGGTTGGCTCTCACTGCCTGACGGGCACCATTGCCTTCCAGAACATCACGGGAAGCGGCATCTGCTCCATCATCTTCGCTGTTATCTCGGCCATCATCCTCATGATCATTGCCATCCCGCCCAGTTTCACCGAGGTTGCCATCCTCGGCTACGTCGACTTCGCCTCCATCATCCTCGCCATCGGCATCACCATCATCGCTACTGGTATTAGAAGCTCTAACGAGGAAGGCGGGCTATCCGCCGTCAACTGGTCTGCATGGCCAAAGAAGGACCTCACCTTCACAGAGGGCTTCATCGCAATCACCAACATCTGCTTCGCCTACAGCTTCGCCATGTGTCAGTTCTCATTCATGGACGAGATGCACACGCCTACTGATTTCATGAAGTCCGTCTGGACACTAGGCGCAGCTGAGATCTTCATCTACACCGTCACCGGTGCGCTGATCTACGCCTTCGTCGGCCAGGAAGTCAAGAGCCCCGCGCTGCTCTCCGCTGGACCGCTAGTTAGTCGCATCGCATTCGGTATCGCCCTTCCAGTCATCTTCATCAGTGGCTCCATCAACACCACTGTGCTCGGACGTCTGGTGCATACCCGCATCTTCAAGAACTCCAACATCCGCTTCGTCAACACCAGGATGGGCTGGATCACCTGGATCATCTATATCGTCCTCGCCACCATCGCCGCCTTCATCATCGCCGAGGTCATCCCCTTCTTCTCCGACCTCCTCTCCATCTCGTCATCCCTCTTCATCTCCGGCTTCACATTCTACCTGCCGGCGCTCATGTGGTTCATGCTTCTCCGCGAGGGCAAGTGGAACACCCCGAAGAACCTGATGTTGGGCGCTCTCAACCTCGGTGTTTTCATCATTGGTATCGTGGTCCTGGTGGCCGGTATCTACTCTAGTGTCAACGACATTGTAAGTTGGATCCCTCTAGAAATCCATTTCCCAATGAGTAAATTACTAACAAAGCCCGATAGATCATCAGCTACGGCGCCGGCAAGGTCCGGGGCCCATTCTCCTGTGGTTCGCCAGAGTAAGAGGCGGCGTCTGGTTACCCACCCATCATATCACCGACTGCAGGTGGCAGTCTTCTTCTTTTTGCGAATCATCTTACTATCAGCCATATATACCAATACTACTTTCTCTGTATTTCACTTTTTGACCATATACGGCCGCACTCTACATGTATATTACTGGGGAACTTCATGTTATGTTATCATAGACGTAAGACGCGATAGCGCGCAACTAGAGAGACATAGAATAGAGGAGAGAGGAGGAGAGAAATAGAGTGGAGATATAGAAGAAAAGATATAGATGAGAGAATAAACTACCATTAGATTTCAATCCTGCCTCCTGACACAACGTACTCGGAATCATTGCTGCCGTTCCACCCGTTCGTTCCGTTGGGTGAAATCTGACCCATGAAGGCTAAGACGTAAGCTGAATTGGATCCGGACTTGATCCCCAGCCAATCTGGCACGTCGATGAGGAGGTTAATGGGGCTGTAGCTATTTGAGCCGATAAACCCGGTGAGCCAACATAGGCATTTGTTCTTGGATTCTTAACGGAGGAAGGCTGTTCCAGCTTGTAGCCTCCACCATAAAGCTGCACATAACAATACGTCAGGCCACTCAAAACTCTCAAAATAAACACTACTAACTCGACCGTCCCCCCGCAGTGCGCCCAGCCCATTGGCGATTTCTACATCCAGATCCCTATCGCAAATCATCCACCACATACCCAACTGACCCACCTTGCAAGGTTTCAGCTCCCTACCCCGCCTCCCCAAAGCTCGAGACCACGTTCAAGAACTGGTGCCATGTTGGCCCGTTGCCACGTTTCCCCCAGACTATAGGATAGGTAACGACAGTGCAGATCCGTGCTTTCAATACTGCAATACTGTCAGTAATGCCAGGTGGTGGACACCGATTCTGAATGATGGTTCTGGTCGAGCGGTAGGGGTGTCGGCGAGTTTAGGTGTCGGTTATAGGGTTGTCGTTGATGGGAGTGTGAGGGTGTAAATGTAAGAATAAATATCACGAGCTCTGTTTGGTGGCTGGAATATTCATAGAATGTAAACTTGGTATAATTTAATTGTATAGATAACTAAGTCGTAAATTTTAGAATGTGGTGGCTTGCAAGGCGCAATGCAGCTTGGTAAACAAGCTTTCCGCCTCTCAGCCTCATCTCAAATGCCGGATTGAAGTTTTTCCACGCCCCTGAGGATATTCACAGCTCGAAAGACTGACCTCACGAACGGGTCTATGTTAGGTATCTGTAGATGGCAAAAAGTTTTGTCATATTGGTGTTTGACATGTCCCCGCCATGCAAAAGTCCTTGAGTATGCAAATAAATTGCATAGATTTGATATAATCACTCTCCCCTATCCTACCTCTCTGAGAAAATGAGCACGAGGCTGAGACGGACAGTTCCTAAGTGAAGTTTAGACATCATGGGGATTCCAGGAGCTCCTCTTCTTGCTGTCATTGCGCCTGCTGCTGCCATTACGCCAACCCCAAAATAATTGTGCGCAGGATAGATTCTCCCTCCACAACTTCACCTTCTCACTCATCCTAAATTCACTTTCTTTCCAACAACCGGCACTTTTCTTGTCTCTTGATCAACTCCATCAACAACTTCAATCATCTTCACAAGTCCACACACACATCCAAATCTCGACTTTCACAAAACAATGGCGCCGAGGCCACCGATCTCGAATCGACCTCTTCCTCAAGTTCGCGGCACGCCCATGAACCCCGGGGCGCTGACCACACAGCTCAATACTCATGGTATGTGCATCTTATCTCTCCACCCAGAATATCACCATTCTGTAGATTATGTATCTCAAAGGTCAATCTGACCCCTCTCTAGGAACTGTAGCAGCATCCTCCACTGAAACCCAGACAATGTCGAACCCCGGCCAACACGTCCAAGTCCAACGGGCTCTGCCCACCAGCAATGGGTCCAGGCCCAGCACACCCCCATCGTCCGCGAACTCCACGGCTATCACAGACGTGGCAGAACAAATGCGCTCCATCATGGAGAGCCTCGAGCGACAACCTCCGACGGCGGAAAATAGGGCCCAGGCGGCGATCATGGCACGCAATCTTGCAGAGCTGAGGGAGAAGATGGATGCCGCTGCTTCTGCTGCGCAGCCACGCCTCAGTGCCGACGCGCCAGAGTTCACGCCCTCGCCATCTCAAGAGCGCGGTAGGCAAGGTGCGCCATCCGCTGGCAACGAACGTGGTGCAGTCGGAGGAGGTAATCCTTTGAACCAGGGCGGAATGGTGGTGCCGACGTTCACGTTCACGAGCGAGTCGCCGGGCCAGCCACAACAGCAGTATACGCAGGAGGAGGTGCGCACGCAAATCGCTGCAATCTATGGCAGCTCGGCGCAGAACAATGTTTCGCAACTTCCGGTGGTGAATGGGTCGGCAATGGCATCGTTTCATGGGCATATGGAGCCGATAACCATAAACCCGGTGACTGGTCGGCCTCGGACGCCTCTTTCGCACTTGACGGCTATTTCGAATAATGCTCGGCGTCGTTCCCAAGAGCGAGCTGAGCGAGAGGCGGTAGTGTCGCAGGCTCAGCTAGATCAGATAATCCAGCAAAATCTGGCTCAAGAGCAGCAAATGCAACAAGCTCAGCAGCTCCAACAAGCCCAGCAGGCTCAGCAAGTTCAAGCCCAGCAGATGCAAGCACAGCAATTCCAACAAGCCCAGCAGGCCCAACAAGCTAAAGCTCAAGCCCAAGCTCAAGCTCAGCAAGCTCAAGCGCAGCAACTTCAACAAGCTCAAGCTCAGGCTCTACAAGCTTATCAAGCCCGGCAAGCTCACCAAGGCCAGCAGCCTCCACCACCCCTCCAGATGCCCCAGCCACATCATCAACCCCACCACTTCCAAGGCCAGCAACCTAGCAATGGGCAAATCTTCAATCAAATTCAGCAAAACTTGCAGTTTGCACCACAGCAACCCCAGCAGCAGTACCCATTCGGCATGAACGATATGTCTTACGGCCAATCGAACCACTCCCACATGCACCCACAGCAGCAGACGGGCAATGATCTTGCTTTCAACAACATGCAAGATTTCAGCCAGGGACCTCCTGTGGGTCCTTTCATTCCCCAGAATTACGAGTACCCCAGCATGGGCCAGTTCTCGGCGCAACCAGCCAGCCAGCAGCACCAGAACATGCCCTTCAATAACGTGAATTCGTTGCCAGCGCAGACGGAGACCCAAAATGGAGTCCCATTGACACACACGCTAGACGCTCCGATCCCCACTAGACCCAATAACGACAACGTCACCACAAATCCGTCTATGATGACAAAGTTCACAGGTACCCCACCTCAGACTCACTCCAGGCCTGCCGTGGACGGATCATCAGACGACGTGGCAGGCTACTTCCCCAGCGCATACGAGCTGACTGGGAAGTGGCACACGCTGCCGGCGACTATGCGAACGCCTCCTCCACAAACGGTGCAGCAGCAAAACGGCAGGGACAGGCCGCGGAACGGCGATGATCCGGACAATGGAGCGTCGGGACCGAGCAATGGCGCCAACGGTGGTGTGACTGGTAATGGAAACGGTAATGGAAATGGGAATGGCAGCATGTCTCTACCAACTGCGAAGAGTCCCAGAAATGGCGCTATGAATGGCAATGGAAATGGGAATGGCGGCACGACTCTGTCAATTTCGAAGCGTACCTATGACCAGAACGGCAAAACACACAGCCGTGGACCTAGCCAGGATAACTCAACAACCCACAAGAATGGCAACACTCGCCCCCAAAGCGCATCACACACGTGGCGCTCCCATACGCACACAATCTCAGGAGACTTCACAACCTTGAGGCGCAACGCGGGACACCTTGATCTCCTGGGTTCCCCGGCCTTCCCAGTATCCGCATCTGAATATGCTGGTCTGCGGGCTGATACACTTGCGGAGAAACAAGCGCGCCTCACAGCGCAGCTGGGCGAGATGATGAAGATGAAGAAAGAGCAGCAGCGGGTTGCGGAGGCAATGATGGGAAAGGTGCTATATGGGTATTCAGCGGTGTTGGCGGAGAAGGAGGATGTGTGGAGCGTCAATGGTAGCACCGGAGCCGGCTATCCAAGCGTTGCAGAGATGAAGAGAGAGCATGCGCTGGCGGTTTCCGAAACAGGGTCGTCTCCAGGTCGTTTCTTCCCTAGGCCAAAGGGGATGGTGGCCAGTGTCCAGCAGGGATATATGGAGGTGAGAGAGCCGGATTTGGTGTTGGCAAACATGCCTCGTGAGGACTGGAGTGTGAAGAGTGTCGAAAAGGCGAGGGCTTGGCAAAATGAGCACGCCTGGGGGGAGATCGTGGCGAAGGCGAGCAAGGAGGCTGCGCAGAAGGTCAACCAGATTCCAACGAATGATTCAGAGTGGCTTGTCGGACGAGAGTTGCTTGACCGGTTGGTTTGAGGCGGGCTATCCTGCAATGGGCTGCTCCCTTGTTGATTGCGCAGACCATGGCGGATTATGCCATGGGGGCTTCATATTAGGCATCTAGCGAGGCGTTTTTTTTTCCGGTGGTGTTCCAGAGCGTCAATATCCCCCTCGAGTATTTGCGTTACCCCACTCGATATGGTTCGGCTGGGAGGCATGTTTGTTCGTTTTTTTCGTTTCCTTTGCAGAGTACCTCTCAGCCTTGCTGGGGATGTATAGTTAGTACTTTGTTCAGCAATGAGAATAAATTCCCAGCTCATCCCAAAGCAGCCATCTGAGAGACCAAGTACAGGTAATAGTGTGGTGTGCCGCCAAACGCGTGGCAGATAGAGGGTGTGTGTATCGGGATATCACTTGATAGGTGTGAGGCGTATGTTGTGCGAGCATACGAAAGCGTCAATGGCGCTCATGTGATGCCGCGTGCAATATGTAAAAGGAGGGGAAGATGAGATCCTGGCAAGACCGGAGAAATAACGCCTTATGAAGACGAGGGGGATGAGGGGGATAGGGGGGTTGAAAGTATGGTATATGGAAGGTATGGTATGGTGTATGACAGGGAGACAATGAGAGGGTGAGAGGTTGAGAGACATGACAGGCACGTGGTTAGAGCACCAGAAACGGAAATATAGAGAGTATACTTGTATGAGGATATTGATATGTATGCTGATGGAGCATATACATACCCATTATCGAGTTATACCTGAATGATAAACAGCCAGAGATGAGAAAGATGAAGATTTTGAGGATGGGATTGGGGATTGGGGATTGGGGATGGGGATGGGATTGGGGAAGGGATGGATTAGAGATTAGAGATTAGGGGACAAGAGAAGCTAGCCGAAAGGAGACAAGTACTTCGTTATTGTCAAGAAGTCACGAGACACGAAATGTTAGATCCGTTGGCCGCCGAGAATCGGGGCGGCCCAAATATGGAAAAACACGGGGGTGGCCGTGGGGGGATTTTCGTTGGATTTTCGTGGGGGGGAAGGGGTACTTACTTTACAGACCGACGGCGGGTCCCATATTCAAATTCGGGGATTGGGGGGATCAGGGGACGAGGGAGGGCAAGGGAGGGCCAAGAAGGGCCAATTGGCAATTGGGGAAAGAGCCGTGGGTAGCCGTAGGGAACGAAGTATACGGATTTTATATACGGCTTACATACATAGATAGATACATATTATACATATTCCAAGATATAAGCAAACATGTCCATTGTCGCCGGCTGGTTTTCTTTTTTGTATGGTAAATACCACTGGTAACTCCAGTTAGTATAAGATTAGTAGATGACCAGGATTGTGGCTTAAGCCAGGCCCATACTAAGGAGACAGGAGACAGCATGCATGCACGTATGACAAGCCGTGCACAGAAATAGATAGCTGGAGAGGGCCCTCGTGATGAGAAAACCCACAGATGGAGATGAGAGATGATCAGAAAAGAAAAGAGTAGGCACAGTAGATACCGAGTATATAGAGACCTAGTCCCCTCAATGTCAGCTTTTCCCCGTACTATATGACCTTAGCCGCCTCTATACCACCAGACTCTACTAACGGATCTACTGCACTTAGTCAACAGCCCTGCATTCTTGGTGTTTCCCAGTGTCACCGTCCAAGACAAGTTACCTCATCGCCCCGTTCGCCCCTTGGGCCTAGACACAGGATAGACACAAGATAGACACGAGCCAGACACGGGATAGACACAGCTCAGACGCAAGCTGGAACACTAGCCATAAGACACACCTACAGTCAGACCGACACCGACACCGACACCGACACCACCAGAGAAACACACGACACACGCGCGACAAGATATCCACTGTCGTCTACCGCCTACCGCCTGTCGTATACCGTTTATTATTCATATATCAACAATTTGCATCTCAATCGCTGCCATTCATACGTCTCTCTCTGCCGTCCGTTGTGCGTCCTTGCCGTCACGAGAGCACCCCGAGGGCACTTTGAGAGCTCCACAACTACGACGACAACCACGAGAGCACCGTCACAACCCTCACGCCCCTCTTATCGACAAACCTTCCCCGGATATCCCTACCAACCCAGGGATAAGGCATAACCCGCCATACTCCCCAGCCAAAAAAATACATTCCATAGGCTTCCCTCATTCGGCAATCCTGTGGACTTTGTCGACTTTTGTAGTCGACTCTTTGGTTCCTGTGTGGTCCGATAAACGAGCCAAGGCCGCCCGCTCACCCGCAATCCACCGACTTGGCCCCAAAGGTTGCCGCCCTCCGCCCTCCAGTTTCCCTGGTTGCCCCCCCCCCCCCCCCCAAACCCCCAAGTTTGCCCCTCCATCACAGCTGCGCCTGGGCAAATTTGTCCACCTTTCCGTTGATCCCTAGCAATTTCTACTCAACCTAGTCCTCCGTCATCTCTCCCTCATACATCTTCAATCTTTCAAATCTACCAAAAATATTCAGCGTTGAAAGCTGTTGTGCCAGGCCCTTTGTTCACACTCCCCAAAAAAAGGTTCATACCCCGCCAACCCGTTACCCGCGTGCCTCGGGACATCTCTGAACCCTCCAAACCCGCGAAACCCACTCCCAAAACAGCCGATTGACGCGGACTCGACCTTCCTCCATGGTCTCGTAGGAATCTGCGACCCCCCATCCCCTTCAACCCCCACCCCCACAGACGACAAACCGCAACGATGGTCGAGAAAGGCCTAAAGAAGACGAATGGCCTCGGCGTCCAGGTCGAGAACACAAAGATATGTGTCGTCATGGTCGGCCTGCCTGCTCGCGGCAAGAGTCTGATTGCACAGAAGGGTGAGTTATACACGGCTATGTCTAAATTAGTTAATACGGAGACTGACTGGGGATATTACAACAGTGACACGATACCTCAAATGGCTCTCTATCGAGGCCAAGGTCTTCAATGTTGGCACCTACCGCCGCACCGACACCCCAAAACCGACCGCCGACTTCTTCGACACCAACAACCCAGCGGGCGAGAAGATGCGCCGTGCAGCAGCCGAGGCTGCCCTTTCAGACATGCTGAAGTGGTTCCGAGCCGGTGAGGGCACCATTGCCATCCTCGACGCCACGAACTCGACTCGCGTGCGCCGCCGCTGGATCTACGACGAGTGCACCAAGGAGGGCATCGACACGCTGTTTGTCGAGTCCCGCTGCGACGACGAGAGGCTCATCATGGCCAACATCCTCGAGGTCAAGACCACCTCGCCCGACTACCAAGGCACCGATCCCGAGGCTGCGGCGCTCGACTTTAGGAATCGCATCCGCAACTACGAGAAGGTCTATGAGACCGTCGATGGGGATGGCGACGAGAAGGACCTCACATATGTCAAGATTATGAATATTGGTGCTCAGGTCATCATCAACCAGATCCACGACTACCTCCAATCCCGCATTGTATATTATTTGATGAACCTGCACATAAAACCCCGCTCCATCTGGCTGTCACGAGTAAGTGCGCTGATCTCCCATACACTTCGAAGCTAACAAGAATAAAGCACGGCGAATCTATGTACAACCTTTCCGGCCAGATCGGTGGCGACGCAGAGCTCTCCTCGCGAGGAAAGCAGTATGCTCTCAAGCTTCCCGAGCTGGTCCGCCAGTCCGTAGGCGTAAGTTGCAAACCTCATAATCCCCTACCCATCAAAACTGACAACCCGCAGGACGGCCGCCCTCTCACAGTCTGGACGTCCACCCTGCGCCGCGCCATCTCCACCGGGGCCCATCTCCCCGCAAACTACAACCAACTACAATGGAAAGCACTCGACGAGCTCGACGCCGGCGTCTGCGACGGTCTCACATACGCCGACATCAAGGAGAAGTACCCTGAGGACTTCGCTGCGCGCGATGAAGACAAGTACAACTACCGCTACCGCGGCGGTGAGTCGTACCGCGACGTTGTCATCCGCCTCGAGTCCATCATCATGGAGCTAGAGCGATCAGAGGATATCTTAATCATCACGCATCAAGCAGTGCTGAGATGCATCTACGCGTACTACAAGGAGAAATCGCAGTCGGAGTCGCCATGGATGGCTGTGAGTTCCATTTTCTAGCCCCAGATAGAAGACAAATACTGACAGAAATCAGGTCCCCTTACACACTCTCATCAAGCTCACGCCCAAGGCGTATGGCACGCACGAAGAGCGCACGGCTGCTGGCATCGACGCCGTCAGCACATGGCGCGGCAAGGGCTCCGTCGCAAAGCACGAGGACCCAGTCGGCGAACCAACCTTCTGAGAAGACCACACAAGATCAATACACCGCGCCGTGCACAGCCTCAACATCCACATACACAGCACCCCCACCAATACGTGACTGGGACGGGTTTCGACCCGGATGTTTGTTGAGTGCTTAGCGGCCATGCGCGGGCGGAGGAGGGATGGGATGTACACGCGGAAGAGCATCTGTGCTATTTACCTGCTGTTAGCGAGGCGTTGGGTCGCATGGGAAAGAAGGAGGGTTTAGTAAAAAATGGCTCGGGCTCAGGGGCCTTGGGATGGCGTCGAGGAGACATGTTTTGTCACAGTGGGTGACTGGGGCTGGTCGGCCCCCAACGACTGTATCATACGTAGCTAGGCTGGCGAGAGATAGGCAGCTAGGACTATATTTGTAGATGGTAGAGATACATATGTCTGCTTTTGGGGATGGCATAAATATAGGTTGTCGCTATGATTTTGTTGCCCATGATATGATGGTGGTAAAGGTATTTGATTTTGATGTATAATTATTTATTATTTTAAATGGAAAAAAAATATTGAAACCACAAGGAAACCACAACACAGCGAGAAGTGTGTGCTATATATTTGAAAATATTAATATGATCACCCGAAGAGATTTAAAAAACCAAACCCTTTCTTAGAAGCTTGCAAACCTTGATTTTATATCCTTACCTGTTGAAAATACCCTTCACTTCATTTCGTTGGGACCCTGCACCCCCACACCAATTTACCCCGCCATCACACAGATCACGCAGCTTCAGCCTTACCACCCACATCGGCGCTTAATTAAGCTCTGCTGCCCTGTCACCAGATCCATCATGCATTCCAGGCGCCGTTGAAACTCATCTCATCTTCCTGCTATATGCATGCTCGTTTGAGATAATGGCGTAAGAAACACCTTCCCCCTCTCTGATCCTAGCTAATAGTTATAGGGAACCCGTAGGTCCAGCGCCAGGCGGAGTTGAGGAACAGATCGCGCTGTCTGTCCCACCGCCGAGTGGTCCTCAGCAGCTACCAGAATCGACGGCTGGTGAAGTCCCGAAAGATGGAGCAGAGATGTTCATCGCCGCGGCTGGTGACAACAGCGCCAGCGATCCAATACAACCGCAAGCAACGACAATAGATGCTTCCCACACTGCACCCTCACCAGTCACCCTCCCACCAACCACTCTCCCACCAACCTCTACACCCCTCCAGCCAACACTCCCCACCGCCACCGCTCCCACACCTTCAACACTGGGCAACCCCCCCGAAATCCCGGCTCCAGCTCCAGCTCCCGTCGCAGCCCCCATCCCCCCACCCTCCCTAACATCAACCCACTCCCACCCCACCACCTCCCTAAGCCTCTCCAGCACCGCCCTCCTAGCCTCCACCTCCACCGCCTCCCTCTCCACCTCCCCCTCCTCAACAGACACACAGACGCTAACCTCCGCCCGCGCCGCCCTCGAAGCAACAATCCTCTCCACAGGAACTGCTTACACCCACCCCATTGAAGCCCGCGCGCGCGATCTGCACGCTATGAACATCGCCCTAGCCACACAACAGGCGCAGCTGCTCAGCGCGACTGGGGCGCTGGCAAAGGAAAACGACCGCCTGGCTAAATTAGCCGAGGAGGGGAGCAGAAGGCTGAAAGAGGCCGGCGCGCTGGATGTATGGGCTGAGGTACTCGAGGGTGATTTAGCAGCGGTGGAGGAGTGTTTGAGGATAGTGGAAGGGGGAGGAGAGGAGCACTGCGAGAGCTGCGGGGGGGATTTAGCTGCCGTGGACGAGGATGCCGTGAGGTGGTGTGGGGGATGTGACGGGCTTTGGCATGCGGGGTGTTGTGGTGAGGAGGGGGTGAGTGTTGATACTGCGGGGGAGACGGAGGGTGGGGTGGATCGAGATGCGGAAGTTGAGTGGAGGTGTAGGGAATGTGCACTGAGAGAGGATCTGGAGGCTATGGTGGGGGAGTTGGGTGGGTTTGTGGATGATGAGATGGATACGAGTGGGGAGATCACGGTTGAGCCGCCGAGGGGGGATTTGATTCATGATGGGAGGGGAGAGATGGTGTATGATGAGGGAGGAGAGGCTGTTATGGAGGAGGCGAGGAATTGGAAGGGAAAGGGTGTGGTGTATCCCCAGGATGAAGACGTGAAGGTGGCGGAAGATGGGGTTGAGAGAGGAGAGGAAGTGGGTGCGGTAGGTGGCGCTGTGGAGGAGGGAGGCGCGACAGGCGGAGCTGAGGAACTGGAGAAGCTGGACGTCCATGCAGATACCCTCTCGGACTCGAAGCAGGCGGATCCCATCCAAAGCCAGGAAGTCACGGACGCTCCCAACAGCGGAGATCGGCCCTTGGAGATGGACCTTTCCGAGTTGGAGGTTGCACCGCGACGAGCCGTTTGGACGTGGGGGGTTTAGTTCATTGACTGATATGTGGATGACGGGCGGAAATGCAGGGAGGATTGGATATGGGTGATCTCTGAAGTGTTATTTTTGGAATGGGTGGAGATTTGTTTACGATTTATGAAGAATGATCACGACCGTTTTCCACGTTATATACCAAGGCGAGCGTTCCTGCACATATATACAATTCGATAAGTCAGCAAAACATGCACAAATCACTCATAGCCTCGAAATTGTGGTTATTGCGATCTTTTGATTCGTTCAGCAACTGAGTGCTTTGCTTCCCTGACACCTATCCGGAGCCCTGTAGCTGATGCTCATGCCACAAACAAAAAATACACGCCCCAGTAAACACCTAATTGACAGTCTACTTGCGGAGTTGGCGCTGGTAGAAAGCAAGCTCCTCACCCTCAAGAACGTAACCGTCAACACGGCCGCTCTGGCCGGGGCGGGACGAAACGACGGCGAACAGGCGACCGGCCTCGAACTGCTTCTCGAGAGCGGCCTCGACCTTGCCCTGGGAGGCCAGGCGCTCGGCGTGCTTCTTCTCGACCGACTTGGACTTCTTCTCTGGCTCGACGACCTCACCAGTCTTCTGCTGGCGACGGCGACCGAGGTTGGCGCCGTAGTGGGCCTCGTACCACTGACGGAAAGGAACGGCGTCGATCTGGACGACGGCGGAGCGGGTCAGGGTGTTGGTGCGGACCAACTCGTTGTTGGAAGGGTGGAAAGCGACGGTGATGACGCGGACCTTGCGGGCAATACCCTCAGATCCCCACGAGAAGTTGCCGGAGTCGAGGCGGAGGGCGCGGAACTTGCGGTTGCCACCACGGGTGCGGACGAGATGGATGCGCTTGGCGCCGATACGGGTGTTGGCTGGCTGGCGGCCGGCTTCGAAAGCGCGCTTCTTCCCTGCAACAAAAAGATCATTAGAGATATTTTCGACAGGTTGGAACGTATCGTGGACACCCGGTGAAGGGTGCCCAGCTCATACGGGCTTCTACTACGCACGGTAATGGGAACGCTTGGCTCCTGAAGCGGAGCGCTTGTGCCTGGAGTCGCGAGAGATACCCATGATTGCGATTCTGCCAGTGAAGAAGAGGTTAGCCTGTGTCTGTGTATATGTGTGATGGTGGAGGTGTGCGAGTGGAGGTGTTATGGGGGGTTTGTTGTGATCGTGAGGAGTCTTGTGCTTCGGAAGATTGGAGGACGACGAGTCTGTGGAACGATGCGGCGGCAATTCATTGAGAGGTTCGGTTTGAATGTGCGCATCGATGCCATCGACTCTGGCTTGTACATACCAGGTGATTTCTGAAGCGCAAATGTGTATGTGGTGGGCGTTTGGCGGAGGTGTCGTGCGTGGAGTTCGTCGAAAGTTCAGATCTCGAACTTCGAAATATTCTTGCAGTGGGGATGAGGTAAGCAAACCCTAATGGCGAAGAATTGAGTTTAGCGTGGTTGTGTGTTATTTAACCGAAATGTTGGTGCCATAAATGTCAGGTTGAAATGATATCAGGCCCCACCACAACCAAAATGGACATCACGTGCATTTCACCACCCAAACCAGAATAGCTCCATAATCCGTACTTGCAGTAGACCGGCACGGACCCTTTATTTAGCCGATGGCCAGTGCGCGTGTGTGTGGTTGGCCAGCCCCTCAAGACTCGGTCCCTCAAAAGAATTTGGCCCTTTGGCTCTTGAGGTCCGTGAGTGGAGTTTGATAATGCTGTGGTGTGCTCCAAGTGTGTTACGTACGACACTGTGAATCCCTTCATGTTATCTTGCGCCTTTCTGTACTATCTGCCTGAACTCCATTTGATTTTGTACTGTATTAACAATCTCTGACGCGCAATTGATTGCTGTGGTCTTCTTGCGACCGTGCCCAAAACGATTTCCCACTCTTTATCGGTACCTGTCAGACTTTCAGGGGTATCTATAATCGCATTGACACTTCTGTAATCCGACCTTCTTGACGCGAACCCAACTCGACCAAAAAACCCGCGACCGTGGATTATTTCGAAGCACAGAAAGGCCCTCGACCCTGATGACTTGTGACAATCGATCATAATAGGGTCTATCAAAAGTCCTGAAGTGAAGGCGCAACGAGAGCAATGCCCTGGCAACCCCTACCTCGGATCGCATTCGCTGTCGCAACTTTTCCCTTCCAAGCTCAGAATGCGGCGGACCTTCCACTCGAACTCGGCGATGAACTCTACATAATCGAACAGGGTGGGAAGAATGGAGATTGGTTCAGGGGATACCTCATTGCGCCGCCATCTCTACTGGCAGGCTTGACCAGCGTGAAGGGCCAGACGCTGGAATCTCGGGTCTTCTCCGGCATCTTCCCCAGAAGCTGCGTAGAGGTCAGGGAAGTCTTGGGCGATAGCAGTGAGGAGGATTTGACAGAGAGCCCCCAACTCAATGGCTACCATGACGATACTTTGAGCAAGAGCGAAGGCAGCGCGAATAGCTTGAACAAAATCGCACAGAGTCTCACGAACGGGACGAAGAATGCGAAGAAGAGAAACAGCCTGCGCGACGACCTGCGAAATGGAACGCTACCACCCGTCGCGCGAGATACGAATGCCCCCAAACCTGCAGCTCCCGTCCCCATGCTGAACATTGGAGACGAGACACCGACCTCCCTCTCCGAACCACTCGTGGACGAAATCGCATCGTGCCTACGAGAATGGCACTCGGCGAACCTCCACGAACTGTTACTGTCGAGGCAATACCCGCTGCTGGATAGGATGACGAGCCTCGTCCAAGGGCTGGATAAATCGAGACAACAACTCTTACACAACGTCTTGACCACCCACGAAGTGGAACAGCTCCGAGAGAAGACCATATGGGATCTGGTGAAGGGGAACAAGCTTGTGAGCGGCGAAGTTATTGTCAGGAGCCCTACAGAACGAGGCAGGGTCTTGACGGGGGAAGATTCAGCCGTGGAGATTACATCGCTCCAGTCGATGATGAGCTGCCTCGAAGAGAATCCTCAACATCAAGTGGAGTCGGTTGCTCTGCACCACTTGCTGGTAGACGTCAAAGGATTTGTTGGCGCGTCGACCGAGACGACAACCCTCGTCTTATACCTGGCGTCCAGAACACAACAAGCATTTCCAGCTACCTTATCGGAAAGTTTCGTGCTCGAGATCCCTCCCAATGGATCATTAGAAAGTCTGGCCACTGCTCGAGATATGAGGACGCTGTTCATGGACTTGACGTCGGCAGACATTGGCGACACAAACTCGGCGGACACTGAGGTGTTCCTCGTAGCAAAGGTCCAGCAGAATCAACAGCCACTGCATGGCAAGCAGCCCGAGTCTCGGTCCGGAATGGTGTCCCGTGAGAACCTTCCATCATCTGTTGGCGAGAAGACATCATTGTCTGGAAGTGTTGGAAAATCGGCGCGCAGAAGCTTGATGTGGGGGAAGAGCTCGCAGCGGGCCACCCATTCGCGAAACTCGCCAGTTTCCAAGATGAGTTCCGTTGCTGAAAAGGAAGTGGAACACCTGCCAAATACTTCAGACTCAAAAACAGGAAGGACGCCTCCACGAACTGCAACCGGAAAGGTTGTCTCTAGGACAGTCGGTGTGGGTGCTTTGAAGCTGACTTCGATTATGAAGCAAGACGCAGATGTGGAGCAAGTAATGTCTATATGGACGCCTTCAGCAGACTTCAATCCGGATTCCCAAACTCTGGGCGAAGGTTGGGATGAAGTCATTCGGGATCTGCTTGAAAGCAACACAGGCTGCTATGAGAAGTCCGCAAAGGCTGAGCGCATGCATCTGAACCTTCGGCATTTCGCCAGTGAAGATGGAGAGAGTTTAATCAAGGCTACGCCGACTCTCCTGTCGAATATCAGCCGCACGAACAAACTGGGATTCTCTGGAGCACCAACAAAGCCGCGATCCGATATTTACGTCACAATTGACAAGGCGACGCTCCCACGAGGTGCGCTGCTGTCACGCGCCGCTGGTTCTGCCACAGCGCTGTCAACGCAAATGACTTGCCACAACTTGCAGGTCACCATGGAAGTCCGACGGGCAACTGGTGAGAGGATAGAAAATTGCATATATCCTTCTTCGAATGGCGAACCTGCCAGTTCTTGGGAGTCGACGGTTACAGAGCGTGGTGAGGCATGGAATCAGACTATCAGGTTGGTCGTGCCGCCCCAAGATGTTCCTGGCTGCCACCTGGCAATACTCGTTTCTGACGCGCCAAACCAACCATTCGCCATCTCCCACCTTCCTCTGTGGCACCAGCAGGCGTTTATACGCGATGGCCACCACTCATTACTGATGTACAAGTACGACGAGACGACAACTCACACAAGGCCAGACACGAACGGCCGGGGAGGCTATCTTGGAGCGCCCTGGAACGCACGCGGCAAAGATGATGTTTCTAAAGACGAGGCAATTACCGGACCGTTGTCAAAGATGAGAGTACAGACGTATCTGTGCAGCACTCGATTTTCGCAAGATAAAGTCCTACTTGGTCTCTTGAACTGGAAAGATCAGTCTATCGGCGAGTTGTCGGATCTCCTCAAACGGCTGGTGTTTGTTCCGGAGATTGAGATTGTTAAGCTTTTGAATGATCTTCTCGACTCCATGTTTGCAGTGTTGGTTGAGCATGCTGGCAATGATACGTTTGAAGATCTTGTGTTCAATGCGTTGGTCACTGTCCTTGGAATCGTTCACGACCGCCGATTTAATCTCGGTCCTCTTGTCGACCATTACGCGGAGACCCAGTTCAACTATCCCTTTGCAACTCCTTGTCTGGTCAGAAGTTTTGTTCGCCTTCTTTCGGATCCAACCGATGCCGAGTCTTCGAAGCGACTGCGAGCTACATTCAAGGTTACCCGACACATTTTGAAGTTCATTACGCATGCGCGAGGACAACAAATTGTGAAGGAGGCCGACATTGGAATCTCAAACGGTTCTCCTGGATTCTCCCGGCACCTTCGAGGGATTTTCAAGGCGCTGGATGCGCTCATGCGCAATACGGCACCGATATTAGTCGGCAGTCAGACGCTGGCTGTGCAGCATTTCCAGGGCTGGCTGCCCGAGCTGACTGGATTGCTTTCTACGGAGGAAATTTTGCATATCGCGATTGACTTTATGGACTCGTGTTCAGCAGTCAAGGGGAAGCTCGTCTTGTACAAGCTTATTTTGATCATCAACTACGCGAAACTCGAACTTTTCTCTCAACCGGACCAGAAAGCCGCGTTAGCAACTAATACGGTGAGGTGGATTGCGCCTCACTGGGGCAAGACCGCAGAGGTTACGTCGCAGTGGCACGACCAAGTTAGACTTTGCTGCTCTGTCCTGTCGACACAGATTGAGATGCTTGGTCCTGAAATACCTGATCATATTCCCAAGATCATCGACTCTTATCTCGCGATCCAGAGGGCACCGAGGCGACCAAGCAGCCGACTGTCCTTGCTGTTTCCTTCTTCATATCCATTCCCGACCAAGCCAATCGAAGGCAGCAAGCCCGAGTTTGATGAGGCGCTTGTTGAGCTGTCCGCAATCTTGTCCGCTGTATCGAATCGTCCACAAGGAATGCAGCTGGAGTTGGCGGAAGATGAGATGTCCACGCTCTTGCAAGATGCGCTTCGCGTTCATACGAGCATTCTGGAGTGTGAGGCGTTCCCGAAATCATGGCTGAGCATACGCATTTACCACCACCGATCTACCATGAAAACTCTCGAATATATTGCAAAGATCTTGCTCGAATCATTCCTGCCGGACCCGGAAGAAGAGGCTGGCATGGATTACAATACGGATCTATGGAAGTCGTTCTTCACCACGCTACTGAAGCTTATTGGCAGCGACGCACTCGCGTTGGAGACATTCCCCGAGCAGAAGAGACGCGCCGTGTGGAAGATTGCGGGCGATATCAGAGAACAGGGAGCCGAACTCTTGCGACGTACCTGGGAAGCGATTGGCTGGGAAACGACCCAGGAAGAGAAGCAACGTTATGGGCTGCAGAAGATTGGCGGTTACCAAGTGCAGTATGTGCCAGGGCTTGTCGGTCCTATCGTGGAGTTGTGCCTGAGCGTGCATGAAGGTCTACGTCGCGTTGCCGTCGAAGTGCTGCAGACCATGATTGCGAGCGAGTGGAATCTAAGTGAAGACCTCTCAACAATACAAATGGAGATGATTGACTCTCTCGACCTGCTCTTCAAGTCGAAGCCTCTAACCGAAAGCATACTGCAGAAATTCTTCATCAATGAGCTCTTGGAGCTGTTTGAGCCTCTGTCCACAATGCAAGACGACAACATGTATGCCTCGCTGAGCGATATGATTGCGACTATTGACGAGTTCTTGGATCTGCTCGTCGCCGTGTACAGTGCGGACAATGCAAACGAAGCATCAGGACTCATCGACCGATTACGCCTGATGGACTTCCTCAGAGACATGCAGAAAGAGGAGATATTCATCCGTTATGTTCATCAACTTTCGGTTGTACAAGCAGAATCCCGCAACTTTACGGAAGCAGGGCTTGCGCTGCGCCTTCATGCTGATCTGTACGATTGGGATCCTCTAAAGATTCTTCCACCCCTATCGGATCCGGATTTCCCCGCTCAAAGTGCCTTTGAGCGCAAGGAACGCATCTACTTTGATATGATTAGGCATTTCGAAGAAGGCGATGCTTGGAGCAGCGCTCTTGTCGCGTACAAGGAGTTGCGGGAGCAGTATGAAGAGAATGTGTTCGACTTTTCGAAGCTGGCTAGGACGCAGAAAGCGATTGGTTCTGTCTATGAGTGTATAGCCAAGAGCAACAAACCGATGATGAAGTACTTCCGTGTTGCCTACCGAGGATTGGGATTCCCACCTGGCGTGAGAGACAAGGAGTTCGTATTTGAAGGGGCACCGGCAGAGAAGACGTCGGCCTTCACAGACCACCTTCAAGAGCAGTACCCAGGCGCACAGATTGTCACCCAACTCGAATCTGATGATGTTGAAGGTCAGTTCTTGAAGGTCTCGTCACTTGGTCCTTATCGAAACCTGGATCACGCCGTTTTCCAGCGAGCCAAGGTGGCGAACGTGACGAGGGATTATCTCTTGTCCGCCCACTGCCAGCAATTTGCCACGACTGTGTCACGAAACACTTCTGGACCAGTTGAGGAGCATTTCGCGGAGAAGATGGTCTACATCACGGCCGATCAATTCCCTACGATCTCGCGGAGGAGCGAAATCATCACCGTGGAGAGGATCCGCCTGTCTCCGCTGCAGACTGCTCTTGAGCGGACGGTTCGAAAGACCCAAGAAATGACTTCTGTTGAAAGAAAGGCCGCTGATGGCGACGAAGCTGTGGTTCCTCTTCTCATCGAAGCAATCTCCATATCTGTATCCCATTCATCGGAGTCGTCGATTGCACGATACAGAGCCCTTCTTCCGCTTCCTTCGTTCGACGAGGATGGCGAGGAACAAGTGGTCATTCTCTCGCCTCTTGAGAGCGCACTGAAGATGGCCCTGATCGACCATGCCATCATGATCAAGCGCATCCTGACCATGTTCTCGAGATCCATGCACCCCACCGTCCGCTACAGACAAGAAGAGCTGACTTCACGTGAGTTTATGAGTTCCTATTATTCATCGTTGCTAACAGTTTAGATTTTGAATCAACCTTCGGCCCCGAGCTCGTCACCCTCGCGCCGGTCCAGCCGCGTCAGATAACGCCTGCGCCAACGTGGTCCGTCGCCTCGCCACAACTCGCCTCTGATTTCCCAAGCCCCCCTCAGCCAAAGCCAAGTCTGAAGCACAGCAGCACGATGCAGACGACCTCGAGTATGCCGGAGAGTCCCACGCGGCGAAAGGAGCTTGGAAAGCTGAACTTTCTGAACCGACCGCCAAAGACGGGGCCGCCCGTATCGTTCAAGGGGGGACAGGCGAGGAAGGAGAGCAGTGACGAGGGGTCGTCGATCCGCAGTGGTGTCAGTCGCGGGAAGGAGAACCGCCGCAGTTTCTTTGGGCGTGGCGATAGCGAGGGGGATTGGAATACGGATACTGCGGATGGAAGCGGGCTCCGGAGGAGCGAGAGTCATGGGAGTGAGGGGTTGAACCGACCGACGACGGCCACGAGCGTGGGGAGCAAGGTTGGGAGCGTGAGGAAGCGGCTGAGCAAGCTGACCCTCGGCCGGAAAGAGAGTAGGAGGGAATTCCGGGCTGGAGTTGTGATTAGGGAGACGGAATAGGTGTACTGTATATGGGTGGTGACTTTGGCGCATGTAGTGTGTACGGACGAGCGAGTCGTCTTATACCCTCGTTTGTTGGTTTGGGAGGATAATAAGTGTTTATATACTCTGTTTACATAGCTACTTAATGGCGATATGTACTTTCCCATCTGTTCTCTACATTGACCGATCAGGTTTACTCAATAGCGATTATGTACTTTCCCATCCTTTCTCTACATAGATCGAGCAGGTTTACTCAATAGTGATTATGTGCTTTCCCATCCGTTCTCTATATATAGATCGAACAGGTTTATTCAATAGTGATTATGTACTTTCCAATCCGCTCTCTGCATAGATCGAGTAAGCCTACTCAATAGTGATTATGTACTTTCCCAATCCGTTCTTTTTCTCTACTACCGTGGCCAAAGCCTTCACCCGCTCCAGATCCGCCAGGTCCGCAGTATCACCAACAATCGCCTTCACCGTTCCGCTCTGTGCCCATTCGCCAACCCTCTGCAGATCATAAACACTCATCTTGGTAAATACTGGTTTATAGGCAACCCCCCATCGCGACACTCTCCAAGTTTGGACCGCATTGGCAACATCCAAGATTTTCGCCACCAGCCAGGGCGCGGTAGGGAAGTCCTCTCTGAGGTCCGCTCCCTTCTTGCCGGTGAGCGTGTATAGGATGCCTGTTCCCGGTTTCATGATTTGGATATATTTCATGGACGAATAGCAGGTGTCCAGCATGAAGTCCACGGTTTGCGGCCCAATCGCCTCGACGACATTTTGGGTGGTGTAGTCAATGGTCTGGTCTACTTTCCCTTCACCGAATAGCTCAATGATGCGGGAAACCTTGGCGGTGGAAACGGTTGTGATGACCTTCTTCACGTCGTACACGGGCTTGAGGAGTTGTAAGGCGAGCGAGCCAGTTGCGCTCAGACCTGCAGGGATGAAGACTGTCTTGCCTTTGAGGCCGCCTGGGATTGCGGCCTCAGCGGCGTCAAGGGCCTGGATTATCGTGAGGGACGTCGAAGGGAAATAAGACGCATCTTCAAATGATATATTATCCGGGAGTTTGGCCAGACAGAGCATGCGGTGTGGTTTCAGCAGGAGATACTCTGCTGCGCCGCCGCCGTTGACGGTGAATCCAAATACGCGGTCCCCGGGGCGGAAAGCTGTGACGGCCGACCCAACTGCAGCGATAGTTCCAGCGAAGTCAGAGCCGATAATTACAGGAAGTCTAGGAAATTAGTGTGATTCTCGATGTAGAAGGGAGACGAACTTGATGGTCTGGACGATGCGCAAGGTCCCCGCCGCGCGGGCAACGTCAGGACCCGCGAGAGAAGTCGCCTTCACACGCACGAGTATGTCTTCATCGCCTGTGATGGTAGGGATAGGGAGGATGAGGTGTTCATATTTCGCAGGCCCAGCAAAGGCAGACACGCCAACGGCGCGCATAGTTGGTTCCGCCATGGGAGTTGGTAGAGATCATTTTTAGTCGGGGGAGAGGTACTATATGAGAATGCGCTCGCCATCTCGGAGGTTTAGAGACACGCCGAAGGATTTGAAAGAGTGCTGCCATCGTTCATAGGTGGTAAGGTTCCTCCGACTCCGAGCCTCGATATCGTTTTAGAGGGTTTAAATGTTCCATTTCCCATTACCCTCGCCATTCCCCATCGCGCCCGTTTCCCTTACTGTTCCATATTACGATAGTTACCCTCGTTGTTCCCTATCGCGTCCATTCCCCATCGCCTCTGTTTCTCTCATCGTTCCCTATCGCGCCCGTTCCTCTCGCCATTTCCCATCGCGCTAGTTCCTCTTGCTATTCCCTATCGCCTCTGTTTCTCATCATTCCCTATCACGCCTATAACCTTAATTTACACTCTTTAATAAAGATGACTATTTACTATAATAGTAAGAAATAATATAGTAGGTAATTAACTACATCTATTAAACTCCCTATAATGTACCTACCTAACTACAAATAAGATTAATTATCCTTATAATCTATTACCCTAAGCCATCCTAGCTATTTAAAGTATTATAGATATATATAGATGTTTTTAAGGAGGACCTTGTTCTTTACGTCTAGTAGCTGCCCCCCTCTTACCCTCTTTAATCACTAAAACCCTTTACTGTAATTACGTAGTATAAGAAGAACTCTTGTTAAGCTCTGTCTTAAGGTGGTTAATTAGCAGGAGCACTATAGTAAAGGCACTCGCTAGCAGCCCGAACGCGAAGATGTTGACTTGATCCTCTAGCTACTCGATTAGTTCTAGCATGCTTAACTACAGCTTCACCGCCTCCCCTTCCTAAGATCCTCCTCTAAACCTATCACGCCATACCTCCTCTCTTCTTCAAATCCCTCGCCTCCCTCTCCAACCTCTTCTCCTCCTCCATAGCACTCATCTTCTCATACTTCCCATCTAATACCCTATTAATATAACCCCCATCCCACACCGCCCTGTTCCTCTCCCCTACAACCACAAGCACTAGCAATGCCGCCTCCACCGGCACCTTCCACCACCACTCGCCGTGGGACAAGGCCTTCCGCACCCCGCTCCTCGTCCTCCGGAGAGCGGCGTACGCCAGCAGCGCCAGGACCGAGTACAACACGACGACGAGGAACACCAGCTGCCGCGACCTCCGGTGGTGGCGCCACTTCGCGTGCGTGGAGTAGCGGATGGCGGCGAGGAGGCAGAGCGGGCCGACGCAGGTCGTAAACGGGGAGAGCAGGGTGGCGAGGTGGTGGGAGAGCGGGGTGAGGATGGGGATGGGGCCGCGTTTGAAGAGGTCGAAGTGAACGGCTACCATGAGGACGAAGGAGATGTAGAGAAGGGTGGCGCGGGTGAGGAGGAGGTTGGTGGAAGCCATGGCCGAGGAGGGTTATTGTAGATCTGATTGATGGGGGATAGGTCGGGTTACGTTACAAATAACACGGCGTTACAAATGACAGAACGCTATAAATAACACGACAGTACTACAGTAGAAGGCGAATATAACCTCTACTACCCCGGAATCACAATGAGGGATTTTGCTGCTGCCTTAGGCCGCACCCACCCCTACACCTACCCTTCTAAATTAGGCTGTATCCCCTACGGTCGCAACGTTAGTGCCACCTCAAACTATAGCTTTAGCTATTCTACTTAGTAGCAGCGACTGTAGACAGCTCAACCTTTGTAAAAAGCTATAAATAGGCTCTTATATGCTTTATTACTATACCTTACCTACTGTTACGGCTCTCGGAGGAACTATGGACCGTGTAGGGTTCTGGTGTTATAACAGGATATCTACTACCGGACTCTCGACATGGTCAATTTCCACTTCCGTCTTTGGTCCTGAGCTGTTGCTGCTTTAACCTGAGCTTTGGGTGAGCTAGACTGATCTGTGACTGAGCTTGGCTGAGCAAGCATGAGCCGGGTCTGCATTAGCGCAGACCCGGCTCAGGCGATGCATTAGCGCAGATGACCGCCAGATTATGCTGCTCGACAATATTTGCTGCCCGCTAAAATTGGAAATTTCCATGTACGCCAGTTCTGGGCTTCTATCTCACGTGGTACTAAGTGCGTGCGACGCTAGCACTACCATTCGAGCAAGCTTTCCATTAGGCTCTGATCTTTGGCAATGCTTGGCATGCGGGGAAACTACAATGCTGACAAATATTTGACTCCAGACTCCAGATCGCCCTGTTTCCCTATAGAACTATTAGGCCTGATGCATGATTAGACGAGCTTCTAATCCAATAAAGGCATACACACTATAACTACCGTACATGTCGCACACGAATCAATCATCGGGTCTCAAAAATAGCAATACCTCCAGTCTTATCATCGACATATTTTCAGAGGGGGTACTTGACCGTAAAATTCGCGACTGCAACATAACTCCTCCATTGAAGAGATTATTGCTCACGATAAGTGAATGACGCCCCGCATTCTTGCATATATACATCATGTCCACAGGACAAAGAAATGTCTCGTACAGCCGCGCTGTCCAAGCGTAATTACACATGGTGAACGTCTCGATACTTTGTTTTGCGCTGACTTGCGGACAGATGCAAGCGATGCAAGAGACGTAAGACGAAATGTAGTGGTTCTCGTCCCTGCCGAAGCTGTGGGGAGGCCGAGCACGACTGTGTCTATCCAGATACTGGGCAACAGGCCCAACAGGTTCTTGTTCCTAGAGAGTAGGGCCGCATTCTATCTGTTTGATCCTTCTACTTGCACGGGCTTATGAGCTGCAGGTACCTGAATTATCTGGAGGGCCAGATACGCCTGTCTAAACCCCATGACGAATGTGCCACACCGCTGCAGCATGCACAGGGAATTTCATCTCAAAATGAAGCCACGGCAGCAGCATGCCTTCCTCTTCCATTAGACCAACAGCGTCGCAGTCCCTTGACCAGTGCACTTGATGGTACCAGCGATTCCGATGTCCTTGAAAATCCTCTGATTAGGGACATGGCACGACTTGTTTTAGGCCCATCTGGAACACATCGTAAGCCGTCTCCGTCACTGAGGCTGTACTCTGATGATTAATTCTGAGCAGACTACTTAGGAAACTCCTCATCAACATCCCTTGGCCTTCAATTTGGCGATGTTGTCAAGTCGCTCAAACCTGACGACTATAGTGCTGATATAGACGTTGATTATTCAACTTGTAATCATACAGCATGGCCTATCGCGCGTCCGCTTCGATCAACAATTCGGCCTTTACCTTCTTACAGCACTGCCATGCATTTGTATGCTGTACAGCATATGTATATTGGTACAGTATTTTCATTTGTTGACCCGCACCTGTTTCAGCAACGATTGGCACAAATGTACGAGAAAGCGCCCGACCTTTCGCAGCTAGATACACGTCTCTCGTACTGTCAAATAATGTTGGTCTTTGCGTACGGCCAACTGTATTCGATCAACCAGTCGACTGGACATGACGGGCCACCAGGGTTTTCGTACTTCACGGAAGCTTTGGATTTTCTTCCTGACATCCGTGAGGAAGGGTCACTTCTCTTTGTAGAAGTACTTTCTCTTGTTGGATACTTCATGATGATATTGAACCGCCGAGACACGGCATTCCTTTATGTATAAGTTCTCTACTCATTTGTATATGTCTCCGTGATGAGCATCTAACACTTCGTTTAGAACGGGCTTGCATTCCGGATGGCAATATCACTGGGGCTACATCAAGAAGTGCCGGAGCTTGTTTTGATGGATACATCTATGCGAATATATAGAAGGCGCTTATGGTGGGCTGTATATAGTATGGATAGGTATGCACTTATCTCTAATGTCGTTACGAGTTCACTTACAGTTTAGGATTTTATCTTGCAAATCTGGCAATCCAATCAGCATTGCTGATGAAGACATTAGCGTCTTGCCACCTTCACCTTTAGTAAGGGCGGTTATACCTTTTACAGATGTCGCTAATGTATTGAAGCCAGGAGAAGACCATATCACGGGCTCAGCAGCAATATTATGGCGATATACAACGCTGACGAAGATTCTCGGAGATATTTCAACAAGTATGTGTTCCACAATTTGTGAAGCTGAACACAAGACTGATTCTTGTTGAGAAATTTATCGTAGAACCCGGCAGACAGCATCCGAACTGATCGTTTCGGTCCTTGGTCTACTTAATAACCTTTCAAGCTGGCTTCACGACTTACCAGAAGAGCTACGTCTGAATCTCACCGATATGGACAAATGTCCAAATCTATCGCGAGAAATCATTTCAATATACCTTCACTACTTCCAATGTATTACAATGACCGCGCGCCCGCTACTCTTCCACGTGGTGGAAAACAGACTCAAGAGTCAGCTAGGTTCCGATACTGGGCCCGCCGCCTGGAGACAAACCCTCTCTCCTATAACTGTGGCAGTTATCGATACCTGTGTATCAACTGCTATTGATAGCACTGCCGTTATATATGCGGCAGCCAAACAAAATCTCATCGGTCAGTAATTACCGTCTGCTTCTGTCTTCTCTATATTTCACAGGGATAAGCTCACACTTTGGCAGCTACATATGGTTTTATGGACAGCGACCATGTATTTTCCACTACAATGGTGCTGGTCATGGGCAACCTCGCCACTCCCTACAATGCTCGTTGCCGTGCATCTACAACAACTGCCCTGTCAATGCTTCAATGGATGGCAGAGCGAGGTAACCATCAAAGCAAAGCGCGTCATGAGTTTCTCCTAGGCCTGCGAGCCAAGACTAAACATCTCTGGCTGTGGTGCCCACCAGAATCCCAGACAGCCGATAGCCAGCCTGAGACTGTGCCAGGGGTTACAACCATGCCTGAGCCTGCCATAGAAGCTTGTCCGTCAACATCGGAAGTATTTGGTGATAGAATGGGGAATGATGATACAAATAGAGCGTACGGAAACGTGGCGCCTCTCCAGCTGCACGGTTGGGACGATGAGCTTGGAGTTATGGACGCCACATTTTGGGAAGATAGCTATGGGAATCTAGAGGTTGGGATGGACTTCGATTGGACTACTGTAGCGGAGAAATAGGTTTTGATGGACTCTATGTACTAGAATAGTGTAAAGGAGCGGAATATAAGGTTGGAGGCGAACCTGCTGCAAATAACCCTGCGCACAAACGTAAACCAGAGCAATGTCTGACATTCGGGATGCACCTTGCCTCTATCTACTCGGACCAGCTATTGACACGATTACGAGTTGCTCCTAGCACTACCCGTTTAACGCGGTGATTGCTATCGCCATACTCAGCAATGTATTACTATAAATCAAGTATGAAACGTGGATAGAGGCCATTAGAACGTGCCGTCGAAATTTTCTGCTATGGGCTGTGTTGTATCACTGCTATTACCTCGAATCTAAGGAGCACGCCTGAAATTGAGACTAGGGCAAGTATGCAATTAAGAGCCTATCAGCGTCCAAATAATATAGCAATATGTGACGGTCCCAGGGACAAAAAGTGATGCTTCGAAAGCAAGAATGAATTGCCCTCTTGCTTGCGATACATTGTTTATGACTAAGGCGGTAAACAATAAGTTATCATAGATGCGTGTAAGACGCTGACACTGGCAAATCTACGCCAACTACGGTAAGCGCGGCCTTTCGGAAATGCCTAGCGTACGCGAATCTTCCATCCAATCGCTGACGTCGGCGGTGCCTAGCGCGCCTCTTACTTTCAGTTGGTTCCTAGAGAAAACAGAGTTGGTTTAGAACACTTACCGATGAGAACCATATTGCTGAACCCTCCCGATGTCGAGCAGGGAAATGGGCCTAATAGCTCCGAAGTCAACCCGAACAGCAAGTTTCTCCACGATGAAATTCGTGACATCTCCTCGCCCGCAGGGAATTTCACTCATCACGTGCTGACCTCTGGCCCAGCATCATTTCTCAAGTCTTATTTGCTCTATATCCTGCCCATATCGTGCCATCATTTTCTTGTCTGCCGCCCTCATACTCTTGAACAAGGTATATTTTACCTCTCCGATCCTAATGAATTTACAGACCCATCAATTTCGCTCCTCCGCACCCTCAGAAAAATCTCCGAGTCGGCGACATGGTCGCCAGCCTAGCTCTGGGACATCCCTCCAATCTGTCAGCAAGCGCTCGAGATCGTACTCTACGGTATGGTAGCCGCCTGCACAATGGTGGCCTTTTAATTTCAGCTTGACAGAAATCTGCTGATATTGGAAATTTGTTGTAGATCGTCGCAGACAACGTGCCCAGCGATGCATTAGGGGCGTTACAAGCAAAACTATCCCTGAGAAGGGGAAGCCTAGGTAAGCTTGTAGTTGCTGCCGTGTCTACTGTTTGCCGACGTATTGACATTTTATCCTATCAGATGTGTTGTCTATTAAACCACGAACATTTTTGATACCAGTACAGCCGACGCTGAGGGCTCTGTTGCAAAGGGAGGATACTGATAACAATCTCCAGATTACTATCGAAGACAAGGGGCCAAAGGTATTCTCTCTTTGAAGCCATATCACTATTTGTACTGACTTTATGCCGAAATAGGTCCTCTCTGTTGGAACCGCTTCTTCGGGCGGAAACAAAAAGTTCCATCTTCGCGGTACTTATGTGCTCTCCAACCTCCTGCAAGAGTTGAGTCTAGCAAGCGAATTGGACAAAAGCCATGTAATTATACCGGAAACGCGGCTCAATGAGAATCCGGTATCTCGACTATCTAGAATCATCAAATACTCGTACTGGGATCGCCTCACTCGCAGAATTGATGCGAACAACATTGAAATCGTCGGCAGAGACCCTAAGGATTGGACAGATGACCCACGACCTCGGATATACGTTCCATGGGGAGCTCCGGAGCAGTATGAGTATTATCAGGAGGTTGCTAGAAATCGGCCTGAGATCCGCTTAGATGTGAGGCGACTCCCCGAAGGCCCCATCAACCCGGAATATGCTCGGGATATGGATATAGCTGCACCGGGGCTTCTTGCGTTGGGATTAGAAGAGTATGTCGACGAATTCGGCAAAATTTCAAAGCGCGGACTGCCTTTCGTAGTACCAGGTGGTAGATTCAACGAGCTATACGGCTGGGATAGCTATTTTATTCTCCTCGGGTTATTATCGAATGGCCGCACTGACCTCGCAAAATCAATCGTGTCCAATTTCTGCTATTCCATCAAGCATTATGGCAAGATACATAACGCGAACAGGTCCTACTATATTACTCGCTCACAACCTCCTTTCTTAACCGATATGGCTATCCAAGTGTACGATCACATTCGAGATGAGTCTGGCGCACTGGATTTTCTTCGACAGGCCGTTTTGGCATCTATCAAAGAGTACTATGGCATCTGGGTCGCATTGCCACGTTTGGATCATGTCACACGTCTGTCCAGATACCGATCAGATGGTATCGGCATTCCTCCGGAGACCGAAGCATCACATTTCACCCAAATTCTCAAACCATACGCCTTGAAACACAACCTAAGCGTCCCGGAATTTATTAAAGCCTACAATCTGTGCCAGATTACCGAACCGGAACTGGACGAGTATCTTCTTCACGATCGGGCTTTAAGGGAATCTGGCCACGATACTACATACCGGTTCGAGGGCGTTTGTGCTAACCTGGCAACTGTGGATCTCAATTCACTTCTCTATAAATATGAGACCGATATTTCTCGCATAATCCGCGACAATTTTCAAGATAACCTAGAAATTCCTAGGGAGTTCCGCATCTGCGAGATGCAAGTTGGCAATGAAAGTTCTGCTGTGTGGGATCGGAGGGCCAAATTGAGAAAACGCATGATGGACAAGTATCTGTGGAACGCAAAAGAGAATATGTACTTTGACTACGATACAATCAACAAGAAGCAAATGTTGTATGAGTCTGTAACAACCTTCTGGCCCATGTGGGCCGGCGTCGCTAGCCCTCAACAATCCTCTCTCTTGATGCGCCATGCGCTTCCTAAATTCGAAGTCCAAGGTGGGCTTGTTTCCGGAACGGAAAAGTCACGTGGCAAAATTACCCAGATTCGCCCCAACCGTCAATGGGATTATCCTTACGGCTGGGCTCCACATCAGATGCTTGCCTGGAAGGGTCTGTTAAGGTATGGATACCAAGAAGAGGCGGAGAGACTTGCGTACAAATGGCTTTGGATGATGACGAAGGCTTTCGTTGAGTATAACGGTGTTGTGGTGGAGAAATACGATGTCACTCGTCCTATCGGCCCGCACAAGGTTGATGCTGAGTATGGAAACCAAGGCGCTAATTTTCAAGGTGTTTCAAGAGAAGGGTAAGTCTTCGGTTGGCCATATCCTACATGTCCATTTGCTGAAAACTGTCCGAGTAACTAATGGGGCTTTCTAGATTTGGCTGGGCAAACGCAAGCTATGTCTATGGATTGCAAAACCTCAATACGCACATGAAGCGCGGTTTGGGGGCGTGTGTTCCATATGAAACATTTAAGAGAGCTACTTAACGATATGAAGTCTCAAGGAAAAGATAATTGTTGAGAGTGCGGCACGTTCGGGGCTATATAGTTAGAAGGATGAATTGCAAAAGTTATTTGAATTTAATGACAGTAGGGTTGGATTTACTGTTGCTTAGGGTTAAGTGTTGTATTAGGGTATATGTTACTGATAAACTATGCTATACAAAATATTAACCCCTCCTAGCCTTATAGGTATTTCTATAACTTTCCTAAGGATCTTCTGCAATAATCGGTTCGTCGCTGAAGAGGTCAATGTGAGTTGTAGCAAACTTCCTCGCTTTGATTTTTTGGTCGAACAGCGCATCTAATTCCGCAAATGTACGGCCTTTTGACTCGGGCAGCCGGAAGAAGCTCCATACAAGGCATAGGGTGCAGGATCCCGCCCAGAAGAATCCCGTCTTCGCTTTCCAGTTCCAAGCCGTTGGGTTAAGCATGTATGGAGTGATAACGCCGTTCACGATGCTGAAGACATTGTACACGATCCTTGCTAGCACGATCGTCTTGGCGCGGAGCCGTAGCGACGAGATCTCTGAGACAATTGAATAGCATACAGGGCCCACAGTCAGGTTGTAGATCAGAGCAAAGACAAGTAACATGGAACCAGACGCCCACTGTGCGCCTTTGTTGGAGTTTGGAGCAATGCCAGTGAAGCCAATAATGTACAGCAGGGCGGCAAGTATAGTGAGACCGACAACGTATAGCCTACGTCGACCGAAGTGGCTCAGTAGAAACCAAGATAAGACGGTTCCAATAAAGCCGATAGCGTACTGGCCCATGGAAAAATTGAAGGAGTTGGTAGGGTTGATTCCAGCCTGGATGAAAAAGTAGGTCGAATTGTTCATGAATGCCGACCCACAGAGATTTTGGATCGCCCATGTCACGCACGAAATTTCCGTTCGGCGAAGGTCAGTACCTTTGAAGCAATCGAAGTACGAGGTTCCGCTTGACATTTCCTTCTCGATTTCGTTGGTGTGGATCATCATTGCCACCGTGTTATCAGCACTTTCGATGTCGTCGGGGTCTTGGAGTGCCAGGCGCTGGATAACCGCTTTAGCTTCGGCCTCTCGTCCTTTCCTAACTAACCACCAAGGCGATTCAGGTGCAAAAAGAACGCCAACTATAATGGGCATTGGCCACATCCATTGGAGTGCGTATGGAATGCGGTAAGCCCATTCGCCCTGACGCGTGAGACAGGCACGTAAAATACCAGAAGCCAGCAATTGACCCATGACCCAGCAAAGGTTGACGTATGTTGTTAAGTAAGCTCTGAGAGCGACAGGGCAAATCTCAGCCGCGTATGTGGTCGGGACTGTTTGAAAAACACCCCATGGAATGCCCATAAGAATACAGCCGATTTGGAGTGTTATAATGTTGGGTGCGAAGAATGGGATAAAGATGAAGGCAGTAATAATAGACAATGCTATAAGCATTATCTTCCTGTAGCCGATCCGTTCCGCAAGATAACCAGCGACGAAGAGGCCGAGTATCTCCCCAACAGCGGCTCCGTTATAGAGACCAGCCTGCCACGCTGCTGAAAGTTGATAGCTGCCATCAGGTTGGCGCTGGCCGTACTTCGTTGTCCAGGGAAGAAAGGCGAGGAATGAGGTGATGAGGAGTAGATCATACCCCTCCATGACAACAGCCGTGGAGAGGAGTATAGACCAGCCAATGGCTTTGGGGTAGCGCCTGAGTGCTTCGCTCAGGGACATTCTCAGCTCCTTTTCCGTCGCAATCTTAGCCTGTGCTTTGAGGTCTGTCTTTAAGCATGTATTGTCCGTTCCTAAGGACTGGTCCTCAACCATCTCGACATCGTCCTTGGTGAAATTCATGGTTGTGACAAAAAGGGAAGGAGATGTTCTAAGACGATTGGTCGGTGGAACGACAAGTCGAAGTCACGATGATAAAGAGGATAGAGTATCAAGGTAAAGATAGAATGAACAGAGAAAGACGGGGAATCGACGGACGGAGATTCATGCTCTATTTGTTCTCGGCTTACCCCAGACATTTACCCCGGAGTGGGGCCTCGGAGAGGGCGCTACTGCTCTCTTTAACAGGCTGCGCTCTGAGAGGTCGGGAGTGCGGGGAGACAATTGAAGGCAAGTCTATACCGACGCTCACAATCTAACCATCTTGGTGACATCTCACGGTTGTGGCAGGAGGGACGAAGTACAGGCTATCCAATATGTCTTAGGTTTCCGTTTAAGCTCGCTGGACCACTTCCTATCCATGCTTCAAGTTGCAAACTATAAAATCAGTAGCTACAGCGCGTGTACACTAAATGGCAAAGGTTGTACAGACAGATTCAGCGAGAGTTACTAAACCACGACGTTAGTGTACTAATGAGGCCTTGCCCTCAACACGGATGACTAATAGTTTATACAAAATACTCATAGCCTGCCCCTACAGCGCAAGGTGCCAATTGAACCACAGAGCCACAGATCTATTGCACAGCACCCTGAGACTCCGCTCTCCGAGCTCGGTACATACATACTTACTGAGGCAATTAAAACGTATGATCCGATCGATTTAATGGTGAAGCTACGAAGTGCGCCCGAGTGATGCGGCGTTGGCCATTAGACGTAAGACGCGCGCTAGGCCTTTCCGACATGCCGGCTCTTGAGGCCAATATGTGATTGGAGGGGCGAGGAGTGTGCGCTAGGTATTTCCGAAGGGCCGTGCTGCAAGAATTTTGGCTTGCGGGGCGAGGAGCGTGCGCTAGGTATTTCCGATGGGCTGTGCTGCAAGAATGTAGGATTGCGGGCAGAGGCGCTAGGCATTGCCGGTAATGTTGCGGGGACAGACATTGGTCACACACACGTATCTGGAAACAATTGAATGAGGAGAGGAAACTCGATCTTGAGACCCAGTAGCTTATGACTAACCCGCTCAAAATCGGGTGAAACACACTATTTGGCAATTGCAATTGTAACAGCGGCGAAAGATTCAATGATGCCAAAGGATAGTGGAGACAGAAGGGAGCTTCGCCTTTTTTTAAGAAGTCCGGAAGTTTTGCTGGTGAGGGTATATATATTGCCGTTTACCTTCTCCTATGACCTTTCTCATAATACAGATTTTCCCAGCAAGAGACGTCCTGTATACACGAAAACTATCACTCTTTACGAAAGTTTCTTTGTAGGAACGTAAGGGAAGATTTGTGGGATCTAATAAAGTAGGCAATAGGAAAATGGCGTGGGAAGAACCGCGGAAAACGGGAATGCTCTATCGCAAGGTGGGCAATTCGGGCCTCCATGTTTCAGTGCTAGGGTTGGGGGGTTGGTTAACGTATGTATTTCCTGTTCTGCTCCCTTCCTAGTGCCTAATTCTGTGAGTTACTACAAATACTGATATGAGGTGCTGGATAGTTTTGGCGGACATGTTGAGAATGGTGAGTGTTAGTCCTTTTTTTCCGGGGATTGGGGGGGGGGGGAGAGGTTGCGCGTGAGAGATACGAGTCAAATGACAGATTGACGCTCCTTCGGTAGGGAACTGGTAAATTGGGCTATAGGACTGACTTGGTGATCTGATGTGCAGAGAAGACAGCCGCGGTTATGAAGCAAGCGTATGACTGCGGTATCAACTTCTTCGATACTGCCGAGAGGTATGTGCCAACCCTATTCCTACCCATATCTGAAATTTGACTTGGGAGCTTGAGAGTCAACTCCGAGACTTTTGCGAGATTATGCTGAGATTATTTTGAGGATAATGCTAATGAGGTACTAGCTATTCTGCTGGTCAATCTGAAATCGCGATGGGCAAGGCGATTAAAAAATATGGATGGAAGCGAAATGATCTTGTTATCTCGGCCAAGGTAAAGTTTTTAGACCTCAGACTTGCTCCTTTCAGACACAACAGCGCGTCAAGCATAACTTTCCCCATTTGTTTCCTCTACATATCAAAACTCGCGCCACTCTCTCTATTAGCTGCTCCTAACACCGCATAGCTCAACTGGGGCGGCGCCTATGGCGAAATCTTAGTCAATAACCACGGCCTCTCGCGCAAACACATCATCGAAGGCCTCTCTGCCTCCCTCGAGCGCCTTCAGCTCAGCTATGTCGACATCATTTACGCGCACCAACCCGATCGCCTCACCCCCATGGAAGAAACCGTTCGAGCCTTCAACCATGTCATTAACCAGGGACAAGCCCTCTATTGGGGAACTAGCAAATGGTCTGCAGACGAGATAACGGAAGCATGCGGGATTGCGAAGCAGCTTGGGATGATCGGGCCCATTGTAGAACAGCCCTGCTATAATGTCCTGGAGCGGACGAAGGTGGAGGGCGAGTTCCAGCGGTTATATACGAGGTGTGGGATTGGATTGACGACCTTTAGCCCGCTGAAGATGGGCATGTTGAGTGGGAAATATGAGGGCGCAAAGACGTTGCCATCGGGTAGCAGGTTTGCAGAAAGCGAAGATAAGTTTGCGGTTTTCATGAAGGGACAGGTTGGGGGTGAGGATTGGAATACTACAGTGGAAAAGGTGACCAAGCTGAAGGTTCGTTATCTACCCTGCTGTCCTAGTTTTGACCCTACTTTCCCTGGATGGCCGCGTGTGAGGATAAGAAACTAACATGGCTGTAGCCCATCGCACAACGTCTTGGTGTTACGCAGAGTCAGCTGGCGCTGGCATGGTGTCTGAAGAATGAAAACGTAGCGTCAGTGATTACGGGTGCGTCAAGGCCAGAGCAGATTGTCGAGAATGTCAAGTGTCTGCAAATTCTGGACAAGTTGACACTGGAGGTACTAAATGAGATTGATGGGATATTGGGGAATAAACCGCCCCTTGATCCTGCGAGACAGGACTAGGTGAATGTGTAAGGGAGGGGGTATGGGGAAAGAACGGCATGGGACGGGAGCATGCAGAATGAGAGACGGAATCAAAAAGAAAGATCATATTAAGTAGTAACTTAGATGAGATTTGATTTTCTGAATGCTTTAGTTGAAACACAGACTAAAGACGTTAGGGTTAGTGAAAACTGTTAAGAGTAGATACCGGTGCTCGTTGGCGCGCTTCTCGCCTCCGAGAGCTGCTACCGTCCTGCATGCAGCATCCCCGTCCGTCCCCGCGTCCTCGCAGCATCTCCCTCCGCGTCCTTGCCGGCGTCTTCTCCCGCGCCTGCTGTTCCACCTGCAGCGGCGACTGCACTCCCGTCCGCACAGCCAATGGCACCTGCCGTCGACCCCAAGGTTTGCTGCCGGCCAGCTAATGCAAATACTCTCGATTCCCAAGAGGATCAGATTGGCCGATCGCTCGAACAACGACGTCCGCAAGGCCATCTCCCCTGAGGTCCGCGAGACCACCATCCCCGAGCACCGCGGCGTTCGCAACATTATATCCGGCCACAATAGGGCGGTCTCCATGCCGATCCTTCCCATGACGGTATACGAGTCTATCCACCAGGGGTTCCACCCCCCAACTCGCACCCCTACGACGTTGCACGAGGAAATCTCCACCCTCATCAACGACCAATACGGTCCTGGCCCTGCAGAGCAGGATGAGGATACGCCTATGATCCCGGACAATTTAACCAACAACTCCGCTGAATCTTACCGCCGCTATGCGGCTCAGCCCTATGTCGCCACGTCGCCGAGCTTCGGGAGTTCCATAAGCATTACTCGGGCTACCGTCAACTCCACGGGACCCTCTAACAACACTGCCGCGGTCGACTTCGCCGCAGGCAACACTAGCCCTACGAACGAAACCAGCGAGGCCGAATTCCGGGCTGCCAGCCAAAGGGCAGCTGCCGCGACCCGCGCTGCCTGTCTGCTCATACGAAATGCTCCTAACTTCAACGTTGCGGAAACTTGGATGGAGGATTTAAACAATGACCTTGAGGATGTTATCGAGGACGAGCACGAGTTTAGTATGGAAATCTACAGGCCAAATGAGAACTGAAGCTTCCTCCTATAGTTTACAACCACAATTTGTTTCCTTTCACTAGCGCATCGTCCCTACGGCGCCACAATGGCCTCCTCCCGCGACTGCTCTTTGTTTCTGCTCCGGTGCTAGTAGAGATCGACTTACCTTAGCTTAGTGAAGGCGAATCTGCCAATAGTATAATAGAGGCTATTACAACAGCTTATGGTAGAAATATACTCATAGCGTATATAAGGATCAGTCGCTTTCCCTATGGCTGCAGTTAAGAGAGCTTCTAGGACTAAGCTTATGCTATAGGTTAATACTACAAAACTAGCGGCTATAGTTACTCTAATGACAGCGATAGATGCTACAGATGTCTAAGGATTCATAAGGTGCATCTTCGCGTACATTCTAGATTCTTAATAGCTATTACATAGGGTAAGGGTTAGGTAGTAGAAGTATAAGTCTTATTACTTAATTAGGTAGGTAGTAGCAGTAGTAGTAGCGCGTATAGGGTTACTAAACCTAATTAGGATTGTTTCTACATTTAAGTAAGGCATAATACCTAATTAGGATTGTTATAACATACTAATACTAATTTAGATTATTACAACAGGTAAGTATATGCTTAAAGAGGAAGTAGTACTTATTAATCTAAGCATAGAGGAAGTTAAGGAGGTCCCTAGTTAGAACAATATAATATAGCAATAGAGAAGAGCCATTACCTTTGTTATTAGCATTATAGAGGTCCTATTACACCTACTACTAATAGATCTCTTCTATTATAGACATAGAGATCTAATGCTCTTCTTAGATGCTATACAACTTCTATTAATTATTAAGTAGGTTAGTATAGGCCTGCTTCTTACTATAGAGGTAGGAAAATTCATATACCCCCTTTAAGAAGGTAATTCCTCTACCTTCCTACTATAGAGATCTTATATATCTAGGATCTAAGGTAAGATTCTCTATAGAATTGTTATTAAATACATAAACCTTTACTAAATTAAAAGGCGTCTTAATAAGTCTATAAAACTAAGAGTATATTAGCCTATCTTTAGTCTTAGCTCCCTATAGTGCTATAAAAAGCGTCTAGCCTATTATATCCTATATTATAGCCTAGGTATATATTATACACTTTAGGTTGCCTTTAGCCTTACTTCTGTTAGGATTAAGGACTGCCTATGTTTTTATATATACGTTAAGGTAGCACTTCTTCTATAGGAACACCTTAGCCTTATAATCCTTAAGGAGCTAATTATAAGGTAGTGTACTATCTTTAGACATTACCTACTTTATACAATAAAGCCACTTCTCGGGGTCGGAGCTGCTGGATTTGGCAGGGCGCGGTTGCTGCTTTACGCACCCTTTACCTCCACGCTAACCCAAATGCACGTGATCACAGATCGCGTCACAGCCCCCCACATCGGTTACCCTTCAAACGGTTCCTGGTTCCTGGTCCCTATGGTCTGCTTTCTAGTTTCCGTTTCTCTCTTTTCTGCTCGCCCTAAGGTACCACCCACCGGCCATCATGATCATGAGGGCCACTACACGGTGTACCACCCGGTCGCTCGGACTGGCCACTTGTTTAAATACCTTGCTATCCCGTGGCCTACATCGTGTACCACCTATCTCTTCCTAAAAGCTGCCCTCACGCCCTCGAACAAGTCAGCCTAATAGGTATTCGTCTCCTAAAGGCAGCCCCCCGCGACTTAGCATTTAGAGCTCTGCGTTCATCTCATCATCCTAGGTCTATCGCTAAGTCGCCTGTCATGCCCACTAACGGAATAGGCAACCGGCAACTGCCTACTCTAAAGCAGAACATGATAAGCTTCGTCACTAAACGGACGAGACAAGCTCAACAGCTAAAGAAGCCTAAGCGTACCGCTAAGGACTACCGGGTTATAGGACGAGAGCTTAGCACTAAATCTTAGAAACCTAACGATGCTAAAGCTACGAAAGAGAATGTCTAAGGCATATAGCGCAAGTAGTCTAAGTAAGTCAACAATGTCCCCTTTAAGGCTCCTATCACTTACTCGAGATAAGGTTCTGCGCTTTTTAGGGTGTGAAAGACGTGCGAGGAGCTATTTAACAATGCGATAAAGCGACGACTATGTTGTTCCTATGCTTCATCTACGAGAATTGTAAAGTTAAGGCGTTTAACTCTGTCTACTAGTACTTGCTGTAGTTTAAACAACTCTATAATCGGGTTAATAGGTGCTACATAGATACAAACGATGCAAAAGAAGTGTTTAAGGTATGCTCTTGTATTCTATGTTATTTATAGAAGACATGGCACTAACACCACCGTTCTTATAGTATCTAGATATGACCTTAGCAGACGAATTCAAACTTAGACGGACGATGAAGGCTAAACTAGTGTTAGGAGCAGACGATATCCTTCTCCTCCTCACTTACCTCTAGGCTTAGGATACCTCCGTATTTCCGACTAAGGACTAACGGTTAACGACTACAACAATAATGCTCCTTTCTATCTATACTAGTTGTCGACCTATAGAGCTAGTTGACGCTTTAAAGCGTGTAGGCGGAAAGACAACCTCTTGCAAACGCCCACATATAGAAGTCTAGGATTCCGTTGATGACTTAGATGAAGATGAGAGTGTAGATAAGGGAGAGGGATTAGATAAGCCGAATTATTAAGGGCGAGCACCATAGGATAATAAAAGCGATTCTGAATATAATAATGATAACTTCGACCCTAACACTATAGAACGGAAATATAAGAGTTTATGCTATAAGGACATCTGCCTCTAGATTGTTCGGAACCCTACATAGGGAGAACGAGACCTCCTAGGCATAGAGATCACTTTCTCCCATTATAAAGGTGCTGATAGGAAACCGAAACCGTATGTCCCTCTATAATGCCTCTCCCTTATCCTAACTAACTTCACGACTTTAGCACGACTTTCCTCTTTCATAAAGAGGCCCTTCCTATACTTTGCCCTATTAGCCATGTCTTGGCTCACGTAATAAAGGATGATGCAATTGAGGTTAGAGGCTCGTTGCACGCAGAGCCTTTCTTTACAAGTCATCTGCAGCACCCTACGAAAGCCGTATTGATTCACTAGAAGCTAGAGATGCTTAAAAGGCCTATATTTCGTCAGGTGGTGCACTCGTGCGATTTGTTCCGTACGTTGGAGTAGAAGGCTCTACGCTACTCGACCTACGCTTACTACCTTGATCGTCTCGGCTAGGCGACTGGTTTTAAGCAGAAGTTGACGAGCTACTATTTTCGCAAAGGCATAGGAAACGCTGTTGACGGTAAACTTCTCACTGACCATAGCTTGCTTTAACTGACGATTGCGTAGGGGCTGCGACGACAGCAGTTCGCGACTAGATACTAAGGCACAATCCCTAGACTAGAGTATTCTCTAGATCATACATCAATGAGAAAGTCAGATTCATCGTTCAAGATGCAGTGCTAGACCAGCCTACCGACTCTGGCTTTCTCTAGGCCTTCACACACATGAGTCTCACCTGTGATCCCCGCGCGCCTCAGACAGTACCTAACCATGTTCGCGATGACCTCCCGCCTAATCTAGAGCTAGTGCAGCTAAAGCTTAAGCAGCAAGAGCTTCGCTTAGAGCTGAAGCGTTTGTATGGACACGCATTTGTTCAGGGTTCAATTGGCACAGAAGCTAGTGAAGAATATCGTCAATTAAATCGACAGATTGCTACAGTAACTAAGACGTTTAAGCGAGAGCTCAAGAGGGAGTACCGCCGAGACTACTTCTACCAAATCCACAACGAAGAACTTAAGAAGATCATTAAGAAGGTCAAAGTCGTGACACCGACTTATGTTGAGCCAGTCGTTAAGCACCAGCTGTCGGAACGGACCTAGCTTCAAGAAATCATGTGCAACCTTTCTAAGGATCTAAGTGCACGTGATATCGTCATACGACGGATTCATGCCATCGACACAATGGTCGCTCTATCTCGTCGCTAAGAGGTCTAGTGTCATAAGTCACGGCTAAGCAAATCGTCCTCGGGGTCTCCTCTTGTAGGGTCCCCCGAGGTGAAGGAAGAATCGCCTGTTCCTGAAACATTTCCCGTGAAGTGCAAGGAAACTCAGTGTATATTTTGTATTGGTGACGATCGTCAAAGTTATGACAGGCGCATGCGCACATTTTCGAAACCCGACAAGATGAAGGACCACGTTGAGAGGCATTTAGAAAAGAGGACACTAGGAAAGTATGAATGCTGCCATCCAGTTTGCAAGGCCGAGGGGCTACTTCTCGACAACATCATCCTTTTCAAGAATCACGTGGAGATGGTGCATGGCATTAGACTTCGAGACCTAAAATACATCTCTTGAAGAGCAATTGGTCCTTGTAGCATTGTCCATTCTGAACCCCACCTTAAACATTGCCTTCTGCCTTCATTCTGCAAGTATGTGGCGTATATACTAGGACATCGTTCAACTAATCGTATATCCCCGTAACCATCAAGCCGTCACGACGTTTCTACCGCGAAGTGAAATAGATGTTCCCGTGCAGGTTCTCAACGCCGACTCCGGAGCCAGCGCTGCACGTTTCGCAAGGGTGGATCTTCGTCCGTCCAGCGGCCCATAGTCTAGTCTGAGTTACGCAATAAATTGTAGATGTTCTCATCGGTGACTGTTGCGAGTTCCTGTATTACCTGTCAGCACTGTATCCTCGCTCCTATCGTGGTGGTTTTGTTTCAAAATTCGCCAAATCCAGAGGGGAAGAGAACAACTGGGTCATGTAGTAAAAATGAAAAACGCACAGCTCGCAGAGCTTGGTCGCCAGATACCAAAGCAGGCACATGTGATGGATCGGGCCTCAGTAACACGCTATCCCGCCATGCGACCCAGCGCATGGCTGCACTCTGCCTCATACATATCTTCTGCGCCTCGTGTCGCCTCGAAAAACTATCCAGCAGCACCTGCGTCAACTCCGCCTTCTCCTGCTCCGCCGGGCCGCTCCGGCCGGTTGGCACGCGCGTGTCGGCCGCCACGTTCAGGACATGCTGCCCGTCCACTGAGCATTGGCGGAGCGCCGCGTAGCCTTCGGTATAGAAGCCATCCGGGCGAGGAGAGTCGCAAGTTACTGAGACAATGCTGTACTGGAGGGCGCGGAAGTCGGAGAGGAGGTCGGCGACGCGGGTCGCCCGCGCATCGTTTACTGGAAAGTGGATCAGTCTCGATTGCACCGTGCGGTGGCAAGGTGGCAATTTATGAGCATCTTGTCAAAGTTGGAGTCGATCAGGGTGGCGGAGACGGGCGGGAGCTTAAGAAATGTGGAATACTCACATCCGTCTGCCATTGGGGCGATAAAATATATCCGAACCAACTGCGTGGTATTTGGGCCGAATGCCGCTCTTGGCAGTCCCGTGCTTCCATATAAAATCGGCCACACAAGGCAAATACCGCTCCAAATACCGCTTAACAGGTGAGATATTATTCCCCCTTTCGAGAGCCAGTAGAAATCCCAAACCCCAGTAATCGTATTGTAGAGTAGTATTTGAGTGTAGAACCAATTTATATCTTGGTCCGAATTATATTGCGTTGAATAACCTAACTCCTTATTTGGGGTTACCCCAAGCCGTGCACCCAATTATAAATATCAATATGGAAAATCAAACGCAACTCTGGCAATTGATAGCCTCGCGGTCCATAATGGTCTGGCCTATTACTACTAACCCACCGATCTAAAGTTTATGCAAGGCAGAGCGGACGGGATTGCGTAGTTCTCGAGGCTCTCGATGACGCGCTTGATGAAGGGGTGGTGGGGGACGGAGCCCAGGGCGTCATTACCAATTCCCGTCGGGAGACTGCGACGCAGCCAGGCGGGGTATTCGAGCATAATCTCGAGGCGTCTTGCGCATCCGTCGTCGAGATCAAGGTAGATGCCGCCATAGTGGTCGAGGACGAAGTAACGTATCGCGTCGGCGCGTTGGACGGGGAAGGGGTATGAGTCGAAGGTCTCGAGAAACCCGCCGTATTCCTTCCGAATGAATTCGCGGGAGAGAGAGTTAGTCAAGAGCTTTTATTCGCAGTCTGGATGCAAGGCGATGCATGATTTCTGGCTATGCACCCATTGTGCGGGGGGTGCCGTGAGCCAAATTGGGTACAAGCCTGTATAAACCAGGAGAACAACCTCTGTTCTCTTTCCGCTCGATGGCACGAAGCGATGCATTTCGTTCGCAAGCTGGGCAATATTAATACGCGAACGAAGACTGCTCAGGAAGTGGAACAATAATTGATTTCGGAGAAGAAGGTGATGGCAATTTCGACCAGTGTCACACCCTTGACCAACCCGCCAGGTCGGTATTTGGGAATGACGTAGGTCCCATTCATCCAGGTATGAAACAAGGCTCTCCACCGTGACCAAGGCTCTACTTTGCTAACAGGCAGTCTAGTGTTTGTGACACAGGGTACTGAAGGCGAGGAGACATGCTTCGAGGAATTTGAAATCGAATCCGGATATTGCCAGGGTTTTGGGTTTGATTTGCGGTCTTGGAAGGGGCGTAATTGAATAGTACTGCACAAGCCCGTCTCCGCAAAATATTCGGGGCTACTCTGCAAGTCTGCGTGTTTGCAGAGCTAAGGAGTTGACGGGGTGGAATCAACAGTTTCTTTTCTACTGTAGCCTACTGTACGTAGAACCTACAGTCCTCATTTGGACTGGGTGGGAATTGAACAACTTTACTCGGGATAAATATATGCCGCCACAGACACCGGAGATGGGCTCATTGCTCATACGTCGTCATCTGCGGGCGCTGTTCATTATACTGTTTTGCTCATCGTAATTCCCGAGAGGTAGAAGTGCTACCCTAGTTTACGGACCTCAGCCGGAGTGCGAGTCATTGTTATTATCAGGCTCAGCGTCCTTTAATTCCTGCTCTGGGACCACCGAGAAGCTAGGAGAGAGAAGACCTTGGATAACGATCTTCGTGGATAGTCTTCCAATATATGGATGTTGAAGGACCTCACTGATGGAGCCTGCCTTAGTGTCTCCCGTTTTGTAGATAAGATAAAGAGATAAGTAAGCCCTGGAGCATAAATAGTTAGGCCTTGCCCTTCAAATTGACGTGAACCTATCGAAATCGCCAATTTTTTTTCCATTCTAATTCGAGCTCCATTCCTTATATTCGTCAATAGCTACCACGAACATAATATCCATTACGATGGCTCAGGTCCAAGGCCACTGCGACGCCCGGTTTTCCAAGCTACGCGACTTAATGCAAGAGTTTATCGTGTCCGGACAAGACGTCGGTGCCAGTTTGTGCATTAATATTAACGGCGAGGATAACGTGGTGGACATATGGGGGGGGTACGCTGACCCATTGACCAAGAAACCATGGGAAAAGGATACGGTAGTGAGCGTCTTCTCGACCACGAAGCTAGTCACCAACCTGGCGGCTCTAATGCTAATATCGCGTGGTGTGCTTCGCCCCGAGGACAAGGTGGCCCAGCACTGGCCTGAGTTTGCAGCAAACGGGAAGTCCGAGGTTACTGTCGGCCAAGTGCTAGCCCACACAGCGGGTCTCAGCACGTGGCAAGACAATATGACACTGGAGGAAGCGTGCGATGTCGAGGCAGCAACCGACAAGCTGGCGCGCCAGGCACCGCTGTGGGCTCCCGGAACCGCCATGGGATACCACGCTGTGACGCAGGGATTCCTCGTCGGGGAGCTGGTGCGAAGGAAAACGGGAATGTCAATCGAGAAGTTCGTAACGGAGGATATTTGCCGACCGCTGGGCGACGGGGCGGACTTCCAGCTCGGGTGTCGCAAGGAGGACTGGAACCGGGTGGCCCCCGTCGTACCTCCACCGGGACCTTCGATCCAGAAGGTGCTTAGCCAACTACCGGAATACGATCCAGACTCGCTCCTCGTGCGCACCATTTGTAACCCCATGTTCAGCGCCGAGGATGCAAACTCTGTGCTCTGGCGGTCCAGCGCGTTGGGCTCAGTCAACGGCCACACAAACGCTAGGGCGTTGGTTAAGATCCTCTCCTGCTTCTCGCTCGGCGGTACATGTGCCGAAGGAGGCCATCGCCTGCTGTCGGCCGAGACGGTAAAACTAGCGCTTACGGAGCATGCGATTGGGAAGGATGTGGTAATGGGGCGGAGCGGGAGGCGTGGACTTGGGATTTACCTCACCGGGTCGGGGTCGGGGGTCGTCGAAGGCAAGTTACCGGAGGGCAGTGTTGGGTGGGGTAGCGGATGGGGCGGTTCGATCGTGGTTATGGATAGCGATAGGAAGCTCACGATCGCGTATACCATGAACAAGATGCTAAACGATAATCATCCTTCTCCAGCAGCATACATTAAGGCAGTCTATAAGATACTTGGAGTTACCCTGGCTGTCTAGGATCACGGCGAATGGTCTACATGTGCCATTATCTGAGATAAAAGGCGCAGAGCCATTTCTTCTGTATCAAGTCTTAAGCACGGCCTCAAAGTGCTTTACAATCTCAAGAGTACTTTACAATCTCAAGAAACTAGAATTGATATAACAGAGAAAATTCACGGAACTGTCTCGCAGTTCTGCAACTAGATGGAATCAAAGTGTGCAGTATGGTTTGCCCTGATTAGGTAAATAGAGGAATGATCAAGTAGGAAAGAGGCAAAAAGTGGCATCGTTAATTATTTTTAATCCAATTCCCCATTATAGTCCATATCCGTCCACGTCCTCAGGAAAGTGACGCGCAAATGATTCTTCATTCTTTCGTCCCTAAGAATAACCCCTACTCCATGTCTGCCAAGTTACTCTGGTTTCAGTAGAGGATTGTGCTACGAACCCTAGGAATGCTTATTGAAGGACAAACTACTATCAGATGTAGTCACATGAGGCAATATGACGTGTGCTCACAATCTCAACTCTGGTAACCTCTAATATCTTGCGGCAGGCTCCCTATCTCCGTGCACCTAAGAGTGATCCACGGTATCATTTCAAGATGGAGAAGGCACTTCCCAACTTCAGTTGGAGCCTATCTCCAGGATGATTTCGTCGGGAAGGCGGCAAAAAGGTATGTCACCCATCACGTATATTGACTGGTATGAGGGGTTATCATCGCATCGCGATGTATGTATTACCGACTGTCGGTGAGTCCGAGATGAGCTAAGATAATAGGGTTATCATCAAATACGAAGTAGATTCTGAAGGCGAAAACTCATGAGGGATGAAACTGGAGTCGGAGGTCTAGGTCTGTGGAGCGTTATGAGTTATGATGCCGGACTGTGTGATCGTGGAGGTTGAGGAGATGCAAGGCGAGCTGTGGAAGATGTGTCGGGGGATGTTGGAGAGAGGAGAGATGAGAGAACAGAGAGGGATAGTGATGAACTTATATTTGAGGCGGGGTAAGGGTTCGCGATTCCTTGCATTTCAGCTGGTTGAGGCGCAGCCTTGCAGCTTGTTGGTAGTCACGGGCACACGCACCACTCCAGCCAGGTGCCTCAGTATATACTATTTTCGACAGGCTTTTGTCAGCATATTTTTGCCCCAGAATAGTAAAGAGGTACCCAAAAAAAGTTAGGTACCTGCAATTAAAGGTACCTGACTTTTTTCAGGTACCCAAAATAAATCAGGTGCCTGCTTCTACAGGTACCTTACATTTCTCCGGTACCTATAAAAAATCAGGTACCTGCTTTTAAAGGCACCTGACATTTCTCCGGTTCTTCAACTCGTTACAATAGCGCACTTGAAGCGATCCGATGCTCCTCTCTGAAAAAGCACGAATAAACGCCAGATGGATCTCTTTCCACGGCACGCCAATGATGACTAATTGCGTTAGTCATCATAACCCAGCTGATCAGGCGCGTTTCGGCCTTTGAGATGTGCTGAGCTTTTTCTCGCTGACTCCTACTAGCAACAATTTGAGTGCGTTGTAGATGACCCTATATCGGATGCAGTAAGCCTGCATGCTTTAATTGCTTCCAGTATGTACTCACGTATCGTGGAAATTTTGCTCTCCCACGCCGCGCACGGTCAGTGCCACTCCCTTTTGAAGCTCGGACGTAACTGTAATTCCAATATAGAAGCAGGTACAGGATTCAGCTGCGACAAAATAATATCCCTTTCATTTATAGGTAATATCATCAACAACATGACAACAATGGGTGGAGGATCATTGGATGGAGGATCGACAACCTTAAATGGGGGGAAGATGGTGCGGGTTTGCGGGATAATCCCGCCTTTTAAAACGTTTCCCCAATTAGGCAGGCCAACACGACAAGTTAAGGCACCAGGAACACCATACTTACGTGGTCACACTCCACATACATAGCACTCCCTAGTAAATTACAATTATTTCTAGATATATCACAACAATAAAGATCTCTAAAATGGGCCTCGATAACGGCGCAAGCGCTACTATCCATAAAGTGGAAGAGGCGAACCTCATAGCTGCCTTAGAGGAAGCCGTTCAAGCTGGCCTTCCCGGCATTTCTTGCACCATTGCTACAAAGAAAGGTGTTATATGGCAGGGCTGTGCCGGAGATGCAGATATCGACACTGGCTCACCCATTGAGGAGCGGCATCTGTTTGGGATCGGCAGCATCACAAAAGTATTTATGAGCGTCATCGCATTGCAACTTGTCGAGGAAAACCGGCTGGACCTGGGGAGAAATATTGGAAGTTATCTTGATTCAGCCGTTACGGATGGGATAGCGAATGCAGCGTCTGCAACGATACCTTCGCTACTGAACCACACGAGTGGAATTGCAAGCTGGGAGGACGATCCGGTGTGGATCCGGGAAGGGAGAGGGCGAGACGTTGACCCGGCGCGGATCTGGGGCAAAACAGATGCCTTAGAATATATTCGTTCCAAAGCCGCTCAAGAAGAGCAATCAATAGCGGACGCCCCGGTGCCGGGAAAACACTCGTACAGCAATACAAACTTCACCTTCCTTGGCCATGTCATCGAGGCTGTTACGGGAAACCCCGCAGAAACCGAGATCCGCTCACGCATTATCAAGCCCTTAAGCCTCGAGTCCATATACCTCGAAGGCTTTGAGAAATCTACAGCGTGCCTCGTTCCGCACCGTTACCACTTCGTCAGCCCGGAATTCCGCGAGACGGCTGGCGTCTCGCCTCAGTTTCCTTTCGCAAAGCCGGATCTCATTGACGCGAGCAAGTCAAATCTTTCCGTCGAGTGGGTAGCAGGCGGCATGCTTTCGAGCAGTGCAGACCTCGCAAAATTCTTCTTGGCCCTTCGTGATGGGAGGCTGCTTACGCCGTCCAGTATGAAGCTCATGGCCACCTGGATACCGACAGGAAGACAGGGCTCAGAAGTTTCCCATGGCTTATTTCGCACCGACAGGAAGAATGGGGCTACAATTGGCCACGATGGGGGCGTGCTTGGGTTCACGGCGTTTGCGTGGTGGGCGGAGGAGGGCGATTGCGTCGTTACTGTCCTTTGCAATGTTGGGGTCATGCACTGCGGAAAAGAATTGCCCGCGCCAATTATCGGACGTGGAGATACGTTTGTAGACTTAGCAAAGGCGCTGGCAAATAGGTACAATCTTGCCTCATGAGTAGTTTAGAGAGAATGATGAAAGCTTTATTCATGCGGATGTGCCGCTTAGCTTACATTTCATTTCGCGCATTTTGCTTCTTATCTGCCCCGTTTCATTACTCCTGATTTTGGAAATGTGATCCTTCCCGTGGTGCGATATTACAGGTGACCTCCTCACCAAGCGTTCAAGTGGCTTTTAGTGCAAGGGTCAACATTGATAGTTATGTTGTCTCGCCTGGAGATCTCATATTATGATTCATACTCATGCATCATGCTACGAGGATCTTTGGACGAGACGGCCTACTCATCAGTGATAACCATGCACTAAACGCCGCTTACAATGTTCGATCATGACGTCAACTGCGAGGAAAGGCGCCATTTCAGGAGGATCCAACACAGCTAAAACCAGTAACGTGACTATATTTAGTCATCGATTATGTGTCGGGAGAAGGGCTCAGCCGGCGGGGATGCGGGTGCAGTATGACAAGCTGTGCGCAGGAGCGGATGGTACACTTTGCAGCGCTGCCTCAAAAGGGGGGGGGGACTAGTACATAGGGTAGCGGGACCCGAAGCGCTCCTCAAACGCCTCATCGAAACCGCGTACTGTGCGGACCGCCACGCGGTAGAAGATGAATGGGGAGATGACGAAGAATAGGCGCGTGGTGCTGCGAGGGGTATCAGCTCGGGGTAGCGCTTGGGGGGGAGGTGTGTCTTACGTGTTAGCGATCAGGAGGGCGAGACAGGCGCGGCGCTTGGCGTCTGACAGGCTGTCGTGGGTGACTCCGTCGTGGAGGGCGGCACGCTGGTGGGACGTGACGAGGAGGGTGGCGACGAGGTAGAGGGGAAAGGCGACTTCGTCGTAGAGGCTGAGCAGGGAGTAGCGGAACATATTTTCGTCGGTACCGAAGCGGCAGGTGACGAGGAACTCGCTGGCGTCGCCGATGAGTGCGAAGAGGCACTTCGGGGTGTTAGTCTTAGTATTAGCTGTTGCGGGGGGGACGTGCACCGAAGACGCCGAGGAAGGGGACCCAGGCGACGGGATGGGGGGTCGAGGGGTCGAAGGCGGGGATATAGATGCTGTGGGAGGGGAACGAGTATAGGGCGAGGAGGAGGGAGGGGATGCGGAGGAGGAAGAGGATGAGATGGAGATATTCGACAAGGCGGCGGCGGCGGAGGAAGCTGCGGTGGGTTGTGCCTAGTGGGAGGGTGAACATGGCGACGGCGTGGTGGTGAGGTAGTCGAGAGTTACATGCGTTTGAGAGACTGAGGAGTGATGGGGAGGACGCGGAGGAAGAGGTTGGCTTTGGAGATATAGTGCCAGACCTTCACTACATTCACGCGACATTCCCGCACAGCCTTGCCGTCACAGTCATTCCCCTCTGCCAAGGAGCCTTATATCTAGATATCATGCACAAAGCCCGTTGCGCACAGCCTCACCCTCACCGACACGTAATGTATTGTAAGTCGCTCCCTCCCAATGAAAGAGCGTGGTGCCAGAGTATGACTAGAAATCACATGGTTTCAGCCGAATACATTTAAATCGTGCCCGGGTAGGACGGTACTGTGTCTTTTCAGCGTGCACCGTACATATCACGATTATGTGTGTGGGCATCGCATTGGACAATCAAGCTTCATTTTAACATGCTTACCATCAGCCACGGCCAAATATCCGCCCATATTATGCCATCCAGATTGTCGGCGCTAAAACATTAATCCCGAGGGAAGGCGCTTTGATGCTCCGTAAATCTACAGGCAATATCTATCTTCAGGTCTGCGAGCTTTTCCTGCTCGGCAGATCCCAGCTGTTCTCCGTCTCTGCCGTACTATGTTCCGCAGTCCTTTGCCTCATCCCCCTCCCATCATCCACACTGATTGTGACCTCTCCCTTAACCTTGATCTTATCCAGCCCATACAGGTTCTCCACGCTGTCTCCGCCCTGACTCCTCCGACCGCCGCCTAGCCTACTGGCGCCCCCGGGCCCCGCCTCGACCGTGGTAACCGTCCCAAATGTGTGCCCCTTTCCCATGAATGCAAAGGTCTCCAACCCAATATCATCTGACGGCGGGTATGCCGTAAACACAATGTCCGCCCTCGTAGTCGCATATAGCAAGACGTCAAGCCAGCCGTTGCAGGCGATCATCGACCCCGCCACGCAGAAATACGCCAATGAGACCTCGTTCCCAGCCAACGCTGCTATCCGACCGATAGCGAGTGGCGCAGTACAGATGATATAGATGACGGGGTAGAGGATCATAAGAGGTGTCGCATGGTGGATCATCTGGCTGGACATATCCTCCCCCCGAGAGCGAGCGCGCAGGTAGATGAAGATGGTGGCGTAGATCAGGACGCTGCTAAACATGCAGACGAAGATCCAGAAATAGTGAAGCCAAAGACGCTCGTTTTGGTAGGCATCATTAATCCAGCACTTTTGGCCGAGTCAGTTGGGAAGTAGGATAAGGGGGGTCAGGGGAAATACCCATGCGCTGGCTCGGACGTAGAAGTCATACCGATGGACGAGGGGTCCGATGAGTGCCATCACGTATACGAATGTCCAGAGGCCGGCGATGCAGCAATAGAAAGCCACGGTGGGCAATCTATAGTCCTTTACGACGCCGAAGAATGTGTGGACGGCAATTGCGCATATGAATACGCTACTTGCGAGATCTCCAGTGGAAACAAACCTAAGCTACCGTCAGTTTCAACTTCGTCTGATCACTTCACAAAACGAACCATCCTTGCGCGAAACACATCGATGATCCTACTTCAATCGCATTGTGCCTTAAAGCATGAATGTTGAGGACGAAGGCGATCGCTTGTTGGATATCTGCGAATAACATTTAGCAAGAGGCTTTGAATCGGCATGGAATTCTCTGACCAGCGAAGAGGAGGTTGTAGATAAGGAACAGGAACTGATTTATAGGCCCCTTCACCGCAGATTTGCGCCGCCATGATATCAAACGGAACGTTAACCATAGGAATAATGAAGTCGAGCTGATGAAAGACAATAAACCGAACGTCGACACTGGTATCAATCCATGAGAAAGGACAGCAGGAAGTGGTGACAATGACCTGCTCGCAGCGTCGAGTGCCATAGTGGCTTCCGCCAGCAGGAAGCGGGAACATCGAGGGATGTCAGATTTCCTGCAACACCGTAGCAATTCGTAGCAGCCCCACTAGTCTTGGCCTTAATAGGAAGGAAGCTGTTGTCTGATCCAGGCTCCATAATTTCCTATTCCGGATAGCATCTACTACAGTGTAGGAGCAGCGATCACTACTGCATATAGCATAGTTAAAATTAAAAGTAGCTAGTGTTAGCAAATATGAGGTTCAGTGCGAGTTGAAGGGAGTCAAATGTTGGGAGTCCATATTTGGCCTAGCGCGGGGCTCGTGGAGAGCTTCGTTTAAGAAGCTCATTTTGAGCAGCTTGACTGGTCAGACTCTTGAACATGGATGAGGCAATGTAGAAACGTCATGTTATCCAAGTTGCCAATAGCTGCAAGGAGCTGAATAATTTCAAGGACTGAGGAATGGATTGCTCTACATTCTGCCACTTCGGGCCCGGGAACATAGACCTCAATCGGACGGGCAAGTTATTCATTCTAGTATCATTAGTCCATCGTCTCCTATCCCCATATCGTATCCATTCTGTATATACGAGCGAGCGAGGTAGCCTCCGCAATGGACGGCAATTGCCAAAATGCAATGGTCACGGCTGCCGAAGACGTTGTCGATTACTCCTTCATCGACAAGGAGCTGCAGTGGGAGGCCCTAGAGGCCGCCGGGTCAAACATGGCGTTGCGTTATCCATAGTGCAACAAGCGACTTGCCATGGAACTCATGTCTGAGGGAGGGCATGAACATAATGAGGTCAAGTTTAGCGACATAGAAGCTGTTGGCATGCTCCTGAGAAGTTCGCGTCGGTGTTCGGAGATATGGTCCCTTCGTTCACGTGATCTTCATAAGTGTAGTCACCGCTTTATATTCTGCCATTAACTTAGCCTCTTGTGGTTTGGTGTGCAGATATATGGCTCAGAGATCTCTGTTGGTGGAGATGGCAGGTCTGTTATACGGCTCCTCATATTATCACTAGCTGGATGCGGTGAGGGTATGCGGTAAGGGCTGGAGTACTCGTCGTCCATCGGGATGAAGTGAATGAAGAAGGAGTCGGGTATCAGGATCATGGACTCGCTTGTCGACAGGTGTGCTGTAGCTACTCGAGTAGCCGCCTGTATTGGAATGCGATACTGCGACCGTAGCCCGTCCTGGAGACATGCATGAGCTCAGCATCATTCTGTTGGCATCGTGCAGTCCACATTCATTTGATCCACCATGTCAACGAGGCAGAATCGCTTTCTAGGGCTTACGTTTAGATGGAGATATGCTGAATTTGAACGTGGCTCCCATGCTCCAGATTACTAATCCAGTCAAACATTGGTGAAGCCACATCTAGAAGAGTATTTCAGGCTCTAATGTTTCTGGGCCACTGCAGCCCATACTTACCTGCTGAAGTAGAAAGGCGAATTAATCATATTTACGGTGATCTCCAATTCTTGTGAGTGTTTGTTGTGTTATTTGCTGTTATTTGTAGCGCCGTGTTATTTGTACCATCTCGTTATTTGTAGCATACCACTATCTGAGAAGGAGGGGAAATGGCGGGTTGTAATCAATCACCTGAGCCCGGTACCGGACTGTGTCTTCCATGCCTTCAACGATATATGATGCTCCACCGCACATACCTTTCGCGCTTGGTCTTTTAATGGTGTGGGGCCAAAGCGCGGCGGATTTCCTTGTTGACGCGCTTCCTTGCGCCAGCAAACCGGGCCGACGCTAACAGGGTTGTCACTCTATTTTTGAGAAGCGGAAGGATCAGTGTGGATCACTGATCCTTCCAAATGCCAGAAATGAGCCAATAGAAATACAAAGCGAACAGCAAAGTCCAGATCCTTCCGAATAAATACCCCAGCTGGGGGACAATCTCAATTTCCCTGTTTTGTGCTCAAGCCGAAGGAAGGGCTGGGCAGTTTCAATCTGCTCCCCTATTTCTGCTGACTGGCAGCGCTCCATGCTGATAATCATGTTCTTCATGGACAACCGTCGCTGTCTCCAAAGAGCAATCAGTCAATATGTTGTGCGATAGAGCTCTTCTCCTATCGGTGCTCTTCGCCCACCTCCCCTTGGCCATATCACAAACCTGTGTGTGGAAGGACGGCACGACAGCGACAGATTATGTGCCATGTCGAACTGGCGCAACATCAGGCACATGCTGCCACGCCGGTGAAGCCTGTCTCGCATCTGGATTATGCTACGGCGCGCCTGGATTGATATACCGCGGCGCTTGCGTCGACAGCTGGGACACACCAGACTGCCTGACATACTGCAAAGAATGTAAGCAAGCGCGCCCTACCGCACACGTGAAATAGCGCTGACAGGCGCGCCTTGATAGCCCTGCCTTACTGGGCCAACATCTACCCGTGTAACGAAGGGCTTGGAGCCGACAACCCCTCAAGGTTCTGGTGCGGCAGCCCTACACTGAAAACGTGTAGTGTAGACGAGGGCAAGCTCTTCAAAGTCAGCCCTGGTGTGGCCGTGAAACTCATCCCCAGAGTCTCCACGACTGTGGCGTCATCCGCGCAGACATCGTCGCCCAGATGCTCCTTGCCGACCTCGACCTCCGCATCATCCAAAGTAGCAGCGAGGAACCCCGACGGCGTCGCCTCCTCAGACAAGACCACATGCTCAGGCGCAACGGAAGCAGAGAAAATCCACTTCGCAAACTCCGTCACGGCGGTGGGAGCCGGCGTAGGAGTCCCATTCGGCGTTCTCGCCCTGGCGTTTCTGGGGCTCTTCCTGAACGAGCGGCGCCTGCGGAAGAAACTGACGAAGCCAACCGATGTGAGCGGCCCTGGCGTTGCATACGGGCCCGTTAATAGCACATACCAAGGCCCGGATTACGGCCAGGGACAGGTCCCGGTACGCGGCCAAGAACAAGAACAAGTGCAATACGTGTATAAGCCCGAGAATGAGATGCCTGCGAACTCGGATCCGGCGCACGAGCTCACAGGAGGCCATCACCGCCCTGTTCATGAGCTTGGGGGTCAGAATTACCCATTGTAGTTTTATGTTGATGTGTAGCCATCAATTAGTGTCAATTTTCAATTTGAATGGCAATTTACAATACCCTCGTACAGTCCGGTGTACTCATGCCGCCCAAGTCCGAATTTAGTTTGATCGTGAGAATTAATATCCGGGTTTGAGCTGATAGAAATTGTTATTTTGACAATGTTTTGAATAACTAGCCAAGAAAATAAGCTCGTCATAGAGATCCGATACGAGGCGTGTCGCAAAATGTGGATGGCGTAAGTAGATCATGCTAGATGGAAGGCTTTGGAGATGGACTATTCAAGCGATGTAGTCAGGTGATCGCGTGGAGACGGGCGGGGACTCGGGCTCCAGCATAGATCAGCGCGACAAGTATTCGTACAATATGTTGAGGAACGGAACTATGGTTGAGGTGGAGCGGAGATAAGTCTGTCGCGTGCCTGCTGTCATCTATACTGGAAAGCTACTGCGACTGTACCATGCAAGTTCCCAGAAACACTCGAACTTGCAGAGTGGTTGGATATCGAGCTCTTGTCAAACAGGCAGATAATCTCAACATCTAAACTATACGTATTCAGCATAGCGCCCACGCTTAGTTCCGGTCGATTTCCACCCGTTCACCATCGGTGGTCGCCTCTACCCTGCACTCTTTAGCTAACCGTTTGAAATCCAGGGCAATATAATTACACATCTTACGCCTTTCCAGTCGATATGGCCCCTCAAGCAAAGCCAAGCGCCAAAAGGTTGGGCGGTAACCTTCGGCGCCAAAAGACCACGTCAAGCCATCGTTGGTCGTTATATTATATAAGAATTGATAGGGTTTCAATGACTAGGCGGAACTATTATTCTATTCCTCATCAGATTCAGAGTCTCTGTCCTTCAACTCGTTGCAATAGCGTACTTGAAGCGATCCGATGCTCCTGTCTGAAAAGGCACGGATGAAAGCCCTATGTATCTCTTTCCACGACAAGCCCTTCTTCTTGAGGCGCATTAGCAAATTATCTTCTTCCGCTGTATATTGGAGACGTCCACGCTTTCTCTGCTTCTGCAGATCTGGCCGTGGCCTCTTTGCATGAGATGCGCAAACCTGTGTATGAGCTGATCCTCCAGCTGGTTCCCTGCTAGACGTGGGATTTGATATATGGAGACCGATCGATGGTCTGAACGAATCTGGAAGGTCTAACAGCCTGAACTCTAGGTTGTAAGTTGTCTCTCGTCCAATCCTCACGCACTTGAGGAAGCCCTGCAAAGGGTATTCTTGGTAGTCTGCACCTATTGACTCTGTATCGTCTGGTGAACTTCGAGAACCTGTAGAACCTCGAGTAATGCAGGTCTGGGCTTGGGCTATAGTGGACGAGCGCGTGTGGACCTTCTTGCGGGTGGCGGTTTCAATCGCGTCAGACTCTCTGCGGCGCCGCTTTTGTTGTATTGGAGGTCGCACATCCTCGTCCTCGTCATCTTCACTATCCTCATTGTCGTTATCCTCATTATCACTTTGATATGGTTTGAAACTGTGTTGGCGGTCTTGTGAGAGAGGGGCCACAACTACGGTCTCGTCTTCCACTCGTTGGTGTGGAATGCTCTCCTTTATTTGCTGGCAGTAGCTAATCGCAGTCTTATCGTCGCTGCTGGTCGCCTCTATGTCGTCCTCCTGTTCGTCTTCTTGCTCGTTTTGTTGGCACTGCTGCTGTTCTATCGTCTTTTTCCACAATATATCATCAGTCGAAATACCTCGAACTTCTGTATTATTTTGGGTTTCCTGGTTCAGCGGATTGCATTGGGAGTGAGCTGCGCTCGAAGGCGGCGACCCTTCTGCTTCTTTTGAAGTTTGTCGTGGTTCATTCTCGATATCGTAGACGTTGCCACAGTCGCACGATCCACCAGCCCTCTCGCGTAGTGGAGAAGGCCTCCTTTCGTCGACTATGGCCTTCTCGACACCCTGGTAAATTTGATCATGACCCGTTGTCTCAGCTAGCTCAGAGCAACTTGGAGAAGGTCGTCGAACGTGAACAGGGAATGTCGAGTCTAGCTCTGCGAAAGACAGGCGTTGTTGTCCATCCTTAGAGAAACAATCGGCATTGAGGTATTCCGAGTTTCGAGGAGTGGACGGGCCAAAGAGACTGCTCGGGGTAGAGGCGGTATCTTGAGTGGCCAGGCCATTCTCGCTCGCATCTTGGTCTCCTATGCTGGCAAGGACATCGCTCGAGGCAACCCTAAACTCAACTTCATCGTCGCTTTCATCGTCGCTGTCATCTTCGATGATTAGGGGTTCTCCTGCGTGGAATTAGTAACGTGTATAGGCATACAAAAGCGAGCTGAGAAACTTACTTTGATTATTGCCTGGCACATAGACCGAGTTTGGGGTTGTGGCATCAGTAAGCAGGCGGCTCTCGTCGATCAGTTGGCTCTTTGAGATATGGAGGGGCTTGTGGTTCTGATGTGGCATCTGAGGCGTATCTCCGTTTCGAGGAGGCTGGAACAACTCATCAAGAGATGGAAGAGAGTCATCTAACGAGTCGCCATCTTGAACATTCCGTGCTAACTCTGCGTCTCTAGGTGGTGATATGCTGGGTTGTAGAGACGGTAGGTGCTTGTTCAACACCGACCTCGTCAGCTAAGTGTGTGAGGCCTTCAATGCAGGATTAGGGTTATAGAATTCAACACGGTTTATATTCACAGTATCCATGCTAAACAGAGTAGGACGCTAAGTGGGATAATGGTCTTTATAACGTGTCTCTCGAGCGGAAATGGAGGAGCTTATATAGAGATTCAGACAGTCGCTCTACACTGTTGCTGTGACTCGCTAGAATCCGCGAGCCCATTTGCTTACTCTATACTCTGTGTCACCTCGTTATTCCCGTGCGCTATAGCTAGGCAGTGAACTTTCCGCTCTAGGCTTGACCTGATTCTACTAACTAGACATTTGCGTTAAAGAGGGACAATACACGTCGTATTCTAAAGGTCTCTAGTAACTGCACTACTGCAACTTAAGTGGTCTTAAGGGCGGAGTCTTACTCTTAGCTAAGCGTTTAGCACTAGGGTCGGCCCCTCTACTACTAAAAGGAGGAATCATATCTAGATTGTACATGTTGTAAAGGCAATCGCTTTGCAAGCCCTAACTAACCGCCTAAAGGCTAGATAGAGCGGCATCTAAGGTTAGTTGACTCTAACAGCCTAACTCTAATGATTGTCCGCTCTCTGTATCCATTTGTCCGCCATCCTAGTAATATTCCCAAATAAACGCCACGAAACGAAAGTAAAAGGTAACAAAATGCAACATAGGGATAGTCGCAGACGTAACGGCCTTTAAGAGGGATCTCCACTTCGATCTCGAATCGGCCCTTCTCTTGAAAACTAGCCTAGACTAAGGCAGAGGTCGCTGCTAGTGCCTATAACTCGTAACGTCGTAATATGTGCTACGCGGCGGTCTGCGCAAGGGCCGGCCACGTTACTACAAGGCATTTTTACAATTAGCTAGGTCGTTGCACAAGGCACTCTTAAGGCAGATTACGCATGCTACAGTCGTAGGCGGCTTTAAATGTGCGTAGCAATAGCGAAGGGCGCGAGAGAGGTAGGTTGAGTAGAACGCAGCTTAGCTCGTCCTCGCATCTTAGCCGATCTAACGGCTAGACGTCAAGACGCTTAAAGGGATCGTTGCCATTGCAAAGAGCTTGGTGGCATAGACGGCGTAGTCATTAGAGGGCGTAACTTGAGGTTGTGGCTCTATAAAGCGTTTATGTGCCACTCTAGGTTTTCAGCTGTAGCGAGGCCGAGAAGGGCGATCTATTAGGTGGAGCCATTATGTAGTGTAGAGGGGGCGGAGAAGGCTAAGCGTCGCGCGATGAGCGTAGCAGGTGCAAGAAAGTTAGGAGGGAGGAGCGACAGTAGAGAGGGACAGAGTTAGAGGGAGGGAGTGGCCTCTTTATAGAAGTTGAAAGCGGCAGTAGGCCTGTGCACGCACCTTCCCTAATTGGGCGGGCGCTAAACCCCGTGCGGCATACCTCGCGACTAAGATTATAACAACTATAAGGTAGGTGTATTAGGTTGTCTAACAACACTTCCTCTTAGGCTTAGAACATTTAGAGCTATAGTTACTTTAGTATATAAGCTAGTACCTTATAGAAGTAGTGCTTAAAGTGTAACGCTAGGTCTTAAACTATAAGACTTATAGAGGTTTTATTATATTAGTTTACTTAATAGAGGAGGTAGGAGATTAGACACTAAAGGCTTTTATAAAACACGTTATAGTATATAACAAATACTATATTAAGTTAAGCATAAAGCTCCTATCTAAGAAATAACTATCTACTTATATAGTAGCGTTATACTAAAGGGAATAGTTAGAATAGTAGACTTTCTAACTATTCTTACTATTCCTACTAATCTAATTATATATATGTCCTATAAGAGGTGTTATACTTATTATAGGTACTAATTCCTATAGGTGCCCTTCTAAGGAGGCACCTTGCTCTATATAGGTACCTTTCCTAATAGGTACCTCTCCTTTACTAGGTACCTTCTAAGAAAGGTACCTTTTCCTAAAGGTGCCCTTATTAACTAAGCTACTTATAATCTCTATATCTATTTCCTACTACTAATTAGCTATAAGCTATTTTACCTTATTATTCTATCTTATAGTATATAGGTTATATGTTTTAGCTATAATAGATAGCTCTAGCTAGACTCTACTATCCTTAGTAGTAGAAAAAGGGTATAAGGCACTAGAATAGCTTTTACTTAGGTAAGAAGATTTAGTAGTAGAGAATCTTTAGGCTACTCCTAGAAGTCTATACTCTCCTAAGACCACCTACGTTCTTAGAAGCACTACTCTTAAGAGCCTATACGTTTTTAAGAGCATTACTCCTAGAAGTATAAGCAGTCTTAGGAGAGTATAGGCTTTAGGGAGTAATGCTTTAAGGAGTGTAGGTAGTCTTAGAAGCACTATAAAACTATAGTTATATTATATAGCTTTCTATAAAAGCCTAATTAAGATTTATAACAACTTTACTAAGATCTATGTTTCTAGATCTAGATAGGCTATTAAATTAATATATCTCTTAAATTAGCTGTTTTAAAGGTTATAAGTAGGGAAAGAGATAGTTAATAAGGAAATAGTATATATATAGTAGGTAGAGGGCAAAGTAATAGAAAATAAGGGGGGTTTAAAAATTATAATAGGTAAAAGCCATTA